ACCTTCTTCTCGCAAATCGGGAGCATCTTGTCCCGGAAGGGGCATCTTGCGTCTTCTTGTGCCTAACAAAAAATTATCTGCCTGGTACAGCGTACTGGAGCGAGAGTGACAAACAGCATACATTAACAAATATATATAGCTACATAGCACAATAGATAATTAACTAACACCAATAAGGGGTGATAATACCAACATGCCCAAGAAATAACACGTAGAAAGTCATTATCTCCTATACTCCGTACCGGAGATAATTTGCATTCGTGTAAAAGAATATGCGGTTTCGTGTGGACGGAAGGCTGATTCGTGTAAAAAGTTAGGGCGGTTTTGTGTGGACGGAGGGTTGATTCGTGTAAAAAGGTATGCGGTTTCAAAAATATCCGGATTAGTGTGGACGGGGCCTTATAGATTATATTTTGTATGAGACAAGGGTTCAGGCAACCTTAAATAACCAAACTTGTGTAAAAAGGTATGCGGTTTCGTGTGGACGGAAGGTTGATATCGTGTAAAAAGGTATGCGGTTTTAAAAATATCCGGATTCGTGTGGACGGGACCTTTTTGTATGAGACAAGGGTTCAGGCAACCTTGAATAACTAAACTTTAACAGTTAGTTAAATCGTGCAACAGAGGGTGGAATTGTACATGTTGCTGCTTTACAACGGCGTAGCTACTTGCGCGCCAGAACGCACGAACGTACTGAAAACAAAAAATTTAAAAATAAAAACAGAGAAAAAAAACACCGAAAGAAATAAAAAGAAGGGTAGTAACAGATTGAGAGTCACAGCGCCTTGCATGTGCCCCTGATGTTGTGCAAGTGACAGAAAACGGCACTGCATGTTTTAGTAATGTGTATAGCCTGAGTATCAGGCCTTCCTAAGGGGCTAGGGGAGAGGAGATTTTAGATGGGGGAGGGGGCAGGGGGGAGAAGAGAAAAGAAGGCCTGACACAAAACCATTCAGCAAATCGTGTGACACATCCAAAATCTGAATGTAGCAGTGATTGGATAACACACACTACTCCCTGACGTCACCGACCATACGAGCAGAGCGATCGGCATGGAGAAGCCACTGAAATTTTTCATCGATGTTTTGGTTTCAAATGGTACTTTTATAGACAGAGACTCAGAGAGGAATTCAAACAGACTCTAGAGGGCTCTCTCAAGTTCTTTCTGGATGGTATCGAATCATGCTGTGTGGGGGTGGAAGGCTCCAGTAAAAGCATCTGTGTCAGGCGTTTCTCTCCTTCAGCTCTCTCCGTTTTTCGCTTCCATCTTTCCCCTTTTCCCCCAGAAACGCCTGATACTCAGGCTATAATGTGTATGGCCTTAGTAAATTGGTCATTGAACCACGCACCCAAGTTCTGCACGGTATTCACTTTGGCGACATCACAATCGCCTACCCTGATGGTATTGACAGCAGTCTTCGTTTAAATGATGTCGTGATGCTATTATAATAAAGTCGGTTTTGTCGTCCTTAAGCATTAGTTTGTCGGAGTACATCCAATGCTTGACCTCCCTGATACAGATTTCCACTGATTTAACTGCCACATCTTGACCAGAAGTGCAACTTTGGTTAAAAATAAAAAATAAAGCTTAGAGTCATCAGCATAACAATACAATTTTGGAAGATGACTCCTGACAACGTCAACGATTTTGCTTGAATTTATGTTGAAAAAAAGGATCTAAGCATGAGCCCTAGGGGACGCCACACAACAAAGATGAAATATGCTGAAATTGTCGTATGAAAAGATATTCGTAGTGTTCTTCCACACTGATAAGAGCAATGAACTACGAAAGTGCAGTTCCATTCAGATCCAGCTTTGATCTTAAACTTGTCGGGAAGATACTAGGGTCGACAGTAGGTGGGAGTCTAACAGAACGAGGAGAGTACAGAGACATGGTGATTGTTATTTTTGTCAGAATGCCTTGTGAACTTTCACCAAAAGCTGTTTCCGTTCTGTGTAGTTTCTTGTAAGCAGACTAGAACACGCGATGCAAATTGTTCTCAGCCAAGTGTGACTGAATCTGATCTGCAACAGCAGTCTCCCTGAGCTTGGAAATGTAAGATAGATTACTTACAGGGCGTAGGATCTTAAAGTTTGTCGAATCAAATACATACTTCTTTAATGAATGTGTTACTATTGCCTCTTTCCATACTACAGGGAAATGATCAGACTCCACGTTATTACAGGCAAAATCTCATCCATAAACTCAACTACCAGTGAGGCGCGTATTGGATGCAATAAATATGAATTTGAATCGCATCAAAATATACCGTGCATCATCCATTGACGGCGTTTTAAAGCTGGTAAATAAACAGCAAGATTGGTCTTCACTTCTTGCGTTGGCACAATAGAATTTCTTCGTTTAGAGCGAATGCTTGTCACCTTGTCAATGAAGAACCTGCCAATGTTATTTGCAGCCACCTCGGAATTTCATCCCCCGGGCAGCTATCCTAGGTGCCTGAGGCTTTTCATGCCGCGGTTTCCGGTTTCGGTCAAGTCTTAATTAGGGAACTTAAGATGGAGACGTTAGGGAACTTAAGATGGAGACGTTTTCGGGGCGACGGCGACCGGACTGGCAGAGAAAGCCTGGAACTAAGGCAGCCGTCGCTCCCCGTCAAAAATAGAACATTAAGATCGCAGTGAACTCAGAAGGACGACGCCTTTAATTAGAAGAAGACCGAAGAGGAAAATATGGCTTCACATAAAGAATTAAGAGAATAAATATTTGCTATGCAGACAACATGTATCGGATGAAGAGTTTCTCGTTTTGAGGGAAAATTATGAGTCCAAAAATCCCGATTTTCCTCGGGAGAGTTACGATCCGTTCACGCAAAAAACCATGCGGGATGCAGCTGAGTTCAAGGCAGAATTTCGTGTTGAAAAAAAATGATCTCCACAGGCTTGCCGAAGCCTTGCAAATTACAGGAACATTAAAATGCTACTAAGAAACCGTATTTTTAGTTTGGTATTGAAATAATTCCCGGGAAATACTTGCATGCAACAACAACAACAACGGCAACAACTTTATTTCAGTATTCCCACGCCAAGTTAGTACATGGTATTACCTACTATTCTATATAATTTTCAACGCGTTTCATTTATACGATATTCTAACGAAAAGAGCGAACTAAAAACACACAATTGAAATATCGGAGTTCATATTTTTTGTCTGGATACTTTTATTTGGCTCGTGGGAAAATTTTGTCCCATGTCAAGCTCACTTACGGTTGGCTGTTTGCCAAGTTGGATCTTGACCCTGTGACATGAAAACATAGAAACATTCAAAGATGTAAGTTTAGATTACAGAGCTTGGAGATCGAGCTTGAAATGTGCCTCAAAGAAAACAAGGACAATTTAAGAACGATAATCTGCAAAATGTTGGTTGCTAAACGCAACAAACCTGATTGAAATGAAAGTTAAATATTCACGTTTTCGCCACAACGCCAAACAGACCAGTTTCACGTCGCCGACGGGACCACGACGGCAAGGTGGTGAGCACGAGCATGCGCAATATCCAACAAATGATGATGTCACGTCCGGTTGAAGCTGCCGTCGCCCCGAAAACGTCTCTATGTTAAGGTGGCTCGACTGGATTTTTTTAGGGGGATACCTCCCAAGTTTGAGCCTTAATTACGTCGGCATGAGTTAAGACATGGAAAAAAGGTTACCACAACTGTATTACATAAAGATGAAAATTTCTTATGATATGGGTTTTATTGCAATCGGAGTCGCCATGGCAACATAATGACGCCATTTCGTTTTTCATTTATCGTTGTGTTTCTCTGTACCAGGAGAATTTTCGAAGAAATCGCTTAAGGGAGTATGTACCTGCCATAATTGCCTCCATTATGGCAAAGTTTGAAGAAATTCTATGAGAGCGTTTTCGAGTTATTTCGAAAGGCAGTTTTAAGAATCATCAAAGCAGTGAAATAGCATGCTAGCCGCCCAATTCGCTAATATTTTAAGAAAATGATAAGCTTTGGGAACTTTGCCATAATGGAGGCAATTATGGCAGGTACATACTCCCTTAAGCGATTTCTTCAAAAATTCTCCTGGTACAGAGAAACACAACGATAAATGAAAAACGAAATGGCGTCATTATGTTGCCATGGCGACTGCGATTGCAATAAAACCCATATCATAAGAAATTTTCATCTTTATGTAATACAGTTGTGGTAACCTTTTTTCCATGTCTTAACTCATGCCGACGTAATTAAGGCTCAAACTTGGGAGGTATCCCCCTAAAAAAATCCACTCGAGCCACCTTAAGTTCCCTATTAGCCTGCGAACGGCAGACGTCAAGTCTTAATAAGTTTTTTTCTCGAGGCACAAAACAGCCTGCCCTGATCAAAATTATCTTTCTCGATGACCTCATTGTAATCAGCAAACCCTACTATCTGAAAGTCTGGCAGAGGCTAGATCAGGATTGAACCTTTAGCTGTGTTTTGTATGAAGTCTTAGAAGTGGACTTTTGAGAGTGAAAATCATTGGGTTTCCGATCAGATGTCATCTGTTACCGAGAGCAGAGGGCGAGACTGACGTAACCTGCCCCGCTTCATCTTTAGCGTGAAGAATCAAAGTATAATTGTCATAATTCCCTATCTATACACCTTGCATTGTTGAACCAGATCCTTGCAATAATTTTCCGTTTAATTGACAATGATTAACAGAAAATGTTTTTAGTGGTTACTGGCTGATGGTTAACGAACTTTTTCTGACGACCACGCTTCTCTTATTCACTACAGTAGGAGATTTGGTATCACATGTTTTGTGAGTAGAATAATTAATAAAAGTGTTTTGAGATACCATGCTTTTGTGTCGCTACTACTATTTCGGATACTTTCGGCGTTCATGGGCTTTTGGACAGCTTGCAACATTTTTCACTTTTTGGAGCTGACAGACTTTGACTGGCACTTAATTGTATACATGCAGTGTGTGCTCACGCAACCGTTTCGCACACGAATTGGTTTCTAGGAAACAAGTAATTTATCCGGGTTGTTAGCGTCTGAAAAACAAAACCACCACAGAGAGAGATCACGAGTAAACGTCCAGCGATTCGTTGTATTTCCTAGCCACAGCTTATAGTGGGCCCTGAAGACTGCGTTCAATGTACGGACGACTTATTGATTTATGTAAGCTTGATGTAAGCAGTTTTGAAGGTGGGTAGTCTAACACATAAAAAACAGTTACAATATCAAAGACGGAAGTGACTACGCTTTGAAAAATCAAAGTTCAATTTTACATTGATTCTAGTGAGATACTGAATGAAATATTACTATGGAAAAACTACTCAGAAACTCATTAGAAATGCTCCTTTTAAAGGATTGAATTAAACAATGTCACAAAGTTACAGCCCCTGTCGTGCGATTTATAAACAAAGGCAAAGGGAAGTCTATGATGTTATTAGTCACGATTGTACCGATAGTCGTTAGACAGTATATCAAACACCGAGTAGTAAAGAAAAGCACACTGAGATTAATAGCATACAATGAACTGTTTGTACCTCAATATCAGCTCAGACACCGGTATCACTGCATGATTTAAGCCGCACATTGTGATTGTCCGAAGATTTGCCGACGTTTGGTTACAGAAGCGAAGTTTTCTCTCAAGGGCAGAACTGATAAATGTAGCGTTCGTGAGTTGCTGTGACCACAGTCGGTCCAGTGGGCTCCGTGAAGGCTCTAGTGAGCTCGTGACTGAAAAGTGTATCTGTTGTAGGTCATAATTAAATTCGGGTGAATATTTTTTTCCTTGGTTGATTCCCAAAATATTTTGTCTTCTAACCCTAATTAATCGTGAATTGCAAAGTATGGCTAAATATTTAAGACTCAACCTAGGATAGAAATTTTAACCTTATTAATTCAATTTTGACCTACAGCAGATATATCATTAAGCTACTGTAAACAAGTTTTCTAAAAGTGAAAGATTAAAATAAGATGAATAAAAATAAAGATAATGCATGGCGTTAATGGTATTCTGTACGCGCCCATAGAAAAGTGCTATTGATAACTTATTCACATTCTCAGTGGCGTGGCGTTTGAAAGAGGGTCCTCTGTGCCTAGTCGTAAGTTGAAGCTATATTAATGGGATGTTAGCAAAAAATATGACCAGCTTATTCGATTAGTTTGGATTTGAGTTTGAAGGCATAGTTGGTAAACATGTCTTACCCTAGACTACCAGGAGACAGATAGCACATGTGTCGATCTGAAGACAAATAGATTAAGATGATTAAATAACTTGATTCAGTAATGGTAGAGGTCGATGATTACTAAAACTGTACAAGTGAATTCTAATTACTTCCTCCTTATGGAGGCTGAAGTTTCAGGAGAAACGTGGGGTCTTTTATATATTTCAACCAGATTAACATTTTTATTTATTTCAAATTTACAAGGTTGTAGTTACCGCAAGAGAGGATAATGGGACTTGTCCATTTATTGCTTTTCATGTCGGTAATTTTTTTCACGGCATTTGTTCTGTCCGACATCCGAGTGATTGAAAACCACTGACAGTCACGCAAACATCTTCAAGTCACTGTATGTTATAGACTGAAAGCAGAATGAGATCTGTAACTGAGATATTTATCTTTGCAAACGTCTTTAACAAAAATGGTACCACAGAATGAACAGTCGCAATTAAGTTTTATGCTACGCTTCAACATTATTTTAGAGTTGATTCCAAAAATTAATTTAGCACTGAATTGAGTCTCTAAATCAATAGTCTGTTCACAAATGCAAAAGAAGAACCAAATAGACAGGGAAAAAAAAGCAAGGATGGTCTATAACTTCTGATTGGTTGCGACAGTTGCGATGCAGAGCGAACGTTAAAAATCAAGGATATTGTGATTTCGTATGTGGTAGTCGTCTCGACGAAAACAACTTAGGACTTTGGGGAAAGCACTCTAACCCTTGTACGTTCACTCTTAGACCATAATACCCCCAGATAACTTGTCACTCTAACGTCTTATTCTGTGGACCAAATCCTTTGTTACCATTCAAATGACACCTTTTTGCATAATTCTATTTATTTAGCATGTAGTTGTAACTTTGGCGTCTGTGGACCAAATCCTACGACGTTACCATTCAAGTGAAATCTCTTCAGCAGTATCCTTTCTATTGTACTATGTATAAGACCATGATACCGCCAGAAAACTTGTTACTTTACCTTAGAGTCACCATTCAAATTATCATTCATTTCTTAGGATTATTTAAAGAGAATTTTCTTGTGAATTTTGACATTTTTTCTTTGGCCACTATTAGGGGTGAAAGTCCTATTCACAGACGCCTTTACTTGAGTCATTACTCTGTCGGTCCATGAAGTGGTACGTGAAAAATATAGAAGTGTATAAGGAAACATATGGGCATTATACCACGGGGTATGTTAACTAAACTTTCAGGATCTTGCGCAGTTGTATCAAGATTCATTTATGTATACTGTTCATAGGATCATAATTCTGGGAAACTGCCCACCTATCCCTCCCTTAGCCAACATTTTGCCATAAGGGGGAAGTAAGTGTTAATGTTGGCTTAGGGGAGGGGTAGGAGGGCATTTTCTGCGAAACGTATAATGAACTAAGACTACGTTCACACGACACCGGTCGAATTTTTGACTGATTGAACAAATTGACCGGACACTTCGTTCACACGGGACCGTTTAATATTTTCGCGCTGTTTAAACGAAACTTTGAACGCGGCTAGGCGTTTAAATTTTCGTACGGTTAAGTTGGTTCCGTGTGAGCCGAACACCTAAACACTCGAATCTTCACCCGGTCGAAAATTAGTCGGTGCCGTGTGAAGTAGCCTAAAAGTACTCCCGTATATTTCTTTTCTTATGCATGGAAAAAGAGGATTTTTAGGCACTAATTACAAGCACCTGCCGCACCTTCCTTACTTGGGGTGCGACTATGCTTCTAGAGAATAAATGCGGACGCGTTCGATTGGAAATCTGGACTTAGATTTTGAAACCCGGATTTGCATTTTGCAATAAAACGCTAAATCCGAAAATGGAGAGAAATCCGTCGTCAAGGTGGATTTCAATCAAAAAATCCAAATCCGGGTTTCATGGATTGCCTTCGTTACCGTTTTTTTGGGGGAGATCCGAAAAAAGATTTGCAAAACTGTGCTCGTAAACAGTGGTCTTTTTTCTGGTAAAAATGAGTGCGCATGCGAGACCGTTGTCCTTGAGGACCCTTTTGAAAATCTTTTTTTCGGATTTCCCAGAAAAACGGACAGTAGGGAAATCCAAGGACAGATTTCTCGGCGTTAAAAACCGTTTTTGGATGCGGCGTTTTATTGGAAATCCAAAATCCGTGTTTAAAAATCTAAATCCAGATTTCTCAATGGAAACCTCTTCGTTGAAATTTTGGTATTTCAGGATTCTGGTCGCTTGACGAGCCATGGGCTGCGGGTCCTCAGTTCAGCCGAGAAGCGCAGGACAGATTAGAAATGGCGCCGAACCACAAAATAACGATGTGCCATTGGTAAGCTTAAGGTGATTCCCTAGTTTTGCACTGCGCATCTCTTACTGCGCATAACAAGATGGCCGCCGTAAAAAAGAGCATGTGAAGTAATATTATTAAAATATAGTTGACTGAAGAGAAACGTTATTGGAATTTTTGCTTGCTGTTGTTTCTTGCCGAGGTGAGACTCAATGTGTTGGGAATGTGCATAACGTAAGCAGTACGCGTGTTGCTGATTTCGACCTCCTCTCGGAGAATCTCGATAGTGGATGTTTAACTTGTGCTTACTCACTTTGATTTTCATTTAAACGCTTTCTTTATCACATTGTGTCCTAAATGTGATATCTCGATGTAAATTCTGTAAAAACGGATTTTTTAATACTTTCTTCCCCCTTTCACATACATTCTATTTTGAAACTCGCCCCAGTCCTCTCTCAAAAATCGGAGAAAATGCGTTTGGTGCGCACTTTCTGCAGCTCTACCGCAAAAACGAGTACGGTGACCCCCATTTTTTATTTCATGATTTTAATAAGGACAGTGCTTCCTTTCGATGAGAAAAAAATTTGCACAAATCTATGTTCAGTTTTTTGGCAATTTTACTAAATTGTACGGATTGAGCCATCACGGGTCGAAAAGCGCGCGTCCAATTTAATTCTACTTTGGAGCGTAAAGTAAAAACAAGGGCATTAAAAGGCATTTTTCTGGTACGTAAGTGGATAAACAATACATTAAAGTCAAATTCTGTGTGATGTCACGTGCATCATCGAAAAAATCTCTCCTTTTTGTCTAGTTTTGCGCTGCCCTCGGTTTTTGTAAAACGGTCTTAAATAGCTGTTTTTGTCAGCATTGTGACGTCAAAACGAGCACGGTGACCCCCACTTTTTATTACTTTTTTATCATCTTCTTGACTTGTTACATCAGTGTACCAAGTTTTAGCTAAAATCTATGTTAGGTTCTTTTACTATGGAATCACCTTAAACGTTTGGTATGATTTTTTGATGTCGTGTAATACACCCTTTTCATGCACGCCTTCAGGGCAGCCAATGGCAGTTACTAGATAAACGTTCTAACATTTATCTTCATCTTGATCGTCATCCCTCAACATATTGTTGTTGTCATCATCGACGTCATCATCGTCATCATCATCATCACTATTATCATCGTCTTAGTGGGCGCCTGATAATAATCATTAATAGCACCAATCTATTCTTTCGCTTTAAATTACCAAGCTAAAGCTTAGGTATCTGACCTTTTAATTCTTCCCCGCAAGTTTCTCATTCCCTCTACTAACTATATGACAAAACACCCTGATTATTATGAATGCGAACACGATGACCACGCGACCACAGCTGTTTCCTGATTCACTTGTCCCTGCTGTAGTAGTCGAAAATATGGTATTTTACCGTAGATAGCTATAGAAGCCGCTAGTGACTGAAGCCCTTTTACTCATAATTTTATTTGCAGCCTGCACAGTCACCTGCAGCGGGCCCAGTTGAACAAGACAGGCTCAACAGAGAGACGTTTGAGTCTTTTGAAGAATTTCCAACGCCAGAATTACTGAGAGATGCAAACGAAAAATACACTGCACTGTGCCAGCCTTTACCTCGCGACGCCACAGGAAAACTTTTGCCTTATCCCACACCTACAACTAAGGCATCGATTTTCGATGTTACCAGAGTCCACGATGTGGATAAGTTTGCGGTTGAGGTAACAGTATTTCTCAGTATCCATATATCATATTAGGCTAAAGTAGCAACAGAACGAGAACGTCAGTTGACGACGGCATGCGCAAATCAAACATCTGGCTTGGCCAATAGCTGAGCAGCAAATTGGGCACCGGAAGTCGACTTTAGTACTTTCCGCGTGCTTTCCCGTCTTCAAATGACGTTGCCGTTCTGATGCTAAATCAGCCTATTACCAAAGTGCGACAGTGCTAGGTCAGTGAAGTATGGAAGGAATGGCATACGTGATAAATGAGGGGAGGAAAAACTTCAGGAGCTTAGAGCTAGGACCGAATGCAGTGACTTTGATGCCGAAGTTATTCCTGTTCAGCCTCCAACAGAGATAGGTTAACAAGAATATATTACTTTGCAGCTGAAAATGAGTAGACATTGCAAGAAAGCACAAAGCGATCTTTGGGTTAACCAAAAACTAGGATAGTATCAGACTAGTATCCAAGCATTTTGAGTTTTTGTCTTTGAAGGTCATTTGGTACCTAAATAAATCATAGGGCGAAGAAAGTGCAACGACTCTGTATGATGTTATACCTTTCTTTCCAAGATCGTTGAGCAAAGATGAAATGGAATTTGTCCTGCTGTAACATAGTAGTTTCAACAAGCTCTTTTAAAGTCTAGGGCAAGAACGAGGATGTTGTGTTTTCAATACGTTTGCATCTGAGGCAGAAGGGGTAAGAAGGGGTAAGAAGGGGGAAGTGTATCTGAGAAATGAATAAAGGGTACACCGGCGCCCCAGAGCAAGCCCCTTCCCCCTTCAATGCCCTCCAATGAAGTCAATGATTGAAAATGATTTCTCTGTTAAGTTGAAAAACCTCACTAGGGAGCTTAATCAACAGCTTTTTTGAGCGACGGACGTTTTCCATCACACGGCAGTGGTTTGGTTGAAACTCTCGGGTAAATCGTCTTTATAAGAGAAAAGAAACTTAGCAATACAAATTTGTTAGCGTCGAGGCATATAAAAAAGGAGAAGGCCTCACTTCCGGTTAACGTGCGTCGCTCAAAAACGTCTTTGCGTAAGCTCCCTACTTTTTCAACCACAACTTGAGTCTAGCTTCACTGGGTTCAAGGCGAGTCTGGTTCATTGAACTGTCTGTCTCCAGCTACTCAACTTACAGCCGTTACTGTATTCTTTAGCTCAACGCTTCCTTACTGATGCCTTGTCAGAGATCATGACAAACGCTTTTTTCTTACAGGTTGAACCGGCAAAATACAACTTATCAATTCAGGTAACAGTAACTCCTGCCCTTTAACGAGATAAGTTAATAACTAAACAACGATGAGGCCTTTTTTACAAACCATATAAAATATATTAAGGAAACAGATGTCTTAAAAAGCTGATGTAGTACGTTTTTGTGATCAAACTTGTTGAGTGCGTGTCTACAATACCATGAGTTGATTGGAGGCCCTTAAAGTAACTGCGATGACCAAGTTTAAATTGTCAAGGACGTTGATGTCATGAGAGAAAAAAACCCGGTGAAAACTCATCGAAAACTCGCTCTATAACTGATTTGTCTATGCGGACGACTTGCTTTCAACCAACACTTTGTCGGGTGGATTAAGACTAGATGTTTTCTTTTTTAATGCTGAGTAGTATAGTAGGGAAGGAATAAACACATTTTTTTGAAGCGGATTTTCCTTGGTTTGAAGTGGAATGAATAAACACCGATGATGTCACAGCCCCTTGCCTTTATCTCATGAATAAAATGAGAGAACCTAATTCACCTTCTGAGCGTCAGCTTTCTCGTGAAATGTCACGTGATGTTTGTAACCTCTGCTGTAAAAAGAGGTTTTGTCGTTTCACGAGCTAAACGCGAGCCCGAGTCAACTACTTGCCACTAGTCCACCTAGAGTCAAGCCCGAAATGTTAACTTTTTTTCACTTTCAAGTTCTCATGGCCACAGAAAAGCAATTAACACTTTGATCTTCGGTCGGTCTTCGTAATTGTAGTTTAATATATATCACTCGAAGTGAAATGGCTTCATACGTACGAAAGCCGAAGAGGGACTCCCCACTTCCCGTTTCGAACTTCAGACTTCGGACTCAAAATTGTGCGTACCTCTGGAAAAATCCCGGCTACACCCCTGGTAACGCAATGATGCAAGTTCTACTTCCTGCCGAAATTAATGTCCACTGCAAACAATAAATTGTTTCAGTTCCGCCACACTAATTCTTGGCACATAAATCATGTATTGTTATGAAGTCAAAGACAGACGACTGACTCTTGAGGATGAAACGCAATTTACTTACCCTCCCCCCTTCCTCCTCAATTTTTGGATTTTCCCATCATAAAGAGACAGAGTTAATGTATTCCACCACAAAATAAGGAGATTACACAATTCGTTCCCTACTATACGACTGAGATGCCTTTAATTTTCCTTTTGCCTGTTTGTACTTTCCTCGACCACACCTTCTGCCCCCAGCTCTACAAGGGTGAGAACCAATCATAACTTCAATTAACTGGCATCTTTTGTTGATAGCAATTTACAGATTATCTAACATCAAATTGGAAAAATGACCAACTGGCCACAGCAAGGGTTATCATGCGATGGTTGGCTTCTCTGAAGCCGGATCAACTTAAGAAACTAAACTGTTCTGATCAAAACAGCCTCCTGGCAAAGCTTCAAACAGAGATCAACACAAACATCTTTCTGGAAGTTTGTCTGTAAGTATTAGATGAGTTCAGTAGAACATGTTGCATATGAGAAACAAAACTCCTCTCTGCACTTCTGCAACTGAATAAAGTGTCCTATTTTTTTCTTTTTCAAGTTGGTGCCAAACGCGCGAAATCACCAAAAATACTCTAACGCTGAGTACCTGCGCAAGCATATAGGAAAAGAAGTCCTCGTTTCTAGTGCCTTCCACGAAGCTCGTACGTTTTGCTATCCCAATTACTTGCAGTCTAGGTCTATGCAGGCTGCATTATACACTTTACGCTCGAAGTGTATCTTTTACATTTTGGGTTTGTTGGGATAGACAAAAGTATTTTCAATAACCTAACTTCTTCAGTGCAGGCAAGTGTTTCGCACTCTGCCTGCCTTTATTGGTTTGTGTTGTGTTTTATGCTTCAGCGTACTGGAGAAAGAAAATGATTTTCTTCGTACGAACGTAGTGAGGAAGACGGAAAAAAGGATTTCCAATAACCTAACTTAGTACTTCTTTGTAAATAATTAAAGAACACTATAAACGTTTTTTCTCTGCAACTAGGGTTTCCTTACACAAATTTATTAGCCCGATTTCATTTTTCAGATGTGCTGGAATTCAAGCGGAAAAAATATTAGGCTATGCAAAACATGCAAGACTCGAAATCGGAGAAGATCCTTCCAATAGTTTACATTCATGGATTGCTCTAGTGATCAACCAAGAATGGCGACTTGTTGACCCCCGTTGGTGTTCGACTTCCGTGACTGGTCTGGGAAACGCTGGGTGGTCTCTCGTGGCGCATGATGTTGGCGCTGGTCACGAGAACGAAGAGGAGAGAAGGGTTTATAGGTTAGACGAAAATTATTTTCTTACAGATCCAGAGGAGTTTATCTATTCCCACTACCCCAAAGATGGTGACGCTTGGCAGTTTTTAGCACGGCCAGTAACATTCAGGGAGTTTGTGGACATGGCATACTTAAAACCAACTTTTTTTAAGCTCGATTTACGGTTGCTTGAGCAACGGAAATGCGTGTTGGCTGCACCTGAAGGAGAAATTGAGTTAAAAATTGGAACACCGCTAAACGCAAGTAGAGAGTTTAGGTATCAGCTGTGGATGTCAAACCAACAGGAAATCGATAATGTAAAAATAGAAAGATACTGTCTAATGGAACAAAAAGACAACACGTTAATTTGTAGGATTCGATTTCCTGTCGAGGGGATGTTTAAGCTCAAACTGTTTGGGAGAAGTGCTGGAAGTGGTAGCGAGTACGATTCTTTCGGCATGTTGTGTGCTTTCATAATCCATTGCGACAAAGCAGCTGAAGATGCTAAAGCTCTTCCCGAGAACACGCGTCAAGAGTGGGGGCCTGGAAAGGACTTAGCTGATGCGGGGCTAGTTCCAGTGACTCACCAGGATGCGGTGATTGAAGCTGACCAGGGCGCAGTCGAGGTTCGCTTTCAAACAAAAAAACCAGTAGAACTGCGGCATACCCTTCATAGTGAAAACAAAACAAAAGAGGACCTGCAAGGTAATGTTGTACACTACATGGAAAACGATGAAGTTGTGTTCAACATTCAGTTACCTGAAGACGGGAACTACGCTTTGAATCTCTACGCCAAAGGTGAAGGTCAGGAAAAGTCATTGTGCAGTTATGTGGTCGAGAGTAAAGACACCGCACAGGGTAACCAGGGGTTCGCTGTAGTTCCTGATGGTCGTATTGGTCTCTCCCCAAATGACAACGTCGGTATCAAACTCATATCACACAATTCACCTATTATTCAGTGTTCAGAAGATGGTTCCCTGCAGCTCAAATTCATGACCTTAAAACAATGTGAAACGCTTACAGAGTTAGAACTGGTAACAGAAGAAGGGAAAATTCTGAAGGATGGTTTCGTGTGGCCTGAGTATGACGACAGTAACAACGAAATAACCTTCAAAATTAATTTTCCCGAATCGGGAAGATATGTTTTTAATCTGCATGCGAAAGAGGTAGGCACCGATGGAAGTTTGCCTTTGGCTTATACATGCGTAATCAGGGTTCCGACAGCCAAAATGAATTGTGTTCCGTTTCCGTTGAGGTGTAGTGCTTGGGGACGCCAATTCAGACTTGTAGAACCTGTTACAAATGTCATCCCATCGGAATCTACTGTTCGCTTTGTTGTTGATGTACCTGACGCTCATCATGTTCTTGTATTAAGCGAGCCGAATAATAGGACGCCCTTGCAGAGGAATGATTCAGGTTTGTGGCAAGCGGAAGTGCGAACAGGGGAAGGAGATCGTGAACTGGAACTGAAAGCTAAGATAAAGAAGGATTCCAATTTATACGCTCCCCTTCTTAAGTTTCAGGTACGACAATCAAATAATAGTTTTTATAGTGCAACTCAACATGTTTCTGAGACGGGAACTATTCTGTTCAAAGCAGCGTTCACATTTGGTGCCGATACTCCCTGCTAGAGTAAGAAGCTGGCTGGGTACTGATGTAAACACACACTTTTTTAAACTACCCACGCTGTCGGCGCTCAAGTACAGGGGGGGTCAACGCTTACGCGAAATCGGGTTTAAGATACCATTTATGAATCAAAGGGGAAGAGTTTCAGTTGTCAGATTTAACAATTGAGGTGATCCCGCGTAATTCTCTACCTTTCCTTATCCTTAATGTTAGTGACATTCAACGTTTTTCAGTTAACAACAATATGTGCCTTAATCCTCGTTTTAGTGCAACTCCGTGTTGCCTTATTTTGTTATAATAGTTGCGCGCCACGCCCCATCGTGGAGTAAGTGTTCCCCTTCAAGTTACTTGGGGTGTTCTTGTCGGACGGCACACTATGTAATGAAAAAATCCAACCCACGATTGTCCGCTTTAAGTTAACTTAAGAGGTGTGGCGTCCCTTCAGTGGACATAGTGTTGATTTACTGTTCACTGGTAAGATCTATAGTAAGGTATGTTTCAGTAGTATTTGCAGATCTTTCAGCATATCTCTCTGATTCACTAGAATCTATTCAGAAGGGATTTCTTGCAGTAACGCATTGGATAAGGCAGGGCCAGTGCCTCTTTCTAAGCCCCAAGCCAAGGCCTGTATCGGCTTCGAACAGAAAATAACCCGAGTAGCATCATCTACAACCTCACACACCAAAATGTAATGCAGTCCAATTCCCATTACCCTGAACCGTGGTCAGGTAGAACCAAGTACCCATAAGAATTGAAAGACTCAAGAACTTTGTAACCAGGCATGAAGTAACAGATAATGAAGATCTTCTTATTATAATTATTTTATTAATTTGTATATTAGGCACGTATAATATCTATTTATTAAATTGCAATCAGTTAGACATTCAGTCATAGACTGCGAATGACTTGAATAAACTATATTATTGTAATTATCATCCATCATTATTATTATTTTTATTATTATCATCATGCTTAATTTTTAGGTCGAGGAAAGCGAGGAACTCAAAAGGCAAAAGGAACTGCGCCGACAGAGAGAAGAGGCTGAGAGACGGGAGGAAGAGGCGAGAAACGAGATGATGAAAAAAATGATTGAAAAAGCACGAAAAGGTAAGCTCAGTCAACACCGATTTGATGAATTCTATGCATTTACAAAATGTTATGGCTTGTATGCACTATGGAAATCAAGATTTAGTGCCTAGATTCCGCTTAGTAATCATGAAACATTTTAAAAGGCCTCAAGCGAGTTTGAACATCAGCTTTTGCAGCTGATATTCTTCGAATCGTGTAGGTAACGAATTCCACCGAAACAATCAAGATTTAGCAAGATTTGGATTAAAATATTTTACCACAATAAGCAGCAATTTCTCCTTTTTTTTCACTTGGCGTCAATTAATACCGCCCCAGGAAGCTTACAGGAAATTAAACATAGCTTTTGGCACTGATATTTCTGGAATCGTTTCGGAAACAAACAGGAGTTATGAATGGCTAACGGCTCGAGAGCACGCTCAAGCTATCGTTGGTGATACAAAACACTGGCTGTCCAGACTATCCCAAAAATGTTTTTACCAAAAATCGACACACAGCCTCCTTAAACTGTTAAACTGTTTTTCCGCATTTTCTGTCTCACACCAGTTTCACGCTTAAATTGACTGATTGACAGTCTCTTAGCTCTGGCGTTACCAGATTTAAGCGGGTATGGAAGGGACTGAAGATAGGAGATGAGGTACTGGGGAGACGTTTACTATGATTGGCAACTGTCCCTTAAATGCAATCCCTTAATTGATATAGACATCGTACAATGTGTTAGCTTTGACTCTCTGTTTTTATCGTTACAGACCTTCAAGCAGCCATGGATAGCAGAGACGTGCGGGCTTTACGTGCTGCTATCCGTGAAGTAGAAGAGTCGAACTTCATCTACGCCTTCACCTCGGAGGAGGTTGAGGCTGCGAAAAGGCTGCTAAAATCCCTTGAGAGAATCGAAGCATTAAAGGAAGCTGTAATGAAACTAAACCAAAAGACAATGCTAGAACTAAGAAACTACTCAGATCCACCAAAGCTAGTCCATCGAGTGATGAAGGCCGCACTTCTCTTGTTAGGAGATGAACTAAAAGTGACTACGGTGAGTCTGTGTACCTTATTTAGCCGAGGAACCGAACAGCATGGGCAGCAAACCCCTCTTAAGCGGTTTAAGTTTAAGATTCTACTCAAGATGGCAATAACAGTCAAAGAAACATGATAGGAGTAGCCTGTTGGGGAAAAAAAACAAACAAACAAACAAACAACGAGCGAGAGAAAAAGGAAGCCCCGCCCTCCTCCTTTTTGCGCCAGGTTTTCTTTTCGTTGATTGATTGAGGGCCTATCGGCTATAATGTTAGAACCCGGTTGATTACAACTACCGTAAACCATTTCTAGATATTATGTCAAACAGAAACATAGGAGTTTAGCAAAATCAACATAAGGCTTGAAATGTTCAATTTTCTGAATATACAGAAATGGAGTGAATGTCAAAAGCGTCTTAAGACGATTGGTCATAATGGACTGTTTGCACGAGTGAGAAAATTTGATGTTACCAGTATCACAGAAGAAAAAGCGTCCCAAGTCCTCAATCTGATTGGTCGATGCCAAAGAGAAAAAGCAGCTTTTGTCAGCGCTGGAGCTGAAACCTTCTATTGTTGGGTAAGTGAAGCAATACTATAAATGGGTAATAAGTCTGATTGTCTGATGAGTCAAAATCAGTCACTGTCTGTGTTTTGAGGCCTTCTGTAAGGCTACACTCATAAGAAATGTTTCCTTTTTAATGCAAATTAATTTTACCATTACAGCCAGTTTTTACTGTGAGATGTTAAAGTACAAAAGAAAATGGTGTTGTGAAGTCATCCTCATCTTGGAGTCACGAATGTGTTGCATGCACCCTCTCCACAGCGCCGTAAAAACGCTCTTACTGTAGCAGACCAGCGCCTGCAGTAGAAACTCCTATATGAGTTCCTGGTGCCTTGAAAAGTAGCCTATCACAGGCTTTTAGGTCGATACTGTAGCTGAGAGCGGCACCAAACGAAAAGCGGAGCGTAAATAGAAAACGCAGAAACGCTCCTATACTCGTCCCATTTCTTTTCTGCACCGTTCTCTGGGCCGTACCCATTATTTTAACGCCTAGAATTGAAACGTCTACTGGAAAAAAGACGAGTCAGATTAACTTAAATCAGTAGAGGTTAAGTTACTCCCAGAGTAGCTTAAAAATTAACCAATGAACTCGGTAACTTTGATACGTTACTGCTTATTCGTATTCAGTAGTGAACTACGCAAAACCTTTTACATGAGAAGATTAATTCTGCAAGAGTAATACGCAAGCTAATTTACAGAAAAAAAAAGAAGTTGTATGCTTCCCCGTGCCCCGTATAAAAGCGGTCATTTACTCGCATGTACTCGCGTATTACACTTATCAGACTTATGTAATTCGCATTCAACTTGTAGTACTGGTGTGGTATTTTAGCCATGATTACCAAATCAAAAGGTGGTACTCGACGAACTCGTATATTCGAATAGCGGTAAGTTGCCGAATAATTGCAACTTTTCTTCGGCTTAATTATTTTCTTTTCTTTGATCTTTAGACCATAGGAATGATAGAAGAATTTCGGATCGCAAATCCAACTGTGAAGTGTAAAACTCCTTCGACTGCATCAATACAAGAGGCGAAAATCTGAAATCTAGGCCATATATGACATCAAGAGAGCAAAACTACTGAGAGGAGTCATTAGACAGTTGTTAGCAAAAACTACACAGGCTAGTAGGAGTCGGGGAAGATGTTTTCATCAAAAAGAAATAAATCCTCGTCAGCATTCAATACAGTAACCACAGTGTTATGCAAAATAACTAGCCCTCCTGTTGTCAGTAAATGTGTCTAGTGGATCTAAACTTCAGGTATTCCATGACAAACCTGCCTGAAACTCCCATGCTCGTGTTTGGAGACTTGAAACTCATAGGTCTTGACAATAATGCTTGTAAACATCAGTGTGCAAATACTTTTTTTGATTAAAATAAAAAGAGTGTGAAACGATCATGTCATTTATTCCGTGAATTCAAGTTTAACATACAAATTAACTATTTATAAAGTAACTTGAAATAAAGTAAAAACAATGAGTTTTTAATATCCAGCCAACTTTAGTCAGAGACCTCTGCAGGTCTTGTGCAAGCTCTAGAATTTCGCATGTACAATGTCAAAAATCTCTACAGTGCAGGGTCGACGCAGTCAGCTTGAACGTCTACTCATAGGCATTCTCTATCCAAAACCGTCTATTTCTTTGCACTTCGTAGACGAAGGGACCTCTCCAGGGATCGTCAATGGTACTGGTCTCTTTGTTATAAACCACCCTGTCAAAACACATATTTGGGGGAGGTGTGACCGTTCTGGGTGTTGGAAACAGCATGGTGGGCTTGATAAGCCGAATGTCGTGCCGTCTCGTTTGCTGCTGTGCGTCGGCCGCCATGACAAGAATATCAGTGTTTCCGCCAAAGGAACAAATGCGTGAAAGATTTTCACAATTTCTTAGTAAGTTAACGAAAGCGTTCGTAACAGTTTCACACTCGCGATCTCGATAACCCGACAACTGTAATGCCTCAAGCTTATGACAGTACGTTGCGAGAGTATTGAGAATCTTGTCTAATCCAAACCCATTTGGTGGGATTGCCACGGGTATGGGCGGACGAACTAAAGGAGGATCATCTATCCCCGGGTAAGCAGAGATACCAAATCGTTTAAGATCTTCTAAACTTTGCAAACATCGCTCCAAACACCTAGCTGTTTGTAGGGTGATACCCACCAAAAGGCACGAGATATATGGACAGTTATGAGCGATTTGACAAATAAGGTCTTCGTTGGCCTCAGAGGTGACAAAACCGTCATCTAGGTTTAGTACCTGAAGAGATCTAAACCTCATCATGTCTGATAGAATGTTAGGGGTGACTGCAGAATTCTCACTGCAATTACTTAAATTAATATACACGGCGTCAGATAGGTTTGCAAATACCACTTTGAGGCCACGGGATGACACAAAGTAGCACGAAGAAAAATCAAGTTCTTTCAAGGTGGAATTTTTCCAATTACATTCGCGCAAACAATCATCCGTCACCCTTGTGTAGGCCAGTGATAGCGTCCTTAGCATTTTACAGTTGCGAAGAAGAACAGGTAAGGCGTATCCACTAACTTTGAAACATTTAATTAAAAGTAGCGATTCCAAACTAGGACAGCTGTTAGCCATTATTTCCACGTCCTCGTCGGTCACTTCAATGCAACGAGACAAGTCCAGCAAGCGAAGTTTGCTCAACAATCGTAGAATTTTTCCGTTCCAGCTGGATCCAATTGTTTCATCCACAGCTAGCATTTCAACATTTGGAGTGCAGCGTAGTAGGCGAAGGACAAAGGCCGAATTTCCACGTAACAAACGCGCGTCCAGCGTCTTTAAATTTCTAAGCGTATGCAGTCGAAATCGTCGTTTTTGACGCGCGAAGAAGCACTTCTGAAGTGTTAGCTCTCGGAGTTGTGTGCATATTCCAGATAGAGTGACCATAAACTCTGGGGTGAGGTTACACTTGCTAAGGTTCATTCTAGTTAGAAGGGAGCATGAGTTTTTCGTGATAATGTCCTTAACATCGTTTTCTTCCTTGCTCTCCAGCTCCATATGTTTCCACAGCGCTCCGTCGCGGCTTATTCTCAGCCATCTCTTACTGACCTGCGCCGCTATCGCAAGTTCATGCCTGGACAAGAAATTAAAAATGTGTAGAAGAACGCTGTCTGGAATGTGGTGAAAGTTTGTTTGCCGATTCATCTTGGTTTTGCGTGTTGCAGATAACCATACTTCCTCGACACCTCCATTAGAATCACGTCATAAACGACTTTTGTTCTTCTGCGCGCGAACTTGGTTTTACTTTGCTAGAGCGCGTTCATAAAACAAACTCAAGTCACCGTTAGCTTGGCTTAATGGTCATAGAACCCACAAGCCAAGAGAAAGGTACAAGAAGGCTGTGCCTATAACGCAAGAAAAGCATCCAAGTGCATGTGTACGACCATTCTCTCCGTTTTAATCAACCCTTCAAGTCCCAATGTCCACACAAAAGTTCTCCACACTGATTTCCGTAAGTTTTCTTACATACATACTATGCATACTTGCAACCTTTATTATTTCGTCCCCGAAGGAACTTTTCAGGAAGGTTATTTTTTTGAAAAGGATGTGCCATACAGTTTTTTTCAAACTTGGTGCAGTTGACAGCTATATATACGACCTTGAAAAACTTCAAGTAAAAGATGGGGTCACCGTAATTGTTGTCGCCCTGCATGCCCGTAATTCAAGGTGTTTTTCCCAGTTCCGTCAAAAATTCTTCTCATATAGCAAAGACGATGAATCTTACTACTAGAGCCTGTTTGTTTTTCTGGACTTTAATTTTTCAGTAAAGTGATCTCAAATTACCCACTGTTGCAAAAAATGTGAAAAAATGGACAGTTTTAACATTATCTCATGGCGCTAAATGTGTCATTCATGTCATTCATTTACTATCCAGATTATTTTCCTTCTTATAATCTTTTTTTCTTGTAGCCATAACGAGTAAACAACACCAATAAAAAGAGGGGCTCACCGTTCTCGTTTCATTGCTAAAAGACAAAAAAGAGGACAGTTTCGGCTACAATTGATCATTTTGCGAGAGGGGACTGGGGCGATTTTTTTTAAAAGACCAGCACCTTTTTAGCCGGAAGGAGAATTCACAATCGCTATTAAAACCATTTACACTATACCCTGGGCGCCAGAAGCTCCTCGTCGCACGCGAGAAAGAACCTCTGGTACTTGGACTACAAAGAAGCCTTTGTTACCTGTTTTCTACCCTGGGTGTCAGAGGTTTTTCATGCCAGGTTTTCGGTCTGTCCGGTCTGGGTTTCGGCGAGAGAAAACGTCTTGAACCAGGGTACCTCTCTTCGGGTGAACGATAGAAATCATCTCCACCTTTGATGTCGCAATGTTATGGGCAGTAGGTGATGGGCGATAATGTTATTCTAATGAAAATTTTCATAAAACTTTCTCTTGACTGTGTTGGTATTTTGGGGAGAAAATCGGACGTTGGTCACACTTGGAGCTTAATCGGTGCCGGATCCAGACCCTGAGATAAGCGGGGTGCTCGGCCTCCAAAAACCTTTTTTCGGGCCTTCGGGCCTTTGGTCTAAAAATAAGGGAGGAGGGCCTCCTCTGGATCCGCCACCGTTAATGGAGTAAATGCAAAACAGGGAGTTCTTTTTCAGCGATTTACCTTCAAGCCTTCGGCTTATAAATTGCAATTTAATGTAAATTTGCTTATTGTATCTTTTTCCACTTTTTAAATTCATGTAAGTTTTATCCGCAGTAAGCAAAAATTTGTAAGCCCAGCCCTATACCAGAACAACATTATAATTTCAGGTATTATTGATTTATAGATTTTCAGTGTTAATTTAGTAATTACGGAAATTCGTTTCTAAGTGTGACGTTTTCACATTAAAGATATACCGTAATTTAAAAGATATGTCTACGAAACTAAAAGTTTTTTTTTTAAATTAGCGATACGAATTTCAAGTGGAGATATCAAATTCCAGTAATATAAGAGACTGGCTGGAGGTATCAATTTTTACTTTGAAACTTGAAATCATTATTTTTTCAAATAAGTCCTTTTAAATACATCTGTCCTGATTAATATTATCCGGCACCCTTTGACGTACATGTGTGTCCATGTGAGTAGGATTCAACTGAAACGATACAAATAATGTAAGGTAATGTTGCACCCGGGGGGACATACTGTCTTATATAAGCTCAGTACATCGGTATGTATGGCGCCAAAGGGCATGTTTTTACCTCTTTTGATCTAAAAATGGGTAAAGATTATACATTTGGGGCTGAAGTGGAGTAAACTTTGGCACTAACTGGAACCAGGGTCTGTCTTTTATCATTCCTCTTCTAGGATAGCAAATAAGGTGTAAATTGGGGTAAAGATTTCAGAAAGCACAACGCATATCCCCCTCCGTATTTTCCAAAACACCCCACCCCCACCCGCACACGCCACCCGGATTTTCCATGAGCTCCCCCACCCCCGGGTGTTGAGCCCACTTAATGAAGATCGTTTCCTTGTGATGGTCAATAGTCTGCGTGGCGCGCGCAACAGAACGCAATGGGTGCACCCTTCAGGTTTTAGGAAGCACACCGCACACACCAACCATATTTTCCATGAGCGCCCCCCCCCCCCCAAACCCCCGAGTGTTGAGCCCACTTAGCAAGGATTGTTTCCTGGAGATGGTCAATAGCTTGCGAGGCGCTCGCAGCAGAACGCAATGGTCGCGCCCTGCAGGTTGCAAGGAGCACACCGCACACGCCACCCGGATTTTCCATGAGCTCCCCCGGGAGTTGAACCCACTTAGTAAAGATCGTTTCCTTGTGATGGTCAATAGTCTGCGTGACCAACACAACGCAGCGGATGCGCCCTTCTTGTCCTACCGCACTTTATTAACACCCCTCCCGTTCCCCTCAAACGCCTGCACTTCGTCATCTTTTGTGCACATTAGCCATATCTTGGTGTTTTAGCTTTCTTTTTCAAGCCGCGGGTTTGTGATATAATAGTAATGTATGTTTCGGTTCAATTTTGTACATGGGGACTTCAAGGAAGCGTGGAAGGGTTTCTGCTTCTTAGGTTCGTCATGTGTGCATTTTTTACGTTAAACTGCGAGCAGTCTTTTATTTTTCTTTGCAAAGTTACTGCAATCGCGCTAGATGAGATAAGAACTGGACGGATTTTAAGAGAAAAGGCGGACTGCAAGTAGTCTATTTTTACGTCAAATTTTCAAGTATAGATAGTTTTTTGGGGGTTTTTCCACACCGCCCACTTTCACTTTCCTTATGGTCCGTCCCTTAAATCAATTTTTATTTTTCATTGTTTCTGTTCATAACGAGTTTACAGCAAGAGTATAAAACTAATAAGGAACCACGCAGACTAAAGGCATTAATTTTCTCCATTATTCTTACTACATCCCATTACGCGTAACGCATTGAGATCGCATAACTTCCCAGACTCTTCCCATATCCCGATTTAGCATTAGTGAGGACAAACGATGCTGAGAAGGGAGAAATGCTGAAGTTACAATCTCTGTTATTTCTTAATCCCAGTTACAGTGAACGTATAGCAATAGTAAATGTTGTTGCTGAAAACGATTATTTGAAGGTCGATTATACAGGCCAGGTCGGGTTGATTGGCTAGCCGGTATAAGATAAAGTAAACAAGGTCTATAAAGTTACTGTCCCATACGATTCACGCAAAGTAGGGAAGAAAAATAGCACATCAGTCAGTACAAATCATATATATTTTTTTTCATTTTACAATGGAGATTTGAAATTCCATTTTTTCAGCAAAACCTTTTCGCGGTTGTGATTAAAATTCCTGGAAATCTCCCCAGATTTTTTATTCTAGGATTAGTATGAGTCCTTCAATATTGGTGCTGTGACACCTGTTTACCCATGAATATTGATGTATTTTCTCCCACGTGCTACTCTAAAACCAAAGCTCAAACTTGTAATAATCAAAGGTTAGGGAATGCAGGTAAGATCGATGCAATATTCTTGCTCCAACGCTGTCCTTTGCGCAAATTTTCCATGTTAAAAGGTCAAGGCGCGCGTGATCAGATCGCGCTCTATGCCTCTCATTCGTTCTTAGTGGAAGTCGAAGTATACGCTGGCTACATCCATTCTGCGCATGTATGCATAATAGCTACCCGGAAATGAGGATTGTGGGCTCCTCTAATTGCCCACGAGGGTCACAACAACAACGGTTCAGAATTTTCTAAAGCGTTGCTTTAAACGCAAATATCTTTCGTACCAAATTGACATATACGACGTATTAGAAGAGGTAGATCGCTCACTATTCAAGGAGATCTCCAGTATGCCCGGCTAGCCCCTTTACCCTTCCGTCCCCAAAACAAAAGAAAGTTCAGCGCGCCTCCGAGTTCCTAGCAGTCAACTCCCTAGGGTTAATTCCCAGCGTTTCAAAAATAGTTTTTTTAATACGTCATTTTTCAAATATAGAGTAGCTATTTAATATAATATAGATATTGAATTTTAAACTCAATGCTTCTACATGGAATTTTAAAAGCCTTGTAATTCTTTTTGCTGTTTTTAATGTAAGTGTTCTTGGTTTTTAGCATGCATTTTTGCTTAAAAACCAATACAGACCTTTATTTATTATTTATTTATTATTAAGGTGGGGGAAGGGGATGGTATTATTGAACTATTATTTTTTCACCTAAATACCCTTTACCCCATTAATTTGAATACTAAATATCACTGTAAACCGAAGTACATATACTACTAACGACGTCATTTCAGGTAAGATCAGAGAATGGTTTTTATTGGAGGAGCGACGAGGCGAGAGGAAATTTAAGTTTCAAAAAGCCAATATTGCCAATTTTGACCAAAAAAATATAACCAACCATTTCTGTAAGCCCCTTCTCACTTTGTACAATTTTCAGTTATCATATGAAGTCATTTAAGTTATCAAAATCTGAACGTTTTGTTGCTTAGTTGTTTTTTTCCCCATACTGAACCAGCAATCAGCGACAACATTAGCTGAAACACTTTGCACTAAAGGGCCTACCTGACGTTTTGCCACTTCTTCTTTGCAATGTCCGCCACTGTTCAGGCACCTTTAGGAAACAAACCACCACCCCTACTTTGAAGGGAGGGGAGGGTGAGGGTGTGGATTGTTCTGTTCTTCGAAGTTACCCCATTTGAGGACAGTGTCCCCAAAATTTTGTCACTGACTTTGTATCCTACATTATAAAATAAAATTTTAAAGGTTTTTACTGGCAGCTTGAAAGCATAACAAGTTTACATTGTTATTACCCTATGTGGACTATAGTAAACTCCCGCTTATCAGATCTCCCTCCCCCTGGGTAGTTATAGGACCATTTACCTATCAAAAACGTGCATCCAATCATAAGCCCCTCCCTCACTAGTATTGAAATAGATTCGATTTATTATGACGTTCTGAAGTTTACTTAAATACCAGTAAAGTCAAAACGTATTTTGATCAGCACCGCTTCAGTGCTAATTCTATTCCAGTTATAACCGCCCTCGGACGTAAGCCTTTCCGTTAATAGAGAGGTTGAGCATCACTTTTACGTCAAACGCGAATTTGTGCCACGTCACCAAGTTTCCCCATTACTTGTCGTTTACTGTTCATTATTATGACACATAAATTAGTAGTTTCACCGGAATTTTTATCCTTAAGAATAGTTTTGAGCTGTTTTTATCGGTTCATTTTCTATTTTGAGAAATTCTCAACTTGAATCTGACGTTTGCCGTTTGCTAAATAAGCCCAAAACCCCTTACGAAGATTTATAAGCCTAGGGCTTATAAGCGGCAAGTCATGGCACTTTGTTATACAGTATAAATTATAGTAGTTCTTACTGGCAGCTCATAAGCATTAGAAGTTGAAACTCTTAATATAATTACCCTACATGTAATTGTACATGTTTCATATCTCAAGATGTGGTATGCAGATTTTCCTGTGATTTCCGTATTACTGGTATAGTCCTCCTACGATTTGATTGCCTGAAGGGAAACTTACACCTCAGAGTAACAACAAGGAAAATTATCCAGGTACCAAACAGCAATCCAGCCAGGAGAAAGAAATAGTAGTCTAAGTGGTTTTTAAGAGCTTGTGGACGAGAAGTCATATTGCCCAAATGAGGAGTCCAGCTGTGCTTTCCTAAGGAGCAGAGCTCATACAAAGCACCGCCAAGCAAGCTGCCAATAGACTGGACAAAAAAGAACAGTCCCATAACTAAACTTTGCATGGTCTTCGGTGCTTCTCTGTAGGCAAACTCTAGGGCTAAAATACAATCAATATTACTGACTTTGTTTGTGGCAACTAACTCTTTACGAGAACTCTGTCAGCAGCGTTAGCAGGCTTTCAAAATTTAATGAAGAAAGGTTAATTTCCAACTTAAGTTTAACAGCGTGAAAGGTTTGAACCCAGGAGTCATTTCAAAAGTCAGTGAAGCATGATCGGGTGATCGTAGTCCTGAATAGGACTGCTGTTGACTTTTTAACAACCTGTGCGGTAGGGTGCGGTGGTCAAAGTGAGTTGTATCACGTCAGTTAATGGTATCAAACTCGCGTTATTGACTTGATTGGTCAATATAGTCGCGATGTTATTGGTCGTCTCTCAGATAAGCTGTGATGTTATTGGCTATGAAGACTCTTAAATGCCGATGGTGTGTTTCGATCCATCTTTTTTGTCACAGTTTAACAGTTGTTTATTGTTAGTTTAACATTTGGTTGTTTTTGATGGGAGGTGGGTAATGTTGGCTGTTTTGCGATCGAGAAAGAATAGCAGAAGCATCAAAATTTTTATGCTGAGAGATAATTTAAGAACGGGTGTTTGTCCAGCAAGGATTTCAACCTACGTGAACTCTATCTACAGGCAATCCATCAAAATAATAAAACAGCCACATGGGAAAACGATAAATACTTACCAGCAACACTTGCAAAAACCTCGCTTACTCCAATGAGTCCGTACTGTGGAATTTGGTAGTAGATGGACATACAAGCAGTGTAGTTCACATTAGCAATAGTTTGAGTCACACAATGATGATCATCATTACGTCTCTTAATCTCAACAATTCCAGCAACCACCATTGAACCAACAGCAAACAAAAAGCCTGAAATGTGAAATGCAATAATCAATGACATGGTACTTGTAAAACATCTTTCATCTCTCATAAGAAGGAGAGCATTGAAATGTTGTAATAATAATAAAAATAATAATAATAATAATAATAATAATAGTAATAATTAACAATTATTCCTCGAGCCTGAATGGGCTCTGAGTCAACGGGCTATTGACTCAGAGGCCACGAGGGCGAGAGGAATAATTGCTTTAGTAAAATCCCACTAGTTGGTCAAAAAAATCGAGACAAAACAACTTTACCTAGTTAAAGCTAGACTTAAATCCCTTTTTTTCTGCCAAAAAGCCTGCACTATTCGCTACTAGTGGGCTATAACGTATAGCCTAGTAGTACCTCAGCCAATCAGAATGCAGCATTGTTAATAGACCTCTAGTTGGATTTTACTAATATAATAATAATAATAATAATAATAATAATAATAATAATAATAATAATTTTTTTTTTAAATAAAACAAAACTTTATTCATAGATTTAAAAAAAAAAAAAAATAGACTATTTACAGATTCAAAAATATGAAATATTAAAATATATACCCTATGTACATTTTTCTTGTCTACGAAAGAGAATTGTTGTAAAATGAATATCTAAAGACTACTAATAACAATTATAAAAAGCATCAAAAAGTTGATAAAAAAAAATAAAAATAATAATAATAATAATAACAGACTCTATATGCCAAGAGAAAAAGGTGGACAGGGTTTAATAAGTTGTAAAAGATGTGTCCAGAGCAAAGATAGCAGTGTTGGATGGTACGTTAGGAACAGTAATAGGGGGCAGTTGCTAGAGACAGCGAAAGCATCAGGAGTGGTAGATGTAGAAGCTGCTGTAAAAGCAGAAAAAATTTAAAAGGAAGAAGTAGAAGACAAGTGAAATCTTGGAGTGAAAAGAAAATGCATAGCCGGTTTTTGAGGCAGCTGGAAGAAGAGGGTGCTGACATCAACGGAATACGGAATTTGCTAAAAAAAAGCTGATCTTAAATCCAGCACTAAAACTCTCATCCGTGTGGCCTAAGAAGAAGCCTGGAGGACGAATTATGTGAAGTTTCAAGTGGACAAGAGTATGGAATCTGCATTGTGTAAAATGCATCACGAGAGAGGTAAAAGTGTTAGACATGTCATTGGTGAGTGCGCCAAACTCGCGCAAACAGAGTATAAGAAGAGACATGACAATGTCTCCAGAATGATTCATTGGGAATTATGTGGTGTGAACGGGATGGGCATAGCAGATAAATGGTATGAGCATCAGCCCCAGAGTGTGTTGGAGATGGATAAGATTCACGTGTTGTGGGATTTAACATACAATGCGACCACAAAACAGAGGCTAGAAGACCAGATATTGTAATTCTGGGGAAGGAGGATAGAGTCTGTAAAATAATTGACATTGCTGTACCAGTTGGTTGCGAGTTGAATACATGGTAAGTCCTGAATAAGTCGCTTCAGAATATTGGTAAGGGTAAGACCAGGGCATGTGCAGAAGACCACATTACTAGGAACTGCAAGAATACCACAAAGAGTCCTTGAGATGTGAAAGATGGCCAGACCCTTGTGACCCGCGGTTACTAGCTGTAACGCACTCGAAGGGAATTTTTTTCTGGTTGACCATCAAAACTGAGTAAGTGTACATGACTATAACAATAATAATTAATAATATTAACAACAACAACAATAATAGTAATAACCATAACTATAACAAAATTGTCAAATCTGATTGGTTATCAACTGCCCTGATTTCAGCCTTAATTGGACAGTTTAATATGACAGTACGAGTCATGCCTAAGTAATTCGACAGTACGCGCCATCACGCGTGCGCTTAAATGGCTTTTTTTTTCACAGCTAGCAAAACAAAATTTCGAATTTCTTGTGTTTTGATTTAAAAAATAGCCTATTATATCACAAATTTTGTTAAAGTTATGATTAATTGGTAACAGAACTTCGTGTCGTTCAATTCGGTCAGTAATCATGCTCGTGATTAAACAAATCGGACTCCCGCGATTTTGTTAATCACTCCTATGATTACAGACTGAATTGGACTCCACTCAGTCCTGTTACCATTATGAATAATGATGGTGATAAAGATAATAATCATAATAATAGGAAAATATAAAAAATGCCACTATCTCTGCTAGGCTCTGTAGACATGTGACTGACAATGGATAATGATAGCTGGAAGTTACTGTTGGTCTTGAATATTACTCCACCACCCTAACTTGGTCAGGGTGAAAATGCATCCGACTAGTGTCCCTTTTTGTGGGTTCTAATTGCAATTACCATCTGATGATGATGTACAATTTTATTATCATGATAATAATAATTAAAACTGTAACAAACTGTAGAAGAAAATCACGGAAGACAGGGAACTGTGATTCATAATGCTGAGAGTCACCAATGTTAAGTGGCAGAGATTTGTTTTACTTTATCCATAATATTAATACAGTGTTGTTTAGAACTTGTAATGTTCAGTAAGAAAACAAACAAACACATACGAAACTCCACACATTTTTATGGGTTTGGCCTTGTTTCCAGAAAAGGCAGGTCCTCACAGGGCCTCACTGAATATCACTCTTTGTGAAGAGAGCTCCTCGTATAAAGATTGTTATTATTACTATTATTATTATTAGATGCAAAAGATAAGGACCACAGATGGTTTACCAATCGAAATTCGAGTGAAAATGCTCAAACCCCATCCTTTTCTATCCAGCCAGGGATAAACCAGCTTGTCCATGATGGGAATCAAGATCAGAACAAAAGAGACATCTACCAGAGTCAGCCACGCAGGTATAACATGAGCCTCATCGATGTCCTCTGTCATATCATGTGGGTCAAAACTTAGTCTCATGTGGAGTCCTTGAAGCAGAAAAGTGGAATTCATCTAGAACATGTAAAATGATGTACTGTTTAACTGGATGTTAGTGATCAGAGTACATTGTAGTTAAGATTAGAAATAGGTTGATCAAGGGACATGACAAGGAGAAACTCAGACTTACTAGAAGGTCATGTTGTTGGCTCAGTTTACTAACCCACATCTACGTAAGAGGAGCCTCAGGGCTGTGCTCCAGTGGTGCCCTGTGGCCTGTGGTGCCGAGAACTTGTGCTCTTGGATGACTAGGAGGTGACTACTTTTTTTATGAAAATCAATAGCTAGGGGACCCTGGATTTCACCAGTTCAGAGCATTGGGCTGCCTTATTGGTACTTAATTTCAGGGGTACTTAATTGCATGATTTTGACAAGACAGTATTTTACAGGGTTTTCGCAATCTCAATCGTTAAATATGAAAAAGGGTATTAAATTTTGTGACTGAAACGTTCTCAACTTTATCTCAGTTTTCAGAATCTCTAAACTTTTAAAAATTTCTAGGTAAATCTTTGCAAATAAATGTTATTTCACAACAGAAGATACAAAATGGAACTTACCAGTGAAACCAGTTTTGTGTTTTTTGTTCATACACATAATGTTGTTGTTATACGTTTCTCATTATTTCTATGATTTGAAAGTTCTAAATGGGTATAAAAATTTACGCGGATTTCTATTTATGAACCGTCTTGAATTTTGTGAATTGAAAAATGCAAAATCAAAGATCCGCAAAATTAGGTGGCAGTAAGGTAATTTTCCTTAATAAAACCTTAACAGCTTGCACAAAATTTAGTTCTCCATTCATTTCTTTTAAATAAGGAGCCACACTAGCATGTACATTGCCTGACATGCAACTTTATCAAACATTCTACTGACGAACTATGGAAAACGTTATTTCTCAAAAAACAAAGGCTGTTAATCCTAATGGTAATGAGAGCTGTTACTTTCAAACTTTACGGAATCCTCTTCTCTGTAGGTAAAGCAAGAACATTGAAAGACAACTTTAGGCCAATTTATGTGCATCACCCATTAGCAGTTAATTTCCAACACTGCTTTATGGCAAAAACAGTTCAGAACGTTGTTGAAAATTATGTCACTGGCAATTACCTGAAAATAGATTGTCCAATATGGAATAAAGATGGCAAAAATGATCATAATTCTACCGATTGTCTTGACTTCCTCCACATCAGTATCCAAATAAGTTCCACCATATTTCATCATGGCATGATCCAGCCAGCTCTTTGTAGTGGGCATGTACTCCTGTAGGCCTGGGTAAAATTGAGGGCTGTTTTCCCTAAAATGGTACAAAGAAAACAGCTGCATTGAAAAGAATGGTTCTCTTGAGAAACAAATGTGGGAAAGTATAAGAGTGAAGGATATACAGTGACACCTCTATTAAGCGCGGACACGGACACTAAAATAAATTGTATTTGGCTAATTTCTATTGCTAATAACCTCTATTAAGCGGACACTGGACGGAATTGACAAAAGTAGTATTGGATTACGTCCTTGAAATACGTACTGTAGCTGATTAATAAAGATAAATCAATGCATTAAGCTGTCAATAAACCGTAGATTAGACCGAAAGTCTTCCACAAAGTACAGCACAGCTTCCTTAACAACATGGAACTTTAGTCGATTAACAAAGATAAATCAATGCATTTAGCTGTCAATAAACTGTAGATTCGACCGAAAGTCTTGCACAAAGTACAGCACAGCTTCCTTAACAACATGGAACTTTATCACAGTACAGAGTAAGTGTCGAAAGTTAATAGTTTACAAACATTGCACAATTTTTACAGACCTCTATTAAGCAGACACTTGGGAAGGCCCGTGAAGGTGTCCGCTTAATAGTGGTTTCACTGTATTAGCATACACAAAGAGAAGATTGAATCTTTCAGGCATTTTGCCTTGGGCACCAGAATTCAGAGGTTTAAGACTTCTGAGCTCCCAAGAAGTTTCCTCAAACCCCAACCTTGTGAATAGACAAAATGCTAAATGAGGTGTCAAGGGATTGAGTTGTTTGACAGAGAGTTCTTTCCTAAACTCCCCATAAGAAATAACCAGAGGGACAGAAAGGGTTGGTTTCGAGTACCAAACCAACATAATACTGGTGGGTATGTTGAGGTAAATATTGCTGATAATTATAATTTTTTTTTTTGGTTTGTATGATGATGAATAATTATGAGATTTATTACATCATGTTTGAAACCACCAGTGATCCTTGCAGTTTTGATTGGCTCTCACTAGTGTAATTTATTCATGAATTCAACTATTTTTTTGGCCTAAATCAAATCTTCTTTCCCAGCCAATGAAAATTGAGTACTAAAACAAACAAGAAAAAAATGAAGATGAAATGATGAATATATGAATTTCAGATATTTGAATTGTGGAATTAAGAAATAAATGTAAGGGAAATCTTCACTGGAAGGATTCACTGAAATTTATTTCTTGACAAGTACTAATCCATGTATTCATTATTTCAATCAGAGGTCAATTTAATGTCAGTTTAATAAAACTTTTACAAGTGTAGTTTGCAAGCCTAGCTGATGCTTTAAGACTCAAAAACAAAGCTATACTTGTAAAAGTTTATTAAATTGACCACAGTTTTTATGACTTGTTCAAGGAACCAATCAAACAGTCATGTGTTTTCTTTGTTTTGCTCAAATTAATTTTTGTCACATGACATCTATTAAAGGCTTTCTGTTTTGTACACAAACCAGTTACTGGAACAATATTATCAAGTCACAAGAACAACATTACACCATTATCAAGTCACAAAAGACAACATAAGCAGGTGGAGTATGTTTGTCCAGTTGTGGATAACAAGGCAGTCACTAAGGGCTGAGAGGTGGGGATTCCCCATGGCTACTAGGAGCATCTCCTCTTGCTACTTTTATAAGGCCACTTGCACTAAGAGGTCACATGACCAATGCTTCATTTAAACAATGAGTTGGAATCTTGCTGATACCAAAAATTGACAGAGCACATAAAAATAAATATTATCTTACACCCGCAATTTGAAAGGAAACGCATTGAAGGGAGGTATTTTATGGCACTTTGATTTTTCAACAAAGTAGTATGATTTGTATTGGCTGCTATATTGGAGGGCATACTCTTGCGCTCCAACATGGCGGCCAAAACTACTTTTTGCTGATACCTTGTTAAAAGTTTGATAGTTACGCTCAGATGTGCTGTAAACATTACCACATCATCTTTTCGACATTTTCCTTGAAGCATAAGTGCAAAATTTGCATTCAGAAAGAGGTAATTCATAATTTTAAAAATCACATTTTGGTCACGTGACCAGCTATGAACTTACTCAAATGTTTTGAAAATGACCCGCTAATTGTTTTTAAAAGGTTTGAAAAACCAAATCACTATTATTTTTGTTCAAATCCCCACCTACTAATGGATATGACCCTTTATTTTCTTTCACTGCTTTTTCAAAGGCAAAATCATTTATAAATTTGGAAGCCCACTTTCATTTTCATAAACATGATGTCACATGACCTCTCAGTGCAAAGGGCCTATTAAACCAAAAGAATTTCCTAGTTGTTCAAATCCCCACCTACTAATGGCAGATACCCTTCAACATGAAATCTTAGTGACAGCCCTTGTATAATCCTAAATGGGACTATTTTTGACAGTGACTGATATTTTGAGTCAAACCATTTAGGAGTGACCATTAAAAAAGTTATGCAGTAGATTAACACTTCAAATAACTATTCCTTTATGACAGTGAATTTTTTCTTCAGTCAAACCATTTAGGAGTGACCATTAAAAAAGTTATGGGGGAGTGGTGTGAGGAATTTTCAAGCCACATGAATTTTTCTCATTAACACTTCCTTTATGTGAAATTTTTTTTAGGGCCAGTGCATGAATATATGTTAGGGTTACATGGTGTGCAGGTAATTTTTTCCGCAAATATCTGTTTTGCACTTCACATGCCCCCTCCCCCATAGGTTTTGCTAATGGTCCATAAATGTTGCAAAAGAAAACAGTTTGTATCATGGATAAATTTAAACCACAGCAGAAGGGTATGCATATCTTTATAACATCACAAAGTAAAGCGTGTGCTCTTATTGGTCACTTAGCCATCCACCATTTGCCCGTTGGTGCATTCAAAGAAAAGCTAGCATGGTGAAATGGAGGCAAATTCAGTAAACTCCTCTCCTGTGCGGTTTAAAATGCACCGATGAAAATAATATACAAATGAAAAGTAGAAGTTGAAGAAAATACTCACTTTTTGTTTCAAAGAAAAGTGAAAAGATCAAGCAACAAATTTGCCCTGGAGAAAGTCGTCATTGTTTCCTTTGCAGCTGGGAGCTCAGAAGAACAACTGAGTGAGTGAAATTTTTTGAGGATTCAAGCTCAACATTTAAGGTACATTTTGTGTGTTTTAGAAGAGAAAGTCTGTTTTGAAATGGAAATGCATCAATTAGCACTGTGTTATTGACCTTTTAGTCAAGTTGCTGTTAAATTCAAGCAAATATTTTAGAAAACACGCTCAGATTCGAGACAGCTTTGTTGTGTACCTTTGATTGATTAAAAATTTTAGTTGAGTTACGGACACATTAGCTGGAATTGTAGAGCAAATTTCATTTGATTACAGAAACATTTGGGTTTTCAAATAAATTTTTCAAAAAATGACTGCTCTGTTTATTATTTTTGTGCGGGCAAATTTTTGCAATTTTGACTTTCAGCCCGATTTCCCCAGACAAATTTCGATACGAAGCCAGTTAATTTCCTTTTAAAATTAGCGTTACCTGTTATTCTAAAGGAAATACATACATACAGTCAATTTTTCTCATTTCTACGTTATGTGTATTGCAAACATTTTCACGCAATTATCCCCAAGGTGGGAGGGGGGTACTCTGGATTTCAAGTGACAGGGATGATTGAAGGATTTTTTTGGGTAGGCAACTATTTTTTTTGGTACATGTAGCTTGATTTAAGTAGGGATTTTTTGGGTCTTCAAAACAATCTGAAGATTTGTTATAGTCCCTGCGTATCCCAGCTGCGTAGTTCCACAAATAAAGTAAAACCAAAGTTGTTTTGTGACTACTTTAATATTTAATGCTTTACATTGCATCTTTTTCATAAAACCGGTTGAATAATATGAAGAATATGTTCTGTGTGTCTCAAGTGTTGTTACAATGACCACCAGATGCAAAAAAGGATCTTACTCCCGACAGTGTGACGAATAAACAAACACAAACATTGTTACCAATGTTCCTATTTTTCGTGTTATATCATTTAATGCTTCCTGAAAATTTTTATGGGTTGGAAATTTGGCATGGGATTTTTTGGGGGGTTAAATGTTAGCCCCAAGGATTTTTTGGGTTTTGATTTTTGCCCCCAATCAATCATCCCTGTCACTTGAAATCCGGAGTATCCCCCTGGGCAATTATCATTTTACATTGCATCGTTTTTTAGTTAGTGTTTATGTTTACAATTATAGTTTTCCCTCGAAGTATTTACCCTAATAGTAAGAGCAAGTAGACAGATACCATTTGGGATAACAAGAAATGTTTTTGCAATTTACCTTAACATGGAGAACAGTTGATTCAGCAAAAGAAAAACTCAAAAAACTATCTCAAAATTTTGGCAAGTATTTGAAATCAGAAGGCTCATGATTTGTTTTTTAGCTCTTTATAGCAGGACAGTAGCCAGAAAACCAGGCAGATGACAATGGGTTAACAACCAAAAAGAAAAACTCAAAGGCAAGTATTTGAAAGTCATGATTTGTTTATGCGCAGGCAGATGACAGCATACACCAACTCGTCTACAGTACCGATGACTGACTCAACCATAGGGAAATGGAAATGTTTTCTTTTTTGATTATGTTATAAAATAAATGGTAAACGTTGCAGCTGTGCGACTATCCAGAGATGAATGCCATTGGGAGGTTTACTAAGCACTCAACAAGCTAGAGTTGCACTCGGCTATTGCCTCGTGTGACTCTTACATGTCCACTTCTTTTGTGCTTAGCAACCTCCCACATTTACCCCTAACTTGATGGTTGCACGCTGCACATTTATCATTTCTTAATTATACCTCTTAGATGCTTCCTTTTTCTTAAGCCTTGCTTCTTTCACAATGTGATACATCTTTTTCAGAAGGTGTCCAGCAGGAGGTTGAGTGATATAGCGTGACCTACAGACACAGAATACGACACTGGCCAAAGCAATGCAAGCCAGTAATATGCCAAACGCCAAAGAAAATGTGAATTCTTGCTCTACATACGCAAGGCCAGCATAGGCTGTGAAAGACGCAACGTTTATACCCCAGTAATACCAATTAAAAAATCGCCGGTATCTGTTGTCATCATGTCCTTGTAACTGATCAGCACCAAATGCAGTGATGTTAGCTTTGTACGCACCCTCTCCAATGGAAATTACCAACAAAGCTAAAAGTACTATCAATTGATTGCATCCATCGCTAACAGGGTATTGCGTGTCTGTAAGAAGAGCTGAATAAAAAATCATTCCAGCACCAACGATATAGATCATTAGACTCCCCCAAACAGCATTATATCGGCCACTGTATGAGTCTGCTACAATCCCTCCCACTGTCGACATTAGCCAGGCCATCCCAGTAAAAATCATAACTGTGCCAACGGCAGCAGACTGGCTAAACTTAGTCATGTTTATAAGGTACAAAACCAAGTTCGCTAGGATCCCGTAGAAAGTTATTCTTTCAAGAACCACCGCTAGAATAATGCAAGCCAGCGGAAAGAGCGAGTTTCGGTTTCGATTCATTGATGGTAAGTGTCCACGGAAGATGCCAGACGTCGACTGATGTGCGCTTGTTTGTCGAGAAAGAGCAGAATCTGACCGCATTAACGGTGTCCTCTCGTCCGAAACTGATGAAGACGCGGTGGAAGTCATATCTGATGGGGGGAACGTTTCCAAACTCATTTATAGCTTGTTTGAGATTACATAAATCCTGGATGAAGATCCCACATGACAGTGAAAAAACAAAACAGAAAAGAGTGCGGTAAGTCATGTGATCAGCGGTAATCAGCGCTCACTGCTCTCCCCCATCCCCCAAGAAACTCGCGCGCTGGCAAGGAAATTGGTATTAGTCCTGGATATAGCTGGATGATCTGTACATGTCTTTCTGTGCAACAGAGATATTAAGAACTAGCGGTGAACAACTGTTAAAAACCGAAGCGGCAATCCAAAAGTCTGCTTCGGAATTTACTGGAGGCGATGGGGTGGGTTGAACGGAGCTTCAAAGTGGCGGGAAACTGGCGGGTAACAAGCTGCAATGGCGGGAAGGGGGGATTTCTTTTTACTGAGTGGCAAAGAGGCAAAGAACATCTGATCGTTCCTGGTATTGGACAAAGAGAAAAAGTAGTTGAAAAGCGCATCTCACTTTGAGGAGAGCATGGTTTTCGTATCAAGCACGAAACTTACAAATTGGTGAGTCCAATAATTGATCGTTTACTGTCTTTTTTGGTTACTGAAGCGTGAAAAATACGATTGATAGAATCTTAGATAGAAGTACTTGAATGAGACTGGAAGATAATAAACAGCTAATGTGTAGTGATTTGTTTTACTTGAACTTTTAAATACAGGATTCAGTCGCTTCAGTCAAGGCCATGAAATATTTTAATATTTATGATAAACTAGGAATCTTTGATACGCAAAAATTCCTCCCTTAATAGTACAAACAGGTTTATTTTTTTAAGGTGGCTGAACACAGTTTTAGCTGTTTCTGATGTCATTTGCCAAATCATGGCAAGAGAAAGGTTGCAGCTAACAAGCTGAAACTTGGCAAGTGAAAAATGAAAAATATACTGATGAAAGATTTTGATTGACAAGTAAAATTTGACGTTTTCATAGTTTCCATGGCAACAGAAACGATTGAATACAACCTTAAAATTTCAGTTTGGCTCAGTTTACATTAAATTCGCTCATTAGATTTTCCTATAGACTTGCACACAGCTTACTATAATTAATCATTACCATTTGAAACTTATTTGACCAAATTTTAACAGACAGGTTTTTAGTTAATCAATAATATAATTGTACTGTAATTATTAAATGTGTCACAAAATTTGTCTGTTAAACGTCCATTTTACTGCTCTCATTATTCAAAATACGATATAAGTGAAAATTCTGCCAAACATCACAAAATTTTAATGAGTAGATTTTGAGAAATCGTCTTCAGTGTACCATTGCTTTTTTGCCGGCATGTTTGTTTGTCTAATTTAAAACACGCGCCGTCACACAAGTTACCGCTGACCATCCGCAAAACTGTATTCAGCCACCTTAACTGATCTCTAATTTCTTCAAATAGTTTTCCAACATTTCTAATGATCAAGAGGGTATAAATCTTTGGATGAAGGAGCATGGTACACCAAGTATCTTTGAAAATTATGGAAGGTAGGTAAGTTTTGTCTTAACTTGAACTACATAATGATAAACTTCACCTCTTTTGGACACCTATATAGGAGAGCCTGGGAATAAGTCTTTTCACCCCTTAAATAAAAAAACACATAGTTCCAAAGGAACATTATAATTAACATTTTGCCCTAAGTGAGAAGTAAGTGTTAAAGTTGGCTTAGGGGAGGGGTAGGTGGGCAGTTTCCCAGAAACCCCAGAAACGTATAATGATCTGTTCCAACATCTCAGTGTAGTACAGTCAGACCTGCGGTGATACTGGCCTGAGAAAACAGCCGACTTTTGGCCACCAATGGTCTCCTCTCAAAAGACATCTGAGAACATCTGACTACAAAAATGCCATAGTGATGATATGTCACTACTCAGATCTGGGTAGTGCTTCTGATTGGATGAAACAAATTTTCAACCAATCAGAAGGACTTCCCAGACCTGAATAGTGGCCAGTCATCAGTATGGAATTTCTGCAGTCATTCCTAAGACATCGTTTCAAAGAAACCAGTGTTGGCGTCACAAAATATCAGCTGTTTCCTCCCTCAAATGCCAAGATTTGGCATTTATTCATGGGAGGAGGTTGTTTACAACAGGTTCCAATAAGAGGTGAAATTACTGGGAAACTCATTTTGGTATTTTGGATGGGTGGTCACAGACAGAGGTTCCACTCTATTTATTATACCTTTCACTTCCAAAGTCAAAATTCGACATATTTTCCAAATTTTACTTTGTAAGATTTTGAAAACAGATAATACCACATAAAAATACTGCTAAAGAGATTATAGGATTTCATCTACACACTTAAAAGATAGCACCACCCTACCCTTTATACAGGGAGGTTCCGCCCCAAGATCCAACCCCTTACCCTTTTATATGCCATTTTTCGTGAAAGACGTATCTCTTTTATATGCATGTACCTTCTACTGACAAATGGTACCCCTTTCACATACCTTGTTTAGAACTTTGCATCCCTTTTAACTGCTGTAAATGCACTGTCTTTTAAATAGGAATCAGTCACCAAAATAGATAGAGGATATTACACGGCCGCGCGGAGATACAAAATTTCTCATCGAGTGTTGAAAAAATATTTCACTTGTTCGCTGCGCTCACTCGTGAAATATTTTTTCAACACGAGATGAGAAATTTCGTATCTCCAACCGGCCATGTAATGTTCTATTTATTATATAAACACCAATGAAATACCAAACCATTTCACTTTAATAGTTTTTTGGTGTGAAAGGCACAATTTATTATGTAGGGATAGCAACGGTGATATTTTCACATGTAAGGATATCAAGTTTTTGCACGAAAGCTCACCTGGTATTTCATTGGTGTTTATATAATAAAACGTTTTCTCGACCTTATCTTTTTTATCTTTTTAGACCCAAATGACAGATTTCCCTACCCTTTTATATCCTTCAACTAGTGAAATCTCTACCCTTTCATATACCTGCAGCCTAAAAGAGGTACCCCTTTCGGGCGGACCCTCCCCATATAGGCCATGGAAATAGTTGATATACTTTTTATTGTATAAGACTCCAAATAAAAATGTATGTATGTATGTAGGGAATACCCCCCCACCTCAGCACCCTACAAGACTACTTCCAACATTCACTTTGGTTTAAAATGGTGAAAGTAATGCCAACACTTTGTTGACTACCCCTTTGGAGTTCATATAAAAGGTTTTTCACTGCCATTCTTATTACTGTGTAGCTATACATAATAGCTACAAGGGCTATTTATTAAAGAGTGAATCAAGTGTCTCAGTACAGATTAAGGAGGCTGACACCAGTTCTCTGCACTTTTCAGATGTAATAGTTGTTCTTTGAGGGAACATTCTGCCATTCTTTAGTAGTGTTGATACCTTTAGTTATAGTATGTAAAATGCTGGGGAAAATAAATGTTTCACTGTCATTTTTGTGACTGGTGGGAAACTTTGGCTATCTTTTTAGATTCATTCAAGACTTTTCTCTCAGACAACTGTCACTAAGATGGACACTGTTGGGTCAACCACTGAGTGTCATCATAAAAAGGTGTCTGCCTAATAGAGAGTCAAAGAAAAGGGCTTGAAAACCAGGGACTGGGTGTCAGTCATAGAGGGGTGTTGGATAAGAAAGAGTTGACAATTTTATCTACTTCAAGGGCACCAGTGTGCCATCACTGAACCTCTCCCAATAAAAATTCTCCTGCCAAAAATAGTTAGCTTTGTCAATATCCCATAAGAACTCAAGTGGTTCCCCTGTCTCTGTCTTATACATATTTCTTAAGTCACTCAATTGTCAAAAATTTGAATTTTTAATGTCTGAATTAGCCTAATGTTCTAATTTATAACAGTAACAAAATAACACTATACATCCATTTCCTAATCTTTTTACTTAATGTCACATCAAAATATTTGTGACAAGATAAATAAGTTGATTTCTCTATGTACAAGTATGAGCAGATCAGATGTGTCTGTAAGTATGTTTTATCAGCTACACAATAACTTTCTTCAGGTGATAAAGCATTGTGTTTGCTGTTAAGTAGAATAATTTACAAAGAACATGAGCTTCAATTTAACGTAAATTTAAACTAGTCTTGATCAAATAAAATTTATAGAGTGATCAAAATATAAATGTTTGTTTGAGCACATAATTTGTTGATTTACTGTTTATCCCGCTTGTAGCTTGCTATAGACAGGCAACCCTAAACTTCTATATCTTTTTTTTAGGCTTTGAGAGTTAAATGGGCTTGATTCACAGCAGAAATTCAACGTACATGAAATAAAGCTTAAGTCAATTTTCTTAACAAAGCAACTAAAAATGTATGTACATAAATGGGGAACAGAAAGTAATGTAAATAGTTGGTATGACCAATTTGCTTTACACTACAGTGATTTATTTTAGTGGTACAAGCATATCATTAGGGGATCCAACTATTGCACTTGAATCAAAAGACTTTGTTGCATCTTAGCAAAAAGAAAAAAATAACAAAGAAGAGAAAGAAAAGAGAAATGAAAAGAAAAGTATAACCAAGTTGCCCGTTCAAACGACCCATCAAATTCCCACACCTGGAACATAAGGGCCTTCATTGGGGAAGAGGTTGATAGACAGAGCTGTGCAGAAGAAGCTGAAATTTTCGAGGACCACCCACCCTAGTTATTAGAAAGAGACTAACTTATCTCAGCACAATTTAAGATGGCTTTTAAGGAGGTGCTTTTTCTGACTGTATATTTGTTCATATCCCAGCCTTCATTTCTAGTGTTACCTTATTTTCTAATGAAAGCTAATTAAAGGGGCAAAAATTAATTTTTTTTAAAATGATGTTGTACAAAAGACCAAAATTAAATTTTTTGTGTCTTAAATAAGATGCAACAAAGTGTTGAAGGGTTGCAATGTTTGTTTTTTTTCAAGTGTTAATGTGATTAGTTAGTTATCATTTAAAACTACTGAGTACTTGACAGTTTTAGCCGTTAAGGAGAATGTTACTGTTGACTGAAGATTTTACTGGAAAAAACAGATTGTTCTGCTCTGAGTGATATATCAATATGTGTTGGAACTTTGCATGTAATAAATAACACAAACAAAACTTGTTATGTACAGCATTAAAAGTCAGTGATGTAAGAGAGCTGTGAACCTGAAAATATTCCTGGAATGTTGCCTGTGTGGTGAACAGTAGCTTGGGAGTTAAAACCACAATCCATAAACTGTATACTGTTACAGACAGCAGTTTCTAGGTTTTCTTAATTCTGATGTTTGTTCCCTCTTTGACACAATAACATCCCAACTAAGATATACTCTTTATAGACCATTGTTTCTCAACAATGGTGGACTGGTATGTCACAGTACTTAGGATTTATCTTAGCAGAGCATGGCCTTGTGACTTTGTTGTTGTCAAACACGTTTGCGACAAGCATGTTAAACCTCTTCCTCTTTTGTTTCCTTACTGTCCAGCAAAACGACTACCATTTTATGTGACTGTTCTGATGGTATACAGCCTCTGGGACCTATTGTTCTATGAGGTTGTAATTTACAATTTGAGTCAGAAATACTGCAATAACTTATCGCTTTTCCTTGTGATTCTAAATCTCTCTCACAGTCCCACACACTGAGATCAAGTGTCTCTTTCCTTCCCTGGTTGCATGCAGTCTTTTCAGGAAGACGCTTTCTCCAAGGAGATTCCACTTGAGTATTGCCATTCCTTTGCTGCTGTAAAGAATAATCTATTGCACAATATTCATTCTCTACACGTGCTCTGGTATTTCCTGATGTAGTAATGTCAGCGCTATCATGAAAAGATGGAGAACTTCCAGGGCCAGTGTTTTCATCAGTGCATCCAAGATCATGAGATGGCTGTGCTGAGTTTAGTTTGCTTAATTTGTTTTCAGTTGCTGTAGAAAGATGCGTTTTAAGAGGAGACCGCATTTGCCTTTTATTCCTTTGATAACCATTACTAACATACACACAATCATGTTGTCCACTGTTACTAGAAGAAGAAACAGCACTGCCTTGGAGCACTACAGTCGGAGGTGTACCATTTGGCACAGAATTGTCTTGATATTTTGGCCTGCTTTTCAAAGCTGTTACCCAGTTGACTGTAAAAACCAGAATAATAACACAAAGAAGTCCCACTATTGTAAAAAGTGCGATTTCCAAAGCTGAGGAATCCTCGCTGACAGCCTTTTCTGAAACAACTTCCATGGTGGGGCCATTCCTTTCTGGTATTCTTAGCCTTGTTTTGTCAGTCACAGTTGAAAAACTTGCCAGAGTGTTTCTGAAAATTTCCGCTGTGAAGGGTATAGTAATTGGTGTGTCGGTGGAAACAGCTCTCTCTGTGTAGTAACAGCAATGTTTTCTTGATAATTGATTGTAAGAGTTGTACAGCATCTCCATTGTTCTGGGACTTTTCTTCATTTTCTTAGAGATGTAGTAGATGACAACACATCGTGCTGTTTTTGCTAGTTGCTTGTGATATTCGGATAAATTCTTTGGAAACATATCCCTTGCTTTACTGATCTGATTCAAGGTCCAGTTGTTTTCGTGTGGTGATGTTCTTGTCAATTTTGACTGCTCTCTACTCAGCCCAACACTGACATCGGAGGCATTAAAGATTATCCTCAGCTGTTGTTGTGTTTTTCCTGCCAGAGCTTGCACAATCCTGTATGTTGACTTCATTTCTCTTAATTGATTAGATTGCTTCCTTTTCACTTTCAGTTTGAAGAGAACTGAAAGTGGATTATTACTGCCATTTGCTGTAACTAGGACAAATTGAGCACTGGCAATGACTTCCTTCTGTTCCTCTAAATACTGCTGAGTACTGCCTTGCCCAATAATCTTTTTTTTCAGTGCTTCATATTCATAGACAGCCCTCAAAATGTTTGGCCCCTTTTCTTTTAGACTCTCTAACCAGGATGTCTTGTTTCCATTGCCAAGGTTTACAGTGATATTCACCAAAGGAGCAGAGGGTACAAGGTGATTTATTGGTACCTCAGGGTCTATACAAGTCTTAGGTACACTAACGGATGGATAAATTTTCATAACCATGTTACGAGCTTTGCGGGCAGTTAACTCCTGATTTGAGAATCTGTTAGCTAAATGTCTTCGACCTTTAAGGTTATAAATCAGAGCAACAGTGTTGACAACGTTACATTTAAAAGGAGCTGGTAGTTTCCTAAAGACTTCCAAGAGCTCATTGCCAATGGAGCTTACCACAATGGTTTTGTTTGCTTCACTGCAGCTTGTACCATATTTTATAGAACCATCAGCGTGACAGCTCACAATAGCAGCTTCATGTTTTGTCTCTGTTAAGTTGACAAGAAACCCAGTAATATTTGATAATTTGCACCCTGCTGTCCTTGATACAGCTGCCATTATGTTACATTGATTCAAATCAGGGAGAGAAAAAAACAGCTTGGCCATTTCCTTCATAAATCGTGTGGAGACTACATGGCGCAAGTCGATGTCTGATGCAGTGTTGTACTTTGGGGTTGGTTGCTGAGGGCGCGCTCTTTCTGATAATTTCCTCAAGAATTCAACTGCTTTCTTATCATTATTGAAGACTTTATGATGGGTGCTTGAGGGGGTTTCTTTTCCAAAGGCATTTTGTAATGAGCCTGGAAGGGAAAACAGTTGTATCACTACACAATGATACATTCTATTCATACTTTACTCAATATGTAAGTTATATATAGTAGAACCTCTCCATTGGGACACCTCTATTTAAGGGACACCTCCATTCAGGGGACGCAAAAATACCCACATAATCTTTGCATTTATTACCTCTTTTGAAGGGACACCTATATTCAGGGGAAAGTGACACTTTCTGGGTTCCAAAACCTGGGTTTAACCTCCATTCAGGGGAGACCTTAGCACTGAAAAAGTGACTGACCATAAAGAGGGTTGATATCTTTATGTGTACACGAATCACAATTATTATGGAAGCTTTCACAAACTGAACTATGTCACTGAAATCAAAGTACTGAACTTGTGTGAATTCAACATATAATGTCGCAGAGATAAGTTGAAGATGATTTTTCATCTTGTCTTTGTTGGTTATTAATTAACAAGCTCCAGCTCTACCTCTATTCAAGGGACACTTGCCTCGGTCCCAAGGGTGTCCCTTGAATAGAAGTTCAACTACCCTTTTAACTGTCATTTTGCCAGTTTGTAAGTTATGAGTTTGTTAGCTGCTGAGACTCCAGTCAGAGTCTGTAGAGATTTTCACTATCAGTTAGTTAAAGTTGTCAATAAGTGAAGTCTGTTGAATGTCATGAGCTATCTGTAATCTGTATATAGCATCATAGTTAGTATAGTTAGTAACTATGATGGCATGTTGACATTATCCTGGCTGTTCATTATTAGAGCCCAGTGGCTCCTCAGGGCTTGCTCCGAGCATCAAGGGAGGCATACTTGTCCTTTGATTGACAACTCTCTAGCCTTTGAACCTCGACTTGAATCAGAGACTGGAAATACTGGATTTTGTCCTGTTGGTGGGGGGGCATAAAATGGAAACCCTTGGAACAGGACCAGAAAACAAAAAAAAAGAAACGCAACCAACATGAAAATCAGGGCTTAAAACCCAACCAGCACCATAACAAAATAGGTTGGAGGCAATTACCAGTGTAATGGCTCTACCATCATAATACAGGAACATGCCTTTAACCTTCTCAGTTATGTTGGAAGAAAAATATGTAGTCAGCTCACACATATTCTATGGTCTGTAGTCTTTTTGGCCTATGCTTTTCAGTGGTGTTTTTTTTCTCAAGTCTTCTTGATTTTCCTGAATGTTCCTATACAGTTGGACTTCCAAGATGCTAAGATTTGACATTGGCCCTGGAGGAGGGGGGGAGTGCAGGGTACTCCCTTCAATTTTAGAGGGTGTTTCCCCATGAACCTGTTCCAGACAAACAGAGATGAATTTAAGGCCCTGTTCCAGACGATAAATGTAAAAATAGGAATCCTGTTTCAGACATTTATGAGCAAAAAACACTGTACACATTATTACAGTGGCCCCAATATAACAGACCTCTATGTGCAAAGTCCTTGGTATAACTAACAACATTCTTTGCCTTGGTAATAGCAAAAGCAATGAAAAAGAACCTCAATACACTGAAACCTCATTATAGCGAACACATTGTCAGACTTTTGGTCCTTCGTTATATAGAGGTCACACTGTGTCATGAATATTTTATTTGGTAGTAAAGAAACGACAAAGAGGGCATAGTTTCGCACCTTAACCTGATCGAGAATAATAAGGGATTATGGGGAAAATTGACCCTGTCCCAGAGTCAAACTGAAGTAAAATATACCTCTCCTCCAGAGAGTCAGAGTCAGAGAGGCAAAGAGTAGATCGTTGTACATGTCCGGGAAACTGCCCACCTACCCCTCCCCTAAGCCAATATTTTTGCCCTAAGTGAAAAGTAGGTGTTAACGGTGGCTAAGGGGAAGGGAAGGTGGAGAGTTTCCCAGAGACGTATAATGATCCCAAAGAGCATACCCTGTCGAGAGGATTCCCAAAAAAACAAAAAATCTACCCCCCTCCCCCCTCTTCCACGTATGGCCACCAAGAAGTCCCAACTAAAGCTAACCTAACTAACTTTGGTCTTTTGCATAGGCATTCAATTACAAGAGGGGTTCCCTGATCGTGTTGTTTTACAAGAAAGTTCAAACGAATTAAAGGAGAAAAAGAAAAAAGGTCAAAGGCCTGGTCGTAAACCCTGAGGTAAATTTTCCCTCTTAACATGCCTTGATGATATAAAATTTGTATTCTGTTAGGATATAGGCGATTTGACTGAAAATTTGCGCGAAACCACCGTCAAAAACTGAAAAAAGGCCACTTCCGGTTGACGTGCGTCGCTCAAAAACGTTGTTGCTTAAGCTCCCTAATGTCAGTATTGCTACTCCCTCATGGATAAATGCTACAGTTGAACCTCTTTACAACGGCCACCTTGGGGACAGAAGAAAGTGGCCATTGTAGTGAGGTTGAAACAAGAGTCAATGTATGGATTTTTTGTCCGCCGGGACGATGAAAAGTGGCCGTTGTAGAGAGGTGTCCATAGTGGAGGTTCGGCTGTAGTCCATTACAGGGTTAATATCTCTAGCTGAGTATGTCGCCAGTATTTGTTATGTATGTATAAAGAAATTTTTTTATTGATATAAATGGGAAATGGCACATGCACATGAAAGTCACCATTCGTGTCTTTTAAACTCTCCTAATTTCCTGTAAGTTAAGAAATGTTTTGCATGGTCATTAATCCGCATCAAATGTGAGGTGAATCTGTGTTATAAGCTTTTAAACGTGAGAAAAACATTCATTCAAGTAACCTGACGGACCAGAATGAGGTAATGAACAAATTCCAGAATTACCACAAAGGGAAAATCCATTAAAAGGGAAACCCTTATAAAACAGATAAGGATTAAAACTCCTTCACGTAAAACATGATGTGAAACAATTAATTAGTCCACCTGTGGCCCAAGGTCAAAAGACAGCATAAACCAAAATTCGGAAAATGATAAGATGACTTAAACCACAAGTCACCCTTAGTTGAGAACTTGATAGAGTTAAATGGGAACAAAAAAAATTCAGGATTATTTCCCAAAACGACAACTTCCAGTGTAGGAAACAGACTGCCCAGTTGATCAATCACATGCTCGGTATTTAGACAATAACCCTTAAAAAGGCGAGTTAATCAGTTTTCAAGGTTAATTACATGAGAGAGACTCGGCCCGCGACATTGACTTGTACGTTTTCTGTTCAGTACAAGGTCCTATAAAAACAACCAATCTCATTTTCTAAAATCTTTTTTCCTATTTCCTACTTTTGGCTCCCCTTTTTTTCAGAAACAGATCTATAAAGTTAGCAAATACAATAATTGAACGCTTGCCAAGAGATCGTTCAAGAACAATCGGCTTCGACAATATCACCTTATCACAGCAACCTTTCTGAAATAAACTTTTATCGGAAGAGAAAGGATTAAATAAACCGCGATCAGCGATCACGCACGACGCTTACCGAGGAAAAAAGTAAGCAATCACGCACTAAAACACAAGTCTCACACGAGATTTTACCGTACATAATGCATATGAAAACTTTCATGTGCAGCAATTCCGGCGGTAATGATCATGACACGCCGGAGTACAATTTACAAAAGAAATACTTACCTAGGCTGACAAGAAGAAGCAAAAAGATGGTATTGCAAAGATATAAATTCTTTAAGCTCTGCATGACGAATCTTTTAAGCGTTTATACCTGTAAAGAACAAGGAACGAGATCAGGGTTACTCTTTGAACTCAGTCAGCGCTTTAGCGAATCGGTAGGGATCGTACAAATGCTAACCCAATTAATGCAAACCTTTTTTCTGGAAAAAAGGGAAAGCGAAAGTTAAGGTAACTAACACCATTTAATTACATAACAAGGGAAAATGTTTCAGTTATTAACTAAGCGATCGAATCAAATATGAACTTCGTGAAAAGCATGTTGTAGTTTTTCTGTCTAAAAATATTAAATTGAAACCGAAAACCAAACTACCTCTTAACCTGTAAAGGTCGTCCGTTTGAGTAAAAAAAAAAAGGAAAACCATGCAAATGTAAATGAAAACTAAATGAAATATTACGTGAAACAACCAATATACCCTTATAATACAGCTAACATTTGAAAAAACAAATGCCTTTAATTCAAACTATTAAAAGCTATTTACTTGATTAATACTTCATAAGTTTCTTTGCGTATTAAAAGAACTCATACTACAACATCGAACAACGTCACAACAAGTCGTATAATTATAACTGAGTTAGTCAAGTCTAATTGGGATATGTATTGTGGTCAAAAAGCGGCTACGTTTATCAATCAATATCAATAAAAAGTTGGAGGATCGGAAAGGTATTAAACGCTCTTGATGGAACTCGCCCCAAGACAGACTTCGCTGAGGCACGGAATGGCCAAAATATCAATAAAGTAAAAACAGAGATTAGTGCATTAGACAAAGAGGCATGTGATAATTTACACAGCAGTTCTTCATATTTCAAAGAACAAACATTAACGATACATACAAACTAGATATACAACACATGTGAAGAAGGGTCGCGATCGCCATCGATAGGTTGCGCATTGTTTTTTAAAACATTACAATGAACAACATTAAATGTCGAAAGATGTGTTACGGTTGACCAGACATACAAGACAAAACATTCGACAAGTAGCGCGCGAGATTTTAGTCTGTTAACTATAACATATTTCTACTTTTGACCCCTTAAAGTCAAAATATTTTGAGTTACCTGCGAAGGTACTCTTAAAGACTTCTAGTGCGACCCTATTGGAACACACTACATAGAGTTTATGATCACAGATTCCAACGCATCTTGTTGATATACCAAGACGGATACGATCGACCGACATGTTCCGTAAACTTTTATCGGCATTTTAGAGGTTTGCCTGTGGCCTTTTCGGTTATTTTATCGCTCGACGTCGAGGATAGTCGAGTCGCCGAACCATTCTGTTTTCGTAGTCGTATTTTGCAAAGCAATATTCAACACGTCGTTTAGAGTGATCGTCTTCACGGCGCCCGCGCTGTTGACGAAACGCGAACTGATAAGATGGCACCAAATTAAAAAAAGCTTCCTCTCGAATAACCACTAACACACTGATGAACAAAGTTACCTGGAAAGAGGCCTCCAAGAGACCCAAATTCAACGACATTCACGTATCAGAGCTCCCAGGGCGATTTTCCCAGTCGACATCCATTTCGAACCACAAGCAGCTGTCTTCGAACCGAAGCTTGGTGCTCTTTGACGTAATTGAATGATAATGCTTTGATTACCTTTGATTGACAGAACCGGATTGCTATAAGAGCTGGGTGTGTGACAAATGGCAAACTTATCAGAAAATCACGTCAATTTTTTAAAACCCATTTCCAGTTTTTTTTTTCGTGAATCGTGGCTTGTCAAAAAACACAGTAGTCAAAACTGCCCATTCTCCAAGCTGGCAAGCAGAAGAGGTTACAATTTGTGTAGTTTACTGTTGGTACACGATTTTCACAATCACTCCTTTATTTTCAAACGCGAAAATATTGTCACTGTTTTTCATCCAGAAAAATGCGGATTACTTGGGAATTTTTTTTTATCTTTAGGAAAGATAGGTACCCAGATGTTGGTCCCTGCCCGGCCCTCGGCCCTAACAAGTTTGCTAGTGATAGCGCACTTGAAACATAACCCTAGTTTCCTTTCCTAAAGGTTACACGCTCTGATTAGCGGGAATCTTTACTTGTAACGTGTTCACAGTTTAGCTGATAGGGGGTGTAAGTTGTTCTTTTCATTATGTGTTCTTTGCATCTGAGTGCAAACGTTCTGTTTAATTAAGTTATAGAAAAAATTGTCAAGTTCATCTCTAATCGGTGCCTAATTGCTCATGCCGTGGTTTGACTCCATCGATATTTTTAAAGCATGTAAGTTGACTCTAAGATTTTGATAAAGAAGATTCCACGTCGCTCAGGATTTCCTAGCTTGGTTATCAGAACTTGGCGGCTCATTTCACGGTCCATCTCGCTAGTAGGGAGTTTCCTTTGTATCGAGCCAATCTTTCTGCCTTAATCGGGCCGCGAAAAAATCTCAGTAATTGAGCGCCACTCACTGTGTATGACGAACTCGAACTTTAAAACTCGCTGTGATCACAGATGTGCTTCGTCATTGATTCGGAAGGCGATTGAATTTCTTAGGGCTCCATAAGGTCCGGCTATCTGACTGAGCCGCATGGAGTTGGTGTAGTTCAATCCGGCCTCATTAATAAATATCTCTTGTAGCCAGGATTGAGCTAAGGGGGCATGAATTCTAACTTGCGGCAGATGTAAAGGTTAAGCTGGGACAAAACTAACTGACCTGAGAAAAACAATAACAGACAAAAGAAAATATACTCACAGAAAAGAGCTCAGAAGTATAAGCAAGCGAACTTTCTGGTGCCTTCGGGTTTTACACTTATTATTGGCGAGAGAGCCATTAAATAACAAAAAGATAAAGGGAAAATCAATCAATCTTAAGTCTTTTGTGTTCTCTAAGTATTCTAATCATAACAGGCGATATACACACAAACAGTGCTGACAACGGCAGCGTGGAATTTATTTCCACGAGGATAAAGTGAACAATAGAATTAACTCTCAAAGAAATTTTAACGGGCAAAATCCTTGAATTAGCACATCCTAGGTAAACAGTTCTTTAAAACGAGAGAAAAAAAAAAGAGAGAATAAACAGTTCTGTAAAACGAGAGAAAAAAAAGAGAGAAAGAAGGTTTGTTTTGATACAGACAGGCTTGCCACAAGATTTTTCAAAGTAGAAATCTGCAGACTATGATGGACAGACCTTGGGCAAGCTAGCAATGATATCGTAAACTGACCAAACGATTCCTTGAACTATTTAGATCAGCAGATAAACAGTCCCCCTAATCGTTCCCAAAATGGGAGAGGAAAACAACACAGACTTGACGCATAAGGACGGTATCTCTTGGGCGGCGAAATACGTTCGAACTGCATGACCCAGCAGCAGGTCACAGCCAGAGATAACTTTAATAAACGTTTATAGGTGTTCCTTATCGGCTCACTCGTCCAAGCGAAGTACCGTTGATAACACATCTACCTTTGAAAAGGTGTAAAGGTTGGGTTTCACAACTGCTTGTAATAGTAAGCGACGATGAGAGAAAGCTTTGGCAAGGTCATTTGTGCCAAAGCGAAACAGAAGATAGATGTACGTGATTGCAAGCAGAAAGTGTTGATGAAAGATAAGTTTAAGTGGTGCAGAAGGTAATTAGGTGTAAAGTTGACTAAAGTCAGTTAAAAATTTTTCGTAACAAATAGCCTGCCAAATTCAACAGTTTTGGATGGTGAAGGATATTTGCCATGCGCAGAAACCAAAGATGGTTCAATCTATATGAATCAATGAACTTTTTTGTTCCCAAGTCAGTCTAATCTTTCAAAAGTTCAAAAGAAAAAGTTTGTTTCTAATTTCACAGCAATATTCCGTGTAGTATATTGTATATGTGCGGTCAAATCTCGCCCTGTGAACAACTCGATATAACCGAAAAACGGGTTTCTAGCACCATTTTGAACAGTTTAGACACGACCAAAAAAAAAACTTTCCTTACCATTTGTGACCGTAGTGATGCGCAACAGATATAGCAGTGAGCGAGACGTTTAATCGAAAGATCCTGACGTTTACTGGACCCTTTAGACAAAGTCAAATCAAAGTCAAACGCGACGGATCATATAGTTAATAACGACTTTGTAACTCGAGAGTAATTTAGCCAGGTCAGCAATAGCGCGCTGCTTGGGTTTCTGGCATCGTTGTATTTTGTCAGCAATATTGCCGAGTTCTTCGCACAAGTTGTCAGCTCGCGTTGATTATACGTCTATGTCCGTCCATCAGGAGGGTGAAATGTAGCTTAATGTGTAGTGCCGTGTGTCTTATTCAAGCTGGTCAAATTTGCCTTTTCGCGTGATTTCAGCGCCCCTTAACAGACAAGACAGCTGCTGTATAAAAAGGAAGAAAAGTCAAGTGGAATTTTGAAAAAAAGAAATATAAAAGAGTCCGAGAAGGCTAAGCTTGGATCAAAATGTTTAGCATGTGAAGAGCTCAGTGCCCTCATATTTAAATCAGGCACTCGAGAATCTCGGAATTTTTTCATGCCAAAAGCGAACAGCCTGCGCAAAGTGTTTCACTGTCCTCTTAAAACAGCTGGCTCGCGTAAAGGTTTCCATAGAATGGGTCACGTTAACATGAGAAAGACATATTCCTTAAATCAACGCTGCCAGGACTGGAAGTAGTCGTTAATTTTAATCGTGCAACTGTGGTCATCCCTTGTAAAGGGAAATGCTTATCAAGGTCATATCTACTGTTAATCTACGAAGGTTATATTATGCATTCCTCATCGGTAACTCTTAAGCCAATCTCGATTCTATCTTTGTCAGTTTAGGTTGCGAAATTCGCGTGATCCGCCGAACTCTTTACTTTTCGCGCTCTCTCTAAAGTCATTTAAGTCTAAGTCCTAGAGTGCTGAATAGGCTGACCAGTCTTTATACCACTAGTAGTGACTATCCGATCAGAAGTGTCCATTTTAATAATACAGGTTTCAAATTTACGATAGAAACGGCTCTTTCAATCAATATAATCTAGAGAGGACACTGGAGAACGGCAAGAACCAGCTTTAGGTGTCCGTTTTAGGAAGGTGACTGCCTCATAAAGAGTCAAAAAAGATGATTGAAGAACGGCAGGGACCAACTATAGGTGTCCGGTTTAGGAAAGTGTCCGCCTCATTATAAGAAGACAAAGAAAATGACTGAAGAACGGGAGCAACCAACTTAAAGGTATCCTTTTTAGGAAAGTGAACGCCTTATGCTGGGTAAATAAAATGACTGAAGAACGACAGGGATCAACTCGAGGTGTCCTTTTTAGGGAGGTGTCCGTCTTATAGAGACACAAATAAAATGTCTAAAGAACGGCAGGGTCCGACTCTAGGTGTCCGGTTTCAGTAGGTAGGTGTCGGCCGGCTGCCTCATAGAGAATCCATGAACTTAAGGTGTCCGTTTTAGGGAGATGTCCTTCTGAAACTCCAGGTGCACGCTTTAGAAAGCGGTGCATCTTAAAATAACAGTTGCCCGTTATTTTTTTATGTTTTATTTTTAGAGTTACCCGTTAGAAAGGAGGTGCCTTTGGATTAACGGAACTGGCGAAAGTGAATCCAGAAACTCGGAGAAAGAAGGCTTACCAATAGTGACACGAGAGCGGGTGTTTGGCCATTATTGTAGCTCATCAGAACGGCGTAACAAACATAGAAGCTCCGCTGAGGAAATACCCGCACAGATCATGGCTCAGTGTTTGTTACACTTTTCGAACTGTGTCGCCCCTGGTCAATCGGCCCCTGCCCATGTAAGGTAATATGGAATCCGGGAATATTTTTGCCTGGCTTTGGAATCCAGAATTCATGATCGGCTCAAGGAATCTGGAATCTTGCTATCGATTGGAATCCGGAATCCAGTACATTGAGTCCGAAATCCGTAGCGTGGAATCCAGAATTTAAGACTGTCTTTGATTACCTTACTCAGGACGAAACTGTAGAATGACAAGGAAAGCTTAACTCTGATTATTTATAAGTTGGATAGTCAAAAACAGCTCTGTTTGTTAGATTAATCGCTTTACTATCCAACCGGTTGCATTAAAGAGGTATAATTGTGAACTTCTGAGGTGGCTTGAAAACTCCAAAAAGTGGTCGTTAAACCCAATAACGGGGTTGTTGGATTAACGAGGTCACAGAGTAAGGAAATGAAAGGACTCAGGCCAGAATAAATTACTGGTGTTTGAAAGCACAATATTAACCAGTTGGTGGGAGTAACCCTTAAAATCCCGGAGGAGGACCAACATAAATTTTCTCCTAAGAGTATCATATAAAATCAGTATTAAATGTCATGAGAATTAATAAAAAAAGTCGTAAAAGGAAAATGCCTTGATCTTTTTTACAAATTCTCTTACTTAATTTTGAAGGCAAATGTATGGAGATTAGCCTGGAGATTTTTTTAATGGATATTGAGTCTTAAAGGGTTAATGAAGTGGTTATATGGTAGAGGTCTATGAAGATTTGTTGGTAGTAGGACATGGTTCATTTGCACCGCATGTGTGACAAAATAAACCTAAGTCAAGACTATAACCCCTCGATAATTTGTTACAGGCGTTTTGGGGAACTCTTCTTTTAAGATTTTCATTATTTCTTGCCAGGAGGAGAGTTACTATGCACTTGAGTTTAGAACCCCGGCTACCAGAAGTTTTTTGTTCGCTTTAAAGCTTTTCAGGTTGACGAGGCAAAGAGGAGTGAGAATTTCCGGGTGTGGCACTCTGTCCAATAATAAGCTCCCGCGAAAATAACCCCGTCTCACTTAAAATGCAACCTTTAAAATCCTTTGAACTGTTTGAATTTAATCTAAGGGTTCAGGAAGCTAAAAATAACACGGATTTTTTTCTCTGCTTAGATCCTGTTTTGCGGAGATGCAAAGCCAACAGTTTATGAATGATATTTATGTCAGTTTTAGGGTTAGTTTTACATCTCTTAAATTCTTCTTGGGTTTAACGCATTTTGCGCACGATGAGGACACTAAAAAATACCCAGAGTGATCGTTTTCCTTCTTAAGTCCAAAGAGCATTTCATAAAGATTTGATCAACAAAACTAATCATTCAGGAGATGCTTTGGAAGATGGTTATAATACACGATATTTTGAAACAATAAGATAAATGTAACAAAATAAATTTGAGATCGCACGACCCCCTAAAATGTTAAAATAAATATTCAAGTGAATGATGTCAAAAATAACATTTTTGTCTTTTGTATGAATAGCTCTTGCAAGGGGAGCGTTACACTTGTAGATTTTTTTTGTATTTCTGCCTTTGATGTTGCGTTTCGATTAGTTCAGTGGTTTGAGGCCTGAGTGGATAAAGGTTTTATATAATCTCCATTTCCTGACGTATATTAGTAACGACTCGTCGAAGCTCAGAGGCTTGCATTTGTAGGGAACGTTGAACACTTAACAATCCCTAATTAGTGATTTCAGAGTTGCACTGATATGTTAAGGTATTTTAATACCCCTTTAAGCAGGCTACAATCTTGGACAAAACGGAAAACTAACACTGCCTCGCCACCCCTCAAATGCAGATGGGAAAATGGCAGGTTTTGCGTGTAGTGGTCTTCGGGCGCTTTCATCCTTCATATCAATGCCGAGAGAATCGAATTCCTTTGTCTAACATTGTAATGGCAACAAGAAGGCTATCCTTTGACTTACAAAAACAGGGTAAAGCTGGGGAAAATGGCAAACATACCTCCAAAAATCCAGGTAACGTGCTTGGAAGCCAAATCGGGGGTAGATTTCAGTCAAACAAATAAAGCCTTCCAATAATCAGTGATAAACAATGATAACAGGTTTTAAATGTTTTGCGGAAATGATGGAATGTCCATTTTTTTCAAGGCTTTCTACAGAACATGCAAAATGGCACTCGCTGTAACTATTTCCCTTCTGATCCTTCTGGGGCAGAACTGTGCTTGTGTGAGAAATGAGGTTTAATTTGGACAATTATCAGAGGCACATTCCTTTTCAAACGTTTCCTGGCAATTATCATTTTGCTTTGTTGTTTCCTGATAACGGATAAACACTGTATCTGCCCACTTCCTGTTGTTTCATCGACGTGGGAGTTCGATCTCTTTCAGTTTCTGGTCCTTGAGGTAAGTCATATTTCATATCAAGTAAGAAATGAGTTTGTTTTTACATCATACATATTGATGTTTTTTAGAATCAAGTTGGAATTAGGAAGTATAATTTTTAAACGATGTATCATGGGCATGGAGCGCATACCCGGGGCCGGAGATTTGAGTGAGATATTAGAGAGGTTAAACATCACCACGTGACTAAGTTTCCTCTTTGCTTGTCATTTACTGTTCATTATTTCTACACCTAAGTTGGTAGTTTCACGCAATTTTTTATCCATAAGAATTGTTTTGAGCTGTTTTTACCAGCTCATTTTCTATTTCGAGAAATTCTCAACTTGAATCTGACGTTTGCCGTATGCGTGAAGCTTTTAATTTTATGGTCTCAGTGAGACTCCCGGATGAGGGCAATGATGCTTGTCGTCTCAGTCGCTAGGGGGGGTAAGTTGGTCTCACTTAAGGTTTTCAGAGCGGAAATTGAAGCTGATATATATATTTTTTTACCGATTAGGGCTACTGATTAGGGAAATGTGCTAAGAAATACGTACAAAGAAAACCAAATGCCGTCATACTGTGTTAAAGACAAAATTTCATTTCAACATCTCTCGCTCAATTTAGATCACTCAAGATCCAGCAAAGCTCTTGTTTTGCCCAGATTGGTTTCCCATTAATTTTCCGACAAGCCTCTCTGTCCCTGCCTCACGGAAGTCAACGTCCGCCCGGGATATTGTTACAGGTTACCGTATTTCCTCTAGCCTGTGCCACCCTCTCAGATAGTATTACTGAACGACTTCCCACCACCATCTCGGAGCCTGGAATAGGCTATATTTCCTCAATAAAACGCTCCCGGCATTTGTTTGAATCTGCATGCAGTATATGTGGGATCGTTATGTTTATAAGGAAGGATTAGCGTTTATTTGGGGTACGCCGCAGGAGCCGATTACCTGAGGCACGGGCTTTAAATAATGGAGAAAATACGATATATCCTTTTTAGTACCGGGGTGTCGGGCGGAGTCTTGAGTTCCTGAAATATGCTACAGTTCCGCCAGGGGGAGGGGGTACACGATATATCCTTGGGTGGGGAGGTGGGGCCCGGCCCCTCATACCCTGACGCTGTTTGAGACAAAAATCGCTGATTTTCCTACCCTGTTTAAGACAGAATTCCGATATTTGATACCCTGTTTAAGACATTTAACCCGAAAACATACCCTGTGTAAGGCAATAATAAATATCGAAACTCTTTCTCATTTAATCCATTGGCAATCACAAAACTATTTACAGCTTGATCAACAGAGTCACGCAGGCTGTTTATCGTCCAAGAAGAGATACCCTGTTTAAGACGAAAAATGATAAAATCGCTATCCTGATAAGACAAAAAATGATAAAATCGATACCCAAAAACATACACTGGGTGGCTGCACGTCCCCATTAAGCCCTTATAAGGGAGTACCCCCCCGGTACAGTTCTAAATTTGGTCAATGGCTCTTGCCCTGGGAAAGTGGGGGCGAAGTTTTGCTGGGTATGTGCCGCTGGCCTCTTAGAACCCCTACCCCATTATAGTCTATTCTGTGGCAAATATAGACCAAATCTTAGTAACTTTGGGAAAATACATTTTTCGCGATCACAACTTTCCGTTTATACATCTGCTTTAAAAGGCCCTTAAACTAGGTCATCCTAAAATGAATTGACACATTAAACTTAGTGAAGTAAAAATCTTCCCATTTTTAAATCCCTACCAACCAGAATTTTCTGATCCCCCAACGCCCGAAAATTTGCGATCCCACTGTAGTAACTCTAATGAAAATGCAACCGCATTACAGTCAATCCAGCCGTGAAAATGAGGTGCGACCCCATCCAGCGGCACATCCCCATCAGCCTATTACTAGGAAGTACCCCCGGTGGCTCTTGGTTTGGTTGAATGTCAACGTAGAGAAAAGAGTACCTAAATAAATGGGGGCGCGCCTAACGGCTGCGAAGGAGACACCTCCCCCGTCACAACCCGGGAAGCGAACGCCAAGGAGTTCACCTGGAGTTAATGCAAAGCTGAAAAGGAAGCGGTTTGCTTTCTTTTCGATTTTTGTTTGATTCGCTAATGGGGTATAGTAATGGTACTTCATGAATTCTAAGCTCATGAAGAAACGTTGAGTGTCATGTCAATTCCAACCGCAAATGAAATCTGGTGACGTCAATTTAGAGTGCCCCAACGAATTAAGCATGCCCAACCTTTCTTTACGGGTACAAGTTTTAAGGTACAAGTAGTGTGTAGGGGAGGGGTGGAGCACCGGACACCCACACCACCCCCTCCACCCCCTTACACACACACATAGTTTACTCCATGATCACCCTGCTCCTAGCAAAACGAGGTCAAGTCACGTGGTTGAAAATAATGTAAGCTCTGTGTAAAAAAGAATGACTCAACTAAACGATAGAACTGGCAAGTGGCATTTTCTTGTTTGATTGTATTTTCCACGTTTTGAGCGAATGCCAAACCCATGCTGATTAAAATAGTAAAATAAGTTGACCTGATCATAGACAAAAGTCAATCCGTCTGGGAAATCTGCACTTAATCATATTAATTCGGCATAAGTTGTTATATAATGACGTCATTGTCTGAAGAAACACAAAGAAAAAGAAGAAATTCGACACAGAAAGATAATGATTTCGTGTGAAAAAATCATCATATTCATCCTACGGGTTCCAAGGCTTTTATACTTAAAAATCCTAAGGACAGATCAACTTTCATTTTGGAAAATTGTTTTCTGTAAAAAGAATAGCTCTTATATAGCTCCCGTAGAAACGTACTTATGAAGTCTTGCTCTCATTTGAGAACAATGACAGTAAATAATTCAAAGTCCTAAGTTGCTGCCAGCTCAAGAATTTAAAACTTGAACTGCCTGAAACGCTGAAGACTTTTGAAGATTTTAAAATAACTATCAATTTTTTCGTATCCCACTGAGAGTAATTTTTTTGCTGACTTACTGTGGTTACACCAACCTAAGTCTTGACAGCCAATCCCGACAATCAAAAGGAAAGGTTGTGCCACTTATATGATAATTGCCCGTATTCACTTTCAGTTTCCACTGAATTCTCAAATGATTCGGCATCCCTCCTCCAATAGATTCAGTCATCTCTAAGTCCTCTAATACTCGTGTGAGAAGATGGATGTGTTTGTAGAGAAGGGCAAAAAAGTTTTCGTTTATTCACCTGTTAGCAAGCTTAAAAAGGAAATGTGGGCGCAAGTAAAAGATCATATTAGTTTCTGATTGGCTTGTTCGTGTGCATTTCACAAAAGATTTAAAATATATACGGTTTATTTACAGGGAACCGAGGAGATAAATGCCTTTTCCGGATACAGCTGGAAATCTCGAGTTTCTTTTCAAAGATTTTAATCGATTTTTTTTTTCTTATTGATATGAGATGAATAGTTTCGCAGAGTTGTTTTTACACGGAAATGCTTTGTGTAGGCTGTGCAAGAACTTTACGTAAAATTAATGTCACGTCCTGATTTAAAAAGTACTCTGGCTGGTTTGATTATAAAAGACGTTCAGTCTGTTAATGGAAAGAAAGAATTTTCCGTGTATAACTAAAAACAAAAAGCAGAAAAAACTTGTGTAGGAGGTCCCTTGAATTCCTATTATTATTATAAAATAATAATAATAATAACAATCATCATCATCATCATTAATAATAATAATGATAATAATAATTATAATAATAATAAGTAAGTCTTCTCTTCCCTAAAGAATACAATGAACCCTCGATATAACGAAGGGCGATGGGACTGGCAAAATTTGCCCACTATGATGAGGTTTTCTTATATCGAAGTTCTTTTTCATATATTTTACTATCACTGGGGTGAAGAAAATCGCTGGTTATGCGAAAACTTCGTTATATAGAGGTTCGTTATATCGATGTTCCACCGTACCATAGTGACCAGCTGAAAGTGCAGATGACTGTCGCTTGTGTTAAGAAATACCGTTTCCGTGTACGGGTGCCCAGGGTTAATTGCCCTTACCCGTAGCCTTCAAACAACCCCTCCATTTGAAGGAGCGAGAGCCACACGCGAAAGGAGAGGAGAGTGAGAATGGCGGGAAAAGAAAGGGAGTCGAAATTTCATGAACGATGTTTCTCAGTTAGCGAGTTTTTTTTTTTCACATCTTCTAGACTTTTCTTAACATATTTTCCGTACGATGAGGAGGCTAAAAAAATAGCCAGAATGATCATTTTCCTTCGCCCGCTTGTCTTGCGCGCGTTCTCTCGCGGCTCGCTTCGCTTGTCATCATTGGAAAACTCGCTCACAGGCTACTCCGTGGCCGTAACTACGAGCAGACGACTGCTTATGTTTCCTTAAGAGTCTTACCTTATCTTGGAAATCATGGTCGCCTTCTGTTAAACTCTGTGGCAAACAGTGCGTTCGTTGTACCCGTAGGAAAGGGTGTCCCCACGTCCCGGGCCCAACGTATCCGTTCCTATTTGAAAACGCAGATTTTTTTCTCCGGTTTATCCTACCGTCCACATGTATCCGGTGAAAATGATCATCTTTTCAATACTGCTCTCCAGAGTGAAGATATTTGAATACACCGTTTTAGAGTACTCATGAGGATGGATGACTAAAGAAAACGGAGGTTTTGAAAACAGCTACGTCACAGTGTTGGATACCAGTGAATGCACATACTCCCAAGAAAGATGGTACCATTTTCAGTCACTTTTGCGTTTTCATGTGTACAGGCAAAAAAATATATCTAAAAAAGGAACGTGTAGACGCGGATTTATTTTTTTGAAAAAGAAAAAAAAAATCTCATTTTCAAAGGAAGGGCCTTAAGCCGGGCATTTAAACTCGGTGTTGCGAGCGAGATTTTTTCACTTTCGCGAGTCGCCCGTTGTAGCCTTCAAGAGAAAGGTACTTAGGCGTCGTTTCTCTATTTTAAGAGTATGTTCTTCAGTAATTTCGTGTTTTTATCCTTCCGTAATAATTAATGATCAGTTAGACGACATGCCTTAATTAAGAAGTGGTACGTTGGCTGTATATGAATTGCGATTCTCTCTTGTATGAATCTAAGTACCGTATTTCCTCGAATAATAGCCAGGGGCGATTATTCTTTTTTTCGCACCAAAAGGGGGAGTTTATTCGAGGGAGGCGATTATTTTAAATTTGGTTCCTTGATTGATTTTCAATGTCAATATCCTCGACGTCAGAGCTTGAATCGTCACTGATGAGTTTTGCTGTAGCCTGCGTGCAGGCTCCCCATTTGGAGGATATCGTGAAAAGTAGACGCGCGAGAGAAAACGCGGCCCCTCACGCCTTTCCCGCTCGCTCACGCGTTCTCGCGCTGCTCGCTTCGCTCGCCCAAATAGGAGAACTTGCTCGCAGGTTAGTTTTGCTGCATCAGACTCCACTTCAGCTACGTTTGTCATCCAAGTTGTCAACTTGTTGTTGACTTGACAGGGAGAGGATAAGAAAAAAGAGAGAGAAGATGGCGAGAGGGGCTGAGGGCGATTATTCGAGGGACGGCTATTATTAATTCGAGAAAATACGTTAAATCACCTTTACGGCTCGTAATACACTGATACGTGTTTTTGGTTAAATATTTTTATTGTGTTTAGCCTTTTAAGCAAATTGTAACGGTGCAGATCTAGATAATGAAAGTTAAGTCTTGCGTAAAAAAATGGATATAACATATGACATGAGAAAGTTTCCCGACTGTCGATTACATCATGTCAGTAACTAAGCATTTTTCTCAAGAACAGGTTGTTATTAGTGTACTAAGCTGGAGTAACACGAGGATACTCTATCATACAGAGTATTTAGCTTGGTTGAAAGGAAATAATTTCATGGCAGTATCTCATTAAAGGATCTTAAATATACGTTCTAACTAGTATAGTCAGTATATTTGAAGAGGAAACTCCAAGTGCAAAGGGAAGGGAGTGTCCTTTTTTTATCATGGCTTTGGCTTCCGCCAGCAGCAGTGCCGTATCCTGTAAGCATTCTCTCTTATCATGTTATTCAATCGGCCAGTTTCTTACTAACCTGGTCTTCTTCCAACCAAAATTTATTATGTGGCTAAAGATGAAGCGAATCTGGCGTTCTGATCGGCGACTCGAATGGGAAAGATGGATCCATTTTTCCCGCTCGGTATTTCCCGCGTTGGTCACGCAAGAAAAATTTCTCTTTTGACCTTTTTTGCCATCCCTTATTGACCAAACTTGTTCGGTCAAGGTGGCCTGATTTTGCTCACCTTCGTTTTTTTTTCGTTTTTTTAAACAAACTTGGTCAACAGAGCATATATCCGAACGCACGAGATGTCTGTTAAGTGCACATTTCCGAGTTGCGTGTTTTAATGTCAAGTGCATCTCATATAATTGCTCATTCTATTTTGATAGGAAGCCGGAAAATCCGCAGTTATGTAACTTGCAGACTCGTTTAAGACGAAAATCAGGGGCACCCAACGAGAATATAGTTCAAAACCACTTAAACATAGCATTTTTAAACGTATTTTAGTACTTAAACAATACATATAGGCATAGTTTTATCCCCTAAAAGTTTTTCATCTCTTCGGATTTCCCAGTTGAGAGTCTAGTGATCCGAAAATTATAGGGATCAAAAGTTACCTTTTCGAAAAGTTCAGCCAGAAAAAAGGCTCCCGAAAATTATAGGTGACCTTTTTGTGGTAATAATCCGTTAAAAATGGGCAGTTATACCATTTTTGAGATGTTCGAAAATCCTAGGAGAGGCAGGCAAGCAAGAAATTTTACAACAAATATTGCGAAAATTCTAGATCTGAAATCGTCTTCCGAACAGATATTTTCGGAAAATTGACGTTGGGTGCCCCTGGAAAATGGGCTTCGAAATATCGTGATCGAACTAGAAAACACCCCTAGAGCGTTTTGTCTAGGCGCTTACAACCCTTACATGATTAGCATATTGTTTTTGCCGACTGAAAGGGTAATAGTTGCCCAAAAAAATCACTGGTCTTTTTATACTGAATTCGTACTGAATGCACGAGAAAAACAAGCCAGTCTTGCCCGTCACTTCGGGATTTCCAGCGTTGCTTCCTCAAGAAAAAGTTCCCTTTTTGGCCATATAACAAATTCCTTTTTGACCAAACTTTTTCGGTCAAGGTGGCTGGATTTTGGCCTCGTTATTTTTGGCGTTTTAAAATACACGTTTCATTGCGTGTTTCAATGTCAAGTGCATCTCATATGATTGCTCATTCTATTTTGGTTGAAAACCGGAAAATCCGCAGTTACGTAACTTGCAAACTCATGTAAGACTAAAATGGATTTCCAAATATCGTGACCTAACTGGAAAACACCCCTAGAGCGTTTTGGCTAGGCGCTTACAGCCCTTACATGATTAGCATATTGTTTTTGCTGACTGAAAGGGTAATAGTCTGTAGTTGCTTAAATATATTACTAGTCTTTTTATCTTGAAATCGTTAAACTGAATGTAAGAGCAAGACAAGCCAGTTTGAACTGTAGGTTTAGTATAGTATTGCATAAGATTTCATTAGTTGCTTCAACGGTATTTGAATTTATTGAGCCAGGATACAGTTGGTGATTTATACAAGATGTTGCGAATCCTAAGAGTTCAATAGATATAGTGAACGGAGTGTACAGTTGTGCAACACCCCATTCGATTCCACGTGTTGAGCGGAAATACAAAACTCAAGAGATTCTAGCAGTTACGAGGTTACAAGCCAGACAAGCTTTTTTAAGCTTATCGAATTCGAAAAAAAACGAAAGCAACTCACTTCCTCTTTAAACCGTTGTCTTTTTTGTAGTTTACTTTGTGGTTCTATTAAATAAAGCTCTTTAGGTTAAAGCCCAGAAAAACACGATGCCTTAATCCTGGGGATGGGGGACTTCCCATATGCCTATTGAAAGGGCGGGATGTTGAACCTCCACTTTACGAGTGTACAAAGGGTGTTTTGGTATTGCTTAGGGGAGGCCTGCGATTAGAGGGTGTGTGTGAAGAACAACACAGGGCGGGGGGAGGGGGGAGAGAAAGAAAGCTCCCAATGACAACACCATCGCAACTCAAATACATAGTTCACATTTGGCTGTCTGTTTTAGAATAGTTTCCCTTAAGGAAACGTCAGGTTAAGCTTGAGATCTGCCCGGTTGGTCTCCTTTAGGATTTTCGGGGAACATCCCTGGGTCCTTCACATACGAGTTACCCCCCGGGGCGTCCCGCTGAACTCTTTAAGTCCCAAGAGTGAACCAACGTCAATTTTCTCCTAACAACATCAGCAGATCACCAAGAGTAAAGGTTATGAGGAATACTAAATTGATTACCGGGGGGAGAACGCTTTGATCTTAAACCAAATTCTGTCAACTATTCTTAAAGGAAATGTATGGAGATCAGTCGGGAGAATTTGTATGTGGATCTTGGGGCTTAAAGGGTTAAGTCCCAAGACTGACCAACATCAATGTTTTAATAACAAAATCTGTACATCATTAAGTAGACAGGTTACAAGTGAGAATCAATAAAACGATCACAAAAGAGAAAATCTTTTTGATCTTTTTACTAAGTCTCTCAACTAATTTTTCAAGGAAAATGGATGGAGATCAGTTTGGAGAATGTGAATGGGGATAGTTGGGCTTAAAAGCAAGTAATTGTCAAACAGTGTATCATGCCCTGTTGAGATTAAAATATGTTATTTATAATGTTGAAGTTTGTGGAATGACATTTTTAACAAACCGAGGTGAGAAGAAGCGGATATGATGGGAGGCTACAGCCTTTCCGTTTCTTCCGGAAATTTTACTTTGGATCGACCTTCACTCTTTTTCTCTCCCACTGACAACAAACAAGAGATATATGACACCTTTGTCAAAAGAAATGTTGAGCAATCCCCCCCACCCCCTCCCCAATACTTTGGAAATTGGAACGAACTTAGTTTTCTCTATATCCCAGAGTACTCGGGCTCTTTGATCAGCGGGTCTCTGGGTAGGAGATTGCTTGTGCGCACGCTATGACCTGCCCGGGGGGTACTAAGGTTTGTTTCTGTACATTGGGGATGCTAAGTACTTGTATTTGAAACTAAAGCCACTGCTCTCGCAGATCCTTACAGCTGAAATCAGTGAACTTGTGCGATTTGATCATCGTATCAAAGGATTTCAAAGTTCTCATCGTTCGAGTCTTCTTTACTTTAACCTTTTAAAGATTTAGACAAAAAACTGTACGTTACAAAAGGGATGGGTAAATTTGCCAGCCAGCCGAAGAGGTTCTAAGTTATAATACCGAAAGTGCAACGGCGTCCTGAGCAATTTCGTCATTATTCGACACAGCAAAATTTAGGAGACTACAGAGCTACTGACTCGTCCCCAATTGTCTCTTAGTCTCTTATTAATATTAATGAGAGACGCACGGTCAATGGGAGCGCAAGGGGTGGTGGGAAGAAGACAAGAGGGGAGACGACAGGGGACGAGTCAGACAAATATGGACGATTTCTACTGCGCTGTTAGCACGGTTATCAATAGCACTTTTTGACCACCAGCAGTGTTTTATTGACCTATAAGAAACCTTAAAATACCACTCAACAGCCACACCCAGATTAAGGTGGCTATTTGTAGGCCTTTCTACTAAAACGTAACCTTTATACATCCCTTTCTTTGAACAGATTAAAAAGATACCAAAAGATACCTACAAGAGTAATACTTGACATCCTTGAAAACCATCATATAAAAACGTACATTTTCTAACTCCTAAGCCCGAAACATTACTACCTGAAACATTCTCTAGAGACACATTTGACTGACTGTCCTGCTGAACATTATCATAAACATTTTCCCGGAAAAGAATCATCTTTGTATATGTAGTGAGCGTCAATGTAACAAACGGGTACCGAACAGGTCTCTGTTTATAGAAAAATATAATTTGCACCATGACACTCGTTGAAACAGTTTTAAAACGTAAAGACAATTCGAACGAAAGGTTTCGATACCCTGTTGAAACGCTGCAGAGAACTTCCCGAAGGGCGTATATTTGAATGAGCGAGCGCTCTATCAGCATATCCCATGTACGTAGTCGCCAACTTTGAGTTTGAAAGCGGTGAAAGCGGAGTTGGATGCGTAAAAAAGCGATCAATTGGTGAGACATAAGGGTGAATGAAGAAAGTGGGGAAGGGGGTGGGGGAAAGTTCCCTAGGTTGTCTCCCTCCCCTCCCCTCCCCTCCCCTCCCCCCGAAAAGGGCACGAGAAGGTAACGTATAAGGGGTGGGAGGTGAGTGAGTGAGTGAGAAAATAAAAAAGGTCACCATCTTTGGAAAGATGTAGAATGTTTAGTCTCCGCTCGCGCTCAGCATTTACAAACGCGTCCACTTGGCGCGTTGACCGAATCCCAACACGAGAAAATAACCGCCGCACAACCTGGGTTGAGGTGTTCGCGCGTCCCCACAAACACTGTTATCCTGCCGTTTATCCTTGTTTCAGTTCTGGTATATCATAATAAAGGTCTAGTGAGTTGGGGTTGGCCAGAGCGCCCCTGTTTTTGATGTGTTCTCCTTTCAGAATCCTTTTGACGGCGACCTCCACTTTTTTGCCACTTGCTGTGTACGGAATCTCTTTTGTTTCTAGTAAGATCTCTGGTACGTGCCTTGCTGATAACAGCTGTCGAATGGTGCTCTTTACACGCGAGACGAGCTCATCGCTAAATCTTAAAATTAAAAATAAATAGACGAGTTAGCTATTTACTCGTGATTGTTGAAGGAATGCTGTACACTACACGCCTCAGCAGTTGTCTAGTGCTTGAGCCTAGTTTGGACCAAAAATCCAGGATCAACTTCCGCGAAACTACTCTTGAAAGTACTTTCGGCGCAGCATCACAAATTGTCGCGTAAGCAATTAAACATGTTTAAGCTTTGTTGTAAATGAAGCATTAGTAAGAATCACTACCGGAATCTTAGTACGAATAGATAAGAATCTTAGTAACAATCACAACGGGAATCCTAGTAAGAATAGGAGACAATTTTAGTAAGAAACGCTACAGGAATCTTAGGATGAATAGCTAACAATCATAGTAGAAATCGCTACGGGAATCTTAGTAAGAATAGGTAAGAATCTTAGTAAGAATCACTACACGCATCTTAGTAAGAAAGTAAGAATTGCTACACCGGAATCTTAGTACGAATAGGTAAGAATTTAGTAAGAATCACTTCGGGAATCTTAGGATGAATAGATAAGAATGTTAGAGCGTCAATTGTCCCGTGCGCATATCTTCCAAATCTTACGCTACGCTCCTGAAAAGTGCGTTCACAAACTTCGAAACACCGTACTCATACCTTATTTTCACTCAATTTGCAGGTAATTTGCAAGTTATTTACGTACCTATATCCGTTAGCCATTTTTAGGAACAATACGACTCGCTCTCCTTCGTGGGTTGGCTGTCCAACGCACAAGCTATCTTCAACATCATCGAACCTCTCCACTATGAAATCAACGCGTAACAACTAAGTCAGAACAAAAATTTATACACTGCACATAACTTTTTGAAATCACGAGAGCAGATGAACGATACGGATTTACTGGTCAAGTCTCAATAATTGCGCTGATTCGGTCTAAACATGTGTATCGAATATAACCAATTGTGTCCTGAAACTAGCACATGAAAAAGTAAGAGGAACAGGCTCCCAACGAAGTATCCGACTGCAGCACAGGTAACAAGGATTTCAGATTTTGCAATCGAAAGCGAAATTCGAAAACGGATTTCACCTCCAACAAATCTGTCCTCATGTTGGATTTCGATTACGAAATCCAAATCTGGATTTTATGGATTTCCTTTTTACAGTTCGATTGGGAAATCCGAAAAAGGATTTGCAAAAGTATTCTCGTGAACAGTGGTCTTCTTTTTGCTAATTAAGCGTGCGCGTGCAAGACCGCTGTTTTTCAAATCCTTTATCAGTTCGGATTCCCCTCCCCCCCCCCCCCCCCAAAAAAAAAGAAAAGAAAAGAAAGGGAATGAAAGAACAGATATCTCAACGTTGAAATCCGTTTTCAGATTTCGCGTTCGATTGCAAATCAGAAATCCTGATTTTGAAATGTAAAACTAAATTTCCAAATCAAACGCACCCTAGTAGCATTTTCTACCTCTGCTGATTTGGTACCCTCCCCTCTCCCCCATTACCAACTAATGTTCATCACCTATACTGTAAATTTCCGCGCTGCCAAACCTGACACCAGCTGGGTTCAGTGTTCCATCGCTAAGGAGAAAAAGAAGCAAAAGAAACGTCAGTCTCCAATTGATGTTCACCTCGTAACTGTACAAGGAAACGTAAGTTGGACGGGCAAAAACTACCCGTATCCGTATCTTTAAAGTCCAACGGGAAGGCCCCCTCTTACCCCGAAGAAATAACTAGACTTGCGGGTTGAACGATGAAAGTGTACGGTTACTACATTTGGAATACTAAAGTTTTCTTCAGAAAGAACACATAGAAAACCTGTCCCGCTCTTCTTACACGTACCCCTAGGTGGAAGCGGTGCAAAAAATAAAAGACACTGAATCGGTGAGGTTAGCAGCTCCCCCACCCCCCATTCCCTGCAATACCAGCTTCCCAGCATGACAATCTAGGAAGAAAATATTAGGGTAAGGGGTAGTCTGGGACTGACTTGAAAGCATAATTTAAGGAAAAATCAGTTAATTTGTAACTCATCTTGGGTGGCCCAGTGGATATCAAGACAGAGCAGAAAACAGAAGCTTGCGAGTTCAAAAATGAATTCGAATAATTTGACACTAGCTTATTCAACTTTGGTTAAAAAAAGACAAGAAAATAGGTTTCCTGTTAAGAAAATACCCCAATGAAATTTGTAACTATAACATACCGTAAAATTCCGAAAATAAGCCCCTCCATGTATAAGCCCCTCCAAATATAAGCCCCTCAAACCAGTAACGCAAAAAACCCTCCGTTAAATCACCCCTCCAAATATAAGCCCCCCAGTGACTTGTACTTGGAAAGTTGCCCTCAAATACAAAGTAAAACAAAGCCCAAAGGGTAAATTTACTTCCAACTATAAGGCTAGCCCAACCAATTTTGAAACGCAAATTTCCCTCCGTAGATAAGCCCCTCCGAATATAAGCCCCTCCAAAAATAAGCGCCTCAAAAAGGGCCTTTCAAAAATATAAGCCCGGGGGCTTATTTTCGGAATTTTACGGTATACACTAAACAAGGGGGTCAAACAACCTTTCAGGAAGGGTTCTGCTATTCCAAGTTTAGACGGTTCCCAGCAAATCGGTTCACTCCTTCCTTATCTGGAATGAGAGCCCAGTTGGCATGATAGCTTAGCGAGTTAAGTTTTCTTTAGAACGAACACATAGCAAACCTGTCGCCCTCTTTTTACCCGTACCCCTGGGTGGAAACGGTGCAAAAAATAAAAGACAAATCGGTGGGGTTATCAGCTCCCCCACCCCCTGCAATACCTTCTTCCCAGCATGACAATCCCTCCTGTACATGAGTTAATTGAGCAGAAATCACCGTGCGTCCAAACACCTAAAAAGAACAAAATGAAAAGAAGAATTTTAAAAGTTATTAAGTCCATAACAAATACTTGACTCGAAGTCCTTGCAGCTGTGAGCCAATTGCATGTGATCTACAGTGGAGGTCAAAAGGGAAGAAAAACCCGTGTAATTGTTACATAGGACTCTACACCTTAGAACAAACTGTTTGATCGGCTTCGGGTTTATTCCTTTTTATCATATAGACACGAGTGTTTTACTGGAAAATATACCACTCGTAAAATTCATAGAAACAACATCCGGGACCCGAGTGGTTTATTTTCCATAATCTCACAAGTGAATTTAACGATGACGTAATTTCGGTCATTTCCCTCTATTATTTGATCGATGTCTTTTTGTCTATATAATAAAAAGAACATTGCACGGCGGCTTGAAGATATGAATTTTATTTTCTCGTGGCAAAAACATTATTTTACTCACTCGCTGCGCTCGTTCGTGAAATATCGTTTTGCCACTCGAGAATAAAATTCATATCTTCGCGCCACCGTGTAATATCCTTTATATCCCTCACTTCTCCAAATAACGTTGTTCAACATTGCTTTGTGTGGGAAGGGGGCGGTAGCCAGTTTTACTATTGCCACGTTAAGTGTCCAAGTGTTAACACTTTTGACCTCCGTTGCGGGCGATTTGAACCTCAAAAGAGTCGACCATTTAACAAACAAAATCGAACTTTGTAATGAAAAAAAGCCAAACCTTGACCCAAAACACAAACGCAACTCAGTGCTCTCTTTATCCCGTGAAGTAGTATTGAGGAGGGTGACGATGAGATTAACTAAGCAGCTCACCTGCAAACTTGTTGAAATATGCTTTCTTGTATTTTAGTCCCTGTGGATCATTCCAGAAGTAGACTGGCATACAAGGAAACGGTTTAGTGCACACTAGCTCACCGCTCTGATCGTACACCGCTTGACCTAAGATACATCAAGAAAATGAGCGAGTAGCCTCAGACGGTCCAGGTCCCTTGAAGCAACACACCCCTTCCCCCAACGAGTAGTCTCGATCGTCCTGGATATATAGTCTGAGAATCACAATAATGAGCAAATAGACCCCCGGGGGTACTCAACAAAGTTTTATAAGGGAAGGTTCCGCCCCCGAGGTCCAACCCCTTGTCTTTTTATATACCATTTATGTCAAAATGGGTGCCCCTTTCTTATACCTTCTATTGGCCACTGGTACCTCTTTCAAGTACCTAGTTTAGAACATTGCATCCCTTTTAACTGCTGCAATTGCCGCACCGTCTATTTTAATACGAATAAATCACTACACCAGCAAGTTTTTGTGTCCTTTTCACAACCATAGAATGCATCTGTTAACCCTTTTAGGGCCTTTTACTGATCGAAATGACAGATTTCCCAACCCTTTCAAAACATGTCAGCTAGTGAAATCTCTATCCTATCATATAACAAAAGCTTGAAAAAGGTACCCCTTTTGGGCGGAGCCAAGTCCCCTATCTGCCATCAAGGGGTTTACGTTTCCTTGTATAAGAATGAAAAAAAAAAAAAAATGAAAGGATTACCCCACACACCTTCATCATTCCAGCTTTCCACAGCCATTCCAAGATTTCGTGTCTGAATTTCCCCGCGATAAACTGGGACTGTCGGGTTTTGACCGACAAAACAAGATATAATGTCTGTCCCACCTGAGGTAAAGAAAATCGTAATATTTGTAAATCCTATTCCCTTTTCGAAAGATCGAATGACTTCGACGTTTCTAGTGAACAAGCACAAAGTGTCGTACACACGATAAAACATTGCCAAAAACTGTGCACAACATTATAATTCTTTGTCTATATCATATCTACAGCTATGTCTATGAAATTGTTAGACACTAAAACAGTTCGCTATGGCGTTCCTATACGCTGCAAAAGGTGGTGCAACAGGACACAGGATGAAATTTTCTGCGCACAACGTCGCAAAAGCAGGAGATTTAACGCCACAATTTGTGCGCATCAATTTCGAGTGTGGACATACGATGTAATTTAGTTACGGTGCGTATCATTGCACCATACATCCAAACCTTTCATTATCAAGGCTGGACGATTAGCCTAAGTTTAGGTGTCGCCTTACCTCGTGGATTGTGAAAAAAAGCGACGTGCGATAGCGCGCTCCCTGAGGAACTACCCCTGAGAAAATAAGGACTTCTCGTTGTCTACCGCGATTAAGATAACTCAAGGATGCGCAAACTCTAATATGGCAAATAACACTGAAAATTCAATATTACAGATAAACTAGAAATACATGTATCGCAAATCTTCACGCGATGCGAATTCCTAGAAAATTATAAACCTCGCAAATGCGAGGGCCTTCTTCCTCGCTTCGCGAGGAAAAAGATAGTGCGATAACACAAAAAATTAACGAACGTTACCAGAGATGGACCCGAGAAGAACATCCTTCTTTATACTGCTGTAAACGTAGTCAAAGCTGGCTGGTTTTAGCGGGGACCCCGTTGATAGAATCGTGTGAAGGGATGACAGGTTGTGTGTCTTAACTGAAACGGGAATACACGCTATCGTTAGGGCGACTAGATTAAACGTGTGACTTACGCCCAGTTAAAGGAGACATGCCGCGAAAAATAAGAGAAATATGTCTAAAGTTTTTGAGTTTGCCGTTTGACGGTAATCCATTTTTAATGCGCTGTGGTTCAGTATTACTTTTTGTGTGTTGTTCTATTTCATGAAACTAGTCATTATTTTGACCTAGCAGGCTCTTGTGTCGCAGTTTCGTGCAGCATAATCCCATTTGGTTTTCTGCGAGGAGTTACCACGCGGATCGAGAGGGGGATCCCGCGGCTAAACTGCTCGCGCAAAACTCTAGCCTGAGTAGCTGGGGGGTTTTTGATGCGTTTTTCATTTGTGGTTCATACAGGGTTAGTATTAAAGCAGTTCTTAAAATAAGAGATAAAGCCGCTTGAAAGCTGAACCGAGGACGGAAAAGAAAACGATGGGGAAGGGGGTGAGGGCAGAAGGTGACCTCGCGCGCGCGTTTCTCTCGAAAAGCACACCAAGAAACCTCCAGTTACGCAGGCTAGCAAACCTCCGGTGGCTTATCGTCACACGCTCCTGCTCACCATCTTATAAAGCCTGCTGACAGGCTAGTTTTGATAAAAGTGTGATTTTTCCTTTTTAATGTCAAAAATAATTCTATATTTGTGTTTCCGCAAAAAAGAATTCAACTCCTTTACGCGTGAGGCGTCCACTTTTGTATTTCCTATTACAGTAAAACCTCTTTTAAGCTGACCTCCAATTATGCGGACACTAAGCTGGGTCCCGAAATTCTTATATTTCCCTTTATAACGAACCCCTATTCAGCGGACACCTCTATTAAGCGGACACTAAAATATATTGTAATTGGCTTATTTCTATTGTTAAAAACCTCTATTAAGCGGACACCAGTCTGAGTTGACAATAGTGGTATTGCATTACGTCCTCGAAATATATAGTACTGTAGTCAATTAATACATTCAGCTCTCAATAACTGTAGATTAACCCAAAAGTCTTGCACAATGTACAGCACAGCTTCCTTAGCATCCTTAACAACATGGAACTTTATCACAGTAAAGAGTAACCGTTGAAACTTAATCGTTAACAAACATTGCGCAACTTTTACAAAACTCTATTAAGCGGACACCCTTCATTAAGAGGACACTTGGGAAGGTCCCGAAGGTGTCTGCTTAATACAGGTTTCACTGTAGACAAACTACAATGTACTGCTGGCTTTCCACTTACTGGGATGTACTTTCCTATCTTCTAGAGCTGACAGCCACTTAGCTCCAGTTCCAAGGACGGTTATCCTGTGACGACAAGATGAAAGATGGCGTTGTGAATTCCAACAGAATTAGTAGCGTTCAGTATAGGGCCAATTTTTTACTAGAATTAGCGTCAGTCGCGGGGCTTAAATTTTCAACTTTCATGTACTTGACGGGTGGGAGACCGAATAGAAACATCACAAAGGTTTTTTTTCCTTTCATTTTTGATAATCATGACTTTCCTTTCATTTTGTTTGGCAGACAGGGAGAGAAAAGAAGAAAACGTTTTAGCTCTTGGAGATAAATGCCCGGAGCATTTACCCTCAAAATAAATTTAAGAAACGGATGCAGTTCAGTTAGATACAATACATCAGCGCGCTCGCGTGTAGCCTGCGAGCAAGATCTTCATTTCGAATGGCTATCACACCAGCCGGGCGTGACTTCTCGCGATATCCCCACCTCCTGCCCCAGTTGGAGAGTTTGCTTGCTCGTGTTTATCAGGCGCCATTCAATCTCTTAGAGAAATATAGGACTACCTTAAGGCTACAATTAAGATATGGCAACAATACTGGACACAGGGACATAAAACAATCTTACCCTATTTGATCTACCAAATCCCACAAGACATGTGGCGTGGGTATAAATGGTGAGCCATCATATAACACTACAGCGGCTCCTACAGCAAGCGCAGACACCAACCAGTTCCACATCATCCACCCTGTCTGTAGATTTATAACCAAGGGGTTAAGGACTGTATACACGGGTAATTTTACCGCGTGATTCGTTCGCGACTAGATCGCGATCTGGTTACAAATCCAAATTGCACGTCTCAGTAAACAGTCTGTGATTCTGAGTGCGAGTTACCATAGCCCAGTGGCCGCAATAAATAGTACGAAAATGTGATTATGATGGAAATGTATCGCAACTTCGCGGCGATTTTTAAAATAGAAATGAAGCACTAGACTACGAGTAGACCCTCATTTTCCCTTGGGGATAGTAGAGCATGCGAACCGCGAGCGCGCTTGACGCCTTTCTCGCGAGGGGTGATTTCATGCGCGCTCGCGTTTCGCTCGCTCTACTATCCCTGAGAGAAAATGAGGAACTACTGGTAGTCTATCAACCACCGTCATATTTGTTGTTGGGTAAACTGCGTACGCTAACTGTTAAAAATGTTGCTCAGAAATTTCACTTTCTCTTCTTGCTTCTATGCAATTGCAGTTTGCAGGCTGGTGGTCCTAAAAGCGTCCCTCTCATCGCGTGACAAATCGCGTGACTGAAACGTTCGTGTAAAAGAGTCCATCTTGTTACGTGGCAAATCGCATGTCTCAATCGTTTAGAATCGAAAGTGTGCAAACAAAGCACTGTAAACTATCTTGCGCGGAAATTCCGGCAAATACGTTTAGTTTCGACGTAATTTTTTTAAATATAAATAATTACCGTAGAGTAATAAAGTATGACATCTTGTCTGTTCATGTTGCCATGAAGTAAATGTTCTTTAAGATGCTGGATCAAAGTTCCCTGTAAATAAACGTCAAAAATTTCAACATCGGCTAGAATTTCTAAATTCTTATACAGCATAAAATTCATCAGATTTGAATTTAAGGGCAACTTCCCGAAGGGCCATAAACATCTATCAAATAGGTTTTCACATTAAAATAATTAAGTGATTTTGCTTTGGGGACGATCGTATGTGGTTGCAATAATAAGGGTGGATATCAACCTTGTCTCTTAGGTTCTCTCTCTCTCAGCTTGCTTCATAGGGACAAGTAGGAGAGAGAGAGCTGGGAACGAGGTTGGGTGGATACTTAATTTCGCGAGTCTTTAGTTTCGCGCTTTTCGCTATTGCAAACGAATCGAGAAAATAACGACTTGCAAAAAATAAATCCTCGCGAAATTCAAGCATGCGAAATTAAATACTCGTATAGAAAATTCAAATCACAGAAAAAATTATTTATATGAACTTGTAATAGCAACAACATGTACAGGATATGTACCAGCAATATAACTTAATAACTGGTTTTACTCGTGAGCTCCGTTTTGTATCTTCAGTGAGTGAAATAATGTAAAATTGTGAAGCTTTTCCAGCCCTATTTTCACATTTGCGTGTTGAAATCGCGAAAATAAAACCCCGTAAAATACTCTCTCGCCAAAATCGCGAAAATAAGTACCAATAAGGAAACAGTTAATTTTTTCTCCAGCTAAATCTTAATTTTTAACTCAATAAAATCTTTTTAACTAGGTAATACTGAAAGCAGATTTTGAACCACATATTAGGGTAAGAGTGAGTCTGGGACTGACTTGAAAGCATAATTTCAATAAAAATCATTCAATTTGTAACTCATCTTGGGTGGCCTAGTGGATATCAAGACAGACCGGAAAACAGAAGCTTGTGAGTTCAAACCTTGGTAAGTAAATAACAAATCATTCTTTCTCATGCATTTGTAGTAGCAAGGTGTATAAAATCTGAGAATGGATGTGTTAGAAATGAGTGGGTCATAAACAAAAAGGGATGGAGAGGAGAAATAGTAATAATAATAATAACAACAACAAAAACAACATAGTGATATTTAAAAAATGCATTTTACATATTTTTAACCAGGAAGACTTTTTTTTACCAAGGTTCAACAGGCTAGTTCCAAAATATTAAACTTCACTCTTGGCTCAGAGGCTTGGAGAAATAATATTAAATAATAAAAATCTGAATTATAATCACTGAATCTCAATGCATTTTCTTTTGTTTTATACCTCCAGCCTCTCAGCCAAGTGCAAATTTTAATACATTGACATTGGCCTATTGAACTTTGGTTAAAAAAAAAACGAAAAAGAGTTTTCCTAGTTAAGAAAATATGTGATGAAATTTGTAACTACAAAATAAACAATAAACCAGCAGGTCATACAACCTTTAAGAATGGGCACTGATAATAATGCCAAGTTTAGAATGTTTCTGGAAAATCTGTTCCCTTCTCTCTTATTTGGAATGGGAAGCTAGTTGGCTTGATAGCTCAGGGTTAAGAACATTGCACCAGTATTGCAGACGTCATGGGTTTGAATCCTGTTTAAGCCTGACTTTTCCTTTTACAGGCTTTCTTTTTGCAACTGCTTTTTAAGTTTCATAGTACTGCATTGATCTTTGATGAGTTAATACACTTAGGTGGCCAGGTTGTTTTTGGTACCTAATCTCCCCCTATTCCCCACCCCTCTTCCCATGTTCCGGCTCCCTTAACATTACTGTTTGTACCCCTGTGACCAGGATTTCTTCTAACCCCAACAGAATGCATCATAGGTTACATGTGTCCTCCCATCTGACTGGCTCCAGACCACCCATCCTACCATGTCCCCACCCACTCCCTTAACCTTACTATTAGTACCTCTGTGATCTTGTTTCTTCTAACCCCAACAGAATGCACCATACATGTTACATATATGTCCTCCCATCTGACTGGCCCCAGACCGCCCCTCCTCCCATGTCCCTGACCCCTTAACCTTACCGTTACTAACCCTCTGATCTGGTTTTCTACTCACCCCAACAGAATGCACCATACAGTACAAGTCATGTAATCCTCCCACCTTACTAGCCCCAAACCACCCCTCTTCCCATGTCCCCACCCCCTCCCTGAACCTTAGTAACGTTAGTAACCCTGTGACCTAGTTTTCTACTCACCCCAACAGAATGTACCATACACTTTGGAGGACCTGTTGTTCCTGATGAGTACATGATGAACAGTGGGTGATTAAAAGGAACCTGGGCAAATTCAAGAACTGGCCTTTCATCCGCAAACTTGGAAAACTCAGAAAGCAAAATACTGAGAAAAAAAACGAAATTTATGAATAAAAAACTTGGTTATTAAGTTGATGAATCATTTCACTGTAGAAACACCCATTACATTAAAACAAAGCTTCAAAAACTCATTAATAATTCATAAAGGGGGAAAAAGAGAAATAAAATTATTAATGTTTTTTAGTGAGTGTCCAATTTTTTAGAACGAAATAGCCCCAAATCTAAGTGCAAGAAGGAGTTGATCTATATCAAAGTGAGTACACGTGAAATTAAGTTATTAATCAGACTACTGATTATTAATCAACTTAGTTTATTAATTAATCTTGATTACTACATTAGTTTTGTTTTTATTATTACAGTCGACTCCCGATAATTCGAACCTTCAAGGGAAACAAAAAACAGTTCGAGTTATCGGGAGTTCCAGTTATCGTGGGTAAAATTATATAGAAAACGATCCGAAGGGAAATGAAAATTGCTTCGAGTTAGCGGGAGGTTCGAGTTAGAGAGGGTTCGAGTTACCGGGAGTCGACTGTATTTAATTGAATTGCAATGCTTTAATGGCAAAATGTACCATATGGGAACACTAATAAATTGTTGTTGTTGTTGTCACTTGGGAAGTGAATCACTTGCTTTACTCATAGAGGGTCATAATCAAAGAGGTGCATGAAATGAGGCTTTATCATTAAATATTAATCTCTTATATTCCCATTTTGTTTCATAAGAAACTAAGTTACCGGTAACTCACAAGGAGAATATAGATTAAACAAGAGTTAATAGGCAATTTCCGAGTTCCCTCGGTCCTCTGTATCAAAACGAGGTTAAGTGCTCAGCCTAGCTTTGACATGGAAATGATTTTTCATTCTAGATACAAATAAAACTCATTTTGATAAGAAAGGTTGTGCACTTAGCCTAATTTCGAAAGTGAGGATTTTTGAAACTCGGAAGTAGCCTATTAGGGCTATTTTCCATTTATCCATTTAATGTAACAGTACATTTAACAGGAATATTGAAAAACAATAGTCATAACACTGGTTTCTTAGTAATGACAAGCTGGTGCCACAGATTGATACATTAAACTACAAAGCCCCATACGGGGTTCCCAGAAAAAGATGCCATTGACATGGGCAGATTTAAGGGTGGGCTGAGGGGGCTGCGGCCTTCCCTTTTTCTGTGAAATTTGGCATTGTTTTAAAGAATTCTCAGTAATAAGATAGTATTTATTGTATATACGCTTTCAAGTGATCATCCTTTCTGAATTGTTCGAATCTGACTCTAATTAATGAGATCGCATAAGGGAAGGCAAATACCTGTTGGGAATGTTGGAAAGGTCAATTTCATCTGCTTTTCCAACAAAAGGCATCACAATAACTTTCTCCAGATCAGGAAGGCCTGTAAGTAAAATTGAACTTGACTTCACTTATTTTTCTTTCCTTTTTTTCAAGGGGGCAGGGGGGGGAGTAAAGTGTTCCCCCATTATTGGAGCAAAGTTTCTTACATACCAGGTAAAACCAGTTGTTAATTAAAAAAGCATGGAATTGAAATGATTTGGATTTCCTGTGCAGTCAAAAATAGGCCCTTTGCAGTTAGCCATTCATGTGGCTCTGGGACACGACAAACAAAAGGCACACATAATTTAAATGGTAATTTCCTTTGTTTGTCTTCTCCCAGTGCGACTTTTGCTCTCCAGCATGGTGGTTATGTACCACGTGAATGGCTAGATGCAAAGGGCCTATTAGTTGCTTATACCACTTGTCACCCAACCCACCAAACATTACATGCATCCCTCCATACATACTTTGTACAACTTGAGTTAGTTTCCCCAAATGGTTGTGTATCTTCTTGTTATATCTGACAGCATCTACTGAAAAAATAACCTTTGGTGTAATCTGTGTAAACCTGTCCAATACTCCCTGAAAAGAAAAGAATATTGTTTTAGATTTTATTTAAAAAAGGTTTAATTTAGAGGCTAATTCTCTGTTTTTTGTTTTTACCTTTTACCAATATCTTATTTGCAGGGTTTCCTACGAAATGCCTTAGTTGGTGATGCAGTTTAAATGTCACTTCAAATTACTGTTTATATTATTGAACATTAACATAACTGTTTATAGATAATGACATTATCAAATTCTCATAATAAAAATAATATAATGTTGGGAATGTTATAATAATAATAATAATAATAATAATAATAATAATTATTATTATTATTATTATTATTATTATTAAATGTAGTAAACTTTCTACAAAGGCAACCTCAGGGGCAGAGTTAGGTATGATTTTATTTAAAACAAGAATGAATATATCTATTGTGGTTCAATTTTATCCTTGGTTTAAATTTTATTTTCCTTTGTTTCAAACTCTTAATCATACATTACCATATCCCAGAATAAAGGAAAACAAAATTTAAAACAAGGATAAAATTGAAGCACAAAATATCCAGGGAAACAAAACAGACTGACCATGATGGAGAGGTGGCCATTAGTGAAGGCTCAACTGTGCATTTTTAAAATTAAATTATAATTGACAATTACCGATACTCCAAAATCTGGTGAGGTAGAACTCCAAATGGCTCCTAGGCTAGCTGTAGCTAACATGGCTTCCACGGCCAGTGCACAGTTGGGGATGTAACCTTTGAAAATAATAACATTCAGTCAAAGAGAGCCACCACATCAGATTTGGCTTTCTCAGACGTTTCATTTAAGTGTTCTTGATTTTTCTGAGATGCAGCAAATGCTGATGATAGAACGACTAAGAGGCTTTGAAGATCAAATAAAGAGAAAGGGCTCTTAAAGCTCTTTTCATCTCTGGGCATCTGTTAGCGCAACTTTGTTGCCAGGGTCCTCGCCTACTCGACAAGTACAAGAGGACTGGTGGGAACGTCTAGAAACAAAAAAGAACCTTCTATTGGCATTAAATAAAAAACACGGTGTACATTTGATTGCCACAAGAACACTGAATGTTCCTTAGAAAGAATAGAATTTGGGAGTGAGGATGGGAAGAATCTATGACTAGGTATTCCACGAGAGAGGCCTGTATAAAATCAAAAAGGTTTAACTTTCAACTCCAAATGAGTTTTAAGTGTGGTTTCCTATCAAATACAATACTCATACCAACAACTCTGTCTCCTTTCTTGATGCCAAGATTTTTTAATGCCGAGGCTAGGACTGTCACATTCTTTCTTAGTTGATGGAATGTTACTGATTGAACTTCTTGTCCTTCTCCTAAACATAATGTGGTAAAACAATTATTAAAAGTACACAATAAATACTTTCAAATGCTGCACTACTATACTGCAAATTCATGGTCTCGTAATAATAAGTAAGCGACTAAAGAATGACCTAGAGTCAGCCCCTCCCCTCCCCAAGATTCAATGATGGCCTATATATATGAGCGGTGGTAGTTTATAAGAGACCAAACAGCTTTCTTTTTCAGGAAAAGGTATGACAAGTTTGGGAACGACAGGTTTTGAAATTCACTCTAAGGGCACACGCACCCCCCTAAGTGGGCCTCTAAAATAGGTGGGTGCTATGCATGGTTATAATCCCTTCAGCCCCAATATCCAAATACAAATTCTCCAAACTGATCTCCATATATTTCCTTAAAGAATTAGTTGAGAGAATTTGTTCAGAGTTAGTTGAGAGAATTTCTGCAGATCAAAGATTTTCCCATCAGGTGATCATTTCATTAATTCTCACAACATTTTCTCTAGATTATGTATTGATATTGTTATGAGAAAATTGACTTTGATCACTCTTGGGACTTAAAGGGATAAATAGCCCCTTTGGCACCTTTCTCTTTTGTGTTCCCCCAATATTCTTTTTTTTACAATTCACTATAAGGAAAATAAATTTTACCTGCTGTATACAGTGCAACTTTGTCATCATCATACCGCAAAAGATTCTCTGCAAAATTAAGACGAGCTCCACGAAACCACTCAGGAATTGTTTCCATTGGTTGGGACTGATCTAATACTTCCTCGTATGTTTGGGAATGAAGAATGTCAGCATATTTCCAAAAAATCTCCCAGAAATCAGCACAGTTTGTTACACTCCACTTGCGTAACTCCTCATATGTTTCTAAACGTGTTGGAGGAAAGATAAATCAGAAAAAACTTTTAACAACATTTTGCCTAATTTTCAATAAAAATAGATACACACAAAAAAAATCTATATAATGTTATCATAATATTAATAAAGGGGGTGTTTCCTTGAGATGCAAGTTGTGCAAAAATTGAGGAAGTGTCAGTGGCAGGGGAAACAAGGCTGGTGGATACAGTTCACTATCTTGAGTGACCAGGGGTTTCAAGAAGCACCGACGACCAACGAAACATGTCGGCTACTTTGCTCATAGAAGTCGGCTACTTTTTTCTAGAAGGAAGAAGGAACTAGTTTGAATAACTTTGTCAACAAAAAATATAATTATCGTAAAATCTGAATGAAAACGTAATTATGATGTGTTTTCCGAAAGGCCCACTGGTTTTACGTTATGCTTTAGCCATCTAAACACTATGTTTCAGTCAATTTTCACAGGTTTCTTTACAGGTTTACGCAGAATTTGTTAACGTGCAAAAGTACGTAATTTAGTTTTCATCATCATTTGTTCATTGCTTGTAAGAATTGATTGTGACTGATTGATCAGAAGTTTAAAGAAATCGACAGTGATTTTCTTGAATGAAAAACACACTCTTTTGTCCTCAATTTAGTCCCCAGAACAGTGAAAATTGCATTTTACGGCTTTCAGTTTTCAAAATTTTCTGGGGAAGCATGTCACCCCCCTCCCCCCAACCCCTTCAAGGACTAACATGTCCCTTTTGATACAGTCAGTTACTCTAAGACTATTCAAACCTGCTGGCAACTTCAATTTTTATTGAAACCCCTGAGTGACAGATGAAAATATAATATAATAAATCACGGTCGACACAGTATAATAATATCTATAAATAAGTTTCTAAGTTACAGAGAATAATATCATCATTAGCAATTTATTTTTGCTTTCTTATATTCATTTTATTTACAGCATTGTAAACTCATGTCATGCACATTCCTTGTTGATGTAGATAGGAGTGATTGGGGGTGTGCCAGGGGTGTGTGAATGCAACATTCCTTTAAAAAAAATAATAATCTTCACCTTAAAGTTTCTCCAATTATTTTAAAGGTCTTCATTGTATGACCATCACAGGTTAATACTAAAAAATCTCTTCACAAGAACGCGTTTAAGGGTTAACCGATCAAGTCAAGGCACCTACGAGTACTTCCTTTTAACCACCCCCTCCACGACTCCCCGCTCAAAATGTAACTAATTTGGGCTTACTTCTAAAAATAAAACAAATACGTTCTTTGAGCGGGAAATATAAAACAAATGAGATCTATAGCATAAAATCGTTTTTTTTAAAAACAAAACTTACCCAAATTAAGGCCAAATGAGTGATTTACCACAGACTGGAAACGGTGAATGTTTGTCAATCGACCGGGAGATGGTTTCCACATCAAATTTGGTCGATCCTCCCTCACCGATGCCATTTCAACGTTTGAATTTGATCTGTCGGTACTCCACATAAACAGAAACAACGGCTTCCAAGAACTACGGAGCGTCTTTTAAAGAAAGGCCCTTCGTCTTTTGATGCCCAGGGCAACGTCAAAAGATTTTCCGCAAAAATTCAGTCATTTGTTTCGCAATTTGGCGCCACGTCACGTTGGCCATCCCAAGGGATTCACAGTCACACGAGCATTTCAGTCGATTCACGAACTTTTGCAATCTTCTTCATTAATTGAAGTGAATCCGTTGAACCGTAGACCAATGTTCTTTCAAAAGGTGTTGGTGACCAGACTTTATAAAGAAATTTGTTGCTGAGCACTGCGGATATAAAATCGCACCGAGTAGACTGAGTCAGCTGAATTTCACGCTTGTGCTGCAGAAAGTTCATCGAAGGGAGGGAGGGTAGTTTTGCCTGTTTACTCGTTTACTCCTGCCCTCTTTTCACAGCCAATAAAAGCAGCTGCCTCTAATATCGACATTTACGGCTCTAAGATTTTCTAAAGAATAAAAATTGGTTTGTATTTGGCACTTATAAGATGAAAAATCTCTTAACATTTGAACCTCTCTCTACCCTACCTTCCTTGATCCATAAATGCTCTTTGGAACCAGTCTTCATGTAGGGTCACTCAAGGTCACTCATTGCGTCCTGTTTGCAAAATGGCGGCTGAATTTACCAGTTTGGAAGGTTGTTTGGAGAAACATCTACCGCCGAAAGAACTAGAGGAAGTGAAAAGGATTTTGTACGGAAAACCTGTCAGGTAACATAATGCGTCTGTGAATGTCTTTTAAAAGACCTACCCTGCGAGCAGAGGCCCTTCGATCTTCTTATATAAGTCGGGAAGATAAGCACAGGAAATGGCATAGTCAAATAACCAATTGTAATTTCAGTAATGATTTTATGTGTTTGAGGAATCATAACCTTGGTTTGCCCAGGCTTCACCAAGTCATCATATCATTTTGTCAGGCACAGGAATCATAACCCTGGTTTTTAAAGGCTTTATGAAATCATTTGAGGAATCATAACCTGTGTTGTCATAGCTAAGAATCATAACCACGATGTTGCAAGACTTATTAAATCATTTGAGGAATCATAACCCCCACTATCGCATTGTTAAAATCAAAGTATCACTCATTGTAGCTTGAGAGTATACTGTCAGTGGAATCATACCCCCCCCCCCCCAATTAAAAGAATTTCCCAAATCCTTTCATTCCAGATATGTGAATATACAGGAAATCATCACAATGATTTTTTTTTTGTTTATTTGGGTCTTAAAATTATGCTCAGATACATTTTTTTTTTTTTTTCAAACATTTCCCTTTTAATAACAATTTGAAAAATGCTTGGTGAACTGAAGTAACATAAGCAAAATTCCAGAGTCTCCCCACAAATTGCACTGTGAAGTGTGCGGATCAAAAAATAATCCAATATGGAAAAATAACAATACACAAGGAATCAGTGTAGATAACAGCTGTCCGAGAAAACGTAAGTTTAATGGCGATGTTATATATACAAAACAATGTTGTCTGAATGTTAATAAAAGATAATCAAGTTCGTGTTTAAATTAATAAACATTAATAGACCAGTGAAATCCAATTAATAATGAACAAATATCAATAAACAATGTAAAATAACAAATTTGTTTTTTGCTGCAATGCGCCAAATTGCGCGATTGTGGCAATCCTTACTATTGTGTGACAATGTTTGCGTTAATTGATTTGACTCAAGTTGAAACATTTTTGGTCGACCAAAGGGGAGAAATTGCTCCTTCGAGAAGGGATTTTTGACGAAATATACATGGAAGTGCAAAATCCAGAAGAACTTATGAAAGTGTTACACAAATGTACTTGATAATCCTTCTGCTAAAAGCCAGTTGAATTCATTTGTTGAGCAAGCAATTATATCATGTCAGAATTAGAGAATTAAATAGGAGATCAAAACATATTCCCCACATCCTCTTTTTAGACTAGTGAAATCCAGTATTTACTCCTTAAGCCTGACAATATCAATAAACAAATTCTGTGAGACTGATCATGATATCCCATACATCTCATTATAGAAAATTTGATAGAGGATCAAAACTTATTCCCTTCGGAGATTACTATTTCTATGAAAGTTCTCAGAACCTTCTCTCTTGATGACATATTGATATTGCCAGTAGGAACTGATTGACGTTCAGGGTCACTATTAGGAATTGTAAGGTTCAATACTTATATACATGTATATTATAAATTGTAACCACTTCTCTCCCAGAATGGCATGCAATTGTCAAAAGTATCTGACAAGATTTTTAAATTTCATTCTGTAAAGTGCTAAAAAAACAGATAGCGCCTAGAGTTATGCCAAAGAGGTTTCATTTGAATGGTCATACCACAGAATTTCATCAGCAGATTTTAAATCTAGTACAAGAGTCATTATTCATTCTGGGAATGAAGAGATAATTAATACATCATTCTGTTGTTGATCTACTGGTTTGTGTCAGTGACCTATACTAGCTGGAACACTACACTTTGTGTTTTAAATTTCACACAGCACAGTCTTTTAAAGACAACCAAAGAATAATTTAGACCGAACCTTTCAAATAAGATCCTTTAATGGACCAAAAAATGTCTATAATTTTTAATATTGCCAGACCTGCCAACTCTCACAATTCTGGCTTCAAAGACTCTCATGATTTTTCACTTGTCTCATGGCCCAAAAACAAGACTCCCAATCACATGTTTTTGGGGAGATATCTTTCTGAAACGAAATGTTACCTTGTTGAATATAAAACAGAAATTCTGTGGGGATGCTAGTGCCAGTGTTTAACCTTATTATAATTAAATCAACATGTAATATGGAAGGGTCTCACTGTCTTACAAATCTCAGCCACATAATTTAATATATGTTGTGCTCATTATAAGTGGAAGGAAATATCACTGAGTCAATTAAATGGTTAATATATTTTTTGCGATATGTGGATCTATAGGTAGATTATGTTTTCCCTATTATTCAGATTTGCCTCAAAACCCAATATATGAAATAAAAATGCACCTTGTTCATCTTTTTTATTATTATTTTTGAAGCAATTACATAGCACTTTGTCGATTTAAATACATATGTATGCCGCGTAAATCTTCAACTGGGAAAACTTACTGGGAGAAGCGGATTTGGGACTGGACTTGAGGAATTTGGAATTCAAAATCGCGGATTTGCAATCAAGGAATATGGACCATTCGGGAAAATAAGTCAAAAAAAAGTTAATTTAATTGGAAAAAGTAAATGGATTTGATTGAATTACAACGGAATTTTTAACTTCACATGATGGTGCATTTCTATTATTTTTTTTGTATCTTATTTCTTCAGGATGCCGAAATTACTATATTTGTGCCAGAGAAAACATTGCAAAGGTGACCGGAAAATTGCTATGAAAATCTTGTTCATTTATTTGTACAATATAATCTTCCTTCAAAACTATTCCCACACTGAAGAGAACTACATTATCAAGTTAAAGGGGTGAAAGAAAAGAAGATAAGATTAAGTGAAAGGTATCTGTTCACCATTTGGAAAACACATTTTGCACCTCACATTTTGTATTCTTTATCTATTTACTAACTAAAAGAAACAACATTTTCGATAGGTTTAAGTCTTTTTTGGCCTTGTAGTGAACAGAAAAGGGCTTGGAAAGCCTAAACAGGCATTGTTCATAAAAAGGACAGGAAAAAATTAAAATTTTTTTGCACTGTGATTACTATAGTGCATCATGAGAAAAGCTTGATTCCTGTGTTTTTTTTAAAGGTCTCTGTTTGTCACCTTTATTTGATAAACTTGAGTCTGGAAAGAGAAATAATAATTTTTGTTTTGGAAAAAGTCTGGAAAAAGTCTTGAATTTTGGATCCAAAACTCTGTGAAACATGCACTTTTAAAAGTAGACAAAAAGTCTGCAAACTGAAAAAGTACCAAATGGGCAAAAAACCCTTGAAAATACATTTGAATGAGCTGCCCAAAATTGTCAATGTGCATCCACTCTCATTGGGCTCTTCCTACACATGTGATGTCATCAGTTTACCATTAGACATTACCGTCTAACCTCTCCCTTATAAACACCTCTATAATACGGACACGTCTCTATATATTACGGACAGTTCATATTTAAAAAGGTGGGGAATCGAAAAGTTAGAAAGTTCTTTGCATTTGGTTCCATTTTGCCTTGGTTTCCTAAAAAGTAACCAAGGATCATGCTCAAAAGTAAAATGCTTGCTCCTTGGCCACTGGTGGCAGCCCTGCCTTTAAAAAAAAATCAGTTGTTGGGTGTTCAGGCCTATATATAATTCTCGACTGATAGTCAATATCTATGACAAGTACAAAAAAAAAAATAAGAGAACAAATTGTACTTAACATTTCAAAATTTCTGTGTTGTTTGATCAAGTCTGGATCTTAAAACTCATTGTCACTTAAGTGCAACATTTTATTAAAGTTCAAGGCTGTGCTCTAAGGCTGTAACACCTAGGGTGCCCAGCATATGATTTGAATGAAAAAAGTAAGACTTTCAAGTTGCTTGAGAGCAAGAGTTATAGGAGCGGGTGAATAGGCGAATGGATCGGGCGGATTTTGAAAATATTTTTGCCCACATTTTGGATTCAAAGCGAGATTTTTAACGTCCCGACTTATCTAGGAAGATCGAAGGACCTATGCTCGCAGGGTATTAAAGACCTTGTTAGACAACAACAAAGTTGTTTATTACACTGTAATGAAGCTGATCTTTGGCAAAAAAATCAAACTTAACTGGCTTAATATGATTGCTCCCTTGCTGAGTAAATCAATCCAGTATTAAAAGAGGGGGGTAAAGTGGTTATTGCGTGATACGTGATTAAGTGTTTTTAATTTTCGTGAAAGGTGAAAATAGGAAATTAAAACCTGTGAACTGTGACTGGTTTGCTTGTCGTGATACATGAACTTTAAAATCTTTTACCCGATATTCGTGATTTGTCAGATGTCAGATGTCAGATGTCAGACGTCTGATGTCAGATGTCAGATGTCTGATGTCAGATGTCAGATGTCAGATGTCTGATGTCAGATGTCAGACATCTGATGTCTGATATCAGACGTCTGATTGTGATGTCAGACGTCTGATGACGGATGTTTGATATCAGACGTCTGATGTCAGACCTCTGATGTCAGATGTCAGATGTCTGATGTCTGATGTCAGACGTCAGATGTCTGATGTCAGATGTCAGACGTCTGATGTCTGATATCAGACGTCTGATGTCTGATGTCAGACGTCTGATGCCAGATGTCTGATATCAGAGGTCGGATGTCAGACATCTGATGTCTGATATCAAACATAGGGGCTATCCCCTGAGACAAGGTCTGGATAAGTTACATATGGTCCCTGAAAGTTCTTTGTATACCTGACACAGATCATGTGTCAAGTGGTTGCTTAGGCTGGATTGTCAAAATTCATGCACTGTATTAGTCTAGGATAAATTACAGAATTCAGAGTATTTGGGTGTAGAATGGTCAGGGTATCATAAATATAGGAAATTGATCTGAAAGAAGAATTAACTTTAGAATTTCATGATTGAACACACTGAAAAAGAGTTTGTGGATATTGATCAAGGCTCATTTCAAATGCTCTGGAAAGCTGTGGTAGTGAATACTCTATTTCACTTTTTATCTAGTACACTGGAGTTGCCTACAGAAGCACTGAAATTAGCAGAGGAAAAAAACTTTGAACTGGCAGGATACAAGTTTGGTGTTCTGGAAGAGCAACTTCGCAAGCCTCGTATAGTTAAGATAGGAGCTGTACAGAATAAAATAGTTTTGCCTACATCTGCACCACTTGCAAACCAGGTGACTCCAGTTTAAGATGTACGTACGTACGTATTTAGATGTGCTCTACCATGGCTATTTCCAAACAGACATAAAGTTACAGATAGCGCCTACTGTGTGTAGGCTGCAAAAAAAACACCTCTATGTAGTTGTGAAAAACAAAATGGCATATTTGTTTAACCTGTCTTCTGAAGGTAAATTTTCAGTAGGACATGCAAAACCATGGAAATTTCAAAAAGTAAACAACTACAACAGTTCAGGTTTCTGAGTCCCTTTGTGAAAGAATCAATAAGGAGAGTGGTTTTGAACTCAAGGTTCCATGTTATTTTTGCTCTGTTTTATAGCTAGCAGCACTTCATGCAAGGATAAAAGAAATTACTGATGCGGCAGCTTTGTGTGGAGTAAATGTGATTTGCTTTCAAGAATGTTGGAGTAAGTGGATCAATATTATTTTAGTTGCATGTCAAAGCATTGTGATAACTGTTTTGTATCTGAGTCATGAGAGTTGAGAATGTACTGTTAATCTTAAAGATCCATTTTGCTATGAAGGAACTATTACAGGTCTTTTGATAATGCGAAATTACATGTATTAGTACTTAGTAAAAATAATAATCTGTTTTCTGAAAACAGCAATGCCATTTGCCTTTTGCACTCGTGAGAAGCATCCTTGGACAGAGTTTGCTGAGTCAGTTATAGATGGTCCCACCATTAAACTTTGTCAGGAGGTATGTATAAATAAATCAGGTCAAATCAGGGTAAAATGTTTTAGCCTAGGTTGATTCTCAATCTCCTTTGTCTCCTGGCCTTGATTATTCACAAATTAGGGCCAGGCAACAAAGGAAATTGAGAATCAACCTAGGTTAAAAAATTTTAACTTGAAGTTTTTTTGGCCTGTTACATATACAGCTGTCCAATTCTTGTGCCATTCCTATCATAATTGATTTTGTTTTAAACATGAATGATAAACACACAACTATTTTTAAAAGTGGTACTTAGTGGTAATACCAGGATGATTTTGACACTCATGTCTCTTACAAGTTTGACACAGTTCCTGCTTCTGACTAGAGCTGCATTTGTTTACATGACAATTAAAGTAAAATGTTTTTCCCACACATGTTCTTGATTGTTTTTTCAAGAACTTGAGCTGACACTGTAACATATGCAATCAATCAATCATTCAGTCAATCAGTCAGTCAATAACAATGTGGGTGACTTTACTTACTTATAAACTTGCACTTTGCTATGTTAATAAGTAAGCTTTTTTTAAATTTCTTTTTGTTTTGTTCAAGCTTGCCAAGCAACATAATATGGTCATTGTGTCACCAATTCTGGAACGGGACTCTGTTCATCAAGACAGAATCTTCAATACTACAGGTATTTATGAACATCTTTAATCTTTAATCAAAAAACAGTTGACCCCCCTCCCTGCCCCCCATGTGAGACAGACACCAACTACACCCAAATTGCTACAGTTTGGTAGTCGATTAAAGGAGGGGATTGTTTACAAAAGGTCCCGACTATCCGACTAGTGTGCTTTCACTGGGAAACTTAATCATTATTTTGGGTAGGTGGTAGCTTGACTTGAGAGGTCTTAAAATTGTCTAATGATTCAGTTAGTAAATGAATGGAGCTGTATTTTGATCGATTAAAACAGTGGTCATTTCACAGTATTTTCATTTCTGATAGTTAGAAACATGTTGACATTGTTGCATGTCTTGAGTTGCTGGATGATGTATTATGTGTGTGTCCATATTCAGTTATTATTTCCAACAATGGATCAGTTTTGGGAAAAACAAGAAAAAATCACATTCCGAGAGTTGGAGATTTCAATGAGGTAAGGGTACTGATATTAATATCTCTTCTTGCCAACAACCCTTGTCTGCGGGCACTGATGAATTTTCCCTGTGCGGAAAAAAAAAATTCTGTTATTTAACCTTGGTGGTGTTTATAGAACTAATGCAACTGGGGCCAAGCAACTTCTTGAAACACATAATTTAAATCAAACATAACAGGGTTAAGAATCCCAACTGGCCAGAGGCAAACCAGTTGGCCATTTACAAGCATGGTCGAGGATTTGAACTTGGGAGTACCAAGAACAAATCCAGCTAGTGGTCAAGGTGGGACTTAAACTCAGGCCCCCCCCCCGAATTGCAAATCCAGTGCCCTAACTGCTCGGCCACTCTGCCTCTGAAGAAGGGTGGTATTGTGTCAAAAGGAGCCACTGGATGTGGCCATAAATACTCAAATAATCTTGAATTATTTACACTACAAAAATGGCGAGGTTTTAGAGCATTTAATTGTGCTTGAATATGGTGAATAGCTGTGATGAAAATCTATAGTATTCAATTACATTTTTGGTTTATTTTTAAATTTTTATTTGCTCTTGAGCATGGTCATACCAGTTCAGGACTTTTAAACAAAGGAACATAAAATTTGAATTGGGGACAAAATTTTTCTTTTCTTTTTACCTTTTTCTTTTCTTTTCTTTTTGCCAGCCAAATAGTAAAACATTTTTAGGTGTGTTTTCCATTCATCTTGATTCTACGTTTACCTGTAATGTCTCTCAAATGGCCAGTAAAAGACACTTTTAGCAAAAGTTGTTTTGATTAATTCTGTAGTGTTTGTGATTTTAGTGCATTTGTTTCTTTTTTTACAGTCAACGTATTATATGGAGGGTGATTTGGGACACCCTGTTTTCCAGACACAATTTGGTATGAATTTTTCTCAGTAAAATGGTTATTTGTTTTTTCATCCATTCATCAACCCAGCCATCCATCCATCTATTCATTCATTGATTCTACCCTGTCTTTCGTTCATTCTTATTCCCTTCCTTCCTCCCCTTTCAACTTTTATCACCCCCACGCATTCACACCTTTATCATTCATTCATTTACTCCCTCACACATTCATTTGTTAGGTTGGTCATTTATTTAATCAATTAATATTCACCCCTCTCCTCCCTGGTATCTTTCCTTCCTTACCTTCATCCCTCTTCCCTTCCTTTCTCCTCTTTCCCTTTTTCCATATTCCTATCTTCTTTGTTTCTCTTTCCTTTTTGTTGTCCCTACTTCCTTTCCTTTCCTTCATTTTTCCCATCTCTGGCCCCTTTTATATCCCCTTTGGCCATATTGCACTCACCTTAGCTCCCTCCTCCCTCCTTCCTTCCCTTCCTCCTTCCTTTATAAACCCAATGCAAAAATGGTTGTGGGATTAACATTCTTTTGTTTAAATTAAAATTAGCCTTACTAGCCTCGTTCTTCAGTACAAAATTCAAAAGAATTTATGGATCAATTTAGCTTTCTGGGAAACTGCCCACCAACCCCTCCCCTAAGCTAACATTAACACTTACTTCTCACTTAGAGCAAAATGATGACTTACGGGAGGGGTAGGTGGGCAGTTTCCCAGAACCTAAATTGATTTGAATTTATTATCTCAAGCGAGGCTTAAGTCATGCTAATTTTAATTTAAACAAAAGAATATTTATCCAATTTTTGCGTTAGGTCCATTCCTTTCTCCTTTTTTTCTTCATTCAGTCGTTCAGTCCTCCTTGTTCATTCAGCTTTTCATAATCCATAGCAGAGAGTGGTTCACTGACATCACTGGAAAACCTTTTTTGTAGGCCGAATTGCAGTGAATATTTGTTATGGAAGGCATCATCCACTGAATTGGTTGATGTATGCTGTGAATGGTGCTGAAATCTGCTTCAACCCATCAGCCACTGTAGGAGCTCTCAGGTAGGACCTCTGACACCTTGATTATTGTCAGCCACACCCCTGAATGGAATGTTTGGGTCTTTTCACAATACTGACCATCGTGGGTTCCCATCCCTTTCACTCCATAGAATAGGCCCTATGAAGAAACTCCCAAAAAGGTTTCATTTGAGTGGACACACCCCAGAATTTTTTCCACTCACCCAGAAATTACAACCGTCCACCTTATGAGACTCTATCATTAACCTTGAGGTTGACGACAGGGTTAATTAAAGAGCTATCTTTTTATCTCTTTGAACATCTCTCGCAGTTTTCGTATTCATAGCTTGGTATTTCAGTAACAAGGCGAAGTTCAAGACATTCTAGTCTGTGCCCTCTCACTTGCAATCTGAGGTGGTCAAATCGGTTTGCTGCCACTCTAGGCCGCTGTAAATTTTAAGGAGAGCAATTATTGTTCTCCTTAAAATTTAAAGTGAGGTTGCTTGTGTTACCACATACTGCCAGTCCTTCAAATTTTTCCCTCTACCAGTTGTTTCAGTTTCACTTTAATTTCAGCATCTGAAATCTTAGTGTGACAGTTCTTCATTAGATACTACTCACAAGGCTGTCATGATTACACGGTACACTCGGCTGGAGTAGTTGGCTCCCCCAACCTTACAGGCACCCTTCCCGCTTCTCCAACAACAATCTATTTTTGATGTTTTCTTTTATATTGAGACATATTCTTTTTAATTCTGTAGTGAACCAATGTGGCCAATTGAAGCTCGCTGTGCTGCCATTGCTAACAACTACTTTACAGTAGCAATTAACAGAATTGGCACTGTGAGTATTGTTTGACCGCGTGTTTTTTAAACACGTTGTATAGTTTCTTTTTTTATTCTGAATGACGTGAGCTGCAGATGGTGTGCAGTGAATGTTTAAAGACATTTTGCAAGATATCTATTGAATGGCAGTTTTTTAAAAGCTGAGAACGTTTCGTAACAAGCTATGATGACTCAATAACAAGAGCACCATGTTGAATGCTTTTCTTGTAAATGATTAAGTTACTGATTACCATATTGTCATTTACAGGAGGTTTTTGAACATGAATTTACATCTGCTGATGGAAAGCCAGGTAGCTACTCTTACTGACTTAACCCGTTGTTTCTATTTGGTTGAACAACTGAAGAATTCTTGTGCGCTTATTGATCAGGAGCTACCGGTATTGTCTGCGAGAGTATAGACTGACAATGCAAATAGGGCATTTATTGTGCAGTGTAAGTGCTTTCCTTTGTGAAACACGTGATTTTCAGAGCAACATAGACAATAATTTGAACTCTTATTTCGACGAACGAACTGAATCAACAAGAATTTTCTATTCCCCTCCCTCTTACTTATAAGAGACCGTAATGATGCCACGCGATGTTCAAACTTTTTGCAGGTTGAAATATTTTAGGTGCGCATGAGCCATAGCCTGAGAAAGCAGCCCCCATTTCGCGACGCCACCGCTGGTTTCCCCGCGAAATGACTTCTGAAAAACGAGCGCAGAAATTCCATACAGATGACGCGTCATTACCCAAATCTAGTGCTTCTGTTTGGGCTGAAGCAAATTTCCCACGTGGCACGACCAATCAGAAGCATTACCCAGATCTGGGTAGTGCCGCATCTTCAGTATGAAATTTCTGCGCTCGTTTTTCAGCCGTCATTTCGCAAGGGAACCAGTGGTGGCATTACGAAATGAAGGCTGTTTTTTCAGGCTACACGAGCCAAGGAGAACCCGTTTTTTCAACCCGTTTTTGAAGTATGTAAAACCAAAGTGTATTGCTACCCCCCCCCCCCTCCCCCAGTTGGGTCGCTGGTTCATTGCAGGGTTGCCTCTAGCAGTGTGTATCGCCTGCACCGATTTATACACCTAGGTGAAGAAAGATTGTGAAGCAAAGTCTTTGTTGGGGAAAGAATGTGACCGCAAAAAATCCTGATAAACGGATCGAAGTTCGAGGTCTGGTGTTAACCGCTCGGCCACCACGCCTCCACCACCTGCAGTCTCTAACTCCACAAATAACGGACACAGTTACAGTCTTGTAGTTCCGTTAAGCACATGGTCACATCTACTATAAAGTGCTGACAAAACTCTATTGTTTTCTTTCTACAGCTCACAGGGACTTTGGACATTTCTACGGTATGCTTTACTTAAACTCTTTACGCACAGGAAGAATCATTATTGCGAGTTTTAAACTAAGTTTGGTCCCTCTGAACTTTCGATGCCAGTGATTCCTTTCATTTACTCCCTAGTAATACACCAAAGCATAGCGTTATTATTTTGATTTGCCGTTGGTAATGTATAACGTTTTTGGCTCAACGCTTTTTTCAGGGTCTTCTTATGTTGCTGCTCCAGACGGCAGTCGTACTCCTGTAAGTTTACTTCTCAGTAAATTACATGCTATAAGGAAATCAAGCGATTAGGATAATAACCTGCCTCGCAGGCACTGGAAATAAGGAACGGATTTTTACTCGCTTGAAGCGCGAGATACGAGGAGAGAGCGCGTAGCGCGAAGAGAGGAGGTAGATGAGGATCACTGCTTCCTGTTCCTTCGCACAGCCCTCGCGTTTGCGCGCGCTCAATCGCCCCCATCCCCCTCACCCATACGCTGGCGACCATGATGACCAAGAAGCTACTAGAAAGGCAATTTAAAGAACGGTGCGAAGTAGTAATACTTGATATAATGCCTCAGTACACGTATCTACAGTTCGGTACCTTTCCCCGTGAACATTAATAGCAAATGTGAGTTTTGATTTCTCTCCTTGAATTAGAAAGCCGTCCCTAGCAGCATGAAAATTGCATCAATCTTAGCGTCGATCGTAATAGCCATCATCAGACCTTCAGCTCAGTCAAACTTTCTATTTCGATTCAGGACGTAAGCGTCCGGTTTACTTCGTCAGTTTTAATGCAACTGGCTCCGCGCTGGAGCTGATTATGGTCGGACCGGGTGGAGGAAGAGAGTAAGTTGTTCATGAGTTAAAAAGATGGTGAAGAAATCGTAAAGCTCGCCCTCGCTTGTCTTGGAGTAAGCCTTGTTTCCAGAAACCTTTTCTCGCCGTCGATTTTACATGAGTGATGTGTAACAAATAGATTAGCTATACTGCATGGACCTTTCCCTCCTTATGGTTAAATATATTTTCTTTTTTCTTGTGCAGGGTTTGTCCAGAGTTAATGATGGCTTACTTGTGACCGAAGTGGACTTGAACATGTGTAGACAGGTCAAAGACAAGTGGTGTTTTCAGGTCTGTACAGTGCTATAGTCGGAGCTCTCTCTTTTCTCCTTTCTTTCCCCGCCCTTCGCTCACGCGCGTCCTTCCACATCCCCCTGTCGCGTGACTTCTCGTATATAGAGAGATTGATATGCACGTTTACGCCAAACGGCAGACGTGAATTTGTACCACGTGACCAAGTTTTCCCCTTATTTTCCGTTTACTCTTTTTTGCTTCTACACAAAAATAAGTATTTTTATGCCAATTTTAACCATAGGAATCGTTCCGGACTGTTTTGTATCTGCTTATTTTCTATCCTGAGAAGTTCTCACCTTGAGTCTGACGTTTGCCGTTTGCGGTAAACGTGAATCTTAATCTCTCTTATGCTTCACGTATACGGAAAACGGCAAACGGCAAACATCAGATTGAAGGTAAGAATTTCTTAAAATAGAAAATAAGCAGATAAAAACAGCTCAACATAATTCTTGTGGATAAAAAATTGCGTGAAACTACTAAATTATGTGTAGAAATAATGAACCGTAAACGACAAGTAAAGTGGAAACTTGATGACGTGGTACAATTTCACGTTTGCTGTTTGACGTAAACGTGATGCTAAACCTCTTCAATATCTCCCAAATCCCGGTATTTTTATCCAATTTCTCAAATCTGCAGTCACATTTTCTTAGTTAATTAGGAGCGATATCTGTAGAGTGCTGTTGCAAGAGGTAGCCTGAGATCATGCCCTCTCCCTATTATCCCTTTATGTCTCTCACGGGAAGAGGGCATGATACATTTCTTTGTCGGATCACATGTAAAAATGCCAGAATCTGGACTTTTTTCTGATTGGATAGAAAACAATGCGGATGATTTGCGCTGTTCCGATTGGCCAAAATGACGCCATCCGTTAGTTGTTGTTGATTTCAGTCTGCATTTTTGCTTGCGTAATAAGCAGTGAATACACACGCGAGTTCGTTATGAAATTTCTGCCCGCTCAGTTTTCTTGAATTTGAAGAATGCCTAAATAGAAGTTTCATCCATTGAAATATTTACCATCTCATCGTATACCAAAACAGTTGCAGTCAAAACTTCACCGATCATTTGAATGCAATTTGATACCGGCTACAAGTTACAGAAGCGACAAACGGGTTCACTTTTCAAATAATCAATTCATGAATGGAATCTTGACCTGGTTTGACTGTATTTCCTCCTTCAGAAATCATGCTGCGAATTATTCTGAGCGATCTTCGCTTTCACAACACCTTTCAGTTCGTGAAATATGGTGCTTCAGCCTAATTTTTTTTCCACTGCTTTCGTAGTACAGAACGAAGTCAACGAGCTTTAACCAGTAAATTCTTTATTATTTGTAGCTATTCACAAAGGTACGACAGCTCCAGCTAGCAGTATTTCATCACAAAAACTACACATTAATTTTTTTTTATTTTTTACGAAGCGCCATCTGAACACGGACGTACTTAAAAATTTTTTTCCCCTAAAACTGATCATGATTTCAAAAGAGACATTATTCGCGCCAAAATTTGATTCCCGTTTGGTAAACGCTTATTGGCTAAAAACATGACAGGTCAAGCAAACGGTAGATCATGTAAATTAGGGGGCGGTTGACTGCTTGTTAAATAAATGTATCAGGCGTTATTTTTTTTTTTTCTCGAGCCAAAGAAAAAAAAAAAAAAAAAAAAAAAAGACGCCTGATCTCAGGTTAGCAAGAGGTAGATAGCTAATATTTAAGGTGTGGTCAACTTGTGAGCGGAAGGATGGTCTGAACTTGATCTGTCAGCGATCGACGATACGACTCAGTAAAAAAATTAATGGGAAGGAGACGAAGTTGACCCCTTCGTCCGAGCCAACAGCTCTCGCGCATGCTCTGACTGTCTCGCCATGACCGAGTTCACCCGGCTGGGCGAGTCAAAGTGTTGACATGCAAAAAACGTTGGTCACCCTTCTAGCCGACAAGGGTTCGCCAAGTTTTTTAAGGTAATGTATCAAAAGGTGGCTCGCCTAGGGTAGCTCGGGCAGGCGGGTGACCCTCCCGCCCGGGGAAACATTTTTTTATTTAACAGGGCCTAAGTTTATTGTCATTTCTTTAATTTTCTTGTCAGATGACGTCCCGTTTGGATATGTACGCTAATTCGCTGACGGAGGCTGTGAAACCAGACTTTAAGCAGCAAATTATCCGCGATGAGGCTTAAAAGCAATGATTGCGACCGTCAAACGATAGTAATATGTGGTAACAGCACACAAGTTATGGACAGAATCTATCATGAAAGAAACGGACAAAAAACTTTCAAAACGATCTTACACTTTTTAAAGGAAATGTGCACACCCCTTAAACTCCAGTCGTGAAATATATTCTAAATTGTATAAACATTGTTTAGTGATTGATTGTTCTAATCCTTTTACGCAGACTAGTCGTACCAAATAATATCGACCCTCTCTACGTGAACAGACAAACTCTGACTAAAAATAATTGCGGTTAGTGTTTTTTTACGACCAACAATTAAACATTTCTTATCAAATTGTTGAGCTTACCGGTAGGTAGCCTGCGTTACAGGCGCAATAAGGGGAGGGAGAGTTGGAGAAAAAAAGCAGCCCCCTCCCTTTTCTGCTCCTCCCCTACCCTTTCGACGCCAGCCGCGCAGGCTAACCTTTAGACATGACGCGAGTGAGTGCGGGCGCAGTATTTAGATCTTTCGATTTTCGCGCCTGCAGTCACTTCGCCCAGCGAAAATCCAGTTACACCCCATGAGAGTCATTAAGGCGCTAGTTTTGCTAAGGAGGACTGTCAGTAGCATTATTTTTTTAACGAAAGAGGAATTCATGTATTTTTTACTAGTTCTTTTCTACCTGAAAGCCGAGTCAAATGTAGTCACTATGGTTAAATTAAAAGGTGCTGTACCTTGCAATCTTGCTGGTTTTCGGTTCTTTTGTTTACACTTAAGAGGATAAATGCCCTCTCTTGGTTTGCGCCAATTTTTGTTAGTCCTCCTGTTGTAGCTGGGCTTGGTCTTCGCAACGCGTTTAATGACCTGTCTTCATAAATAGGGAGTTGAAGCAGCGACACTTTTGAGCGACGCACGTTAACCGAAAGTGGACTTTCTGGATTCTTGAGCCGTGATTTTGAACAAATTTTTGAGCAAATTGTCTCTATAAGAATTAAGACGCTTGGCAATACAAATATGGTAGCGTCAAGGCCTATTAAAAGAGAAAAAGGCTCACTTCCGGTTGACGTGCGTTGCTCAAAAACGTCGCTTCTTAAGCTCCCTAATGATATTCAAGTCATACTCCCCTAAATTTAGGGCCCCTCTCTGTTTTCTTAGATTTTTTTCCCTGTCCTTTTCCTTTCTTTCCTTTTTAGTTTTCAAACCTTTCTTATATCCTAAATTTGGTCAACTGGACGAATTTATATCGAAAAATACAAGTGTTACTCAAGCTGCCTGGTTGCCTTTAACCACTGATTTGGCGACTGCCAGCGATTAGCGAAAAAACTCAACTAAAAAAAACCTAAATCTCCTTTTTTGGGCCGGTTTCTTTGCCAATTAGCATGGAGGCCAAGGCTGATTATTCCGGAAATCACAAAAACCGAATCTAATAATTGTTTTATTACAGATTTTTTGCAAATTTATGTCGATCTTTTTCCTAACTCTCTTTTTTCCCTTTTCTATCTCTCTTTTTCCTTTGCCTTTTTCCCTTTCTTTTATCCAGTTTTACGTGTTCGTATTAAGGCGCTACGCCAGTCTCACCTCTTTTTATATTTTTCAGATCTACTCTATAACCTGAGATCAGGCCCAATTTTAGCGGTTCTCATACATTCTCTCTAACAACTATTTCGTTTCGCCTTGCCCGCCGGAATGTTATCACAAAGCGAAACGAAATTTGAGTTGAGTCTGATCTCAGGTTAGATCTACTCATTTCCTTTCAAAACACTGGTCAGTTTACTGAATAATTTCTTCTTTTCGTGCGCAGGCAAAGCGCAAGCTAGAGTACACGACCGCGCGCGAAATAGGGCTTCCACCGGTTTCACTGTACTTCATTTCCAATATTAAAGGAGCCTGAAAAGACAGAGTAACTGTTACATTCTCAAAACGAAGAAAACTTTTGGAAAAACAAGCCCCTCTCCCCGGTAGCTTAATTTTGTGCTTGACAGGGAGAGGGGTGTGTACAAGAGCGTGCGGACTTATGGGATAGATCACTTGTTGTCAAGGAAAACAAAGATGGCGGAAGGACTTATTAAAAGTTCAAGGAAGACTCCCACGAAGTTTGACAATGGATTCGAGCCGACTTTTGACTCCGATGGAACGCCTTCCTGTCTTACTTGGAATATCGAAGACGTTGCAGACTGGGTGGAATTTTTAGGCTTCAAACAATATCGAGTAAGGAAACAAATCGATATTTAAACATTTGATGAAGGCCCTTGTTTGAAGAAATTTGTGCAATTATGATTGCTTATCAGATTGGTAGATTATTAAAAGCACAGATCACATAATGGAACTCCAGTTGCTTAGATAACGGAAGTTATTTCAGCGTCTTGCATAATGGCGCACTGACTTAAGCTCTTTAATCATCGCAGTGTTCAAGAAATTGTTCAGTGACACGAGAATTTTCCCATACCCTGGGAACGAGGTTGAATTATTCCATGTTTTTAGTATTGTTATTGAGGGTGAGGTAGCTCAAGATGGATGCAAGATACTGGGCTCATTCTTTTTTGTGTCTTTATTGTCCTCGACTTTGTCTCAGTCAATAAAGACGCAAAAAAGAATGAGCCCAATAGCCAGCCATCTTGACCTTTATGCATATGTAAAGTGTGGACATAAATGGGAGTACCCCCTGCCCCCAGCCATCCCTTGAAATGTCTGTGGGAGCCTGTGTAATATTTGAAGACCTTATTCTTGGGATAGTGGTTCATATTGATGTTATTTTACATCTATGTTAATTATGCTAGAATAATGATTTTTCCAAGTTTGAGGTTCATTGGAATAGATACAAAGAATAATAGTCAACCATCAGTTTATGGTAAGGTCTGCAAACTATTGGTCATACTCTTAACTTTTTACAGGCCTGCTTTAAAGATAACCTTATAAATGGAAGGAAACTTATCAATGTTGATGCATCATCACTGCCGAGAATGGGAGTAAATGATTTTGAACACATCAAGGTACTTTTCCACCTCCTTAACCTATTATTAATCATTATAGTGGTAGTCTTCATGAGTTAATTGACAGTGATAGTGTCCATGATCTTGTTAGTAACAGATTCTTACGAAACTTCACACATATATCTCATTTAGCTTGATAATTAATATTATCCGTTTGCCATTTGCACATCTTCCAAAATATGCCTTGTTCCCCCCCCCCCCCCCCCCCCAAAAAAAAGAATTTTTGCACAAGCGGTCTTTTTTTTCTCTTGGGACTACTGTAATACCCTGGAGAAAACAATAACAAAGGTTATGCGAAATTTTGGGGAGCAAACAAGGTATATTATGGTGGATGTGCAAACGGCAGATGGCAGCATTAACATGATTTTTTTCTCTTTTAAAAAATAAAGGCGTTGAAAAATAATTATGGCGACACCTGTATCATAGTGTCGTAAATTTTTTATGGGGGTTGGGAAACTACAAGTGTCCCAAGGATTTGAGGCAGGGAAAGCTCCCTGTGAGCACTTTAACACCTTGCTCTTTATTTTCAGCAAGTAAGTTTTCTTTAATGTAAAAATATTACAACTAACCAAAAATTGTTTCGGTGATTTTTGCAGGCATAGCATTAAAACTTGAAAAAGTTGTGCCAACTAGTTCAGGTTTCAATCCACATCCATCCCTGCTATCTGTTGTAACAGAAAACAGGTTTCAATGCCTAAAGAGTCTTAAATAACAATGACCATTATGTTTTGGAATTCAATTCATGCCAAAGAAGTTTTAGCTTTTTATAAAGATAGCAAATAGCATGACGTAGCCCCTTCAAGTCAACCCAATATTGTACTATTGTCTGTCCGAGTTAAATAAGAAAAAAGAAATATTTGCTTTCTGCCTTACGCACATCATCACTCAATGAACAAAGGGCTAAAGGTGCTAGCACATTAAGTTCAGGAAGAAAATTGTCCTCCAATTTTGTGTTGTGCAACTCAAATGTGGGAATAAGGTTCTGATCTCTAATGTTGAAGTAAAAAAACAGTTTGAATCAGGGAAAGGCAAAACAGTTTGTTTTACCTCTTTACTTTGTTTTACTTCTTTACCCTAGGTAATAGCCAAAAAGGTCCGTGAAGTGCTGGGAATAGAGGAACCTTATTGGAACAGAAGTATCTCTCTTTTGCATAGAGAACCCCTTGGCCTTTTCCTTGAAAGAAAAAGCAAAACTGGAGAGGAAGCAGACATACTGACATTTGATGATTACAAGCGTCAACTTCAAAAGCAAGAACAAGCAAAACAACACAAAAGCAAAAATAAAAGATAGCACCTATGTGTAATTTCACATGTGCAATAAACAAGTTTAATCTAGTGAGGAAACACTTCACTCTTACAGGGATAGTGATGATGTGCTCTTAATTTTTTCTAGCCAAGAAACGTTACTGTGTGATGCCTAAGAAGACTTGATTGCTAACTTATTCCCTGCATAGATGTGAAAAAAAAATGACATGTTTTAGTTTTATGACTTTTTTATTTTGAATTAAAAGCTCTACATTTGCAGTAAATTGCATTCTGTTTCAAGCTCTTCTTTTCTATAAACAGCCTGATACTATGAAAAAAAAGGTTTTTAATATATGAAAGGGAATCTTCTGTAGATTCACTATGGAGCATTCTAATAAATATGCTTTGTGCTGAATTCAAAAGCTGGACCTTTTCGTCACTTCTACTGTCAGTAAAACTACATGATAACACCACTACAACATTATTAACTTTATTAAAGACCTGACGGATTTTTCTAACTAACAATCTGCTGTGTTGTTCTATTCACTCATTTATATGTACTCTGTTTAACTTCCATAACAAAAATTGGACATTTACAAAGTATATAATAACTCAAATACTATAATAATATGAGGTTGAAGTAAAGTGAAGCGTAGTTGCTATCCTCACTCTTGAAACTAACAGGACCCATTCTTCTAAAACTACAAGTCACTATCTTCTTCTTCCGGGAGAGCTGTAGCTTGAGCAGCTTGAAGTTCTTTCTCGTACATTGCTGCCATCTGTGGATCCATCTGGACCTCAGGAGGTTCAAGAGCTGGCATCTCAACAAACTCCAGGTTTGGATCACCAACAAGTTTCCTTGCTAACCATAGGAATGGTTTTTCAAAGTTGTAGTTGCTCTTGGCACTGATGTCATAGTACTGAAACAAAAGAGTATTAACTTAGTGTACTTTATTTTTACTGCTGTGTGACCTACACAATCAACAACACTTGGAAATACATTTGTCAAGCACGACACAAAGATTGCAAGTTACCTGTGCATTAATTTTGATCCATTTGTTTGATTTAAATATATTTCCAACTGGTTTTCTTTCAAAGGCTGAGTGGAATTGGTGACATTCTGTGCACCCCATCTGATGCAAGGGAAGTATTTTGTGAATCACTCATTCAGCACTTTTGCAATTTGAATTAGTGTTCTTTTAAAGCTCTATAAGTAATGATATTGTTTTGATTTGTTCTATATTCTTCATCGCTGTTTAAGTGAAAGTCTAAGAATATAACAAAACACTTAATGTCAGGTACCTCAGGAAACAAGTTTATTTAGTTTTCTCTAAGTCCTGATGTCTCAAGAAAATAAAACTGTGTCCCTCTGGACCCGACATCAAGTGTATAAGATTAAACAACTCTTAGCTGCATGTCCACTAGTCAAATAGTTTTTGAAAAAAGCAACCAAAAAAACTGAAAATACTCTTGCTCTAACTTTAATGTTTTACCTCTAAACAAACGTTTTGTTTTAAGTTTAAACAGGACAGTGAATTTGTTCAAATATGGTAATAGTAAGTCCTGAGACTCATCTCATGAAAAATCACAAGTCTCAGACTGGAATCAATGTCCCAATGAGTCCTTATTATATTAAAAGATGCCAGAACTCACATGAAACCAGACAATCACGTTTAATCTGTAGTCTACTTTCAATAGCAAAGCAGTTATCTCTGTAATACATTACAGTGTACTGAAATTAAAAAATTATTACACCCTTCCTGACAAAAAATGTCCTATTTTCTAATTTCTTTTCAATGTTAACAAGCCCTAAAGCTTTATACAATCACTTAGAAAAATGCTTTGCCATGTTAGGAACCACTGTCTGCCATCTTGGTTCAGCCATGTGCTTTCCATAGATGGCAAACATAATGAGTAAAAAAATAGTATCAGAGAATCTGTGTGAAGATATCTGTCTATTTGTTCAGAAATTATTCTTAAACTATTTTATGAATGCACAGTGTTACTCTCTTGTTTGGAGGTAGCTCTCAATACATATTTCAAATCATGCAAACAGGGCATCCTTTTAAAAACATTTTTTAGATTGATTGATTATTACGTCCCAAAGAAATATTTTATGTCCTTGAGAATTTTTAAGCGTCAGGGACGCAGGACACGGGGGTAACAAAATCACTGCAGGAGGAGGGCTAAAAAATGTGAAACTCTAGCTTTTTCTCATGGCCACTTCTTTCTCCTAGTTGATGATTTTGTTAGAGGATCACTTGCCTGGACCCTTGAACATTGGGCAAGTCAGCTTTATAAGTTACAGTCAAACCTCTTTAATACGGACACCAAAGGGACAGAACCAAATTTATTGTTCGCTTTACAGCGGGGTCCATATTAATAGGGGCAGGGAATGTATGATTTTTGGCATTTCTGGGACCAAATGAACCGTCCATTATAGGGAGTTGTCTGTAAGGAGAGGTTAGACTGTACTTCTCCATCCTGAAAATCTACTCGTCCTGGACTACTGGATCAGACTTTTTTCAAGCCCTAAGGAGGTGTTAACCATTTCAAGAAAATGCTCAGAACCCTGAAAGCCCATGTAAGCATCAAAAATCCCTTCTTTCTTAGTGAAATATACTCTTTGTTGAGCTACGTACCTTTTCTTTTTTCTTTTCTTTACTTTTAAAAATTAATCCAAATTTTCATTCAGTACCCTTAACTTGCATGGTTTACCCTATAGTTCCAGGAAGTCTATAGTTTATAAACTCCCCGCTTCTATATACATGTAGGCTTCCTTGTCCTTACCACCTTAAACATTTAATTTTGTAAATAATTTAGTTAGAATAGACGTGTATATTATCTTTTAAATGTATTATAAATTTCTGTATATTCTTGTTGTATTTGTATGTGGTTAATGGCAAAAATAAGTGAACGAATGAGTGACCCTAACAATGACAATAAAGAAAACTGACATATTTCGTGAAGTTTTGATACCTGCAAATTCTTCTTTCTGTGAAAAGTTATTGTTTTAGCCTTGACTTTGCGATCTTTGATGTCCACCTTGTTTCCACAGAGAACAATGGGGATATTTTCACACACTCGAACAAGATCTCTGTGCCAGTTTGGTACATTTTTGTATGTTACTCTTGATGTAACGTCAAACATGATGATGGCACACTGCCCTTGGATATAGTAACCATCACGAAGACCACCAAACTTCTCTTGACCAGCTGTGTCCCAGCAATTGAAGCGAATGGGACCTCTGTTTGTATAGAAGACTAATGGATGAACCTCAACTCCTAATGTGGCTATTATAAAAGTAATCAAAATAAAACTTCTATCACATGTTTGCACCATTATCAATGCAACCTAACTGGTCACTTTGCCAAAGCCTCAATTACTCTAGCAAGTTTTCCTCTAGCCTGCGTAGCAAGCGTTTCCAATCGCGTTATTGCGCGAAAGTTAGAGCGGAAGCAAAAAAAAGGTTGAAGGGGGAGGGGGAGGGGAGAAGAGGAAACGCTTCCCCGCAAACCCCACGATTCTGGAAAACGCCCCTTGATATTTCACGGTTCGGTTCATTTGTAAATTGACAGCTCGTCAAAATAGAAACATAACGAACAGATTACCCCTGGATTACAAGTACCAGATTTGTAAAATTACCTTGTTCTCTAATAGAACACGTTGCAGGAGATTGCAAGAACTGTAATAAAAAAGATTTACGATAAAAGAAAGTTAAAACTATGAGCGATTGCGGCGGAATTTCTTGTTTGTTATTGTGTCGACAAGGTTTCAGACAAGATAAAGCCACACGTCAGAAATGATTTGTCCGGAACAATTCACTCCGCCGGGTACAAGTTTTGCAAAGCAGCTGCTCTTCAGCCTGTGTCGAAACGTTCTCTACAATAGATACCGCTAAATTTCAAATAAACAAAAAGAATCTTTTCATTTCAAAAAGCTGACAAATCACTTGTCCATGGCGGCTTTAGCTAGTGTTGAGTACCGATGTTCTGATTTATGTTGATGTTTAATATCTCCAACAAACAGTCCATTTTTTCCAGTCAGATCCGCACGCAGTCATTCTCAATAAATTTGCCTTTCCTAGTCTCCACTGCTAGATCTCCAATTATACTTTGAAGACTCTGATCTCATAAACCTTCGCACAAACACGATTCCAATAAATATTAGTCCAAAGCATTTGTAATCTGCGACCACAAATCAGATGAGACCAGATCTGTACGTGACGCACGAAAACAAAGCATACCTGGTTTGATTGATGTTTCGAATGCTAAGTAATCAACACTACCCGCACCGCGCCAATCAGAAGCTGCGTTCGTGGGCGAACGCAGTTTTTCAAAATCGTGGGGTTTGCGGGCAAGCGGTTCCTTCTTTCCCCTCCCCTCCCCCGTCATTCATTTTTTTTTGTTCTTGTCCCAGCTTTCTAGACAAACCTCGAGAGGAAACGCTTGCTACGCAGGCTAGTTTTTCTCTTTATGCTTAGTGTAAGAAAAGCAAATCTTAAAGTTCAATCTCAGTGTAAAGAAAAAATTTGTCAAAGTTTTTCTTAATCCATAGCACTATCAAGAAAAACTTGCTAGTGTGAGTAGATGCTTAATGAAGCTCGTTTAATTATGTTAATTATGTGTTAAGTGGTTAGCATTAGGTAACATCAAGCTGAGGCCAGATTTTCTTTCAGTAAAATTACATGAAGAAATCTAACTTCCTGTGTAATATAAGACAGTTAAACAGAACTGCGACACTTTCAACCTGAGCCATTTCCCTCATACCCTACAACTGTATCCACTACACGAGGCTTAGCTGCCAAATCTAGTAATTCCTAAAATACCATATTTCCTCGAATAATAGCCGGGGTTAATCATTTCAAATATTGCTCACTAGAAGTAGTCCCCTATATAGTTTGTTTTATTATTCCATTGAATCAAAAAATTATCACATCAAATAAACTGAACATGGGCTTTTTAAGTGTTCCAAATTTGGTTCCTTGATTAGTTTTCAGAGCTTGAATTGTTACTCATCAGTTTTGCTGGATCAGATCCTACTTCAACTTGAGAGTAAAATAACAAATGCACAATGTTGAGCAAAATCATTTCTTAATATATTTGAGAATTTTCGTCTCCAACTGAACTTTAACAGATATTTACATTAACAGTACTGTCCATTTCTCTTTCTCATGCAGCCAAAATTGAATGAAGTGAGACCATATATAGACCCTTTTTTTTTTTCAACTTTTGACATGGACAAGTTGGAGAGAATCCATCGACACCACTAAAAAGAGTGCCTCAAAATTACCTAGATAGAATGTGATTTGTTGAAAACTAACAGAGATATAGCTCCTCAGTCGTGAAATTTTGCAGATGCTTGTATGGGTGGGGGGCACAAACTTGCCCCCCACCATACAAATGTCTGTAAATTTTCACAATCTTTGCTTGCATAAAATGTATCACTTTCAAAGTTGACAATCTTACTAATATTAAGGCGCTCTTTCCAGTGGTGTCGACAGATTTTTCCTAAGTTGTCCATGTTAAAAGTTGAAAAAACCATGAAAAGGTCTACTCTCCCAGTGATCTTTGCGCGGCATGCCTATTCAACATGGGGTCGAAAGTGAATCCCCGCCTAAGCCCCGCTTTTTGTCCAGGCTCCCTGATACTTGCACCTAAATGTAGTTGAAACCCCGCATACCATGACAAAAAGAACAGTCTAAAATGAAAGAAATCCCCCACATTCTCCGGGTATTGGGGTGCAGGGCTTTCCATTGACTTGTGCATAATCATTTCAGATCAGCGTTTAACTCTCTTCTATGTTCTCTCCATAACTGGCACTCTGCTATTTTGCTTTTTTTTTAGCAATTCTACATGGTTAGTGGGGTGCTGTTCCAGTATTTATACTTTAAGAGAATAATGGTGAGTGTACAACTCATAAGTTGTCCAATCTGGTTTCACCCGATGTTACCTATTACTTCTGAGGAACAAGGAACAAGAAAAGTGCATGGAGTGATTGCAATAAGAATGGCTGTGACCATAAACTTCATAGTCGTCTACCAAATAACCTCTATTTCCTAACAGGTTTGAAAAAAGTGGCGATCGGTAATGTACCAAAGAAACACGATCACAGCTCTGATGCTCACATGTACGATTTAGTTAAGCTTACTGTTCGTACGCAGCCAGGTGTAGCATAAATTGCTCTGCCAAATATTTTATGAGAAGAAGAGCGATTTGCGTCTCAAGAGTTCCGAACACGACAAACTGAAGGTAACTATTGGACATGTCTCTTCTCACCACTGTCGTATAAGGCACAGCACGTATTGTATAATTATGCGCGTCGCGTACTCACCAACATATTTTTTCTCGAATTCTCCTGTCAAATGGCGTTTAACAAACGTTGTCTTCCCTGTACCACCGTCACCAACAAGAACAAGCTGTTATAAGAGCAATTAACATTAAACAACGGCAATCGGTTTAGAAAAAATCAGTAGGATTGCAAGCTAGCGAAAGGTTTAAAACATACCTTGAATGTTGCTACTGGCTGTGTACCTTGAGTAGTGGAGACCGCTTGAGTTGGTTGCTGCATTTTTTCAAGATCAAGAACAATGGATAATTGTCTTCACGTATAAAGCTGATTTCTTATTATATTAATTTTCCCTTCAATATCAACAGAGGAGAAACGATGGCTTGAGATTGAAAAGGATGGTATCACAACACTTTCGCAAGATCGCAATATCCTTATTGAGCTCGGAGCTAACCGGTCGAAACCAGTCACGTTTGAAGTCGGCGGGAACAGATGTATTGCCCGGATGTGTAATTGTCTTTGATCGCAATGCATGTTGGGATCCTGTGGGATCGTCATTTTATGTGTACAGGTGTAAGGGAAGAAACTTCTCCGGGGGGATAGATTGTTCACAGTCCTCTATTTTTCCGTAAGATCATCGAGACCGAGCGCTTTGCATTACGGGCTGCCATCTTGCATGAGTGTCAAAACTACTATAATCCCTGACACCCAGTCCCTTGGTACATTTGAAAATCAAGATACCCGTGACGGTAAGACGCGGTATATCTAAACGATCTCACGAAAAAATAGGGGACTGTGAACAGTCTACAGACTACTTTCCGACCGGATTTCCCGGAAACTTTTTGTAAATGGTAAAAAACTTAAATTTTGTCCCTCCTCACTGGGAGGGACGAAATTCGAGCTTCTCTAAAAACCCTGAAACTCCTTCCTTTAAGTTTGTCTCCTAAAAACGCCTGCGTTGGAGGCTACCTTGTTTAAGTAGCGAAACGTCCCCAGAGGCGAGGAGTGAGGAGAAAACGACTGTTTTCGCAGGCTACTGTTAAAGACGCTAAATAGTGAAATTGAATACTTTTTTTAAGATTGACGATCCCAAAAACCTACACCATGCACAACCGCACATACCGAGTGAGTCAAACATGGAAGTCCCCCCCCGCCCCCTGAGCACGTGCGTCCATCTGTGAACTCCCAAGAAAACTATTTTCCATATATGGAGGCGACGAAACAATGCATTTGTTAATGACGACATACCGTCAAGACACCATGACTAATTTCCGTTGCGTGCGTGCCAAATCTACCGTATTTACGGTTTCTTTTTACATAAGCGTACTTGTCAACCGTTTAAAAGTTTTCATACTAAAGATAAAAAACAATACTAAATTTTCAGTGATTCTAATAGTGCGTAATTAAACATTCCTTTCGTACGTTACCAAGCATAAATTTTAGGACAGATAATACACCCCCCCCCCGGTAATACAACTATAACTGTATTCTGAGTATTTTTTTTTTCTACCTCTTTGCGTTTTCTCCTTTTATTCAGCAGGCATGATCTGTAGTAACCTGTAAAGGATGAAACGTGATCTATGACGTCAAAAGCCGGTTATTTCGTAGGAAACAACAGAAGGACTAGAATATTGTGTGAATTATCAGGAATTACAGGAAAATACATAGATTTTAATTTTCATAAATAAAATTATTTCGTCAAAGGGATAACATACACGTAAGCCAAAAAAATGGTAAAGAAATAATTGGAGCATAAAGAAGAATCTACAGGTATTAACAGCTGGAGTAAAGAGGAACCAAGGACATTGGACAGAAAAACAAGAAAGCTGCTAACAATTTACAAATCACTGACTTCATCTCTAAGCAGATGTAGATAGAATTTTGTCAAGAGATCAAAGGGAGGCAGAGGCTTGACAAGGGTTGAAGATCGTGTTAACATCGAGGTTGGCAGCTTGCATAAGTACCTTGGAGGCCAGTAGTCTCTGAGAGGTTGCTAATCATTGGTCTAATCGGTTACTGAAGACGAAAATCAGATCTTAGATGAACACTGATGAAGGGGTGGAGAAGGAAAGTGTTAGTCAAAGAAGGTTAACCATGCAGCTTCAGAGATAAATCATTACACGGACAGTTAAATTTTTGAGGAGCACTGAAGATTAGAGACTGTCATGGAATTTGTTGAAAGGAGGGATCTTGAAGAAAGAGACCGAAGGTCTCCTAACTGCTGCACAAAATAAGGCTCTTCGGACAAATTGCAACAAAAAGAAGATTGACAAGCCAGATGTTTTACCGTTGTGCCACCTATGCGGAGAAAGGGAGGAAACTGTCAGCCATATAACTGCAGAATGCAAGAAATTAGCTCAAAACCAGTCTAAAAACTGGAGACACGACAAGGTTGCTCAAGTTGTCCACTGGAATCTTTGCAAAAAAATTTATCTGCAGTGCAGCAAAACCTGGTATGACCATTCTCCAGAGATAGTGATGGAAAATGACCAAGTGAAGTTACTGTGGGATTTCAGAATTCAGACTGCGACCGCTATTTAGACTACAATAGACCTGATATTGTAGAGCTGAAAAAGGAGGGCAGGGTGTGCTATATAATTGTCGATGTAGCTTACCCTTTTGATACACGGGTAGCAGAAAAAGAAAGGGAGAAAATCGCCCACTATCAGGACTTAAAAAGGGGAAGTGCAAAAGATCTGGAACTGCAGAAGTGTATCTATCATGTCTATTGTACCTAAGGATGTGGATCAGCAAGTTGGGAACACCTGGGATTATTGCATCGCTCCAGAAAGCTTGTTTGCAACCTCCTTCCCAGGTTCTCTTGTTTGTTGGGAACAGCTCAACAAGAGATCAACAAAGACCCTTGAAACCTAATGCGATAGGAGATAGCTTTGGGAAATAAGGCCACCAATAGTAGCCAGTGTACAGACGCTAGGGGAGCGTCTGTACACGGGCTAACCTATAGGTGTGAGATATGCACATACTGATGATAATGGCAACTTTATTTGTCTTTTATGAATGTACAATTGAAAATCTCGCTACTAGGCAAATTACAATTAGTTGCTTGAGATTGAATTATTCAAAGATCAAAATTTCATTAAGCCTAGTATCCCCATTCCTAATTCTACAACGAAAGATGTAATATGTTGCTCTAATGGCTACATTTATCTTTTTTATTATTATATAATATTGCTCCTTTTTATCAATGCCCAATTGCAATGTCATTCATCATGTCTAAAAACGTGGGGCATTCGTCGGAGAAAACACCAAGGGAGCTCATGGAGAAGTTCATTGTTTTGTTTGCCATAAATTGTACAAATCCAATAAAATCTAATTATTTAAACTCTCATGGCGAGGAAGGCCAAGAGAAGCCACCGGGCTTACAAATTTCACACATATGTAATTTCTGCTCATTTCTTTGGACAAGTTCAGGTATTTTTCTTTTTTACGCATTGCATTGTTATTAAGGTTAGACTCGAAAGCACTGGCTGTTAATTCTAGAACATATAGGCACTTGGACTGAATTAGGAAAAGAAGATTTGGACGATAATTTTTACCAGTTATTATTGGAGGATACAGAAAACCATTAACATCGGCATAGAGAGAATAGTGAACATTAATTACGGGCTGAAGTGACTTGGCAATGAAGTTAAGGATTGAGTCCTGTCTCCAGGTGAAGCGATCAAGGTACTGTCGATAACCAGCGATAATATGAAGGAGTCATTCAGGAATAATGATAATAATAATAGAAATAATAATAATAATCAGAGGCACCCAACGACTGTTTTCTGTAAAACACTGTATCTGTTCGGAGATGCAGATATTAGCTAGAATATTCTATTACTTGAGGACGGCTAAAAATGTCTAGATGAACGTTCCATTCATGAACAATTTTCAAAGTTTATCTAAGAAATTCCCTACGATTTCATGTTCTGAAGTTTTATTTTTCATATTTCAATCCGTAGGTTAGGCTATCTTTCGTAAAAAAAGGGAAACCTAAAATGTTCGGATTCAAAAATATGACGGAGAGAGAGAAATCAGAAAAATTCCCACACTCGTAAAACGTTAAACTCCCTCTAACATTGTCGGGAAAATAATACTGAATAACACTGAGGCCCTTGCATGTAATTTCGAAAAGACTCAAGACAGTAAAGTTTCTCTATGACTGCCGAATAGAAACACATTTTAAAGCGCCACTTAGAATATTAATGCATTCCTAGAGATCTAAAAGTACTCTAGCCTGAAAAGTGTTCTTAATGTGTTCAGGAGGAAACCGTAGTTGGGTGACCCTGAATGATAATATTACAATTCCACCAAGGTTTCCGAAATATTATTCAAGTATAAAGATCTTGATATAGAAATCACCAGAATGTGGTAGGTGAAGACAGAAATAATCCCAGTGGTCGTTAGTCTCCATCGTATATATACCGCGTAGCCCCTCGGGTCGGAGTCACGAAATGCTCGCCGCTCCCGGGGACTCCGGCCCGAGCGGCTGCGAAGGAGACTGGGTGGTCGTAGGTGCGTTAGGAGTGAATAAGAAAGGCTCAGAGAAGCTCGTCAGAGAAATTCCATGAAACATCAACGTCTGGGAATTTCAAAAGACAGAGGAACTCCCGAAAGAAAGCGTTGCTGGAAACGGTACATATTCTATCGATCAAGACAAAGCAACCCTCAAGTGCCTCAGATTCAAGGTTTGGACCTGGCCCTTGGAGAGGAAATAAGGTCTCATGAACTGAATAATAATAATAATAATAATAATAATAATAATAAATAATAAATAATATTAATAATAATAATAGTAATAACAACAATAATAATGATGATAATACCAAGTAACAAAGTATATTACTTAACAAAGCTTCTGTCATGGGAAAAGAAAGGTATGAATAGAACAATTATTTTCGTTTTTTGTAGAATAATTAAACTTAAGGTAGGTCATAGAAAGTGAAATACTTAACAATACTCAACATTTTCATTTTCGACACATATGACATTTTAAAGCTCTTTCCACTTAGGAATTATTACAGTTCTGTAAAATGGCAGCGGCAGGAGGAGATACGGAAACCCAAGATTTAAACTTTCTCCTCAAACTACTAGGAGAAAGAGGAGAAGATGGCCAGGATTTAAAGGAGCACACCGAACATGTTTCCATCTTCATTTTTAAGCATCTGTCAGAGATTATCAACCACAGATTTAACACTAACATCACTTTTCGACATTATGGCAGCACAGCAGAAGATTTAAAGTGTCCGCAAACCACAGATATAGGGGATGAAGATATTGTGATATTTCCCAATTCGGATAATTTAATTATCCATGGCGACCTCATTGAATACATACCCGAACACACAATGCACGTCAGAATCAGGGGAGTAAACCACCCCATTTTAAAATCCTGTCTAGTAGAGGGTACAGACTACTTAGCCACAGCGGCCTTAAAGAACTTTCATTCTGCAATTTATAGCAGTTTCCCGACTCATTTGGTGGACTTCTTCACTCGGACACTTGAAGTGATGTCTCGAGAAGAAATTTTCAATGGCATTTATGAATGGAAGAACAGTCCAACAAGTCCAGCTTTAACGGTTGATTACGCCCGTTCCAACGGTTCTATCACCGAACAGATTAACAAACAAAAAGATCCAAGATATTTGGTCAATTTGGATGTATCTGAATGGGAATGGATGGCACATGACCTTTGCACAGCCAGAGGAATTGAGTATACCAAAGAAACGCCCAAGTTATAACCGATGTACTCCAGTATGTCAATGAGATACAAAAATCATTGAAAAAAACTGGTTTGGTTGGTTCTCCTCAAAGTTTTCCCATAATCGCGCAAGAACTTTTGATGAGCGACCGATTTGAAACCCTGAAAACGCGATATCGTGATATTGACAGAAGAACACAGAACGAAAGCAGAAAAACAAAATACTTTCCAGCAGTAGGCGAGAGAATGAATCCCGAAGAGCGTGTTGAGCCAGAAAGATTTTCTAACAACACCAGCGAAATGAAAGTTATAGAAGGCTTGGAAGGGATCTTACCACTCAGTACAAATGAATCATGCGTCAGACCTAGCATTATTGGCGACAACCACAGTCCGAATGCTGAGAATCTTTATTCTTTTCCAGGTGGGTCATCAATAAAGAGTTTTCGGGAAAGGGATGGTTATTTCTCAGGCAAATTGTTGCACAAACAAACTTCTGAGGAAGGAGGCGAGAACGAAAGAAATTGTGAGAAAACTACTTCACACAGTAGAGAAAAAGAGAATCAAGAATGGATGCCACAATCACAGCCATGGACAATGCAGAAACAGACAATCAGTAGGATGGAAGATGGAAATAAAGACACTCAAGATGAAGAATTCGAGAAAAGGGTGTATGACCGTTGGTTCAAGCACCTGTTTGAGACAGTAAACGAACCAAAAACCAAAGCTTGCATGAAACCTGTAACTAAATTCAAAGACACGGAAAAAGTGCAAAGCCATGATATCGTGGGAGGATTTGATTTTGTCCCTGCTTTAAGATGTCGAGGTTGGCCGAAGATTGCACAAGATTGGATTAAACAAGTGCGTAAGTGGCCTTCGCCTCAAATTGTTGATAGGATTGTTCAAGAAGGGTTCCACTTGGTGGTAAAGCCGCCCAAAGTTGGTGGCCATCCCGAATACGACTTCAGATTATCATTTTCTCACGCAGAATACCTACTAAGTCAGGAGATGAACAGTGTGCAGCGAGACTGCTACCGTTGCATGAAGAAATTTCATCGAGCCTATCTTTCTACTGCTCCAGAGGGTTTGGTCACTTTTCACCTGAAAAACCTACTTCTAAAAACACTTGAGGAAACTGATCCCGGAATGTGGACTGAAAGCAACAGAGTGTTTTGCTTGATGAAGCTGTTTGAAAACCTTTTGCAAGCCCTTTTAAAGAAACATTTGCCACACTTCTTTGTGAGATCGTACAATCTGTTTGGCGAAGATTATATTGAAAACTCCGAGACCCTGGAATCCTTGGCCGAAAGAGTTGAACGTATTCTGGAACGGCCTGTGCGATTTACAAGAGAGTTGCTTCGTCATCAAGAAGAAGAACAGAAAGGTGGTATAAAAAAGAAATACATTCCAAGTAACAAATCAGTTGCATCTGCAAATCCTCTTACAGAAGTAGAACAACGAAAAAAAGAGGACAGTCTACCAAAACAAGAAAAGAAGAAGACGACTAGTCAAAGCAGCACTGGTAAAAGCTCAAGTCTTCGCTACCACGACATGAAAGAGATGTTCGTAGCAACTAGCAATGAGTTGCTCGATATGGCTTTTAACAAAGCTGCTGAAACTGGCAGTTTAGAAGCCCTCGATCCTCTAGAAAGGTCCCTAGTGGAAGATCTCAGAGAGATTAATAAGAAACATGGAATCCCTGCGGTTGTATTTCCCATGATGTTTGAAGGTGAATGCTGGGACATGGCGTATTGCAGGGTTTGGATCAACACTGACCCGAGAATGAGGCATCGTATGCTTGATGGTATCAAGAGCGTTATTGAGATGTGGAAGTACATTTTACAACAAGACGACTTTGGGACCGGAAATGAGGAGGCGATATTCAGACAAATGGTTGATCCATCTTCTGCAAACCCTTTCGACTTGAGCCATGTTCTGCCAGCTGGTGCAGGGACGCAGTATCTTACCAGGATCGTCAACAACGTGAAGCCGAGGCCATATCATCGGCCACAAGATACACCCTGTACAGATGATATTCCTTTAGACTGACAGATTCAGTCACTCACTGTACTCTCTTGTAACAGACGTTGATATATTGAAAACAAAGGAGGACAAAAACACACAAACAAACAAAAAATTGAGGGAATAGGTGCGGGCAGTAAGTCCACTAGTTATTATGCAGGAGGGCTTTCTTTTTTTCTACTTCCAAATATTTCAACATGAGGCCCTTAGATCCATCAACCGACAACGCCGAGAGCGAAGTAGATCATCCGAGAGAATTCTGCATTCGACGTCTTGTAGCACGAAACAATCAAATGGTACAACCCAGCCATTCGTAGTCTAAGGTTTTCAGTCTAGTTACAGGCTTGCAATCACGAGGTGACAAGTTCAAATAGTATTGATCCTCAAATCTGGTTTCCGAAACAATTGTAGCCGTGAACAAAAGTCTTAAGCTGGCTAGTGGAACGTGATCACTTTCAGTTTCGTCTGTGCTGTGGAGGGCGGTGCCTCTGCAACCGCTCTTTCTCTCAAAAAGCGAGAAAGAAAAACATTGATGCCTCTTATTGTGCCGTGCATGTACTTTTGCTTTTCTGTTACAGACTCTAGACTATTATCCAGTCTCATTCAACTAAAGATAATAATCAAAAGCTAAACATATTTGGATCTTTTTTATGGGGATGGGGTGGAGGTGTGTAAGACAGGTTTTGTCCGAAAGTAGGAGAAACTTACCATAATTAAAAAAAAAAATACGTTATTAGTAGTTTTAGAAAGTATCACTAATATTTTGGGTAAAATGCTCATTTTTCGCCAAGGCTACTTTGGTATGCTATTTTTACGTAAAATCAATATAAGCTTTGTATGTAGAACCGATGGTTTTGGTGCAGCGTATTTCTGGCAGCTTTTGGAATGTTTTAAATTTTGGAAATTTGGAAGGAAAATATTTGAAATTGTTACAGAGACTGTTTACTGTTTACCCTTTTGAGTGAGAGGTGCCACTTGACAGTTTAAAGCTCCTATTAGACTATTAATACAGTCAGAGTGGTGTTTAGTTTCTATATAGTTTGCCGATGTTCCGGCACAGTCTTTACTTCATTTTCATTTCAATGGTAAGTCCTAAAATCCAAGACCTAAATCTTGACGTAAGAGTACAGTTTATAATAGATAAAATGTAGGAAAGTAATTTTCAGGCTAAGGTTGCAGGTAAAACAACTGATACACTAATTTGAGTCTCATTCAGTCTTTTTGTTTAATAATGTCATCTAATCAATTAGTTTATTTACAAGGAAGCTAAGACTTAGCCCCTCCCCCAACGAAGCCTGTATATAGGCAAAATGAAAAATGCCGTGTTTGCCTCACTTGGATCATAAAGCGCCTGTTTAATATTCAGGCTACCCCCAACGCGAGGATGGTTTGGCATCCTTATTCTTTTATGCAGTTTAATGTTAAGATCAATTTTGTGTAACCGAATGGGCCACCATGTTTGGTTATTGTTTCGTGAAAGATAATGATGTCTTCCATAATAAAAGTTAATAAGTTTATAAAGGTTTATATACTTTTCTTGTTCATCGTTATTGTAATCCGGTATTATCGATTGTATTAAGTCTCTTACCCGCTTTAGTCATGTTAGCTCCAAGAGAGAATGCAATATTCTCCAATCCCTGTTGTCGAAAAAAAAAAACAAAACAAAACAAATACTTGCCATTAATCATCCAAGAGGAAGAGAGATTTTTTACATTAAACCAACCGCCTTTTACTATTTGTTTTAACAAAAAAAAAAGAAAAAGAAAAGAAAAACGGCGTGGCTATGTGTTCCATCCCCTCGCCCCTCCCCACCCACTCCCTGATGGTAAAACTTTTCTGAAAGTAGACCGCTGGCAAAGAGAGCTGCATTCAATCGACTCTGGGAGGTGGTTTGAGTTTGTACCGGATTAGTTTGTATTTATTCGGATTTTCAGGATGAGAGACCGGCTACAAGCTTTAAAAAATACTGTTAGTATAACTTTTTGTTCCAAAGCATCAGATGATTTAGTAGCTTCGTTGAGTCTCGAAAGTTCCCTCGAGAAAAAAACTTATTTGTAGGTGTAGATGGAGCTCGTGACACCTCTGAATGCAACAGATCAACTTGGTTTAATCGAAACTTTTGGTTTTTTAGGCACCTCCTATCGATGAAGATGAATCACAAGACGACGATGAACCTTCAACTACGATTAACGTTGAAAACACTTTTATGGATAACTTCTTTCAACATGTAAGTTCCGCTTTTACGCTTTCCTTAAACCCTTAAACTGAAAATAAGCTAATTTGTGCAATGAAGTGCAAATCAAAATGTAGTGTCAAAATGTAGCTTCTGTTTTAATTTATCAATCTTCGTCGTTTAAGGTCGCTACGATACGTGGAAACATCGATAAAATAGCACAAGATGTTGAACAGGTCAAGAAAATGCACAGTCTTATGCTGTCCGCCGCCGTCCAAGAACAAGGTATAAACATCTAATAAGATACTTCTGCAAAAATTGGCTACATCTTTAAGCTTCAATTTTAGGCTTGATTTTTTAAGTTATTGTAAGAAGCTATTCTAACACACATAGAGTCTTAACTATTTCAGTTTCCATCAATCTCTGAAAAAATGTCACTGATTCAGCTCAAATGGTCCGATATCATTTTCGTTGTGAATTGAACCATAATATTTGAAAACCTAAATATAATGAGAGTTAATTGTGACATAATTCATGTTTTGATTTTAGTAGTATAAGCTTACATGATATAAACTCCTTCAGCTCTCAAAAATCAATGGCCAGAATCTGGCCCTGAAGTTGCCGGATTTTTCAGGTTTTTGCAAAATTGACAGTAAAAGGCAATTAGCAACCTAGTCCCGTTTTTAGTAAGTACAGCTATCAAAATACACCTGACATAAGAATCTTGATGGGGTGCTCTTAAGGATAATGAGAAAATGACAATTTTCATGCATTTAAGGAACACAAATTCAGTCAATGAAATGTAAAGTGCTTACTTGTTACAAGTCTTGCATTGCAACTTTATTGGTTTTGTAATTATTGCCTTGCCATTCAGAGTATTTATTTTTCAGGCACACAGTGCTGATTTTTATTGTGCCACTATATTTTTTTTTCTATTTTGTGTTTTTGAGGAATATGTTATATATTCTTCTCCTAATCCCTGTTCCTGGGCTTGGTCTCCAGTCATGGGTGTTAGGTGGGAGCATGGGTTATGCTGTTTGTCTTTGGCATCATAAAAATTTTGATAGATTATTACTGTGTACATTGTACTCACTGACCATCTTCTCCTTAGCTAAAAGCGTACAGTTAATTCTTGAACTTAGTATAGTCTACAGATTAGTGAGTTGCCTGCAAGCAAATAACTGACTTACCTGTAGATTGCACACACAATACATGATTTGCAAGAGAAATGTCAAACTGTATTCCATACAATGGTGTGTTTTTCATTATTTCTTCAAATCATTATTAATAGTATAATTACATTGATGATTATCGAAAATAGAGCACTATGATTGGCTAGGAGCTTTGCTTCATCCTGCTATAATCACCATGCGGTGATTATAACATTGAAGGCTAGCAGTTTTCAAAATGGGAGCCAGATCTGTTGATGTTTCAGAGTCGGAAACTGATCAATAATTTATATTTTCTCAAATAATCATCAGTGTAATTATACTAAAACAATTAGTTGCCTCAGGTGACGTGAATATCCTCGAGGTGACTATTCGCCGATATTCATGTCGCCTTCGGTGACTAATTGTTAAATAACACAGTTTATTAGATTTGGTTTGTGTGATATCTAGCTGGTAAATGTCTGGAATATTCATTTTCAGATATCACAAAACCTTATCTAGTAATTGTTGATGACTGTTCAAAAAAGAGCACCATTTACGGAAGACTCTGTTTTTTTTTCCTCAAAATTATCAATATTAATTTTAAAACCTTTTTAAAGGTGATGAGCGAGCATTTTCATACTTTAAATTGAGCTTGCATAGTGTTCTTGGGTATGCAATTAGCCAGCCTGCACTTAGCTCCCTCAGTGCATGGTAAGAATAAGAATGGCCTGAGACCAAGCCCACCCCACTACCATCTTTCTGGAAGTCCTGTGATCAGCCTTGTTTCCCAGGGTATTACTATAGATGTCAATCAACCTGGGGTGCTTACTATTTACACAAACTTTCTAGCTGAAGATCTCATGTGTAAGTGTTTAGCAATAGTGAATTTGACCCTTTGGGAGAAGGACCCACTACAAAGATTACCCAAATCTGCTGGGGAGATAAGGGAAAGTGGTCAATATGAACTTCCTTAAAGAACAGGTCATATTTCTGGAAGCTTCCCAAACAAAAGGGAATTTGTGGTTCCCACATGTAAGTGGTAATATACCTCTGGTTTTGTAGCATTAAGTTGCTTGTGAGTATAGCTGGATGGGATTCCCTCACACATTTACCAACATAATAACACCAGCACCATTTATAGACCTTTTTGCCAAGGAACAACTTTCTTATGAGGAATCAACTTGAAACTCACTTTGATTTGCTCTGGGAGGGGTTTGAGGGGAGTAGGGAAAGGTGGAAAAGAAATTGTTGGAGACTGCAGAGTTTTAAGAGGTTGTGCAGCTTCAGAAAAATAGAAAATATGCGCTTTGCACTTGGGCTAATAAGGTTAAACTTTCCATGAAATTGTTAACCCTCAAAATCTGTTTCTCACATCATATCATAAACAGTCAAGCACCATAGGGTAGGCTTCATAAGTGGTTTTGTCTGGGATATGACAGAGATGTCAAGAATATAGTGTTGTGGATGTTTGGTACTGAAGTAGAATAGGACCATAAAGGATTTTGGGGCCTAAGTGGTATACATCCAACCAGTGCATTTGCTAACCTACCCAAACATTCATCAAGTATTGTCCACCAAGACAAAACGACAGGTGTATGAAAAAGGAAAATTTCACTTGCAATTATGAACCCTTCCATTTTGTGTAAGTTGTACGAATTATTATTTGTTTTTGACACCATTAGGGTGTGAGGGTTAAAGACCTGGGTGGTTGTTCAAGTGAGGTTCAAACTTCTCTCACGAGTCTTGTTCCACAGAGTTGCGCAAGTGGCGATGGAATATTCTAATAAAACAACACTAAACACATGTTACTCTTGTTTTTAGAGGTTAAAGATGAACTGGAAAGACTGATGTATGACGTGAAGAGGACAGGCAATTCAGTAAGAACAAACTTGAAAGGTATGCTGATGTGTGAGATCCTAATCATGATAAAGAATTGTCGTTTCTGTATTTGCAAAAATCCTATCTATATTTCCTTGAGTATGTATGTCAAGCAATGCTCTAATGCATTTCCCTATGCTATTCTAAACAATTATTGGATGACGTTTTTGTGATTAATCCAGAATAATCAAGGTTCTCGACCTTGATTATTCTAGATATCACAAAAATTGAATCTAATAATTGTTTTATTATACAGTGAATGAAAAAAAAAAAATGGTCACAACAGTAAGTGGAACAAAGCAAACCTAGACGTCATGTTTTTGCTTCTTCACTAACGGCAAGCAACACAAAGCGCGCAAACTTGAGGTGATTACCTTTAGAAATCATGCACCGCGGTCATACATGACATGATTACCCGTGACCTTGAGTGTCTTTGACTTGATTATTGTATAATCTGCATCTAGATGACGTCCCAAGCGCTGATTTCAAAAATTCACTGTACGCTTTCGGTCAATCAGAAAAGAGATCAATGTGAGTGAGTTCAATGTATAATAATAAAAGAACAAAGCTGCCTTTCATACTTGTCTTAAGCAGTAATTGCTTCTGTTATAATGTTCTTTGTGTGGCTATGGTTAAATGTGTACATCTTGATTTTTGTCCTATTTGGTTTGAGCAGAAGACATAAATGGGCAGATGATTGTAAACATTTTAATTAAGTTATTACTTTGCCTGGCAGCAGTCTTAAGCTTTGTTACTTTTATTTGAAAGAAATGGAACAGCGGATAAATCAACAAGACATGGAGTCTTCATATAACAATTATGCTGAGTCAAGGATAAGAAGATGTCAGGTAAATTGACCTGAGTGAAAGTGATTTGAAAAACATCCCTGGTGAAACTATACTGGGTTGTAGCCACTATGAGCTTACCAACCGAGCTAACTGGCAGCTGTCAAAAAAGCTAAAAAGAGTGGGCAATGCACACTAGTGAAAGTGACTCTTAACAAACAATTTCCCACTGGCTGCCACTCTCACTCTGACTGTTACCTTCCCAGCACCAACCCATTGTTTTAATTTTTGAATGAAGCTGAGTATGATGCAGAGATTGTTATCCACCGACCAGTTGGTGATGGGCTGCCAGTTCAAGTGTGAATGGTTTAATAACTGTACATGTCTTTCAGCAGTAAAATGCTGGGGAAACCCCTGAAATAGACTTCTCATATCACACTGTTATATTGTGGTTCCTTTTGTTCTCTTATGTAGCATTCTACCTTAGCAAGAAAATTTGTGGAGGTGATGAGTGATTATAACACAACCCAATCAGATTACAGAGAAAAGTGTAAAGGAAGGATTCAAAGGCAGCTAGAAATAAGTATGGTTTTTCTTTATAAACAAATTTAAATTTTGATGGCAGACAGGTTTGCTACTCATTTTCCAGTTAAAGGTGCTAGAGGATATAGTCCAGCTACACTCATGGTGGGCATGACCTGATATAGGCTCTATTCAGTTTCTTACTCTACATTATTTTGATCTTACCCATATTGCCATCCCTTCCCCCTGCCCCCCCAAAAGTTTACACAGTGACATTTTTAATGTCTTTTTGGATATTTATCACTAGTGCAATTTTTAGATAACTTACTGAAAAATAATGTTTTTCTTCCTCTTCCCAACAGCTGGTAAAACAAAGACATATGAAGAAGTAGAGGAAATGTTAGAAGGCGGGGATCCAGCCATTTTTACTTCTGATGTAAGCACAGAATCTATGTATTATCATACCAGATTTTTTAAAAGTTATTGCTGTTTCTTGAACTCTGCACCCCGCTAAGTTTCCTTACTCTCTTATGTACCACTGGTGTGAATGGGGCTTTAGAAGTTTAGTATTTTTTTTAATATACCAGACGAGGAATTTAACTCCACAGGTTTTTTTTTTACTCAAAATATGTTTAAATGACAGGAAGCAGTGTATACCCGTATGGTTTAAAGTGTTTATTTGCCTTTCTTTGTCACATGTATTCAAGACATAGCAGTGTGTGACCACCACCTTGGATCATAAAAAAACTCTAATGGGGTCATATTTGGAGTACTAATCACAGCCCATTTGAATTTTGGTTATTCCTTGAACCTGTGGTATTCGTTACAAATTCAGATAACTTTGGTCCTCTTCAGTTCCTCTAAGGCCCTTATGCTTCAGGAGAAGGGGCCCTAGCCCTCCCCCTTTCTCAGTAAAAATCGCGGTTAGAACATTGGAGGCACAATAAATTGTGAGTTAGGCAGCATCTATAATTAATAGGCATGTTGCATTTTTTCTCCATGTAGATTGTGATAGAGACTCAGCAGGCAAAACAAGCCTTGGGAGACATAGAAGCCAGACACAGAGATATTATGAACTTAGAAAAAAGTATTCAGGTATGCAGGGTTTTCAATAAGCAACGATGCCTGATGAAACGCGTTGGCTACTTTGCTCAAAGAGGTCAGCTACTTTTTTTCTAGAAAGAAGAAGCAGCTGGTTTGAATAAAGTTGTAAACAAAAAATATATTAGAAAATCTGAATGAAAATGTAATTATGATGTGTTTTCATACAGGCCCACTGGGTTTAAGTTATGCTATTGTCATCTGAACGCTATATTTCAGTCATTTTTTCACAAGTTTCTTTATAGCAGGGCTTCTGATATTTTGCGAGCCGCGAAATTCAGGTAAATCCGTGAAATTCACAAAAACACGAAAAATATTGCGAAATTCGGTACAAATCTTATCAAATACATGTCTGTACAACATCTTTGAAACTTATTTCAGCTAATGGGGCTATTTACTTGCCATAAACTTGCAAATTTATCTTAGAACTTTGTCACTGAAACGTGTAAACGACATCCCGAAACTACCAGGTGTAGATTATGTTGTGAAAAACTGGGCACTAGCCATGATGTTAAAGGCTTTGCCATTGGTTCATTTCTGGAGCGCATTATTGTTGTAAGAGCAAATGATGACCTCTGCTAGAAAAACGTTAAAAACACTGGGTTGATCTTGTGGTTATTTTCTAGGCAAATTTCGCTAGAAATGAATCGGTTTTGCGCTGAATTGGCCATTTTTTACTGATTGCTTTTTGGTGAAGTTTGCCTCGAAAATTCATGCGGAATTACCGCGAAATTGGCCGATTTTTCCGCAAATTTGTCCTTAAAAATCCCGCGAAATTGGCTTTTTCTTCCGCGACCTGTCAGAAGCCCTGTTATAGGTTTACGCAGAAATTGCTTGTTGGAATTGATTGTGTCACTGATAAATTATTGAAACCTACATTTCCTTGAATGAAAACACGCTCTTTTGTCCTCAAATTTAATCCCCAGAAAGCTGAAAATCGCATTTTAGGGCTTTGAAATGTCAAAATTTCCCACAGCAGAACACGCCTAGACCCCGTCTTCCCCCCAAACAGAAGGGGACTAACATAACATCCCCTTGTTGATACAGTCGGTTACTCGATTCAAACCTGCTGGCTACTTCAATTTTTATTGAAACCCCTGGGTATGTTTTTGAACTTAAACAGCAGTACAGTCTATTATGCTATTTACTATCCTCTGAGACCTGGGGGCAGCTAACTTGGATAGCATTAACAGACAAATCTTCACATCAGTGTCCACTATTTTTGGTTCTAGCTTTGCCTAGTCCCTGTATGGCGTTTTCCCAGTCCCCATGGGTCAATTCATTTTGGTGACGTATCCGAGGAGACAAAAACAGAATGCACATGCATTTGTTGCTTTTTGAAATTCAAAGATATACTTCAATGTTGTAAGCAACAGGAGATTTGGTCTTTTTAACAACCCTTGTGGATATTTGCGAGATCGACTTTTCCCGACCAGCTTTGAACAGTCATCACAATGTTATTCATAGCCCTATGAAGATTGATACTGTTCCTTCAATTTCAGCATTCCAACTGAGCTATTGGAGTTTGCCGCTTGGGAATTTTCAAAGTGAAAACAATATTGACCCTCTGTGTTGTAAACTTAAGACCTCAAATCTTGATTAATCAGAAAAGCCATACTTTCAAATAAACTTCATTAGCTGTGTATCAAAAAGTGCCCAGAAACTGAATCTAAAAGTAAACATCCTATAAAATTCCTTAAATGTGAGAAGCATTAAATTAAACTTGCATGCGTTGTCTCAGGATCGTGTTTTGAGCTAATGTTAATCAATGAAAGAACACACAACAATAGACAGAGAAATTATTTCTTGAAAAATTTTTATTCAAAGGCCCATATAAATTAATCCTTGAAAGCAATATGAGTAACACAAATTTGGCTCGTGGATCCATTCACGCAAGTTAAATCGGCTGAGCTTATGCAAGAATTATTCAACACAAATCTCAAATCGGTTGCTCAAGCCGATCTCAAAATGTATAAAATGTCTAAGATAAAATATTCTCAAATACGTCATTTTCTTGACCATAGAGTACAAAATGTACCTGAAAATTCTTCACAAACTTCATTGCTTGGTGGCGTTTCAAAACAGGCCAAGCGCTCCGATCGGCTGTGATGAAAATTTCTTGTATTTTGAATTCCTCGAAGGACAATTTTATAGGAAAAAGCCTTCCTTTGTCAACTTGAAAAAAACCTAAGCATTCTTTTGAAGTTTCCTTTCCCATCTGTGTGTTTTAGCAGTGTATTTTTAACCTTGAAATGCAAAACACTGGTTTTGTTTACCATTGCCATTGAGCTGTCTCACTTGTGAGAATTTTTGTCTAGGCCTCGCATTTTCGCTTGGACCACGTGACCCGAAACTCTTTGGCCGCGCAGAATAATGAGGCCAAGGGAATAGGCAAGTTCTAGCCAGTGAATATGTTCCAGCTAACAGTTTGCTTGATCTCTGTTTTAGGAACTCCATGAAATGTTTCTAGACATGGCTATGCTTGTTGATAGCCAAGTAAGTACATCACTCTTTAATAGAACTTATTAAACAAATATGCAGAATTTTTTGCTTAGTTCCATAAAAAGTGCTGCTGAGGAGGTGCTTTTGCTTGAATTGTGATACAAAATAATTTAACTGAGTAACCATTTTACAAGTCCTTATATTTATGTAAGGAGCAGTTGGATTGCCTGTGAACAAACAATAATACATGATTTCTTGTTTGAAAATTGAAAATAACTTACCCTGCACTCGTGAATATTTCAAGTTAGTGGCTTCAAATGTTTGCAAGTACAGTACTTATGATTATTTAACTAAAATAATGTTTCCATGGTGACTAAGGCACCAAGCTCATGCAGTCAAAGTCATCTTTGAGGACTAGATGATTTCATGTTTTTATTAGAAACTCTCATTAAGCTAGTTGTTAGTAGCAGATCTAATGAGAGGCAAGCATTTGAAAAAGTCTAGATGGCATGTTGCTATTAAAATAAATTGTCAAAATTTATTTATTTAATGCATAAAAAAGTTAATTTCATCGTCACAGTAGATGGGGTATTCTAATCATTTTAACTTTTCAAAAGTGTTCTTGGTGTCTGATTACTTGCATTTTAAAATTTTTAGGGAGAGATGATAGATAGGATTGAATACAATGTTGAGCAGGCCGTTGACTTTGTGCAGGCAGCAAAAAGTGATACCAAAAAAGCTGTTAAGTACCAGAGTAAAGCACGGCGGGTGAGTACATGGATGATATCACATGGCCATGTGGAGATACTGAATTTCTGGTTGAGTATAGGAAAATATTTCAAGAGGGAATGAAGCAAACAAGTAAGATATTTTTAAACACAAGAAGAGAAATTTTGTATCTCCAAGCAGCCATGTAATGTTCTTCATTTTATGAAAACCAAGGTTTTCAGTAAGAGTTGGTGGATTTCGCTGGCTATTTCACTTGAACTCGCTGCCTACTTTTCTTTGGAAATTACCCCCTGCTTCATGTGCTGTTAGTGAATAAAAAAGCCAAAATTTTGTGATGTCTGTGTTTTTGCTCCAGAATGCTGGAAATGCATTCTAAGAGGCCCAGATTTCAAAATTTTTCCAGAAACCCCCACCTTTGCTGCAAGTTTTTTCCTTCTTCAACTACTTCAAAGCTTTTTTCATGTCCTTAAAATTGTATTTTAAACCCTGAGAAACACCAATGAAATAACAAACTATTTCACTTTTTTGCAACTTAACACCCTAAGATTGTTAGGGCATCTGGTCAATTTATTGATAACTTAATTAATTTGGTTACCCAAACAATATTGCATTAAATCCCAGTGCCAAAGGTAGGTGCAGGGTTTTTACAAAGTTATGAAGAAGGTGGCGCTGCCTTTGAAATAGGTACCTGATTCTTCATTCTTTTATCGAAGAATCTTAGGCAAAGCAGAAGCAGAAATTGGAATTAGGCGGTAATATTTGTGGGTTACCTCCTTTTTTTAATCCTAAATGCTGTTGTTGGTTTCTGAATGTATTTTCAAAGCAGACTTCAGAGTGGTGGAGAAAATGTCAGCTTAGTGTTGTTGTGTAGATTGTCAAAATTTGAAACTTTTTAAAATTACTAACATCAGAAAGACATAGTTTTCAGGCATGTTGACCTTTTGCCACTTTCTTTCTCTCAACAGAAAAAAATCATAATCATTATCTGCCTCTTCGTATTATTGGCTGCTCTTGTTGCTGTAATTGCTGTCTTAGTTCAATAGCAGGTGAGAATAAAATCACAGACAGCCATTTCATGTGCAGGGTATGTGATAATATTGTTATGTAGTGTTCTTCATATATGGTAGCAATCAAGAATTTGTGTAACAATCCACACCTTGTCAGCTTTTTTTACTTTGACGTGTATGTTAAACGAAGCATTTTAATTTTAAGGACCAATTAGGTGCAATATTTTATTCTTTGGTTTGAAGGTTAAGGTTACTTGATGACTAAACAGCCAATGCCAGTCTGAGCATTCAGGGGAACCGCTTCTGTTGAGCAAGGTTTAAATGTTCATTTTTGAGGAACTTGACCCGAGATACAGTCTCCTACAAGTTTGAAAGCTTCTGCAGGTGTAAGTCCTCAGTTGCTGACTGTTTGATTTGTCAACTCAATGCAAACAGGGTCAATTATCCTTTAGCCTTCGAGCGAGCTCTCTGGGATGCTCTGCTGCCAGAGCTCCCCACCATAGTTGCTCACAGGCTATAAATTATCTTTACTTTGTGTGTTCTTTAAGAATGTGTTGCACGTTACCATAAATGAGTACAAGTTCTGTTTTGTTTTTATTCATAATTACTGGTATCACATATAACACAAATTAACTTTGTATTTATTACAATTTGTTTTTGTTTACATGTAAGTAGAGATTAATGCAATGTGATTCATACCAGTTGTGACTTTTCAAATGTATGTATGTTGTGGTGTAAATTTATCCTTGGTTTATATTATATTTTTCATTGTTGTTTGCAATGGTGTATTGTCAGTATGTTAATGAGTTTGAAACAAAGGAACTAAAATTAATTCTAAGCGAGGGTAAATTTGAACAACGAACTAATTATGCAAAAGCCAAATGATATTGTAATTCTCTTTCTCTCTGCAGATTTTTTACGCTCTCTGTGTAATTTTTTATGGATTAATTTACTAGTAATTATTCTTCACAACAGTACTATTAAAATATGTTTTAAGTAAGACTGTAAATAATGTTCACAAATTAGGGAAGATTGAGCCATAAGTTCCTCAAAAGCATCATCACACGTTATCTGTAAGGTTTTTGAAACATTAGGAAGAAAATCACAAATCCAAATCCAACACCATCACTAAGTGAGGTAAGTGTGTATCTAAATGTGTCATTAAGTGTTGAGTGCAATAACATTGAAAGTTAAAACTCAAATAACAGGAAGTCTTGCTGTTATTTGAGTTTTAACTTTCAGTGTTATGGCATTCAACACTTACTGATACCTTTAGATACACATTTACCTCACTACAACAGACATCTTGTTTTATACATAAAAGAAAAGCTTTTTCTTTTCAAGACATACAGGTGCAGTTCAGCCAATAATGATTATTATGAAAACAAGAAAAAAGTGGGCCAACAGGAAATGAAAATGAGGTTTATTCACTGTCCCCTACTACTCCCCTAAAGTCTGCTTATAGTGGGCAGAGTAAAATGATTGAAACAAATATTTCTTGTTAATCAGAGCAATAACTCAACATATTTTGAATTATTTCAAAAGAAAGTTGATTTAAAACCCTTGTGTGGAACACTCACAAATAGTTGAAATTTTAATAATAATAAGCTACACTCTAATTGTATGACATTTTTGTATTTAGCAGTAAACGCATAACCCTGTGCGAGTGTTAAAATGCATTATAGAGATAACTGATGTGAGTTATGATAAAGGCCGAAACTTGAAAAATTACAGCAAGAAATTAGGCTGCCATTCAAGTAGACAAATAAAAAAAAAACTTCTCAGAAAGGAAATTGCTTCTTATTATTTTGGCATTGTGATTTGGCTTCTCCTGTTCACAATAAGTAACTAACTAGTGGGTTGTTTCCTACATGAGTAAATTGGGGTCATCTTGGGGGTAAATCTTGATATTGTGGCTCATAGTACAAATGGAGGTGGTTGTATGAATTTTTTTTACCTCTTTTACTCATACTTTCATTAACGTCCTCCATTTAAACCAATGCTTTCAAATCGTCACTACTTGGTTTAAAAGTGGTTTGTTTTCCCACGTATGAATATAGATTTCATCAGCAGATTGCTAAAGTAATAGCTAATTTAAAAGTGGCCAAATATACACTGAAAGACTAATATTACAAACCCCTGTGTAACGAGGCCCCCATGTAATTAATGACAATTTATGGAACAGGATCGCAACATTTAGTGCCTCACTGAACAAATCCTCCTTGACTCAACACTTCTTTATATCGGGGTTCCACTGTAGTGTAAAATCCTAGTTTTGTTGGTATAAATGGGATTCAAGAACTCAGGGCTGTCACTAAGTGCTGGGTATTTCCCTCAGCTACTATGAGCATGAACCGTGGCTTTTTTCATAAGAGACAAAAGGAAAATAGAACCAAAAGAACTTACTAGATGTTCAATTCCTGTTGACAGATTGCATACACCCAACAACTTGGAATCTTAGTGACAGTCTTAACACCTTATTAATAGATGTAGTTTTTTGGGTGAGGAGGGGGAGGAGGCATCCAAACTTTCAGAATCAGTTAGAGTTATGTACCAAGTGTAAATGTTTCCAACAGTTTTAGAACTTATGAGTTTGTCCCGTAGTTTTGTAGCTCAATTTAATTTCCTGGAGTTAGGATTGTTCACACAGTCAATCTTGCCAGAATTCTTTTCATCAGAAAGAAGGCTGCTTCTTTATATATTTGCCTATTTCTGACACCAAGAAACAAACAACAATAATCCAAGGAAGCTATATTTATTTTCATCCTTATGATAGTGCAAAAACAGCCCATTGATCAAATGAAAAAGTTAAGTACTTTTTTAGGCTACTGAAGTATTTATGCTTACTTGTCTTCTAATACTATGGTACTATGGTGACTGCTCTTGTTTTGAAACAGTGAGTTTTCTAATGAGTGAAATTTAGTTTTTGGTTTCTCTTTTCAGTAAAAAAGATATGAGGTTATTAATAGTTATCAATACTGAGTATTCAATTTGCTTTTCTGATTTGCACAGCATCATTTTCTTATTTTGAATTCATTTTTAAAAATATTGTGCTCTCTACTTTGGCACAAAGTGGAGATTTTCTATGAAGGTGTATGATAATCTCGCAATACTGACCTGGGGCAGTTGTTCAGGGTAGAATTAAATTAACAAGCTGGAATAGTACAAACCATTGCCAGAGAGACAAGAAGCGACAGCTTGACACAATAGTATCATAGCCTTTCCTTGGAGCTTTTACAGTATTGGGAAACCTAAGTCATTTTAAAACACAGGGGTTGGTTTTCAAGCTAACCAAACTGTTTTTTTTTATATATAAGTGATATTATAAAGAACTGGTTGTTCAGGCAGATCCTATGACATTATGACATTTCTAGTTTGTACGTTCATAGTTGGTACCCATAGCTGGAATTCAGATTTGTAGATTTGATGAGTAAGCAATTCTCAGTAGATGAACATTAAGTTAAGAAATTAATATTGTGTTAATTCTCATGTATTGGAAGTTGTAAAATAAATTATTTTAATTATTTTATAGTATGACAGGAGTGGTTTTTATCGTGTAATGTAAAGTAAGGGAAGGCGTTCCAGTGTCGGATTGAGACAACTTGAGGGTGGGTTGGGGGAGGGGGGCTATCTGGCTGAAAAGCTGTGGGCTAAGGGCGGGCAGGATCCTTTCCTAAACTGCTTTCCAAAAGGTTACCAGGGTAAAAAAATATGAGACAAATTTCATGATTCAGAACTCGAGTATTTCCCTCAAAAAATGAACAAATCCAACTGCTACCTATTGCAGCTATTGAACCTATGCCCTATTCATGGAGTATTCCACAGTCCACAGTTATGAAACTTCAGAAGGTTTCCAGGTACAAACCCTCCACGTATATTTTAACTGAAAAAGAAAAAATTCCACGTTTGTTGTAGAGAACTGGTATCAAAACATAAAAAATGATGTCACGATTAGGGTTAACAATCACAGACATCCGGCCGCTGTAGCTGACATAGCCGCCTAAATTAAGCTTCTTCGCTTCTCTTTCATATGTAGCTTAGTTGGTTACAGTATAATCGTTTGCAAAGCCGTACTGAATTTCTTATTTTGTATTTAATCGGTATCTATAAAGCTTTCAACTAATTACCTTATCCCGCAGCTCGTCATTGGTCGTCATTTTATCTGCGTTCGTTCGTGTTCAAAAACTTTTCGTGCTGTCTCTGTTTTCTATATTTATACTGGGATACGTCTTTGGAAGCTTGGTTTTTGTGGCAAAGAAGGTACTTTTATAAATGCTTTTGCGATAACAGTAGCTATGCGTTTTTAAAGTTCAGAGAAATAGGAGAAGCTTTTAGTGACAGAATTGAAACATTCCCGTTTTGAAAATTGCACAAACGTGGCGAATACTTGGCGCGAAAAAATCCCGCACTCCCGCGCGTATTTTCCCGCCATGGAGAAAAAGGCGGGAAATTAGGCGTGGGTGCATGGGAGTTTTCGCGCCAAAAAACGTTCCGACGTTGTCCGACTCACACGAAGAAAATAACTTTGAGCATTTTCCAACTTTAAAACCACGTAAGAACCAACTTTCCTGGGAAAGAACAGGTAAAACTGTTTATATTCTGTTATTGAGAACTTCTCTGTACTACAGGTATTATTTTGCAGTTCACAATGCGGAAAAATTGATGTCAAAATTTCGTACCTCTCACGAACACAAACTAGGCAACTAGCAGAAATGCCTGGCGGGTTTTGGAAGAGCATTATCTAATCTTTAAAGCAAAGCCTGCTTTACTGAGTCTTTACTGTTGTCTGACAATTATAAATGTCAGGTGCAAACCTTTGCGAAGAGCCTCTTTCTTGAACTTTGACTTCTTCGTCTTCTCGTTTAATAGGAACCGGTCATTATTTATATAGAGGTGGGGATGGGGGGGGGGAAGAAAAAAAAGAAGGGGGGTCTAAGCTATTTCAGATTGGCTATAGGATGGGGGGGCTAACCTTTTTTATAAAGAATTTTAGGGTGGTCTGGAAATTGATCGCGAGCTATATTTTAACAGGGGTCCATTCACCAAGATGGGTAAAGCAGCTAAAAAGTGGAGCGTAAACAATAAATGTGAAACAGTAATGCTAAATTGTACAATTTTATGCTAATCCTATTGCTTTTTGTTTATTTAAAGCATCACTATTTTGTAAAACTTAGTCATTTGTATTTGACAGAATTCTCTTTGCACTCTAAACTTCATTTTTAATTTGCTAATAAAGAATCCAGACCTATCTGCTTTAATATTTGGTTTGACTTAATTTTCATTAAACGAAATGCTTGTGTCAATTAAATATCCCAAGAAAAACATGATAAAACAACAAAAAAGTAGTCCTTTTACAACTGCAGGAAAATCATTTGAAAAGAGTTTTATTTTGCATGGTTATTACATTTGTGTTCACCATGAAGGCACGATTTGTAAAAACTATCAATTTTCCTATATTTATACGCTGATTTTGTAATAGAGTAGGTTAGTTCCTTTGTTGTGCAAAGTACGTTTATTTACCAATTACTAAAGTTTTCACTCTTTAATTAATAACAGATTATTGTTACATGTATTACTTTATAGAGCATATAAGAGGAGATATGAGGTGGGCGGGTCATCACGTAAATATTGAATGAATAAGGGGGGTCACTTGCTATTTACATGGTCTGCAGGGGGGGCCTTACAGAATTTTTGATCTTTCCAATATATTTTTCCTCCCCCACCTCTACATAAATAATGACCGGTCCCTTAACTTTACTTAAATACTTTTAAATACTCCTGGGAAAGAGCTGCATGTTCCTTAGAGAATTTGAAACAATAAAATGCATTGTTTTGGAGGGGCAAAGTTTTGGGGTGACAAACAAATGAGAGATTTTGAGGGGTGTAGGAGGTTTGCTATCTCTTGGTTTATCCTGTTTTTAAATGGGACATTGCTTCGCTATTGTTGAACCTGTCATTTTTTATGCAGATTTGATTCCAAATGACAAAGAATCACTTGGATTTCCCATGCACAGGATTCCCAAGTAATATAGAGAATTGTACTGGTCAATCCACACTTAGGTTAAGCTGATGGTTCATATTTTAATTTTGCCCTAATTTATCTGCTCAATTATGAGCACTGTATCTTACACAGTGCTTGATCAATTATTTAACAAATTTGCTCATTTACTTTTTTTACAAACAAATGAAACATAACCCTCAGTCATAAACCATCAGAAACTGTCAGTATCAGAAAACTATATTACATTAATTATGGTCCTCATTTGTTTGGGTTTATTATTTTTATTTCAATGCCTGGTTTTTTGGCTTAATATCTTTCTCACGATGAATATGTCTCAGTTAGAAGGAACTGTTTTATTTATGAAGGTTCAATAAATGATTTATGATTACACTGATACTGATGGCTCACTTCTCCATCTCCTGTGACAACATGTACGGACAACTGAAAAAAAATGAAAAAATGTTGAGGAAAAAAAAAACAAGTAAAAATTAATGTAAACAGCGCAATAATATTATCTCATTTCATCAAAAAAGGAGCACACAACTTGTTTAAATGTAACTTGATTCAATCATTCATTATATTCATCATACATTTTATTTTTTTAATTGAGTAACAATATTATTTCTCAGGAAGGTATTTCTTTTCTGCCTCTTTTAATTCGTCATCTCTTTGCAAACGGAAGACCTCCTTAACTGGTGCAACCTGAAAAACAAATTTAAATGGTAAGTGAATAGACACAGTGCTAAATTTTTCTTATTACTGGAGTGCTCATGGGAAGTTTAAAATTGATTGAACAGAGGATTTACTAAAAACCTTGATGAGTTGAACACTTAGCCCAAAAGTGGGCTTTTTATTTAATATAGCTTTCCTCCCCCATCCCCTCCGTGCAAAGCCCTATAGAAAACAACAAACACCCCAACTTTGAATGGAGGGGACAGGGAGGGGTCGGATTCTTTTGTTCTCCAAGTCCCCCTATTTAAGTATTATGTCTCAAAATTTTGAATCTCAAAAAGTGGCCATACAAAAATAAGACCCTGGTGGCTTTTTATTTGTTATGTTTGACTTCATCATACCTATTTTAGAACAATTAGAATAAGGCAATTTCTGTGTGACATTTCGTGTCACGCTTAACCGTGCCTTGACATCGTGCGACGTGGCGTCACAAGACAATTTTTATTATTCTCCCTTTATAGAAAACTTAATAGATTTCTAGGCATTTTTATAATGGCTAAAATTGCTTTTTTAGGAGGAATTTCCACGAGTAACCAACTAATTATCTTTTAAGAACAAAGTTGGTTACTCGTGGTTACTCGTGGCCAGTCTCCTCCTGACCTCATAGTTTCTACTGTAAAGTACATTAAATTTTAATTCTTCAAAGACCCTTATGGGTATATGGGCAACGAATCTGCTACACAGATTTAGCGATGCTATGAAGCTTTGCTGTGCATTAGAAGTTGGAACATTTTTCCTGAACATTCTCCTGCGCATAGCAATCATGGCTATTTTATCGTCCATCCCACCCTTATCAAATAGCCAAACTTCCAATAAACACTTCCAACTTACTAGGGATATATTCAAATACAATATATTATCTGCCATCGATTCCTACCGATCACACTTAGTTACCAGAGGAAAATCAATCATTCTGTACGTGGGTATGCTGCGTAATTACTTGGAATATCTACCGAGTACAAAGATTGTCAAAACTAATTTTTCCTCGAAAAACACAGGAAACGGATTATATGGGTATCTTAACTATCTTCTGAAAAACAACCCGGTGAATATAGTAATCTCAACCAGTTACCGTCTCCTAACCTTTGCTAATAGGACAACAGCGCAAAGATTTCGGTTCAGACAATCGGCGACAAAATGAGTTGAGACACTTCGCCCAAAAGTGGGCTTTTTTACGTTTTATGAACTTCAAAAGGAGGAAATATAGCTTTCCTTCCCCATCCCCTCCGTGCAATGTTGTGCCCTTGTTCTAGCTACCTATAGAAAACAACAAACACCCCAACTTTGAATGGAGGGGACAGGGGAGGGGTGCGGATTCTTTTGTTCTCCGAAGTCACCCTATTTAAGTACAATGGCTCAACAATTTTGTTGCCGATTGTAGCTAGAGCAAACATTTATTGGCACTCTGAGGCACACTCTTATTCATTTGTCTTGAATACACATGTTCCAATAGTCAAACAAATCAATGTACCTTCTTTTCCACATTAACTAATGACTGATCTTTGTATATTTGCTGGGTAACATCTTGCATTGCAGTTACTGATGCTCTCAGGTTGTGATTAGCCCAGATCACCAGTGATATACCCCATTCCCTAAATACGTCTGTTGGCACCGTGTAATACTTGGTAGGAACTATTACAACTGGACCCTGTCAACAATAATGATAATAAATATTAAAAATAGTTTAACATCATTAACATAATATTAATGATGAATTATTCATTCTCATACTATATTTTTCGATTTCATTGCCTCTATATCTTCCCCGGCCTGCCAAGTCATCCTTTGCGATGACTTGTTGACAAGATTATATCCATTCTTTACTTAAGACTTCACTTTTAAATTGACGTCTGTAAAATGTCTCTCAACAAAGCAGTTGGGTTGATGGTGCTTTCAGTTGTGACAGTTTGTGGTCAAACAAAACAAATCACAAAGGTAAACTTCTTACCTGGTTGTTCCAAGCTTTAACAAATGACTCAATGTCTGAAGGGTCGGATTTCTTGCTGTGCATTAAGATAGCATCAGCTCCAGCATTGAGATAAGCCTCAGATCGTTTTAGGGCTTCTTCCAGACCCCAGCCAGCAATGAATGCCTCCACTCTGGCAACAATGCAAAAATCTGGATCAGACTGTGTATCTGTAGAAAAAAATGGCTTGTTACTTTAATAACTTTAGACTTATCAAAAAGCTGGGTATATGTAGTCTGAAATAAAGCACTTGACAAGTAACAAACATCTTTATAACTAAGGCTTATTGATCTCTAGTTATTGTATGAAATTACAAATCAGTTGCTGAGTATTCCTATAATAAATTAAAACACTTGTTTCCTTTAAAAATTTTTCCACTGCCTTGTTTGCTGCATGTGTAAAATTCCCTAAGAGATATGGGCTGAGTGAAACAAGTCTAAAGTATGCGGTAGAGAAATTAAAAGCTGCCACTTTGTACAGTTATAAATGAATTTTTTTCAACAACTGTTCTACGCTAGCCTTTAAGTATATGTGCGAACAAAATAATAAAATTGTGTCACCACAAATAACATTATTATTGTACCTTTGCATGCTCTAATCTTTGCACAGAACTCATCAATATCAGCAAGAGGCTGTGCTCTGCCATCCAACAAAGAGTTAGTCTTGGGGAACAATTTATCCTCAATGCAAGCCCCTGCAACACCTCTTTGTTCAAGCTTTGTCACCAAACGACGAGCATTGTTGAAGTTTCCATAGCCAGTGTCAGCATCTAATAAGATTGGGATGTCTGTGGCATCACTCATGAATTCCATGACCTCCATAACTTGAGTCCATGATGCTTCATTACTGTCACGCACACCAAGCTGAGCAGATATCGATAAACCGCTACCCCAGATACCCTTAAACCCTAAAAAATAATATCAGTATTAGGAAATGATAAAACTGAGGCTGCAGAAGAGTTCCTTTCAGTGATTTATTCATGTGATTATGTTTGATAATATTCATTAAACCCAGTATATGTTACACTGTTGTTTTCCTGCCTGAATCTATGCATTTTCTAGTAATCACTCTGCCAGACATGTTCCTCATAAGGAGTTACTCACCTAGGATAAACTAAAATATAATTAATGATTGATTACTAACTTGGGCAAAAGACAGTGTTACTATTGATTAGATTAAGAGGTTAGGGGATTAGAGCTACCACCCACCCTCCCACTGCCAATAACATAAGTGTTATGTTATTTACGGGGGGAAGGGAATCAAGTAATTTTGGGGGCATTTCTTAAGGAATTTATGTAACCTGAGTATCAGGCCCTCCTTGCAGAGAGGGACAGAGGGAGAGTGAGAGGGGAGGGCTTTCTTTTCTTGCTTCCTCGTAATTCCCCAAGAAAAGAAAGCCAGATACTCAGGGTAGAATTTAAGATATTTAAGAAATACTTTAAATGAGTTACTTCCTGATTGACAAAGAATGTCAAATACTTACCAGCCTCTTGCACTATTTTTGCACTTAGTCCATTATGTGCCTCCATAATGAATTCAACATCAGGGGATTGTATCATTTTCTTGAGCTGAGTGGTTTTCTGGAAAATTATAAAATATCACTGCAAAAAACTTCTCAATTTTTCAGGTAAACTATCTACTGAAATAATGTATTTATTAGAACAAGAAAAAGTTTAAAAAGTCTCAAATTGGTTGATTAGTACGTAGAATGGATTTGCAAACCAGATGTCTGAGGTTCAAATCCCCTACCAACTACTACTGTGATTGTTTCTCAGAAGTTCCAGGACTAACTGCTTCACCACGCTTGTAGATAACCAGCTGGTTTCCCTCCTACCAGTTGGGATTTATTACCTTAATATTTTTGTTTAAATTATCATATTGTTGTGTTGACCCACTAGCCCATGTGCTATTTTAAATACAACCAAGGGTGTTGTTACCAGTTCTCAGCTGTATCATCTTCGAAATCATAATTTCGTCATAACTAGATTTCAGACGGTTGCTTATGGCAGACATAGCCTGACCTACCAAGGCCCTGTCCTTTGGTCCAAACCTGATATACATTTCATATTTTATTGATTATTAGATTGTTTTATTGACTATTAAACAAGTAGGTGGTAGGTGTTCCCAAGCAACCTTGACACAATAATAAAGTTCTTACTTACTTACTTACTTACCTAAGATTATTGTCTATTAGTTTGATTGCTGTTATCTTTTAACATCCATGCTAGATTTTCCTTCCTTTTTGGGGGTCTGGTTTGCATTCTTCTCCAGACAGGAATGTGGTTAAGCAAAATGTCTGGAAATCGGACTTAACCACTACATTACTGTCAAAAACAGCACGATTTAACCTGGCCATGTAAACTGCGCATTTGCTATTGATCAGACATAAAGACTAACATAATTATGTTTTACTGTCAAACCAAAGAAAGATGTTCCGGCCCTTCTTTTGATCAATCACTACCTATACCTGTGTTTTTTAGCTTTCAAGCTGAGGTTTTGCTGTGGAACAGTAGTTTTAATAAGCACTTCCACATTACTTTCCTTTTTCTGTTAAATTACCTTCTGTTTGGTGGCTTGTGTTGAAGTAAGCCTTTCACCCAGTTTCTCTGAAACAACATTAATGGGCAAATATTTAACATGACACTTTGTAAGAAGGAAGAGGCAAACAAAGTTTTACAGACATCCTTGCCACTTGTTAAAGAAAGTTAAAGAAAAAAAATGAATAAAAAGATTAATTCTGCAAAATTAAGCCCATTTAAAAATACTCTATTTAAAACACTGTGGCAGTAGTAGTAGTAGTAAATAGTAGCAGCAGCAGTGGTAGGAGTATTAAAAAAAAAGAAGTTAGTAGTAAAAGAAGTCTTGGAAACACCCAAAAAAATCTGCCAAAATTAGTCTCCAATAGCAGCCAAAATGACATAAAAAAATTTATATGTCACTTAACCTGTTTAAGGTCTACATAATAGCCAGTTTAAATAATTTCATAATGCTAAACCCCTCATGTGTCAGATTAAAACATTTTTACAGCACATTAAAAATGTAAGCTTTTCCCTCAGAGAAAGCACATATCTCAGAAGCAAGCAACTTGTTCCTTCTTTAAGGTCAAACTAAGATGACTTTCATTAGAAACCTAACAAAGTTTGTTTTACAAAAAAATAGGAGGAAATTAGGAACAAAACAAACTGGCACAAAATACAAACAAGTTCTTAACCAAACCTTTTGTTGCCATTAACAACTTATTGAAACTACAGTTAGTTTCAGAAAACCCCTTAGATCTCTTTCCCTCAGTTGAGAAAAAAATCATTTTTAAGATATGTAAAAGGGAGTATGTGGATGACTGATTCAAATGGCATGATAATTAGCCCTCAGGCTCATATAAACTATTAAAAAAGACCAATTTAGGGAAATCCCCAAACTTTGTCATCACAATCACTTTTGTAAAGCGCCTATTTACAAATCACGATATAACCAAACAGTTATACATTTGGCTTCCCTCTCCTTTTCATAGCGTGGTGTTACAGAAGCCAACACTCCCCCCTCCCCCCCCCCTTCCCAACGAGTACCACAACAACGTACACCCCCCCTTTACCTTCTGTTTTCCAGTAAAACACATGTTATCTTCTGCTCTAAAAGGGCACATCAAAAAGTGGTTGAATTGTGAAATAAAAGCAGGTTTACTTCCCGTTAATTTCGTGACTTGCTATTTTACTTGGAACGTCCGAGTGGCGCATGGTCACACAGTCAGCGTACGTGAGTTTAATAGCTAGGGAGGTGCACTCCACCAGCTCAATGCAAATACTCTGTACCACTGTTTTATGTAAAGGCTTCCAAATGGTTGGGTTCTCTGCGAATAAGCTCCTGTGTAACGGCTTGAAGTAACGTTGATTTTATGATCTTGCTCGTGGTTCAGATCACTCAAGCGAGGGAACAAAGAGACGATCGACCAATCCTTCACGTGGATTGGTCGTTTTCTTCACAAAACTTATTAGTATAAGATTTTATATGAGTTTTTTCTGTATTTACCTGTAATCCGACGAAAAGTGGTGGCGTATAGCCGTCCATATGCCCGTCGAAGGAACATTGTGTGTTTGATGAGGAATTCTGTTGTCTATGACATAGAACGAGGATGACTGGGAACAAATGTATAAGACTGGCGTGACAACGTGACAGTGGCGTTTCGTCACATAGCACTAGTCACGACCTTCAGGGATGACAAGGCCATTCATTTTTCTGCAACTAACAAGTGAACGTTCAAAATGAATTCCCCGGTCCCCTAGCCTGCGTGAATCTCGTTTATATCGGCAAACATGATAACAGTAGGAAGAAAACGTTGTTTTCGGGGCAGCTATCCGCACCCTCGTTGCAAACCAGTCACAAAATGCAAAATAACAACAAATTACAACAGGTGTTACAAGTCATGTTTAACTTCTGGAGTTATTACGAGGTCACTCAATCATTACAAATGTCTTTTTTGTCATTTGACAACCAATAATGGGAAACCAAAACAGAACCTGACCACAGGTTGATTTTTGGTTTCCAGCCTTTAAAAAACTAAAGTGGTTTATAACCTCTCCATATACTTGCTTTCCAAACAACAGCTGAAACAAGCCTTAGCCTTCAACAGATTTATTTTTTCTAAAATTAAGTTAATTTTAATACCAGAATCCTAGCTATGCTAAGGCGAGAAACGATAGAAATCACTCCAGTATTTTTTGGGATCGCCTGGAGGTACCCTTAGGACGTGGTAAGGATAAAACTGACAGCTCTCTGGCAAAAATCGATGCTATAGCAAGGGCGGATTTAGGGGTGGGCCCAGGGGGGCTCCGCCCCCCTTTTGTGGTTTATCAAATATTTCAGCATTACATGTTCAATATAGGATCCAGGCATTTGCTAAATTGCATCTCAGAGAACTTCAATCTCGAAAATTTTTCCGGAGGAGCATGCCCCCGAAACTCTCTAGAAAAGTGCGCCGTTTTTAATAGCAGTCCTCAGGGCGGTTTAATCAGGCAAATAAGCAAATTCTTGGCAACCGCTCCTCCTTCCTCATTTTTAGTAACCGTCCAGTAAAATGGTTTCGCCAGCCTCGCGGGAGTCGCTTTTTCCCCATCAGATTTTCGTGTAATAGGTCTTCACTTTATCAGAAAAGTTTGTGAGGGCCTGATCGCACGCCCGGGGGCACTCAAGAGAAGTTTGGGTCGAGTTGTGCCGCCGAGGCCTTTTTTTTTTTTAAAGTTTTGTGAAAGAAAAAAATGATGGTACCAAAGAACAGTCACAGACCACTCGCTGCAAACCTTCAATATTCTTTTAAAGGCTTCCGTCCAAAAAGATACCCCTGTTCAAGACGTGTAGTCAAATTTTAAAAGTGTTTAAGAATTATACCCTTGTGTTCAGCGGCACATATTACCCGTTTAGGTCAAATAAGAATCGCGCTAGCCTCCTCCGGAGGCAACCAACAGTGACGGTCTGCTGAAGCTTGAATCGCACATCACTTGGCTGACAAACTGGACCCAGAACATGAAATTGTACTTTGTACTTCTGACAACATGAAAAAATTCACTAACACAACGAAGCGAAATTTTCTCTTTTGTTGACTATAGTATTATATTGAAGCTTATTTGTTCAAGCAAAGCATGAGGAAAAATATAAAAAAATCATATAGGAAAACGCAATTACGTGTAAAAACAATATACCTATATGGCAGAATTTATCAAATACTACAAATTGGATTTCGCTATTTCTCCTTTGTACCAAGAGATCATACCGGTAATATATGATCTCTTTTTGTACGTAATACACATCTACCTTGACGTATTTCCAGACAGGATTTTCAATGAATTATTGCAAAGGCAAAAATGTTTGAGCAAGTTTAAACTTGTAGTACAATGCTCTTTGGGTGCTTAAGAACAGGAGATTATGACATCACCAAGGACATCACAAACTACACACGCGAGTTTAGCGTAGTCGGGCAAGTTTGAACTTGAGTCAACTTCACTGTTTAGCACTATGTTGGTGACACGCATATCATTGGCTGTTATCGGTAATGTAATATTTATCATTTGGTTAAACTGCGCAGCGATTGGCCGAATTCAAAGGACAATTGAATATTAATCATCAGCTGCTTACTCGAGCATAATTCATGAGAGCGGGACAATTACAAATTCCTAGCAGAGCTTGTGCATCTATTAAATAGTCAGGCGCGAAGCTCGATCGCTGGAGAAAACGATCAAAATGTCGAAGAAGACGAAACACCGAAAAATTATGATCCGTGTGAATGGCCAAGCCAACCAGGGAGGTCGAAAAGAAATGGAAGATTTTAAACGCGTAGTTTTTGACCGTAACCCGGAGCAAGCTTTCTTCGCTATCTTTGATGGCCACGGTGGAGGAGACGCCGCCGATTTCGCCAGGAATCATCTATGGGACACGATAAAGCAACAAAAAGGGTTCTACTCTGGCGAAACATCGCGAGTCACCAAGGCAATAAAGGATGGGTTTGTGGCTACGCACCGAGAAATGTGGAAGCACCTTGGTAAGTTAGTTTCCCTTTCGTGTCATTTCGCGTTGGATACTGAAACTTGTGGTATGGCTAAAACAGATACACTTCATGATTCGATTTGGGGCATGTCATTTGTCGCTTTTCCTTGGATCGTATAGAAGATTAAGAGATATCTTTGGCAGTTTGTATATATCCCGCCAAAATTGTTGTTTGGAATTATTCGTGACGTTGAAAAGCGACTCGTGCATGAATATATCCTGTTGTCTTTCAAAGCTTTTCATATGCAAAACACCCATGCTTGTTTGTAGAATGAAAGCCAAGTAAAAAAAATTGCTCTTTCCTGCCGAAATAAAGTAAAGAGCATTTTTACAGAGAATGTTTTTTCTTCTGTAAAAGGTGTAAAATATGTCGTTTCCTTAATCGTTTTTACGCGTGATGGATCACTACAACGAAGAAATTTACTAAAAATGTTTTGAACCTAATTAAATTGTCTATTGCGTCACAATGACTCTTGGAAATTCATTAATTTTTTTAAAAGCCGAGAACGGGCTGTTTTAATTATGTGGTTTAGGCCAGTGAAGGAAAAAATTCAAAAATCGAAAATACAACCGCTTGGTCCGAACTTAGACCGGATGTTGGTAATCAATCTTTTGTTTTTAGAACCTGTGTCTCTGCAGGGTGCTGAGGGCCCTGTTAGCACCTGTCAATCAAATAATTGTTTCCTGTCACGCTAGAATAAGATGTGACAGGAGTGAGTTCAAGTCGATCGGAGTGGTCACAAGCTGAAGCTAGTGGAACGTTTTTTTTTTTTGTAGAACTCAGGAATAAATTGTTCAAAAATGGTATAACAAACCAGGTTTCTTGAATTGTGATCCACTTGCATGGTACAGCTGTGTCTTCAAGACTTTTCTGGATAGAGAATGGAATCTAGATGCTTTTTTCATTTTTATCTATATATTTTTTATTTCGGAACTGTAGTTTTTAAAAATACTAGTTTCCCCGTCTTTATAGTCGAAGGCGCGATCCAACTTGTCTACGGTATGGGTGTGACAAAAAGCACTGACATATCACTCTGAAATGTCACGCTCATAACAACCCCCGGCGATGTTTGTGTAACGATATCAGATTAAATATTTGAACAACAAACATATCACTACACCACGAGGAGCCTCCTGACTTCGCACAAATTGCTCGTTTCACTGCAATACTTTCCAAATGAAATGCAAGTGAACGACAGACATGCGAGTCATGCAATCTCTGGGACACAGGCTGGTCCGAGGAAAAAAGGGAACAAAAACCTGAAAACCTGACTCGATAAAAGCGTATGTAAGGAGGTCCAGGCTTATGTTTCTTTTCACAATACCGTCAATGATCTAATTGACGCCCTCTCTCAAATAAACGCCTCTTGTCTAATAAACGCCCCCTGTATTAGACGCCCCTCAGACACCCCATGTGACAGTCACTCCAAAATATACCAGGGTTTAGCAAAATGGAGCAAAATCATTCAAGTGATTTAGTTTCCTCTTTGATTAGAATAAACAACGTTTTGTGCATTGCATCTTTTTTAATTTCAAGTTCAAAGTAAGGATAGACTATAAACGATGACAACACAATTTCCCTGTTAGCAGAGGTCTGTTAGGACGAGGCCTCGTCGTGCGAGACCTCTGCTAGCAAGGAACAACACAATGATCCTGACTGAGGGTTCTTACATCGAAGTTGAGATTTGTAAGAGCGACACGGACATCAACTGATGCAATGAATATTCCGCTGTTTTTAAACTCGTCGAAAGCATATCAGTTTTGAAGAGGTTGATATAAAATTGGAAATAAACGCCACTTTTCTATTGAACGCCCTTTCTCTCTTGGACCCTAGCCTGCATAACAGACGCTGTATGAGGCAAGCGAGGCGAACGGGGCACTTTGCGCGGAGCGCGAAACGATCGCGAAGCGCGAGAGACGCCGCGTTCGCCTCACGTGGCTCATAAAGCGTCTGTTATGCAGGCTACTTGGAGCCCTAAAATTAAATAAAAGCCCGGGCGTGTATTAGATCATTTACGGTATTTTACCTTAAGAAAGAGGATTGTTTAATCAGGGATAACGTTTTCTAGACCAGGCTCCCGCTTAGACGTTTCTGTATGTTTCTGCATATTTTGAACGCATTATGATTCATTTTTAATGCGACAATGTGGTGATGAAACATCTTTGTTTATTATTTTGTAACTGGATTTAACTGTTCCATTCGTAGATTCCTGGCCACGAACAAGACACGGCCTTCCGAGTACATCGGGTACAACAGCAACTGTTGTAATTTTAAAGGGTAGAACGCTGTACATAGCCCACGTGGGCGATTCAGGCGCAGCCCTTGGAAGGTTAAATCAGGAGAAAAAACTCCAAGCCGTACGCCTTACGGCCGATCACAAACCCGACGTTCCTTCAGAAAAGACTCGGATAGAGTCAGTTGGTGGTCAGGTTCTCTCCCGGAACGGTGTACCACGTGTGGCGTGGGAGAGACCCGTCCATCATGGCCATAAGGGACCAGTTCGAAGAAGCACACAACGGGAATCGGTGCCATTCTTAGCTGTTTCAAGAGCACTTGGTACGTAGGACAAATGAAGTACTATTTTTGACGAATAAAGACCTTTGAAATATATAGGAGTCTGGGAAAACTACTTTTTTTTCTGCTTGATGATCCAGTATATTCGTTGCCACGGAAATCTTGAACTCTCATTTTCTCAGATATTTTTAGAGAGTCAAATTCCCCCCTCGCAAATTTGGCCCGTAGTGGTCGGTCAGTTAGTCTGTCAGTTCGTCAATCAAATGATGAGTTACAAAATTAGCCCAGTAGATTTGCGGTCAAACTGCTGTAATTCTGAGGCCGTTCACATTTCTTCCCTCAGCAGTGCAGACAGCAAAAAACCAATATGAACCCGAAGCTTAGTCCATTGTTGGGAGCTCTTCAGAGAGCCTGCTCTCAGGCTAATATAAATATACTTGGTCTTTTCTAAACAGAAACTGTGGCCAGTTCTGCGTCGACGAGAACGTGAAACACAAGACCTGACATCCCGTGTGTTTACGATAGCCTGTTCCAGGCGTTCGGATGGTGGGGAGGGGGCAAAAAATTAGGGCGCCGGCGAAAAATTGACGACGGAAAAAATAGTCTCCCCTCGTTTTTTCCCCTCGTGTTTCTTTTTGCGCCGGCCGCGTACGAGTTAACTTGCTCCCCACTATCAAACGCCTGGAACAGGCTAGTTTTATACGATGGCCAGTTAACTTTTATCGACTCAGTTGAAAATACCAAATTCTTCTTGCTGTGACGATAAGCGTAAGAACAGATTGCTGTTAACAAAACTAATAACATTGAACATATTTATTTAAAATGCAGGTGATCTGTGGAGTTTCAATTATTATCGCAGCGAATTCATTGTCTCCCCAGTCCCTGACGTTCGGGTCCACAAACTGACACCTGGAGTGGACAAGTTTCTGATCATAGCATCTGATGGACTGTGGGGGGTGATGAAAGTAGATGAGGCAGTCAAATTTGTTCATAATTACGACCAGGACGATATATGCAAAATGGGGGACGTGTCACACAGGTAGGATCAGTGAGGGTCTCTTTCGTTCTGTTGGCCCACATAACGACGCAGTCTATTCTTTTATCACTACATTTGGGCGTATAAACTACTGAATCCATGATATAAAGAGCGGGTCATTGGAGTTAGGTAGCATGCGAGCAGGCTCACTCGAGGGAGTTCGGGGAAAATTTCGGCGGCGAGCCCGCCAGTCGGCGAGGAAGAGTCACTTTTCCTTACCCTATTCTTCTCGCCGGCTTTCCCAGCACGCGCCGCCAAAATTTTCCACAAACTCTCTTTAGCGGGCCTGTCCGCAGGCTACGTGATAGGTTTTTTGTCACGTGGTAGGATCGTTTTCGCTTTCAGCATGTTTAAACTTGTTCAGTGTTGTTGAAAGTTTTGATCATTTGACCAAAGCGCGAGATAGCTGATGGGCAGCTGCTGAAGTGGCTTGTGCCAGGTTTTCAGATAGTAGGGACACCAGCAAAATAAAACAAGCCAAGTGAAAATAAGACCCGCGCGATCTGGGAAAGGGGCAGAGGCTTATCTAAAATGCAAAATAGTTGTACGTCGACTAATTGGCTGTTAAAGTATTTCAATTTGCGAAACGGGTGTACTTTTGACGTGAAATAGTGACCAACGTACACTCCACTTAACCTATCTTCGTAATTTTGGAACTTAGACATCTTTGATCAGAATAATCAGGTACCAGAACTTTTTCCAGCCAATGAACAGGCGTTCCGGTGAGGGGGCAAAACCTTCCCATCTTCTTGCGTTTTTGCGTCTTCAATTTGCCCCAACAGCTTACCCTCACCGGAAATAATAATATTTCCGGTGAGGGTAAGCTGTTAGGGCAAACTGAAGACGCGAAAACGCAAGGAGATGAGAAGGAGAGGGTCCCGCTCCCCTTTTTCTCCCCCAACTTTGGTCAAACTCTCACCCTTGCCTATCATTGGCTACCAAGCACCGTCTGAAGCTTTTTCGAGTTCATAATTTTAGTGTCTTATATTCTTTTACTTTACCAACAGATTAGTTTATCGAGCACTGGCAAAATGGAGAGAGCGGGAATTAAGAGCAGACAATACAAGTGTTATTGTAGTGTTCTTCGATGAAACACCTCAGGTCGAACCACCAGCGAAAAAATCAAGACTCGACACCCCCGATAGCGAAGGCGATACAACAGAGGGGGAAGCGAAAGAATCTACGGATTCCGCTCAAGAAAGCGATAAAACTCCGGACCAAGACTCCCTAACAAGTACAAAACCAACTCTTGTGAGAAAACTGGCTTTTCGCTGTTCCAACCCAATGCAGTTTAATTCTTGTATGAATCACTTCTCGAACACTAATTCAGCAGCCGGACTGCTGTCATCTTTAACTTCTTCAAACAATGCTAATTCTTCGTCAGTGTGTAATTGTCAGTCGTAAATATAAATTATAAGGGCGTTGAGTTAAAAAAATTGTTTTTCCCTCCTATAAGTGAGTTTTTGAGAACGCTAATAAGTTCGTTAAAAATTCAGTCGTGGACAGTTCTTTTTTTCCAGCTGCGTCGACGGGTAAAGAGAACAATTGAATGCAATAAAAAATGAGCGACTGGGGAGTCCGCAGTCTTCGCTCGTTTACGCCCTCGCTTACTGTCGTTAGAAATTTGTAGAGCTCAAGTTCTCACTTTTGGAGGAAGAATTGAGAGTTCCTAACTAAGAGAACTGGCTTTCCAGAAGCCTTGTCTTTAAAATTCCTTTTAAAAGACTTAAAAAAACTAAAGGCTCAACCTTGGTCATGCATTTTTAAAGGTCCCAAGAAGTGGCTTCTCCTAGTTATGCTCTTTGCTTTGTAGTAAACTGAATTTCGTACGTGTGTATATAGTATATAAAAATCACATTACACTCGCGGCGAGCTTTTAAATTCCTCAAATATTTGTAATATATAGGATGAAATATTCTTTGAGGGGTAATACGCGTTTCACGATATTTTGTAACAATCAGTGTAGAAAATATGATTCTTTTAAAATCAATTTTAATCAAATTTTCAAAGTCGAACACTCTTGTAAATAATATTTAAATGTATCGCTACTAAGCTCCAAAAATACCGTGAAAACTTGAAGCTTTCACCTTGATAAATAGAAAATAGCTGTTAGGTGTTTTCTTACAAGCTGAAAACACATTAGATTGGTGCCAAAACGAAATGAACTATTTTTAGGCACTGTGCTTGGCACTACAGTGTGTCGTCAGAGGGAGAAAAGGTTAAAATTTGGTTATAAAATTGAAGGCGTTAAATGTATTACTAGTATGGCAGGACCAGAAATAAAAAAGGAATGAACTAAGGCACAAAAAAGGTGCAATAGTGTCGAGGCTAGCTTTTTCTTTCCAGCACTTCTAGAGAACTTTTTCACGGTCGTTAACTACATGTATAGTGCGAGCTGTGAGAGAAGAAAGGGCAGTCACTCGAGTGTGCGCAGAAAGAGTTTCATGTGGGAAAGGATTTGGAACAGAGTAAATTGTTTACATGAGAAAGAGAGTGATACCAGTCTTCTTAAGAGGCAGTTGGAGGATCTTCCATCCGTCATGGCTAAAAGACTGGACTGGGACAGCCTCATCAAATCGGTGCGGTTGCGCCCGAAATAGACAGATAGACTGAAAACAAGACTTCAACTGCCACAAGATTGGTTTGGTACCCTACACTAATGGCTGCCGTTTCATTGTTTTCGAACACCAATATGGCCGCCGTGACGTCTTGCGAAAACGCTCTGTATTCAGCATGAGGTGTTTTACTGCCCAAGTGAATGGATACACAATACCGTTATTATAACGCGTATAGGATCATCAGTGACAAAATTATTTACCATTACATGGTAAAAGTGAAATACGTCGCGTCGTTGTTGGAGATTGTAAAAAATATCTACCTACGAAGACATTGAGTAATACCAGAAAAACAAGAACTCTTGCAAAAAAGATTATCATGCGGGGAAAGATTTTTTCCAAGTTGAACGCACTTTCTGTCTTTCCCTGGTCCTTGCAGGAGTGACCAGATTACAGCAAGTTTATGCTGGCAGTCCACTCTGTTCTTTCCAACCTTGTCCCTAGGCGTTCTCGGCTCGGTCAATCCTGGACTGTTCCTTCCCAGACTTCGTTCGGACAACGGGTCAAGAGACAACGCCTAGGGACTAGGCTTTCGGACATCCTCTTGGCTTCCACTTTGATCAAGTTCGCACCCAAATGAAGGATTTTAATGACGACCGTGCTCGTCTAGATTCCGTAAAAAGCGCAACATACGTGTGATTTTCCCAAGCAAACGTTTTTGTCCGAATCATTTAGTGCAATATGGGAAATAAAACGCAGGAGGCACTTGCAACCATTCTCAATGACTCTCCACTGCTTTCGTTTAAATTGTGGTGTTTCACGTTACAGAAACTGGACGGTTTTTAACTGAAGATTATGCCGGTGATTAACCTAAGTTTTACTGCGTCTCGTTTTACCGATGAAGACCGAAGAGTCTGCGAAACTTTTTCTTCTCTTCTCCACAACGGCTACAAGGATGTGCCAACTGATATTGATGTATTCGCTGTGCCGTAATTGCTTTGTTTTGTTACCTTTTTGTTCCTAACAGTTGGCGTCACATCAGAGGGACGACTTTTTTTATTACACTCGCACCTTCCCATTAGGGCCACCGCCCAACGAAGGCCATTTAGCCTGTGCCCAGCCAAGATAACCAAGGTAGCCGTTTTAGAAGGTTCGACTGTGTTAACCCCGTTTACACAGCCAGTTAACCTCGATTGTCCTTATAAAAACTAACAACCTTTTATTGACGAGTAAAAATCTTGTCAAGTTTTCTTATTGGAAAGGAAAAGTTTCCTCATCCTCTTTTTTCCTCCCTTTCACTGTCTGTAAAGTTTACATGTTCGTCATCTTATTTTGCATACCACCATTCTCCTTGCCTTCGACTAATTCGCTTTTTTTCCTCGAGGATTAATGGTTGTCTTAAGACTGTCGTTTTCAGAATCTTCACGAAATCCTGTGGACCGGACCTTGCTCTGACCGCCACAACTTAATTTGATGAGGTACATCTCTGGTCTTTCGATATGAATGGGAAGTAGTCTAACTCGTTTTCAGAGATAGTTTTCACTAAAAGCCGACCATTTGAGAACAGTCCGATTGCGTATCGCCTTCTCGGTCGAGAAGGCAGGAGGAATCCTCGTTTGCCGCTATTCGCACAATCTTAACTTATGCTGAGGTTCATGTGTCCTGAAGGTCAGCTGACACTTCCTTCTAGGCTAAAAATGTCTCTAGACACATTAAAGAAATTCCCATAGAGGGTACAGCACCTCTGTTATGAAAATTACCCCTTCTTCTCCTAATAACTATTGCACAGTCCCTTTCCCTAAAAATCATAGAATTGAGGCGAAAAAAACCCTGACCAAATAAGACTAATATGTAGATTCAGTAGCAACATCTTGACAGCCGTCCTCTCCCTTTTGCGACGTTTTAACTTGCCGAGCTCGGAAGATTGGAAGTGATAGCTCGTATTCAATATTAACAAAACTCATCTGTTAGATCATGATGACCTTAAATGCTTCCTCCAGCCGTCGATGGTATTATAGACTGCGTGGCAGGCGCCATATTAGGGGAGGAAGGTGGGAGAAAAGCGCGAAAGGGAAAAAAAATCCTACCTTCTCTCCCCAAACCCCCTCCCTTTTTCCATTCCTCCCAATATCCTACCCCTTTCGACGCCTGCTACGCAGGCTATGGTATTGTAATTTCAATTTCCCTTGACTAAAAAAAAAAAAAAAAATCGGTGAGTTTTCCGAGACCTCGATTTTTCCCTGACTATTTCTGGACTTGTGGTAATGATGTCACCAATTCAATCAAGTCAATAAATTCATGTATATCAATTATCAGCCTTTGCCAGTCCGCGAGCAGGCCCTTCCCTAAATTCACGGCCTTCAAGTGCGCATTAATCCTTCGTCTCCCTCGATTTCCAAATAAACAGCTTGCTCGCAGGCTCTATCAGCCTTTCTTACTTCGTTCAATAAACATTTCGAACACAGAAAGAAGACAATTTCAATTTCAGTTCAATTCGACTTTTAATGAAACCACTCGCTGAAGAACGAAAGCATGTCTCTAAGTAAAGGAAAACAGTTACATAAGAATAAAAGTCAAAGTAGCTTTCTTTAAAAACATAGCAAAAAAATTGAGATTAGAAACAATACTCAAACGCAAGACCTGAAAAGCATTTTTTTTGTTTCATTGGACAGTCTCGCCTGCGAATACAGCCGTCGCTCCTCGCCGCTAGGGACGATTCGCAGGAGGAAAGACGCTGTATTCGCAGGCTATGGACAGTCTTTTCCATGAGCCAGGGGCGGATCCAGAAAATTCAGAAAGGGCGCACAGGGCACTTGCTAGCCATTTAGATACAATTTTTTTAAGTCTTTAAAGGAGCCCATAACCCAGAGCGAGAAACTAGGCCTATGTCACGGCGTTTTTACGGACCAGTTTATTTTTAGACACATTTTGGGAAAAATTTTCCCTCGAAAATAGAATCTCCAACATGTCTATGGGCGCATTTAAAGTGTAAGATATCAACAAGGAAAACTAAACGTTATTAAAAGACAAAAAATATCATTTTTAGGTCTGCAGGTTGTGCTGACTTTTTTTTGGAATTTAAAACATATTCAAAATTCGCGCCAAAATCGTTCTAAAAATAAACTGGTCCGTGAAAACGCAGTAATACGAACGCATGGATGTTACACGCTGCAGATTATGGGCTCCTGGTCTTTACCAATAAATACCAATTTTCACAGAAAGAAAAACGGGGTGGACTGCGCCCCCCTCGGTTCCACCCCTAAATCTGCCAATGTAAAGGAACGCGACTTTCGACTCTATCTGGTTTTCTAAAAGTAAAAGCTCATTGCATGTTAAGAGGTAACAACTTTATTCAAACTCGTTCCCAGAGTCTATCTACTTCTCGCTTTCTCCGGGTCTGGGAAGATGAAAGATCCTGGAAAGGAGGTTGCTTAATTCATGTATTCATTATATTAACAGCGTGAAAGATAAATAATATAAGTTGAAAAGTTAGCTTCCTACAGGCTTGCGCAAAATATTACTATTATTACTAGATTAAAAAGAGTATGCTCGCGCTCACTGGACTGCGAGCAGTCTTTTTCAGATAGTGGGGTATCGCCAGTAAGAGGTGAGCGGTAGGCGGCGCCCATGACGCAAAACGTCAGGAAAGGACGTAACCCTGAGCTTACGCTCTCGCTTTACTGCTCCCCACTAACATATCATATGCTAACAATGATTAGTAAAATCCAACAAGTGGTTTATTATCAATGCTGCGTTCTGATTGGTCGAGCTACTACTAGGCTATATGGTATAGCCCACTAACAGCGAAAAGTACCCGCTTTGAAAACCAAAACAATGGCGGCTGAATCGCGTTTTTCTCGCTAAAGTTGTTTTACCTCGATATTTTTGACCAAATAGTTGGACTTTACTAAAACAATTACTCTTCTCACCCTCACAGCCTCTGAGTCAATAGCCCATTCTTCCTTCGGCCTCATGGGCTATTGACTGAGAGCCCATTCGGGCTCGAGGAATAATTGTTAATTATTGGCACCGTTGGATTCTGTCTTCACCGTTAACTGGCACCACGAGTCTCGAAAAAGCTTTGTGTCTACAGGAGCTAAATCACTGCCCATATAAAAAAATCGTCACATGCCAGAAAAGGTCGACTTTGCTGATAAGAATAAAAACATGTACTAAATTGGCAAGCAACATATAATCACGATGTCTATTTCAACGTGATGTGTGATTGATATAAATGTTTACTACAAAGAAAAAATGGCAATCATCAAGAAAAAGAGCTTTCTTGGTTTGCGCCGATCAATTATTCTTTGCAAAATCTTTGCAGAATGGTTTATTTACATTGTAACTACCCTACCATCCTTTCTCAAAAGACAAAACCCTCTCATAAAACTAAGATCCGTTTAACACGACGTGCCGTTACTTCAAAACTCCTTACCAAGAAATTTCTCCAATATTTATTCACCATCCATATAATAACCAAGTAACAGTTTCAATTGATATGCACAAGAAAGTACTACCTATTAAGATACTTCTAATATTCTTAACATCCACGAAAAATCGGACATAAATAGATAAATTAAAGACCAAAGAGGCCATCCACGTTCAAAATGCTGCTCTATTGTATTTCGTTAAAATTGTACGAGAATCTCTAAATGTTTTTCTTGACTCTCGATAGTCCAGGAGAGCAAGAAACGTTTTCAGCTGTGAAGATTAGTTGAAATACATACCAGGAGACTTCTAACTAACCAATCAGAATTAAGCACAAGTATAAAGTTGCTTCAGTTTGTGGTCACAAGACAACAACGTTTCCTGGCAACTGTTCGAAGGGAAATTGTGCTTAATTGTGGAGTCTGTTGCCTCCACTCCAAAAGTTACCTGTTGAGTTGAATAATGTATCGAAAGGTCACAGACCAGAATGAAGGAAAGTCTTCACGAAGTAGATATTGTAGCATGACCAGCGTGCTGTTATCAACTGATCAGTCAGACTTCACTTTAGTTTGTGAGACAGGGTGAGCTGGTTCAGCTAAAAGAAAAACAAATCACTTTCATTAGAAAGGAGACGAGTGTAGCAAGCCCTGGGAAATTTAGTCTGTATTCAAGTCTTGACATGGCAGAAAACATCATGATCAACATCATAATTTTTGTCTGATAAAGGATGTTATCTATCTATCTATCACAAAATGGAAAGCTGATGTTGACCTGCTACATCTACCGTAAAGGTTGACCACAGTACTAGGGTCTTCATCCCTTACTCTTCACGAACAACTGTGTGGGTTCCTTTACGTCCCAGAAGAATCAAAACAGTGAAAGGGCTGTGAGACAGGGCCTATGGTTTTTCGTCCTTATCCGAGAAGACTAGAATATCTAACCATATTTAGATGTCAGCAAAGGCAGCACATTCTCCTCAGTAGAGGTGCCCCTCCCCATGGGTTCGGAACCCAGCACCTCCCTGTCAGCAGCCAGGCTCATTTAGTTATTGAACAAGTTTGATTTCCACGAAAACTCCACAAAGTCTAACAGCCCCCTGCTGACGTTCTTTTGACTCGCAACCCAATACTACCCAAGCCTTTAGTATGTCTGCATAAACTTTTTACAAGGCCAGCTACTAAATATTATGAGCTACATTTACCTATGCATCTTGAAACGAACTTGAGAACCTCATCCAATATGATAACAGGGAAGGAGAAATAAAGAACTGCGACCCATTCATCCCAGTTCAAAGGAGTGATGCGGAAAATGGTCTGCAAAGCAAAAATATTAATTTTTGTCAACAAAAGAGGAGAGAATTTATGAGGATGTGTATGATGTGTATATCCAGGATCTTTCAAGGCATTTAGAAGTGAAGAATGTAAAAACAGTGCAAAGTTTGACAACAAACTTAACTGTTGTTGTCAGCAGCCATAAGGTTTCTTTGGCAATACAAGAAGAGAAACAAACAAGAAATTTAAGGATCTTTTTAACACTTACAACAATAAACAAGCCCTAGAAGAATCCACAAAGGATTCAAAAAACGTCTTGACACAAACAATGGGCTAAGGTTGTAACACACCTAGTACACTTTAATGATGTACTCACATTAGTAATCTTGAAATAGAGTATGACAAAGTGCATGATGAATGATGCGGCAATGGCAGTAATAAGAGAAGGATTCCGCCAGGGTGGCATCACAAATAAGCTTTGGTTTTCACTTAAACTGAAAGTAAAACACCAAATAATAATGAATTAAATGTTAAAAAAGATTTTGCTGGGGCATAAACTATGAATTTTAAGATATGAGGTCACCACCATAGAATATGTTACTCTCCATTGACCTCAGTTTATGATAGGGGTTAAGAATGAGTTCTAAAATGCATGTTAAAGACAGTGTTTCCTCTTTTGGGTACCTTACCTACATTGGAAGATAATTTTTTTGTGCTCTTAATCTACTTTTGTTCTGTAACATTTTTCTTCTTAGCCCACCACCACCCCACCCCCACCCCCAACACTCCAGTTGTCAGCCAATCTCAAGGGAGAGTTACTTCTACAAATTTTCCTGGGTAAAATGTGTCTTATATGTAAATAAGTAGCAGTATTTTACCTGTTTAGAGCATTGAACATTTCGATTGTAACCAGTACTGACAGGGCCATAGTCATAGGATGAAGATCATTAAACACTTGGCAACTGACACCTAAAAAGTTTGTAGGATCTGTAGTACACTGCATATGATGTGTCTAGACAACAGGAAATAAAAGAAAACTAATTAACTGCCATTTACCATAACCACATAAAGGTGACAGGGTAAATGTATACTCTACTCCAACTATTAGAACAAGGGACATTAGATGGATTCAAAGTCAGTACATACAAATCCAGTCGAATGTAATATAACAATGACTTAACACACAGTAATAATATAAATATAACAGACATTTTTGAAGTGCAGATAAACCTCATCATAAACACTACATGAATTAACAAGACGGTCTTATTAACAAGGTTTTCACAAACTAAGGAAACTGGCATATCTGGCAAATTCAACACGACGTGACACGAGACTGCTAACGTGTGCTTGGCATCTGTCGTGTTTAGATTAGCGAACACCATTGCGACTGTCAATGCACTGTCTTCGCTAAATGTCTGCACTTCAACAAAGTGGTAATAACAATGATGTTCACAAAGATAGTTCCACTGTAAAATAGTAATGGATCACATTATATCATTGTCACTGTTGGGAAACAAGGATAAAACCATCTTGAAACAATCAATCAAAAACTTTCCCTTACCAGCTGGTAATAAGAGACTTTAGGACCATTTTCATAAAACATGAACCACCACGCTGATGCCGCAACAGTTGCAGCTCCAACGTAAATTCCAATAGCCATGTATCTAAAGAAGAGCCAGCCGCTGATGAGAGATTCTTTAGCCTTACGTGGTGGCTTCATCATGATATCTACATCAGGAGGGTTGAAGCTGAGCGCAGTGGCTGGAGGTCCATCTGTCATTAAATTTACCCATAGAAGCTGTACTGGAATGAGTGCTTCTGGCATTCCAAGGGCTGCAGTCAGGAAAATGCTGCAAAAAACAAAATAAATTATGTTAAATAATATATTACTGTGTCTCTTGCAGTGCAGATCCTCAGATGCACCCCTCAAAAGACTAAGCCCTAAAAAAACATCACCAAATGGCATGATTCTAAAGATCACCATAAACTGAAGACAACATATAAATTTAAGAAAGCCTCAATCTAATGTGTATGTTGCTGTTCATTTTTTATTTCAGTTAATTTTTGTTTTTCCTTCATTTAAAATTTATTAGCATATAATTTATTATCACACAAAAAAACAATAAAAAATAAAAATTAACGGCAACATGTACAACACCTCATTCTGTAAGCACAATGGAAGTTAAAAGAATTTTATGATCACTAGAGAAACCATCCCAGCAATGTTATGCCCCAAAAAAGAACTGACTTTCACTCATTTTGGAATGAAAAATTCTGGAATTTTACCAGCTTTATATGTTCTAATAATCACTGGAAAGGTCCCAGCACTTTTGAAATCCATTATAGTCAGAATAATTTCTATAAACTTGTATCACATATCTGTTTCATTTAAGATGCACAACTCTTTTGCTCAACAATTATTGCCCATGACATCAAGTGCCAGAGAGGTTCTTAGAACTATGTGACAAGGATATGACAGCCTTACACTCCACATGACATCTCCACTAACCTAACAACTTCTCCAATATTTGAGGAAATCAAATAGCGAATAAATTGCTTGGTATTGTCATAAATTGACCGTCCCTCTTCCACCGCTGCCACAATTGTTGAAAAGTTGTCGTCAGCTAATACCATTTCTGTTGATATGTTAAGGATGAAATTTTAACTATTCACACCATCTTAACAGAGTAAAGATAAGCCTGGAAACTGCAATCAGACTGTCATTTTCCTCCCAGTAGTAATGCAAACAGTGCCCAGCATGAGGACTGACAGTAGACCAAGAGAAAACCACTTGGTAAACTGCAGAACAACATGCTTATGACAATGTTCACAATTAGGACTCAGAGAATGGATTGACTTTTACATCATATTGCTCTGGTAAAACAACAACAACAACAACAAAGTAAATCATCATCAACAGTTAATTCAGTGAGACCTCCTCAAAACAAAGGGAAAAACCTAAGACACCAATGGGAAAAACTCAAATGACCTCAGTTCAGGTGTCTTAAATGCCATGTAGGAATAAAATATTATTGTATGAAATTTCAATATTCTTAGGACTAAGCAACCTATACAACAACATGGTGTCTGTGTTAGGGAGGTGTCTCACATGGATAAGATCTAGACTCTGTACCAGCCAGAACTTTGGAGGGTACTCTGTTGTGACTTGTCCCCTATTGCTCAATTATCAACCAAGTGCTTGCTGAAGTGGTCCCAAGCTGTACTCCAAAAGTCACTGTAACCCCTCAATGCATAGTTACTAGAGGAGGGTGGTTATAAAAGTTGGAAAACATCAATGAACAAAAAGAATAGTGCTGCAGTCTGCATGTATGTTGGGTACTTGCTCCCTGACTGTGCACAATCCTTTTTTTTTTTCTTGTTCAAAAATGGTGACTAAATAAATTAATGCAATTTTTCTATTTGTAATTTAGTTGAAAATTATAGGAATGCTATTGAACACTGTGCACAGACAGGTCCAAGAAAGGCTAACAAAAGAATGAACACAGCACTTTGACAGGCTTCACAACCACAGCACTTCATTAGGCAAGTCTTTTGCTACCTCCAAGCAATATTAGAGAGGCAAAAATGAGGAAAGCTCTACTGATGACAGATACTTAAATTAACGTTTTAAAAGGATACCAGAAGCAGATTTTGCTACAGCTGTTCCGGAACCCATGGCCACACCAATCTCGGCTTTCTTTAAAGCAGGGGCATCATTAACTCCATCCCCAGTCATAGCTGAGATTTCACCCTCAGCTTGGAGGTATTCAACAATTTTACTCTTGTGAGATGGCTCTACTCGAGAAAATAATCTGAAAAAAGGCAAACACATCAATGTTTATTTTGGGTTCATACAGTATGTATGCTGCAAAGTGCAAAAACCTATGTCTCATGAAAACAAATTCATGGGATTTTATCAAGATTTATTATTGACGAACAGAAATGCCAGAAAAATTACACCACCTTGCTTTTAAACTAGCTACTCTCTGTTCCTCTGGCGAGAGCTCATCAAATTCACGACCTGAGAATGATAACCCTAAACAACAAAATGCCAACAAAATGTTATTCTAAATTTTCAAACATAAGCTGAAAACAATTAACATCATGTGGCCAACAAAATGGCTACAGTTAACTTAACTTATACAGTTAAGCCTTTTAGTTTCAAGAGTGACCAACATCAATTTTCTCATGACAACATTAATACTTCACTAGGAAAAGAGGTTATGAGAATTAATAAAAAGACCACCAAAGAGAAAAGAGCTTTTATCTTTTGTAAAATTCTCTCAACTACATGTAATCCTCTAAGGAAATGCATGGAGATCAGTTTGGGGAATTTGATGCCGATATTAGCACTTGGTTAACACAAGTTCAATACCTGTTGGGTCTTCATCTGCTTCAAAAATGCCAATCCTTCTGCAAATAGCTTCTGCAGTGGCCTGATCAAAACAACAAATAAACAGGTAAATACATTAATAGTAAGATATACTAATAAAATAATAAGTAAACTCAAGAAAGTGCACTGTTAATGCCCTCTGGTACCAATTATTCAATTGCTACAGATAGTGCTAACCATTGGTTAAATCACTATCAAGAGGATAAATATTAGAGACATTTAAACAGGTGTTATTCATTAGATCCAGAGGGTAGCAAATATCCAGTTTTTTAACAACTGGGGCCTCATCATAAAAGTTTCTTTCCATACCTTGTTATCACCAGTGATTACAATAACTCTTATTCCTGCCTCATGACACTTCTTAATTGAATCTTTCACCTCTGTTCTTGGTGGATCCAGCATTCCTGCTACACCCACAAATGTCATGTTGCTCTGTAAAGGGAGAATGTTTGAAATTACATTTAGGTAAAAGACAAGAAAATGTTGTTTCACAATAGATTCAAAGGCAGATAAGAGACAAAAGTGCCAAGATTGACATATCTGGCACACAATAATTTATGGGATGCTAATGCTGAATAGTAATTTAAAAACACCTTTCCTGCATTTTGACAATAGTTTCAGCTGTTTTTTCTTTTCAAATTTATTTTTTTACCCTTCAAAGACATTGTTGTCTATTACTTGATGGCAAAGTTTCAAATGTAAACTGATTGCAATGAATGAGAATATAAATAACAGTGGTAGTCAGCTTAGCAGATAGATGGGAATGTCACTTATAGCAAGTGAAGGGGAATCCACATTTTCATCATTCACCACTGGATATCAATAACAGTCTTGGAGATGACTTCAACACACACCTCATAATTCACAAACTTGTCTGCTGCTTCAAGATCCATTTTGCTTGGTGGCAGTGGTTCATCCACTGTTGCTAAGGCGAGGCAACGGAGAGTGTCCCTCCCTGGAATCACAAGTAAATACATTGTACAACTGATGTGTCAAAGTATTAAAATCATATCAATTTACTGAAAGCAGCCTTAATTTGAGTTCAATGCAAGCTTCTTCATTTTGTCCTTGACCAACAAAAGTATAGCTCTTTCCCTTTGCTAAAGCACTTATTGTTCTTTCAGTCAAAGATCTTTGTTCAAGACTAAGGACCCTGCATTCCTTTGGGTTAACTGCATGAGGATAAATGATTCAAAATCAATTGAATCATGGTGCATGAAAGGAACCAATCGATCTCATGTAGACAAGGATTCATCAGTACCTTTGACGCACCAGGGTGCAAAAAAAAATAATTTTTACAGCTTGCCATTCCGGCAAGCTGAAGCTAGCATTTACTAGACCAGACGTCATTTCAACTAGCCCCAAAAACTTCTTGTTCTTCTGTTATTCAAATTCCTCATAAAACATCACTTGCCCGTCGGCAAGTTAAAAACAGAATTCACTAGCCCGATAGCAAAATCCACTAGCCCCGGGCTATCGGACACTACTTTCTTTGCACGCTGCGCACCATAATCCGATTTACCTTAGATCATAGATCCTTACTGGGATAATCCCAAAGGAATACACCCTTAATAAAACCAACAATGGATCAGAGTATTGAGGATGTAACGTAATCCTGCAAGAAACTCTCATGTAAAACACAACAGACATTATCTCCACTGAATCTGCAAGAGTTTGTGCATTAACTGAGGCATACACACCTGTTCCATATTGTTTAACCAGTTCCAAAATTTGCTGCTTGATTTTTGGTGTAAGAGGCTGCTTTTTGCTTCCAACCCTGATAAAGTTACATCTGTCAATAATACTCTCAGGTGCACCCTGCAATGTACATGAAAATAAACAACACAGGACTGACAATAAAAAAGGGTTAAATTCTCTTTGGCTACAATTTGATGATTAGATACTCTAAAAAGAATAGAGAAAATTATCAGAGAGAGTGCTTTTAATAAAAAGAAAATGAACCCGGGTTAAAATTTAACCCTGGGTTAGCACTAACCAGCATTTGAACAACTGGGCCATCGTGACAAGAGCTTCGTAACAAAAAAATGACTTGGAAATCAAACTGAACACATAGCTTAAAAATCCACATAAAGAGAAGCTTTGGTTTATAATGACTTACCGTACTCGCATTGTAATTAAGCCATTACATGAATAATGTTTAACTTTTATCAAGAAAAAAATCAGCTTTTTAATAAGCCTGCAACAGTGCAACAAGCTAATTAAAAAGCTCAGTAATTCACCTAAAACTGAAATATTGTGATTTTGCTTAATATAGGTGTACATTATTTCAAGAGTTGGTACTGAAAAGATGTTTTACTGTAATTAAAATCTTATTAATATATTAGGACAATTGTAACTTAACCAACAATCAAATTTCAGCAAATTTACAGCAGTTTAAACATAGGACAGATAAGGTAGATTTGTAATAGCAACCAGTAAATTGTACAACTAACCTTGACAAACATTTTAGGATTCCTTTCATGCACAGAGTTCGGTCCATCAACTCTAGGAGTACAGTACACACTCATAGACTTTCTGTCACGTGAAAACTCAAGTGTAAATTCCTACAACATAATGGGAGACATCTAAGTAAGCACTAGAGAAAATGTAGATTTCTATGTGGCTTTTGAAACAAAAAGACAAGCATCAAACCAGAATTCCTATTAATTTTCTTGGTATAAACATCTAACATCACCAATGAACAACAAGACATCATAAGTCTAGTTTACATTGGCTGGGGTCACATCTACGAAGTAACTACAGTTTAACTTAAGTTAGTGTCAAGCTACATGATGTCATACCTAACTGTACTTAGTGCTTTCGGTCGACATTGCGGTCACACCACGCAGTCAACAACCGTTGGTTCTAATTAGCCTATGTAAATTTTTTGTTTGTTGTTTTCGGTTTCCCACTCGTTTCACGCTTGGTGTTTATTTTGCATATTTATATATGCTCATCTCGCACGTGCGAAAAGAAGTGTCACACTCTGATTGGTTGTTTGTTTGTAAACTTAAGACTAACCCACGAACCCTGCTTGGGTATAACTATAGTTAGTCTGTATTGTTTTGGATCACCGAGGCGTAAGTTTTCTAACTATAGTTAAAGCAAACAGAGAAGCGGTCATCACATTACACATTATTAAGTTATCCCCATCTCAATTATAGTTAGTAGCCCAGATGTGACCGCAGCCATTATAATAAAAGTGGGATCAGACGTAGCTCATATTCTCATTATGCACTATTTTTTGCCCTACTTGTATTCCTTTTAATTATGATGATATTGTTTTGCAAAAATTTATTGCCAGTACTTCAGTTAACAACCTCTCAACAACAGGTAGTTAATTCTGTTTGACAGTGGCTGCTGTCAAGAAGTATTGTTTCATGATAAAAACAAGAAGAGGGCATTTGCATTAGCCTGTGAACAGGCTCTCTCGATCTGTTAGGGGAAAAAAAATAGCAAGGAAAGTGAAGGGAAGGGGGGAGAGAGCCTGTAGACACACATTTGAGGCCGCTATTCCGCCCTCTTGTAATTATCTTGCCGAACATCTGTCAGTAAGATCGTTATCTGTCAATCAATTTCGCGCGTGAGTAACTCCTGGGAAAATTAACCGGAAACAAATGTGTTTTGCTCCGTCTCAAAACAAAGTGAAATGGACCGCGAGTCTAATTGTCGATTTTGCAAAAAAATCGTTGTTCTCCAGTAAGAGAATTAATACGGTGCCGGTCGTTGGCTTTTCAAGAAATAAGACCTTGCTGGTTGACAGTGGCCAAGACAGCGTTGTACTAGCGCAAGCATTTGATTCCTCAAGATTTCCTCTTGTGCAAGGAGAAAGCTTTTCCGATTTAAGCTGCTTAACTTGTGCTCTACGCGCCGTTCGTCTTGCTAGTTCAGTTTCTAATTCAACAAGCCCCTGCAATGAACGAACTTGGAATGCGAAAGGTACAGATACTATCATGACTTCTCCAGAACGTGAACCTCCAAAGACAAGTACAAAGAAATCAACAGCGCTTCGATCGCCGACAGGAATTACACCTTTGGGTATTTATCCCGCATTTATAGCAATAAAAGAGGGCGGTAGGCCTACACGGCGTTTACCTCACGCCAAAATGCTGCTTGTTCCCATAAGTTTTTTCCTCTGCTCGGTAGATTATGCTCTGGAAGGTTCTACATTTTCACTGAGCAAATATGACTTTAGCCGCTTGTTTCACACTGAGAGGTCATGGCATACATATCGATTTACTGTGGTTTTTGTCTCTGATCGGCGGGATTTGCCCTCTGATGCAAGAGCATTTTCTTTGACCTCTTTTGAAGCGTAAAGCTTTTTATTGTGGCTGAATAAGGGTCGTACTTTTCTCCAAAGTGCCCTCTGGATCTGAATAACTAAGCGATTTTCTTTAGTCCGTAAATGTAATGTTTTTCTGAAATGTTGTATCACGCTGGGCCCAGGTCGTTAGTTTTCTTTGCAGAATGTTTAAAAATGATCACGGATAGTAATTTACAGATCCAAAGTTATAAGATTCAAGTGCAGCTTAAACCGAAGCTACATCAACTATGGAGAATTGCATTTTGACTCGGTAAACTCCAGCCTTTGTGTTTTTCTATCCATTAGATAGTGTGAGTCTTTTCACTGGAGCGCGTAGTTCCTCCCTTGGTAATAGCTTTTGAACAAGCTTAACAGTCTTTGGAGTGTTTTGTTATTTCCAAACGCGTGTTATGTGCCGACCGAAAAGCCGATGTCAATCAGACCTGTCAACAGTCAGTGTTCTCGCCAATAAGAACTTGCATCAGGATCTGATGCACAGCGGGTGCCGTGGAACGGCGGTCCCAAAGGCTTGTCCACAGGCCTTTTCGCTTTTCCCTCTCTCTAGTTCCCCGCTCGACCAAAGGCCTGTTCACAAGCTACATTTGCGTAGGGCACATTCCATTTGTCAGTACTGACTGGCCAGACCATTCCAGTAGTAATGAGGATTTTACTTATCATCAAAAGGAAGGAGATGGTTTTTCAGCAAAAACTCATGGGAAAAGCCTTTTTCATTGTCAAAATGACTGCTCCAGCCATGGTCTGGCCAGACAGTTCTGACAAATGGAAAGCACCCTTAGACAGTAGTGGTAGTCAGCTTGGCAGGTGGAAATTTCACTTATAACAAGTGAAGGGGAATCCACATCTTCATCATTCACCACTGGATATTTGCACTCAACTCAAGGTGCACATCAATGATATTCTTGTGTAACAGTCAACACCCTTTTAACTGTACATTAATTTAAACTATACCTTGTTGAAGTGAGACATGATGACATCATTACAGGCATTTGCCAGCTCAGCTTTGGACTTTCCAGCCAAATTTGTACCAAAGACATTGAGCTTCTCAACCAACACTGTCAGTGCTGTTTCGGTGGCTTCTCCAACTTTTTCATAAGCATCTCTAGCCTGCAATCAAACAATAACAAAATAAGCATTAAATTTTAACATGACGAAAACAATCCTGGAAAAACCAAACCTCATTACTTCACTGGATCAGTTCACAAAATGCTGTAATCATTGAGAAAACCTCAGGTGAAACACGGAAAAACATCATTTCCAGTGAGTTTAACCACAACATTATAAAATAACACTAAGTACAATGCGACATGTGACCTGTGCCCAACAATAGCATAAAATAATTATAAGATCCGCTACTAAACAATCTTACCAGAGAGAAAAAACTGTTAATTTAATTGTCAATGTATTTAGCTTAAAGAGTTACAATACTGACGGCACTGTTTTACATCCCTTGCAGAAGACAGGACTGCCATTTCTACATGGCCATAACAGCTGGAAGGAAGGTCAAGCTATTTGCAGGGCAAAGGCATTGCCTTCTCTATTGCTTATTTTGATCTAATTTGGCCTGGGTTTTCAACAATGAGCCTTTTGCTCAGAAGATTGAGCAATCACTTCATTCACCTAAGACATTGCGACAGAATCCTCCAGGACACTGAGTAATTTTAATTCTCAGTGGACAAAAACCTTGTACCAGAATAATTTAAAGAATATTGCATTCTTTTTTACACTTTTCAAGGCCTAAAGATGTAATTAGTCTTCTGCAAATAACACCAAAAAAACTTTCTCATGGGCGTCTGAGAAAATGAATGTCAAATTTCACAAGAATTGTGGGAACACAGGTAAAATTCTGAAAATTTCATGTGTAACATGTAATTTTGTGAAATTTGACATTCATTTCCTCAAGCTCCCATGAGAAATTTTCTTTGGTGTTATTACAGATGACTAATTACATCTTTAGCCCTTGAAATACAATATACTTGAAATATTATTCTGGAACAAGGTTTTTGTCCACTGAAAATTAAAATTACCCAATTTCCTGGTGGATTCTGTCTTAAATTATCATCATCATCATGAGTTCAGCACTTACTGCATTGTAATCTACACTTGAGTCATTGCACATAGCACAGATGGTAGCAAACTCAGGAAGTGCCTCAAAGTCTTTGGCATCAATTTCCTTTCCATTTAAAGATCTGAAATTAAAATCACAAAGTGATTCTTGACTCAGTCTTCATTCTTTTTCTAGGTAAAAGCCAGTAAGATCAAATCTAGAGATCCAAACTACTTACATCTCTCCAGATGGTGTATACGTTGTGCCTTCAACTTCAAATTCATGGAAAGTTGCATGATCCCTCCTCACATCACTCAAAATGAAGAACTAGAAATAACAAAAGCAAAAATTTTTAAGTTGTCGGATAAGATACTACAAAACAGACAAAAATCTTAATCAATCAATCACCAAAAACATGCAAGCTGATTGTAGCAATTAAATCACCTTGTGAACAGACATCTGATTGGTTGTTAGGGTTCCAGTTTTGTCAGAACAAATTACTGACGTACAACCCAGTGTTTCCACTGAAGGAAGGCTACGAACAATTGCATTTTTCTTAGCCATTCTATGTGTACCTAAAACAGAAAACAGAAAATAATGTGAGAAATACTATTAAACCAAGATTCATCTTACATCTGTGATCAAATTTTCATTTCAAGCTAGGCAGATACTGGGAAAGAAAAAGTCTAGCCAGTCCTAGCTAAGCTATTTAACACAAACAATATATATCAGTTTCTGTAATTTTATTTGATAGTGTTTCTTTACCTACCACTAACTTTAAATATTTCCAAAGTTACCAACTTATTTGGAACAGTGGAAATAACAATAATTATTGTTTCCTTTGGAGTACATTTAATATGAAGGCTATTTACCTAACGCAAGACACGTAGTTATGACCGCTGGAAGCCCTTCTGGAATTGCTGCCACAGCAAGAGCAACTGCTATCTTGAAATAATAGATTGCTCCCTAGAGAGTGTAACCATAAGCATGTTAGAACTTGTTACCATGCTGGACGAGTGACTTTTTAAAATTTTACATACAGAAGCTCACATGTTGCTACAGTGAGGTAGAGTTGGGCATAATTAGTACTTTACTCAAAACACACCATGCTGAATAAGCTAGTACTAAACATTTTGGAAACTTCAGCCTTGAAGTTGTCAAGAATCACTGCGATCTGAGAAGTTATATCAGATACTTTAAACAGCAATTCACACAAGTTCATTTAAGATCCTGATGTCTTGAAGATGGTCTATGAAAATGACTAGGCTGCATGTTTGTTTAACCCACTCCTTGTAGCATGGATACTGAATGAACAACATGATTCATGTTTTTTTATTAGGAGTCAAGCAATTTTAAATTAAACTTACTTTTATCCATGAGCCACCATGGACTGGATCATTGAAGTGACCAATATTAATGGCCCATACTGCAATACAAATAACTGTGATTACCTTTATTAGATGAGAAAAAAGGAGAAAACAAGGGTGTTACAGACCAATATTATATAACCAACACAACACTCATTTAGCACAGTTGAACTGTACAGTGACACTACCTGTATATGTTTAAAAGACCTTGCCTAGTCCCTGTATGGCGTCTTCTCAGGTCCTCTCAGTCAATGCATTTCGGTGACGTATCCGAGACGAACGGCCGGGAGACGCCTAGACAATCTCGGAGTGTGCATGCGTGAGCATTTTTGAAAAGTTCACACGGTCAACTGAAATAATCTATAAATAACTTTGCGCGTGAATATCTTTCACTAAAGATCCGCACTATTGACACTATTACAAAAGTAACTACAGTAAGCTAGTTCGTGTTATAAAAGAACAAAAATATTACTTTGAATCGGAAAGAATACTACTGTATAAAGTGCAAGTAATTTCTCTTTTAGTCCAGTTTCAAATGAACCATTAAAATGATACTCTTTATTGATAAAAAGATTTGAAACAGCAGTTTGTTGACATTCTACCAAATTTAGAGACCAATTCAACAGCCTGTCCGATTAGTTTGATAAGCTTCCAAATCCAAAAATTAAATTACACAAAGTATTTCGAAGTGAAATGATAACGAGAAATTTATAGGAGCAAGCGAAAATAGAGAAACGAAAGATAGCTTGTCATATCCAAGAAGAAATATAAACTTACGACACTGTTTTGCTTAGCCTACAAATAGTTTTTGAGATGTTCAAATTAGTTTAATGAGATAAATGAAAAAGAAAGGCCAAACGACTTTCAACAATGAAAACGTGCATAGAATAAAAATGCTCGTTCCTCTGTACTCTCCATGGCTGCTGGACACCTTTCATCAGCGCGGAAAAGTTATTGACAGCTCGCCCGCTTCCAAAAGCTCCGCCCCAAGTGAGACAAAATGTCTCACTTCTCCGAGTTTGTCTAGGCCTCAAAAACTTTCTCAGACCACGTGATCCGAAACGCATCGCCCGTGCATAATAATGAGACCTAGGGACTAGGCAATAAAAGACCCTAATGTAGCAACACTAGTAACATAAAAAATCCGTTATACAGTACAGGATGATACCTTTGACAGCTGTTGTGCAAACTCATCTAACTTCTGTTGTAATGGAGTTTTTTCTTCATCAGTGTCAACCATTTCATCTCTGATCTTGCCTATAAAATTAGCACCAAAGTACAAGTATTACATCTCAACTGAAGTGGATGCTAAATTTCCCATCAAAAGCAAGAAAGTGTAAAGAGCTTCCCCATATTAACATGCTGATCAAAAAAGGAATGCTTCCTTATAAATTTTCAGTAAAGGTTGAGTGAAACATCCCAGTGGACTTAAAACACCATAAAGTATACAAGGCATTTGAGATAATATTATTGCCCAGCACAACAAGGTTAAAGGTCAGTCACTGCCTTCTTACCGATTTGGGTGTTAAGACCTGTTCCAACAACTACACCTGACGCTTTCCCTGCTGCAATATTTGTACCCTGATAACAAGGAAGAACAGTGAAACAGTCAGACAGTTGGGAATAGGGTGCTACATGCAGATACAATATACTGAACATGTCCGCAGTGGTAGACAAACAAAACTTACTGAAAAAAGCATATTAATCTTATCCTGATTAACTGCTTTTGCATCAGGGATAGGTTCTGTATGTTTGATGACACTAACACTTTCACCTGTTATAAACAGAAAAGAACAACATCAGTGACAGGAAACAACATATTCTTAGAACTCTCTCTCACACACACACACAGCTCAGTTACAGACAAGCAAGTAGAACTGGTATCCACCTCCATAATACAGGGGTATCTTCCAGTGAACCTTGTGCTTTCAAGGATGACTCTCCTTATTACTGTATTGTAAAGGCTTAATAATAGTGATAATAATAATAATGCCAAGAATGTGCCCAAAGAAAAATTAATGGGAACCCTGTGCTCTGACCCTCTGAAATCCAGGGTGCCCAGCATATGATTTCTGTGGAAAAACTAAGATTTTCTAGTTGTCCAGGAACAAAGGTTATAAGCTGCTCCTCTTATGGGGCTTTTCAAGGCTAATGAAACAAGCAATGTAAAACATAACATGGTTAAGAATCCCAACTGCTAGGAGGTGAACCAGTTGGCTATTTTTCAAGCATTGCTGAGGATCTGAACTTGGGACTACCAAGAACAAATCCAGCAAGCAGTCAGGGTGTGACTTAAACTCAGGATCTCCAGATCACAAGTCCAGCACTTTAACTGCTCAGCCAAGCCACTTCCATTGTTAACCAATTAAAAAAAATAACCAAGTTCACATTTTGGAGATTGGGTTTGATGGATCCATAAAATGAACAGACACAACACTAAGAGTTATCTGACAGAGTTTCAACAGAGAAAAAATTGTTACTACAAGTTTTCACAACCCTACCGGTTAAAATTGATTGATCCACCCTAAGTGTAGTCGATTTGATTGAAGTTATCCGAATGTCAGCTGGAACTTTATCACCAACTAGAAAAACAAAGAGAATGCAAAAATATACTTCAGAAAACATTAACATTGCAAAACACTGTTTTCAAATCAGAGAAAAAGTAACCCTAGAGCACCTACATTCTCTTAATATGAAATCAATGGCCATTAGAAAGTCCGAAGAGAGAGAAAGTGAGAGTGCAAGATTAAATGCTTTTGTGGCTCACACTTAATGTGTGAAACTTGACAGCTCTTTTTGTTACAATTGCAGCTGGAAAAAGTCTCTACTGAGCCATAGCAGTTTCCCCATGATATAGATCAGTTGTTTGAATAAAAAACAATGAAACAGAGGCTTTGTAAAGTTGAAAAAATGCAAATTGAAAAATTATGAAATCTTGATAGGCAAAAAATTCAAATGAACCCTTTATGTACAAATTACATCCTAGGAGACCAGAGAGCAGTAACTAGCCCAACCAAGCAATAAATAAATTGTTTTTTTTATCTTGATCGACATGCCATTTGAGTACCAAAAAACCAGGAAAGAAATCTTTTAACACTAATTTTCAAGGGAAAAGCACATTGAGGTACCGCTGCATTGCAACTTTAAGCAAACACAATTGTTTTGCAAATAAGACATATAATGGTACAGTGTATCAACGTAGGAATTTTGTATTCAAATAACTCTAAAAGCCTACAATAGTCATGCAGCCTGGAGTCCACAATCACCTAGGTCAAGGAAACCTTGCCATATCTACATAGGTAGATTCTTAACCTTTATTACTTTTTTTCCCTTTCTGCTAAGGAGAATGATTAATTAAATTATCATACACCAGCAAAAGCTGATGCCCTGCAAATTATCTGCACATATTGTATCACAAAGCATCAAAGCCTTTTAATGCTGGTTTAAGAAAAGAATCACTCAAACAAACACCTAATATCAATTTAACGCTTCTCTACCCAACAATTAGTATTTTCTAAGATTTAAATTGAGATAGTCTTAGGATTAAAATATTTCTGTTAAAAATAAGAAAAGCAAATAACTTGGAAACAAGGGTTCTCTTTCTGGTATAATGTAGCATATGTTTACAAACGGCGACCTCTAATGAGTTTCAGCTTTTCTTAGCGCGGATGTAAACAAAAATCGCGTTTTCTTTTCACATCTGTAGATCAAATGGAAGAAGCTTCTTCATTGCATAACAATGCAAGACTTGATATTAAGGCTTACCAGCAACTTCTACGATATCTCCTGGAACTAAATCTCTAGCTTTTATTCTTTGTATTCCCGATTTGTTTTGCCTTAACACCTTTGCCACTTCGGGCTCGTATTCCTTCAACGCCTCGATTGCACTCTCTGCGTTTCTTTCCTACAAAATCAACAGAAAAATAAATTTATTAGCCATTACTCTATTGACTGAAATATCGAAATATTAAATTACTGTCTTTTTACACTCACTTGCCAAACGCCAATGATTGCGTTTAGGATCAGGATAACAAGAATTACGAATGGTTCTACAAATGCTGTGACTCTATCTTCTCCTTCTTCGAACAACGCCAAAATCTGAAAAACAAATATGCAGGCCGATCAATGATCAACAAGCAAAGAACTGAAACAGCAATCCTAATGCACTTTCCCACTTGAAAGACACTTACAAATGAAATAACGGCGGCTGCAAGGAGTATTTTTATCAGTAAATCGTCAAATTGTTCCAGTACAAGCTTCCACAGAGGTTTGCCTAAAATAAAATAATAACATTTCAAAATAAGCAGGAGAAGACCACAGGAAGACAGCTGATTCCATGTTCGTTTCCAAGTGAAATTGATCGAATGTCCACGTGAAACACACATTATTACTTCGCAATTTTACAATGTCGATCTCACCTTCTTCGGCTGGAAGTTCTTTGTTTGTCAAAGCATAGAGAATGGGAAGAAAAAAGAGAGCAAACTATTAGCGATAAAATACAATTAAGCTTATTTTGAAAAAGGGACTTCTGCAAGTTCTCCATCTCACAAAAAGGTACCACTATGTGTGGCGATAATAAAATCATACTAAAGATACATCATATATTTCGATTAATCGCATCACAGAATTGTACAAACTCGTTCCATTCAATACAACCGAATACTATCTTTCCTACCGTTCGGTCCATATTTCTCCTGAGCAAGTGATAATTCCTCTAAACTCAAGCCTTTGGCTTCGCTGACAGAGAAATGATCCAGCACATCAGACGCCGGGTGCATGTGAGCTAGTTCCATGTCTGAATATATAGTGGAAAACGTTTAAATTTTCTGGCTTTTCAGTAATATAGATGAAAGTTTAGCTTCCAACAATCCTTCCGTAGTTCGGATATCAGTCTTGACACATAATAGAGTAAATAAATCTAAGTTTGAGCCGAAGCGTCACCATAAAAGCAAACTTTTTTACCGACTCATGCACATGGATGCCCACGCGGCCTGGACGCGGCTCATGTTTATTGGTTAAATTCCAGTCACGTGATAAGCCAGCAAGTGTAGAAAACTCAGCTGACCGTTCACTTCCGGTGTAAATAAAAGCACAAGAAGAAATAAAAAAAATTAGATTTAACAGTAAAAGCTTTGCATTTTTTCCTCTAAAGAATAATGGAGCGGAAGATGATCAACACCGATATAATGACTTGTCTTAAAGCTCCCACTATTTGCATTTTGAAAACAAGCTTCATTCGAACTGTTCCAATCCTGCTGAGTTACATGTAACAACTAGTTAATAATTTTAGAAAAGCCAATCAAATTGTCGATTAACTACTACTATCAAAAGACCGTGAAAGCCAAGTATCTTTCTTGGGCCACCTGTTATGAGAAAACTTTCCCAGGTTCAACCATAATATAGAATTGAGGAATAGCCACCTTGTGCTTTAGTGAGGTATAATATAAACAATAAGTGAATTTGTTTTAGAAACGATACATTTTTTTTCTCGTTAATGAAGGGACATTAAAAAAAATCCTATGAGAGATATCCAGTCAAAGTAACACACCCTGTATACTCATCCTTGCAGCAATTGAAGCTCACCTGGCTAAGATAGGTTCAACGCAATGGTCAGGGACTGGATTTATTTTGAGACATTGAATTTGAATTTGAATCCCAAGGCCAAAAATATCAAAGGCTTTCAAAGCTGTGGAATAAAAAAGGCCTAGTTGGGGCTCCCAGACCTGCTCAATGGAACCCATTTTATTACCGCCTTCACTTTCATATAATGGAGTTAGGAAATGATTTTTGAACACTCTGGGTTTGGGGAGAATAACTGTTGAGGTTTTAGTTAAACAACTCCTTGTGACCTAGCCTGTGACAGGCCTCAAAAGGCGAGGCAAAGAAGAGGGGATTGGGGAGAGAAGGAATCCCTCTTCAATGGTGTAATTTTTCCCCCTTCTCTTCGCTTTTTTGTACCTACAATGCAGGCTATCTGTGATCCTAAAAGTGGGTGTAGCTTAACACAGGCTCTTTGAATCCAGCAATCCACTCAACGTTTTCAATATATGGTGTTTTTTCCCAGATTTGTAAAATCAATATCAGTCAACAACAAACCTTTTTTGACAACGATTTCAGATTCCAGGAATGCTGTGGCAACCAGAAAATGAAACTTCCTGACTGCTCAGTGACTTTCCAGTTAATTTTTCCCAACCTCATATAATTGCTTTTTCCCCACTTTTCACTAATCGTGGCAATCCAGTATTGAACATTGAAATATCAAAGATTAATGTGAAAAGATTACTGTCAAGTTGTTGGATACAGCAAATACAGCAGACATGGTGCCTAAAATACCAGCAACTTCCTTTGCAACCAGAAGATTTGTCATCCTCAGAGACACAATGAAAGCTAGTTGGAACAATGAGATTTCCATTTTGTGGTAGCTGCCTCAGGTGGTTTGAGGATGAAGATAAAAACTATGTACCAGTAGTCAAAAGCAGTACACAGATTTGTCTCACATTCTGCTCCGGTTAGCACACAATGAAACAAGGTGGAAGCTTGGACAGCCTGTGTAGAAGACGTTGAAAGGGGCAGGAAGGGAGGAAGCTTTTCTCCCTCTGCCCCCCCTTTTTTGTGCCTCCTACACAGGCTAAGGCTTGGTTTATCCTTTTCATTATATCTCAAGCCTCCAGTTAGCCGCTTTGTTCACAAGAATGAGCAAGGGAAGGCATAGTACAGATAGATGCGCATATGCTAAAGGGCACTGAAAAAATATTCCTAAACATCAGTCATCCCCATCCAAACCTATCCCCAATACAACATGCTAACTTTGATCCTGGCAAACTGGATACTCTTCATGCCTAGCAAGATGCACTTCATACTCAGGGGGCCAACACAACTTGTGACAGCTGTGGAATGTTATTAAAACAGGGGATGGCAAATGAGCTGTGGGAACAGGAAATTAAAAGCATGGGGAAAAGACACCAACTTCAACCCAAGACACTTATCAGTAACTTCATTACTAACTTATTCTTTGTGTTGTTCCAATTTAATTCCCTGCAATCATTCCCCCATCCCTGTTTTTTTGCTATCATATATGCAAAAACTATCATCAGAAACAATAAAACAGGGTTGTCAATTTTACAAAAAACAAGCAAGTATTCGTAATTGCATAAAACATTGACAACCAACACAACAACAACATTCAATTTTTCTCAACGTTTTATTGATTGTTGATCCTTTCTTGCACCATTTTAAACATCAGCAATGGTCACTTCAACTTCTACTCCAGGCTCAATACTGATGGATGTCTGATGATGGGACAGTTAAGGAAACATAAAAGGGATAGGATTTCGATGTGACTCCTTAAGATACGATCAATTATACAATCAATATTACAGTGTTTTTTGTGATTAATTATTAATCCCAAAAGACACTGTAATACATCCTTTCAGGTTGTCTCTCAGATGGTAGTGCATGGTTAAATATATAATCATACAACAGGTGTCATGCCAGAGGCAGTTATCATCACAGAGACATAAGAACATGTATCAATTTTAAAGTATGGTTTCATAATACAATGTAAAACTTACAAAAACTCCCAAGTCTATCTTTGTTTAAAGTGGTCAATATACAAAAAAAATACAACATACAAAATCCTGGGGCACTTAAAACTCACATTAGCTGGGTTTACTTGCTCTCGTGAGATGAACACTGTACAACTGTTCAACTCACTGTTTCATTCCCCTCCTTGGGCAAATTATAATTCAGTTGGTATCTTCATTCACCAATTAGAAAAAGCAGTGAACTACATTGGGAAGGTTATCTATTGAAAATTATGCTGCTGTTGGTTGTCGGAATGGATGGGTGCTTTAAAACAAATTGTCTCATCGTGATTATGTTTGTGATCCACAGCGATCCACAACTGATACGTGAAAAAACATTGTAGTCCCCACTACTCCTAGCTAAAATGTTCGCTAAAACTTTACACCTATATGACAGGTTAATGAGTAACTTACTGTTACAGTATTAAAAAAAACTTTCCTTCGCACTTGCAACCCATTTCCTACTTCAAACCCAAACATGAACACAATGAATGTCAAAGAACAAGCTCCCAGATTTTAAGAAACTCATTAACAGATTTATCTGAATTTACTTTTAGAGCTGTGTTCAAATGGAATTAAAGACTTTCTTCAGTAGTACTCAGATAAAATTAAGGCCACCATACATTTCTTGTCACTTCTGATCGGGTGCTAGGTGGGGGGCCAAGGAACTGCTAACAAACTTCCAAACATGTAACAGGCAACCGCTAAGTCAAGATCTTATGTCAGAAATAGGTAGCTGCCCTATGCAGGCAGCAATAAGCTCCAGTTACACATTCCTCACGAAAGGTGTTGCTGAAATGTTGCTTTACCCAAGTGTAAGTAAACAATCAATTCCAGGGTTATTTTTCTCATTAATTAACAACTCTGTTTGCAGCATAACGAATAATAGCATTCAAAGGATACAATCTGCTTGACAATCTCAGAGGGACTGTGAAGATCTATCAACCTCTTGTGAATCCTCATCTCAAACCTGTCCCAAGTTTTGGACCCTTCACCACAGGGTGTCTTACGGGTGGTAATCTTCAGATACTTGGTTGGCATGCGCACAGGTCCCTTAACTTTCAGTTTCTTTTCTTTTGCTCCACGGATCAGATCAGCACATACTATATAACAACATGGAATAAGATCAAATCAACACATTTTCTTTGCTGCATTTAAATAACTTGTAGGTATATCAGGGGGCAAATTTGAGGAAGAGAGACTTGCAAAATTCTTGCTTGTAATGTGCAGAGAAGGGACTCCCACTAATGCCCTGCAACTGCCAGATCTCTGGTGGATACTCTGTGGTGCTGGTGACTCACACCCTGCTATTTTATTATCAACATGATTGAGAAGGCCATGAGACTTCTTCCTGTTTTCTACAGTACAATAATTGTCTACCTTATTATGAACACTCATTGTCTACTAGCAAACCTCAAACAGTGAACCTCCGATAGCACAAACTGACAGATTTGAATTGTAAAAGAGCCACATTTCCCCATCATTTAATTTGGGTTCAAATGATCTGATGCAAATTTACTAAACTAATCCAGGATGTTTATGACTTCAGTTGTCTGTTACCTTTCTCTAAGCTCTTGACATTGCGGCTTGTAAGAGTGATGCGGATCCTGTGGATCTGAGCCTCTTCTTCAGGTACTGCACCTTTTTCCTTGAGGTGTGCCTTGAAAATATGCATTACACTTAACTTCAGGTATTCAGATAGTGTAGTGTGGTGCAAAGTCAGAGAGCAGGAAAAAAATAAGAAGAGTGAGAGGAAGAGGGAGATAGCAGGGAACAGTGTTCCTTCTCTCTCACCTCTACTCTGCCTAGGGCTGCAACGATACACTGGTGAACCGCAATATTTCTTGCCATGATACGAATATACATATTTGAACAACATATTGCGACATTATGATATTACCGTATGATTCTTGATCAACATTCAAAAATAACTGTATTTAATGACTCCTCCTGCAAATCCAAGCCCTTTTATAGCTATTTATTAGACAAAGAGACAAGAAAGTTCCATCTTTGCTTCGTAAAGCTTTGCACTCTTCCAACCCGACATGTATTTTTTCAACATGGCGGCACATTGCGTACTTCCAATTTACTTGTCAGCTGACACAGTCTACATGCCCATGGGGAAAATGTTCATTGAAAAATGTCTTCCCGTGTTGGTGAAAAAGCTGAATTAGAACTGGCACCATCCTCAATTAAATCGAAGGTGTTGAAAGACTTTGGATTCAAGGTATTTTTTGATGACAAAGGCGTGATAGACGTTGTAAAAGAAACTGTAATCTGCCCCATTGTTTCTCGGAACTATGATACACTGTCTCAATGACCAATATCAGTTTTCATGTCCAACGACATCATTGCGCTCTGTTATTGACAGTGTGTTGATTTAGTACCATACTTTGTTCTGAATGGAAATAAATGATTTCAAAGCAGTTTCGTACAAAGGTTACTTCACTTGTCAGTTGTATGTGATGATGTATCGTATCGTGTATTGTATGGTGGCACCTCAATTGAGATATGTACCATGTCGCGAGAAAATGTATCATTGCAGCCCTAACTCTGCCCCCTTGCTGCAAGAAATGACTTGCAACGTTAGCGAACCGGACATAGGCAAAACGACTCCTTAGAGAAACGACCGGTCACCCTATAATCATTATAGGGGGATAGGACGTGAAGGTACAGAGTATAATGTTATCATACCGTTGACTGGCTATTTGATTTGTTCTGGCCTACACCAATCCATAACAAGAATACTTTGGGTAAGACCCATGGGGATACACATCTTACTTAGTGACGTCTGCAGTCCAGTACTATCTAAAAAGTCACAAATATATTCCTATTCTCCTGATACATAAACTCAAGGTCGAGATCAGTAGCGTAATTAATAATCTGATCTCTTTATTTTATCAACTTGCCTATCCCTCAACTCGGGAAGAACGCTTGCAACATTGCAAATATTACAATAACACTTTTACTTTGTCTACTTTTGAGTAAACTAACAACGACGTCATCTTCATTTAACTTTTTTAACCTACCATACTCAAAATTGGCCGACTTATTCAACACGAACAGCGGTGAGCCACAAACGTGAAAGGCAAAATGGCGGAGAGAAAGAAATGATGCACGTGGTTGGCTTTATATGCCTAGATGCGAAAGGTATCATGGGTACTTTCCCACAAGTCTTTTAGAGCCTTGATAATCAAAATGGCGGAATAGTTGTCGGTTGTCAAGATGAAAATATCTGTCGAGTAGCAAGACATGAGTCGAAGTGTGAGAGACTTACGAGAGCTTATCAATGTATCTCGATTATCTTATCGCGATGACGATGAACTGGACGAATTGTGTAACGAATCGGAGGAGGATTTTAGTGTTATTCCTGTAGAGGTTTCACAACCTTCTCTTCCTAAGAGAAGCAAAGATTTGGCTCCTTTGACCTTAGATTCCAAAAAGAAACCTGTTAGTCCTCCTTTGAGCTCTGGTTCTTCAGGTAGGGGATCTCCATTACCTCCGATAGGTGCTACTAGCAGCCCAACAAGCGGTAGTCCATCTTCATCTGGAAGGAGCTCTCCTGCAAGGCTTCCCCAAGATGGAGTGACCGAGCGTGTGATTTCGATTTCAGCTCGGAAGAAAGACGTTAAACGATCAAAACCTAATTTTGACAACGTTTTGTTTTACATGGATTCGACTGTGGTAGGAGATTGGCTTACAAAGGCAAATGATTCAATCAAACAGCTGACATCATGGCTCCATTGTGATGACAATTTCATTCAGTTTGCACATTTCTGGCTTTCAGAAATGCCAAGGACTAAACAAAGGCAACTGATAGAGATGGAATTCTCTATTTTATTGGATGAACTGTACTTTGCTTTTGGTGCTGGTTTAAAAGGTGGATCTGTTTCCCATCATGATGTTAGCAGATTTGTTGGATCTGTCCTTTGGGAATATCCTGAAAAGTTTCATAACTCTGAAACTAAGGATTTCTTTCTAAACATTCTCCTCTGTCTGTGCTCTGGTAGGAAAACAAATTATCGTACCCTGCTCTCAGATGTACGGTGTTCGACATCAACTAAAGAATTTGTCCAACTTATTTTAGCAACAAGAGCGTTTGCAATAGCAAATATATGTTCTGGGGCGTTAGAGTTCTACAAGAATACATTTCAGAAAACCAGCTACTCAAAAGCAATGGACAATTCAGTTGGCAGCAAAAGTCTTGTTTCAATAGCAACTGAGTTTGCATTCCAAGCAGTGCAAAAAAACCTTCCTGATGTACTGGATTATTTAATAAGGAACTACTCACTCAATCACCAGACTCTGAAGGATAATGGGGGTAAAAGTCTGCTTTTCACAGCTGTGCTAAGTGGCAATGAAGGAATGCTTCAACATTTGTTGAAGGTAATTAGTAATTTACTAACGTAATTTATGTGACCAGTGAACAATATTACTAGGCACAAAAGGGGCTCAAAATTAAGAACGTCCTGAGGTCGCCTTTTGGCGACTAACTGTAGAAACATAATCGCCAGGTGCAAATTTTTAGTTACCAGTTTGTATAATGTAAATGACACAGCTCATAGTATCAGGGCTTCTGATATTAGAGACCATTAGATTCTAAGACGAGTATGACAACAAGTAAGAGATTTTCTCAGTACTAAGTTGTGCTTGTGTATGAACCAGTGTCATTTTGGCAGGAAAACATGAGCCGTCGTCACTCTACTATAAGTCTTAGCGAGAATGTTGAAGTGGCGGAAACAAAAAATCAAATGTTAAAAGTTTTATCATTTTGCGATCGGGAGAGGACGTAAACCCCTTCGCTAAAGATAATAGTGGTAACTTTTCTAGTGAAAAATGGTAAATGAAGCTTCCCAGGAAGTCTATATTTTGAGAAGGCTTGAAAAAAACTTTAAGTCAAATCTTGTAATCGTAGTTGTCCTCATCCTTGAATCTAAAGGTCTCTATTGAATTTCTCGGCTCTGCGACTGCACTAAATTTTAGTGCAGTCGCAGAGCCGAGAAATTCAGGTAAACCTGCGAAATTCACAAAAAAAATGCAAAATGCTTCAAAATTCACTAGAAATCTTATCAAATACATGTCAATACAACATATTTGACACTTTTCTTGGCTATGGGGCTGTTTAATTGCTGTAAACTTGCAAATTTATCTCGAAACTTCATCACCACAATGAGCAAAGAAGGTCTCAAAACTACCAGGCGTAAATTATGTTGTGAAAAACTGGGCACTAGTCATGATATTAAAAGCTTTGCCATTGGCTCATTTCTCGAGCGCTTTGTTGTTAAAATAGCAAATGTTTATCTCTGTTAAAAAACATTAAACACACTCGTCAAATCAGTGCAAAATCGATTGATTTCAAGTGAAATTTGCCCAGAAAATTCCCATGAAATCGGTCATTTTTTACCAATTGTTTTTCGGCAAAGTTAGCCCCAAAAATTTCCGCAAATCTGTCTCAGAAAATCCCACAAAATTTGCCTTTTTTTCGCGACCCATCAGAAGCCCTGTAGTATGGCACAATCCGTCAGATTTTACTGTTTGCAAATATCACGGACAGAAGTTGGTTTAAATTGGGTGGTAAACTGGCTTTGTTTGTGCGATTTGGCACATTTTTTATGACGAAAGCAAAGCAAAATAAGATGAAATGTTTCTTTTAACTTTACCCATTTAATTTAAATCTAAATCATAGGGAAACCAAGTCGCTAAAGTGGCGACTAAACCAGAATTTTTAGTCATCAATGTTTGTTGCATTGTCAACCGTATCAGTCGCAATTTCAAGCCCTGCACAAAGAATGTGCCTCGTATATTTATTTGATTTTTGACCAGTCACCAGTCAGATATAGGAGAAAACAACATAGTTTCTCCTGAGACTGCAGTGAACGTTTTCCTCCAAACAGACCTGAGTTTAACCTTTGGCACTGCGGGCCATCAGTCTTTAATTTTAAAGCTTATAAACCTCATCTAGATAAAATGTGTAATATAAAGCAGGACACAGCACATTGGCCCAGATGGGAAGACGGACATGGGTATACTAGTCTTCTGGTCACCATCCATGCATGGAGGATGCTCGTCACTTTCTTGAAACCCTAACAGCATATATTTTAAAATTAACCAGGTGACACTTACAAAATTAATTCAACAAAGCCAAAGACCAGGCTTCTAAATGCTTTCCTCCATTCAAGTATGTGAAGAAATACCCATAATACACCATGTGTATCCCCCCACGAAAAAAAATCACATAATCATTGTCTTCAGTTTCTCTTGGGATGACTGTACTACCCAAGAGAAATAAACAATGGTTATGCAAAATATTAGGGGGTAAACAAAGTGTATTATGGGCAATATGACAATAGTGAATGAACAAAATATTTAAGTCTTGCTCTGGGCTTGGGATCGATTTTTTTATTTATTTAGATGCAGCCTAGAGTCGATGTCAATGAGACATCTCCTTCAGGGAATACACCCCTTCATGCTGCAGTGAATACTGGAAATGTCAGCATGGTGAAACTGTTAATCAGTGCAGGAGCAAAACTTGATGCATGGAACCCTGAGTGTGAAGGTGCCACACCACTCCATCTTGCTATAATGAGTGGTAAGTGCCTTGTTTTGAGATACAACAAATTAAAACACTGCGGCCTCATTTTCCACCATCACACACCCTTTGCTAGGGCATCTGCTGAATTTTTGCTGCCAAACGTTTCACTCTTACGTTGCTATCCGTGCAGAATGCTGTTTCTGAAATATAAACCTAACTGATATGGCTAAGCCCCACAAGTCCCCTTTAGAGGTGACAGGCGGAAATTAGAAATAGAAATCAAAGGCTTTGGATTGGTCTCAACTGCTGTTTGGAAAACTGAGAAGTTATTTCCAAGTTCTCTTAAACTGCAATGATCATAATATTCTTACTCATTTAACTTAACTGTGGGCAGTACCTCTAAGTGGCTTTTTACATCTCTTTCTCCAGGAAGTACTGAAATGGTATCAGCAATGTTAGAAGCTGGATGTGACACATCTGTTAAAATGGGAATCCCTGCCACTGTAACACCAGTGAACCTTGCTACAGACTTAGGACTGGAAGATATCATTGAGTTGCTATCAAAAGCTAGTATCTCTTGACAATTTTGTCAATTTTCCCTTTCATGCTGTTTCATCTCTTGAAACATATTGTGTACTGCTAAGATCATTGGTCAGTTATCTCTCATAACATGTGTACAGTCACCCATCCCCCTCCCCTGTGAAAAAAGAAAGCAGAAAGAGCTCCTTTCCAAGGGGGTGAGGCTCCAGTGGTGGTGGTGGTAAAGGGGGAGGGGGGAGCTAGAATGGCACTCCAAGTGCCCCCTCACTACTCTTTGGGTGCAGGTGCACTACGGAGGTCTTCAAACCCTGACCTTGTTTACAGTATGTCAAAAAACAACACACAAAAAAACCTACTTAAGAATAGAGCCCCTTTTTTCATTACACTGATTACACTGAATAGAGACCCTTTTTTCATTACACTGATTCACTTCATTTCACATGAAGAGTAAAGTATTTCTTCACATTAAATTAAATAATGATATTATCTATGTAGACTGCACACCGCTCAACATTCACACCCTGATCAAGGCTTCCAGTCCAGAAAAACACACTGTTCAAGACACCTATAAATACAATCAAAGCTCTCCTTGTGACAATTCCTGTTAGCAAACAGCTCTAATTGTGACCAGTGTCGTGAAATCCCGTTTGAACGCTAACTTAAGCTCTCTAATGAAAAGCTTTCTTAAGTGCAAACTCCCGTAAGCTACCTTAACCACTTTTCTGACTAACCAGCTGGTCGTTTCCTTTGTTTTTACGTCCTTAAAAGCATCCATTCAATCAACTTTTGAATAGGACTTACTCCTTGAAGAAATTAAGGGTTTTCATGAAATTAGCATTGATGGTTTGTTAACATTAAAGGGTACAAAGTAATTTAAAAAAGACCCCAATTAAAATTATTTTACCTGAACATACTGGTAATTAACAAAAACAGTTTATTTCATATATAGTCGCTTACAACATACAGTTAAACCTCTCCACATCAGCCACCTTGGGGATAGAAGAAAGTAGCTATTATGGGGAGGTAGGGTGGAAGGTTCTGTTCAAAAAAAGGACTTTATTTTGAAGAAAAAAAGGACTGCATTTAAAATTGATCTTAAATGATTTGAAATTGCCGCGATTAATCATCGACGCGCAACCGTTCTTGACTTTTTCATCAGTCGCTAAAAAAACCATTGTAGAGAGATTATTTTGTCGTTGTAGGGAGGTGGCTGGCCGTTATAGAAAGGTTTAAATAAGAGGCAATATATGGACTGTCCGCGTGGACAAAAAAGGTTGCCGTTAGTGAAGTTTCGACTGTAGTCTTGTCGAGCACTTTTATACATTCCAGGACTGATCACTTACAAGAACTTTGAATGTTCCAGTCAGATCGTTTCTAGTAAATTATACAGGTCAGCAAGAGGTAAAATAGTTCAAAAAATAGTTCAAAACAGTTCAGAACAAGGCGTCAGCAAAACGTACATACGTGAAAACAGGTCAGCGAGACAGACATGAAATCTCTGCAAAACTACTGCTGCAAGTCTTAGTTATTTTACGCGGCATATTACCTGATCAAACGTCAATCACCAATGGGAATGTCAACGGAAATTATGTATTGTTCATTTTACCAACGAAACAGTATTTGTTGATTCACATTCTGATTAGTGTGGGTAAATTTCAGTGATGTGTTGTTCCAGAAAGAAACCTCATCTCATCCACATAAGTTTTAACCCCACCTCTCTGGAAGTTTCCCCCTTTTTCTTTACATTTCCCTGACAAAAAGAAAGCATAACCCCATCCTTTAGAGGCTTACAGTGACTTTCCACAATGAGATAATGTGGAAATGTCTTTGAAGCCACAATAAGGAGTATTACCTCACCTAATTTACTACATTACATTAACTAATTTGTCACAACTCTTTGGAAATGAAAATATAATCACCTACTTTATCCTCTTCTGATATCGTATTAAAGTCAGTTACTGAATACACTATTATATGAAGTCCGTTAAATACAAAATTTACCTGGATGGCGATTAAGTTTGAAGCGAATGCTACGCAGGCCATGAGTAGTGTCAAAAAAGACAATTTATAGGATCAAACAAACTCTTGCAAAAGAAACAATTATGAAATTCTCACCTCCTTTATCCTCTTCCGGTATCGTTTTAAAGTCAGTTATGGAGTACACTATCATACAAAGTCCATTAAATGCAGAAATATACGTGGACGGCAATTTACTTTACCTGCCATATTTTCGTACACGTGTACATACATATCATACATAAACTGCAGAAAAAACAGAAGAGACTGCTACGCATGCTAATGCTGTCATTATACATTGTACTCACTACCTGTCCTCTCACTGGCTAAGGGCCTACAGCTAATTTTGGAAATCAGTGCAACCTACAGATTAGTTAGTTATCTGCTAGGTTGCGCGCGCAATGCATGATTTCCAATAAACAATATCAATTCAGGTTCCCTGGACGGTGTATTTGACAATTATTCCTCGAGCCCGAATGGGTTCTGAGTCCATGAGGCCGAAGACGGAATGGGCTATCGACTCAGAGGCCATGAGGGCGAGAGGAATAATTGTTTTAGTAAAATCCAGTAGTTGATAAAAAATATCCAGACAAAACAACTTTAGCTAACAACACGCGATTCAGCCGCCATTTTTTTGGTTTTCAAAGCTGGTGCTTTTCGCTACTAGTGGGCTTTTGCATACAGTCTAGTAGTAGCTCAACCAATCAGAATGCAGCGTTCATAATAGACCAGTAGTTGCATTTTACTAATAGCCGTTATCTTCTTCCAATCTCGACCCCAGTGCTTACGCAATCTGACTCCGCGCGTTCATGCGCAAAAGAGCTCTGGGGTCGAGATTGTATTTTCCTCAAAACTTTACAATGTATAATAGACCTTTTTACCGATACGGCGGCCATATTGAATTAATTGGATTTAAGGAGTATTATGGGATGGCCAGGGGCATGAGCACGATCCGATATACTCGCATCAGTATTTACGCGCGCTTTTCGGGCCAATTTTGTTTAAGTTTTCCTAAAAAAAAGATTGTAATGGGGAAAAAAGATCGTTGTGCCGTGTTTGAATGTAATAGTGATTGCATTTTTGCCTAGAGATATACATTGAAGTTCTATTTTTGCCCGAAAAGCGGGCGTAAATACTGAGCGAGTGCCCCCTGGGCATCCCATAATACTCCTTAAATCTAATAAATTCGATATGGCCACCTAGGTTCGGTCTTTGTGATATCCTTCGGCGCTGATGATAACACTTACCTCGACCTAGCCTCCCACGCAGGCCTTTTTAGGGGAGTTCGTCTTTCGACCTTGATTATCCCCATCCTATAGTTGTTTATTATACAATGATTTATTGGATCAAACAACATACTTTCGCGTGCCGATAATTAGCTCGACCGCTTCCAAGTTGTTTGTTTACTAATCAGGGGCATCCGAGGACTGTTTTCTGTAAAATATCTGTTCGGAGAAACAAAAATTACCTAAAATTTTCTTAAGCTTCAGGAAGGCTAAAAATTTCTAGATGACCGTTCCATTCATGAACAATTTTTGAAGCCTTTCTAATAAATTCCCTAAGATTTTCTAAAGTTAAACTTTTGCACATTTCACTGCCCCAGGTAAGCTATTTTTCATAGAAAAAGGAAACCTAAAATTTTCGGATTCGAGAATGCAATGAAGAGAGGAATAAGAAAAATTCTTACTTTAGTAAAACTTTAAATGGCATCTAATATTTTCGGGAAAAGAATATTGAAGCTACTAATTTCGAAAAGCCTTAAGTTGCCCTAGTATGACCGAACAGATACAAATTTTATAGGGCTGCTAGAGAATGCATTTCTAGAAATCTAAAAGTACTCAGGATACCTAAAAAGTGTTTTCAAAGCATTTAGGAGGAAACCGTTGTTGGGTGCCCCTGACCAATGCCAACTGGCTCTGAACTGTTTTTTTACATACACATGATCTTCACCAAAAATTTGTTTCATCAGTGCTTTTTCGTGGAGGTCTTTAGCTTACCTTGGTACTCCCAGGCGGTTGAACACTTGTACTGATGCCAAGTTGTTATAACTCGTTTCTACATCGACATGGTCTTCACGAAAAATCCTTATGCGAATCATCAGTGCTTTTTCGTGAATTGTATACTCCCAGGCGGTTGAACACTGATGCCAAGTTGGTATAACTCGTTTCTATATCGGCATAATCTTCACGAAATTTTCTTGTGCAAATCATCAGTGCTTTTTCGTGGCAGTTCTTTGGCTTGATTGTATTCGCCCAGGCGGTTGTACACTGATGCCAAGTTGTTATAACTCTCTCCTACATCGGCATGATCTTCACCAAAAATCTTTTTGCAAATCGTCAGAGCTTTTTCGTGAAGTTCTTTGCCTTGATTGTATATATTTTCCCAGGCGGTTCTACACTGACGCCAAATTGTTATAACTTGAAGCTAGATCGGCATGATCTTCACGAAAAATCTTTTTGCGAATCGTCAGAGCTTTTTCGTGAAGTTCTTTGGCTTGATTGTATTCTCCCAGGCTATAGTACACTAATGCCAAGTTGTTATAACTTGATGCTAGATCGGCATGATCTTCACCAAAAATCCTTTTGCAAATCATCAGTGCTTTTTCGTGGAGATCTTTGGCTTGATTGTATTGTCCCAGGCGGTTGTACACTAATGCCAAGTTGGTATAACTCGTTGCTACATCGGCATGACCTTCACCGAAACTCCTTTTGCGAATCATCAGTGCTTTTTCGTGAAGATCTTTTCCTCGATTGTATTGTCCCAGGCGGTTGTACACTAATGCCAAGTTGGTATTACTCGTTGCTACATCGGCATGACCTTCACCAAAAATCCTTTGTGCTTTCTCACACACACTGGGAGCCATGCCAAGCCGACCATGCAGCCCGTCCTTTATTATATCAACACTACGAATCACTGGTGTTACAGCACCAAAAGAAAGCTAACAAAGCAGCTGAAACTGAGCCTAGATACAATAGATTAACATACAAGAATAACCGTAACTAAGGCACTACTTGGAATCGTACAACCCAAAAAACACATGGAGGGTGGGTGGGCGGGGAAGGTCAGGCAATGGCGGAAGGCAACAAAAACAACTGAACTTTGGAACGCCACGTGACCTGAAGACCCCCGACACACTCAAACCCATACTCCCACCCGTGTGTGAGAAAACTTTTTCCGCTTCGTTCGTTCCTCAGCCAGCCGAAAACCACACTTCTCACACACAACTGGGAGCCACGCCAAGCCGACCATGCAAGAGCACAACGCAAAGGGTGTAGAATTCAAAACACAATTGTTCAAAAATCAATCTCTACACTGGTGAGCTACACGAGTTGCAATATAAAATACGTATTGGAAAAAACAATATCAGCGTCAGTGTCCATCCTAAATTGATTTAGATACAAGGAAAAGTGAACTTAAGGAGCTCGTTAACACGACTGTAAGGCATCCGCTCTTTCCTCAGACGGACTCCCCCTCTTTGATTTCTACACATGTCGAAACAATGGCGAGGCTTTAGCATGATTTCCAACTGACAAGAACTTCTCCAATACCGCAACTGGACAAGGCCCGGGAGTAATGCAACGGGCTACAAAAACCCATGATCCCTCAAGGAACTGATCATTCTTTCGCTTCTCCAGAAAAATGGCCACATGGGACTCCTCAAATGCAAACTGTTCACTTTCAAACGGTGCAGGTTATCCCCGCAGAGAAAACCAAAAATATACCAGGGAGAACAACGCAGCCAACTGGATGTCAGCAACACTACCCTTCTCTTGGCGACTGACAACTCCTCGTACTAAGTCGGCAGACAAAGGCTCCTTACGCTTTCGTGGACGAGTAAGAATACGCCGGGCAGCCTCGACTGCCTGTTTCACCATACGATACTCACTTGGTTCCCGGTAGCCACTTTTCTTATGGACCCAACTAACTCCATACACCGCTGTATTCACTAAGGACACCGAACGGGACTGCTGGATAAGAGACACAAAATAAAGAGTAAACACCACAGAGTCCGCAAGCAAATAAGAGGCACTGTGCTGTTCAGCCCATGTCTTCCAGGACTTGTATGCACGAAGATAGGTTACAGCTGTTAAAGTGGCTCTGTCCTGCACCAACACAGCTGGTAGAAAACGGGCCAAAGGCCTCAGATCTGGATCTTCAAAATGACCCACTCCAAATTCTGCTGGAAGAGTAACATGTGCACCACAAAAGCACAACTTGAAAGCCAGTAAACAAACTGGCACGCCTGCAGTAAAAACACAGCTTGTTGTCGCCCCCGGAATGAAAAGACCCTCATAAGGTTGGATTTTCAGGAATTCGGTCACAAAATCAAGCCAGGAACCATGCTTGGCGAAGAGAAGGGGGCAGCAAGGCGCAGAAGGCCATTCTATCTGGGACCAGGACGGTTCCGTCTTCACGTCCGTCCCGCATGTGGCGCAATACACGAGGCACCAGGTATGCTGATGTTCTAATCCCCCGCCCATGACACAGTGAAAGCATCAACGGCTTCACAACCAGGACTGAGGAATCTTCTACAAAATCTATCCAGCTGCTTAGTTTTCACACTGGCAAAGTGGTCAATGGTGTGAGGGCCCAAACAGCTATCTAAGCGAGCAAACCATGAAGGATCAAGCATATAATCGTTACAATCTTCAATCCGGGATAACTAGTCAGCCTCCTCGTTAAAATCTCTGCTAATCCACTCTACAATCAGGCGAATGTCAAATGACCGGCATAACTTATCCACTGCCTCATTACGAAGGTCAGTTTTGCGGCTGCCCACGGAAAGAATGATTTCAGTGTTCTTGTTATCAGTCCTGTGCAGAACCTCCTTCCCTCGCAGCTGAGGAGCAAACGATTGCAAGACAAGGCTAGTAGCCCTAAGTTCCCTGAATGTGGAGCTCATCTCTTCGACTGACCAGTTCCCCACTGCGGCCCGTCGTCCAAGTTGAACAGGAAATCCACCTCAGCCTGAATCACTTGCATCTGAGTGGGTCAAAACCTCAAGTTTTGGGCTAGGCGACCAAATAAGATAACCTGCATTACGAAAAGTCTTCTGCCAGAAAAGAACTTCCCTCTGTGCGTCAGCAGATAAATGAATGGGGCTGTCCCATGAAACCACGTGCAGAATATCACTATAAAAACTCCTCGTCCACAGGCGCACTACTGGACCCAGCGCCAAACTCATAGAAGCCAGGAGCCATGTAAAACGTGTTACCTTGTGGGCAGACATAACAAGACCACGCGCTAGAACATCCTGCAAAACATGAAGAAAAACATCCACCCTCTTTTGCGGAACTTGGAATGTCCCTATCTGTAAATTCAAAACATAACCAGCAACTCCCCTGACTGGACTGGCACCCACAAGCTTTTCTGTTCATTTGCCACAATACCACTACGCTGTACATCTTACCTTACCAAATTTGAAACCCTCTGCGCTTCATAAAAATCAGAATATACACCTGCACCATCATCCAAATAAGTAAATATAAGAATGCCTTGATTCCTCCAGAGCTTTGTTAGGGCTTTCTGGATTTCGTAAAGACAAAGGGACCCACTGAGAGACCAAAAGGAAGAACGGTAAACTTGAAGTATTTGAGGGAACCATTAAGCATCCAAGGGCAACCGAGGAATTTAGTGTGCTCTACAAAAATTTCCACATGGTGATAACCACTGGTGTAGTCAAACTTAAAGAACCAATCACCCTGATGTAACAAGTCAGCTGCAGTGCGTATGTCTTCGTATTTACTGGTGTTTACTAGTGAATGTACGGAGAAACTGATTCATGCATTTATAACCAGTAGGTTAGACTATTGCAACAGTCTCCTCTATGGAGTTCCCGACCATCACATACAAAGACTCCAACGTGTCATGAATACCAGTGCGCGATTGATCTTCTGCGCACCTAAACACTGTCATATTACGCCGCTCCTTCAACAACTTCATTGGTTGCCTGTCCGCCTACGTATTGAGTTTAAAATCCTTTTGATCACCTCTAAAGTACTCCCGGGCTCAGCTCCTAAACATCTCATTGAATTAATTTGTTTTACCGCCATCTCGTTATGAGTGACGGCGAAATAACAAGGGAATTCTGAGCACCCCAAAGCGTTTCACAAAAGTTACTATAGGGGATCGATCCTTCATGGCGGCAGTGCCACGGCTTTGGAACAGTCTTCCCGTAAGCATTAGATCTGCTCGCACCAAAAGTGATTTTAAACAGAAAGTTAAGACATTTTTATTCAGCAAAGCATTTTGTTAGAACAATTAGTATATATTTAGATTTTTATATAGTTTTTCTGCAAATTACTTTTCTTATAGCCAATTGTAAATGGTGTATTTTTCGTCTTTGATTCCGTAGTGATTGTAAATAGGTTCTTACTTTTGTATTTATTGTAATATTTGTAATGCCCATTTGATTATTTTTATAGAAAATGCGCAATATAAATGTTAAATATTATCATTATTATTATTTAAACTTGCAAGATCTTATTGATTAACAAAACGCAAATCCACAATAAGCCTACGTTTTCCCGAAACTGCCTGTAGCGACACCCAATGGGTTACACACAAGCAGGTCTGTAGCACTAACTTCAATCAGAGCACGTGACAACAGCAACTTAGAGATCTCAGAAGACACGCACTGCATATTACATAACGTACTATCATGATTACGGAAAAAAACCTGAATAACCTTCAGCAACCAGTTACTTCCTATGATACCGAGCCAAAAATCAATGTTTGTACGTAAACGACCTTTAACAACAACGCAACTACAAACAACGTTCTCAAATATGTCACTTTCGCTGGTAATATGCAAGGAGTCCATACTCGCTTCACATGCAAATAAACGATCATCCATCCGGTAAAAAGGAACACTACTAGGCTGGCTGTTGGTAATTACTTGAGGTTTGTCCGGCTGATCCTGCTTTGTTGAAAACATTGGCGGCACGGCTTGCGCTATTTCGGTCGAGGATAACCCTGCTATCCGAAGACCGCGGAATCACTCCTTTCGGCCTCGTAACTTTAGAACAAGAATTTCTTCTCTTCTCGTCCCTTAACTGCTTGGTCTCCTTTATAACTTTACGAATTTTCTTTTCGTCATCTGAGTCGCTGGCAAGCGGATCGGCAGCATAACAAGCAACATCCATATTTTTCAGCAAGAAGACTTTGTTTGTTCCGCTCCACAAGTAACTCCTTATCTTCCGTAAGCTTTCGCATACGTTCCTCGTTGTCATCAGCCTCGAGGGCCTCATCGATTTTATCCACTACATATCTATTGAGAAAGTATTGCTTCTTGTTCCCGGAAAAAGGAAACTCGGGATCCACCCCACGAGGCTGCTGAATCTTATGCGACTTCGCTCCCGTTATCTCTCCCTGAAGACGCTTAAGCTCGGCAGCATTCTCTTCTTGTTGTTTCAGGAGCTTTTGGCCCAGTCTGGAGGATCGGACGGCGAGCGCGAGAGCGATCACGAACGAGAATGGTGGTGTGCCGAAGCACGGGAAGATTCACCGCGTTTCTCTCCAGTGTCTCTCGAACGACCGCTTGGGCTACGTTTGTACGGCTGCGATCTTTTCACAGCACGAGATCTCGTGCCCGAGCTCTCCTTCGCCATCAAAATATATTACAAAAAACGACAAAAACAGGGATCGTAAAAAACGCTCAGCAAAAAGGAGGTAGGCAATGGCGGAAGGCAACAAAAACAACTGAACTCTGAAACGCTACGTGACATAAAGATCCCCGCACACTCGAACCCATACTCCCAGCCCTGTATGAGAAAAACGTTTTCCCCTTCTTTCATTCCTCAGCCAGAGGAAAACCACACTTTTCCTAAAGTTCTTTGGCTTGATTGTATTTTCCCAGGCGGTTGTACACTGATGCCAAATTGTTATAACTTGATGCTAGATCTGCATGATCTTCACCAAAAATCTTTTTGCGAATCGTCAGAGCTTTTTCGTGAAGTTCTTTGGCTTAACTGTATTCTCCCAGGTTGTAGTACACTTCTGCCAAGTTGTTAAAACTTGATGCTAGATGGGCATGGTCTTCACCAAAAATCCTTTTCCAAATCATCAGTGCTTTTTCGTGAAGATGTTTGGCTTGATTGTATTCTCCCAGGCGGTTATATACTAATGCCAAGTAGGTATAACTCGTTGCTACGTACATCGGCATGATCTTAACCAAAAATCTTTTTGCGAATAGTCAGTGCTTTTTCTTGAAGTTCTTTGCTTTGATTGTATTCACCTAGGCTATAGTACACTAAAGCCAAGTTGTTATAACTTGCCGCAAGGTCGGCATGACCTTCACCAAAAATCTTTTTGCGAATCTTCAGTGTTTTTTCGTGAAGATCTTTGGCTTGATTGTATTCTCCCAGGCGATTGTACACTAATGCCAAGTTGCTATAACTCGTTGCCGCATCGGCATGATCTTCATCAAAAATCCTTTACCAATCGTCAGTGCTTTTTTGTGAAGTTCTTTGGTTTGATTGTATTCTCCCAGGCTATAGTACACTTATGCCAAGTTGTTATAACTTTATGCTAGATCGGCATGATCTTCACCGACAATCCTATAACTCTCTCCTACATTGGCATGATCTTCACCAAAAATCTTTTTGTGAATCGTCAGTGCTTTTTCGTGAAGTTCTTTGGCTTGATTGCATTCTCCCAGGCTGAAGTACACTGATGCCAAGTTGTTATAACTTGATGCTACATCGGCATGATCTTCACCAAAAATCTTTTTGCGAATCATCAGTGCTTTTTCGTGAAGATATTTGGCCTCATTGTATTCTCCCAGGCGGTTGTACACTAATGCCAAGGTGTTATAACTTAATGCTACATCGGCATGATCTTCACCAAAAATCTTTTTGCGAATCGTCAGTGCATTTTCGTGAAGTTCTTTGGCTTGATTGTATTCTCCCAGGCCATAGTACACTAATGCCAAGTTGTTATAACTTGAAGCTAGATCGGCATGACCTTCACCAAAAATCTTTTTGCGAATCGTCAGTGCTTTCTCGTGAAGCTCTTTAGCTTGATTGTATTCTCCCAGGCGGTTGTACACTGATGCCAAATTGTTATAACTTGATGCTAGATCGGCATGATCTTCACCAAAAATCTTTTTGCGAATCGCCAGAGCTTTTTCGTGAAGTTCTTTGGCTTGACTGTATTCTCCCAGGCTGTAGTACACTTCTGCCAAGTTGTTATAACTTGATGCTAAATCAGCATGATCTTCACCAAAAATCCTTTTGCATGTCATCACTGCTCTTTCGTGGAGATGCTTGGCTTGATTGTATTCTCCCTGGCGGTTGTACACTAATGCCAAGTTGCTATAACTCGTTGCTACATCGGCATGATCTTCACCGAAAATCTTTTTGCGAATCGTTAGAGCTTTTTCGTGAAGTTCCTGGGCTTGATTGTATTCTCCCAGGCTGTAGTACACTACTGCCAAGTTGTTATAACTTGATGCTACATCGGCATGATCTTCACCAAAAATCTTTTTTCGAATCGTCAGTGCTTTTTCGTTAAGATCTTCGGCTTGATTGTATTCTCCCAGGCGGTTGTACACTAATGCCAAGTTGCTAAAACTCGTTGCTACATCGGCATGACCTTCACCAAAAATCTTTTTGCGAATCGTCACAGCTTTTTCGTGAAGTTCTTTGGCTTGAATGTATTCTCCCAGGCTATAGTACACTAATGCCAAGTTGTTATAACTTGATGCTAGATCGGCATGATCTTCACCAAAAATCTTTTTGCGAATCGTCAGTGCTTTTTCGTGAAGTTCTTTAGCTTGATTGTATTCTCCCAGGCGGTAGTACACTGATGCCAGTTTGTCATAATTTGATGCTACATTAGCATGGTCTTCACCAAAAATCTTTTTGCGAATCGTCAGTGCTTTTTCCTGAAGTTCTTTGGCTTGATTGTATTCTCCCAAGTCATGGTACACTAATGCCAAGTTGCCATAACTCGTTGCTACATCGACATGATCTTCACCAAAAACCTTTTTGCGAATCATTAGTCCTTTTTCGTGAAGTTGTTTGGCTTGTTTGTATTCTCCCAGGCGGTTGTACACTAATGCCAAGTTGTTATAACTCTCTCCTACATTGGCATGATCTTCACCAAAAATCTTTTTCTGAATTGTCAGTGCTTTTTCGTGAAAATGTTTGGCTAGATTGTATTCTGCCAGGTTGTAGTACAGTGATGCCAAGTTTTTGTAACTTGATGCTACATCGCCATGATTTTCACCTAATATCCTTTTGCGAATCATCAGTGCTTTTTCGTGAAGTTCTTTGGCTTGATTGTATTCTCCCTGACGGTTGTACACTAATGCCAAGTTGTTATAACTCGCTGCTACTTCGGCATGATCTTCACCAAAAATCTTTTTTCGAATCATCGGTGCTCTTTTGTGAAGTTCTTTGGCTTGATTGAATTCTCCCAGGCGGTAGTACACTAATGCCAAGTTGTTATAACTTGATGCTACATTGGCATGATCTTCACCGAAAATCTTTTTGCGAATCATCAGTGCTTTTTCGTGGAGATCTTTGGCTTGATTGTATTCTCCCAGGCGGTTGTACAATGATGCTAAGGTGTTATAACTTGATGCTACTTTGACATGATTTTCACCAAAAACTCTTTTGAGAATCATCAGTGCTTTTTCGTGAAGTTCTTTGGCTTGATTGTATTCTCCCAGGCGGTTGTACACTAATGCCAAGTTGTTATAACTCTCTCCTACATTGGCTTGATCTTCACCAGGAATCTCTTTGTAAATACTCAGTGCTTTTTCGTGAAGTTCTTTAGCTTGATTGTATTCTCCCAGGCTGTAGTACACTGATGCCAAGTTTTTATAACTTGATGCCACCTCGCCATGATTTTCACCAAAAACCCTTTTGTGAATGATCAGTGCTTTTTCGTGAAGTTCTTTGGCTTGATTGTATTGTCCCAGGCGGTTGTACACTTGGCCTCTTACATTCAAAATCCCCCCTTTACGGGATAAAGCACCGGTTGAAGTTTCGTCTAAGTTCCCCAGTAGATCGTATGCTAAGTTGACCACATTTTTCGCAAAGAAGAAATAGGAGCTTTTTTGACAGACCCAGGCGAGAGTATGTAGCCAATCAATAACTGTATCTAAATCTACGAAGGGCGTAAACCTTTCTAAAAAAGTGTTGTGATCCGAAGTAAAGTCTGACGTCATCTGCTTAAGTAGAGATTCACAGTGGGGCCTTAATTTTTTAGAAAACGCATAATTCTGTCTATTTTCTTCCAGTTGGGATTTGAAAATCTTCAACGCTTCTGCCATGGTGCGGTCACTCTCACATGGTTTCAGGTTAGCTATCTCGCCTCGTTTCAAAGCTTCATGCACCACTTTATGTAAACGTAAATAGGTTTCTTCACTCCCTTCTTCGGAATGAACAAGACTTAAAGAGGACCTAACAATCTTTGCTTTCATTAAAACCTCTAGTTGGTCTTCTACTCGGGCTTTGACGAACTTTAAAACAGTTTTGAGCGGCAGGTCGTCGTTAGCGCAGAGCGAAAGAAAAGAGAATGTATGACGAAGGACCTCGTCTATTTCAACAGCTCTTTGGATAGCCATTTCTACCGCGGCCATTGTTGTTTTAGCGTACGCTGAACTCTCATTAGCAAGGACAGTTTCGGTCTCTTTTCGCTGGCTGTACGTTGATATGTCTTGAAGGTATGCTTTCCAATTATAATTTGAAGACCCACTAGTCACAACAGTTTGCACGTAATAAGCAGCAGCAGCTAAGGCCAGTGGCTGAAAATCGAGAAGTTCAGCGACATTTTCTGTTTGTACTCGCGCTGAAATTTGCGATACTGTTTCTAGCAATTCCACCGCCTCGTCCCGCCTCATTCCTTTGCTTAACGATTCATGATACGTGTGAGGAGCGTTTTGAGGAATTGTACCACTATCTTGAGTGGTAATCAGCACTTGCCCATGGCCCCATTCTTTACTGCCAGTTTGGAGAAGTAAGTCGCGGACTAAGGGTAAGTCAATAACATTGTCTGCTATTATCAACCAGTTGGTAAACTTTCTGGTCTGTGGCAAAATCAAGCGATGGACCTGTTTAATTGCTTCAATAGGTTTCTCTTCTTTTAAAGATTCTAAGCCGTTTAACGAGTATTCTGTTATCCTTAGGTGTCTTCCAAGGGTGAGATAAGAGTCAACAAGTGCCTCAATGCTTTCTGTGTTCAGTGTCGCAGTAAAGATAACATCATCGGTTTGTTTAGAAAAGAACTGTTGCCCAATTTCTCGGGCAAGTTGACTCTTGCCACATCCTGGATTTCCTGACAAGTACACTGTACTGACTGCTCCGCTAGAGCACTTGTTAAGTTCCTCCATTTTGTTAGTGATTCTTTCAATGTCATGCGAGCGGCTAATGATATCGTGTGGTGGGCACGATACGAGAATGCAAAATGGTTGAAGTTTCGCACTTATTTCCTGTGTGAGACATTTGTTTTCTTCTTTTGTAGAAACCATAGCAGCTTGTGTACTTTGAAGAGTGCTTTTTGTCTGATCTAACTCGTCTTGGAGATCACCAACTTGCTTCCTAATTTTTTCCACTTCCTTCGTCGGAAAGGTCGTCTGGTTCTTTATTTCTTGAATCTCACTTACAGCAAGACCAAGGGATGTAAAAGCGTTCAACACTCTATTTACAGAGGTTTGAAAGTCGGCATCTGTCAACTTAGCCTCGGTGATATGAGCGATCTCGTTTCGCACCTGACGAATATCATCGACTTCTTTACGGACAGCTGGGCTTAAGGTTTTACCAATGCTGTCTGAGTACAGGATGGCAAAAAACAAACAGGTACAGTCCCACTCAGTCGTGTTACCGTTTTGTATTGTTGCTAGACACCGAGAGTTTTTCTTGTGACTTGCTTTAGATTCCTTTTTGGAGAAATCATGACCATTTTGTGCAGTGTCTTCCCATTCTCCAATTAACGTTCCTTTATAAAGGAAATCCCACTCGTTTTTGAAAATGTGCCGCAGTCCCACTGGAACCAAATCAAATGCTATGTAGCAGAGTCTGAAGTAGTTCAGTTGCTCCTCCGAGTATTCCATTTGACCAACTTACAATCCTGTAAGAGATATTGCCTTTTAGGCTATTTTCTTTTCAGGCAAAAACTAGGTTTTCACTTACTTTATTGAATATGTCGAAAATCAATCGCTGATGAACACAGGAACCCCAAAAGATTATGAAAAGCTAGTCACTTATAAACTCAGTTCAATACGAAACGACAGGTTAATAGTTTCTACAGTTCAGCAGTTTTACCCTAGTCGGATGGGCCTCTAAGATTTGTTTGGTACACCTTTTTAATGGAAGCTTGGTAGCCTATGCACAGACGCCCCCTTCCATCTCGATATCTTTTAGGAGAGGGGGCGTCTCTACATAGGCTAAATCTCTGGGACTCGCATGCGTTTACGGGCACGTAATGATGCTCTTTCAGATTGTCTAATTAAACTAGTGAAATTTCTGCCCTTTCATGACCATTCAAATGATACCACTTTGGAAGAACTTCTACCTCTTAGGACTTGGTTGTTTTTGGAAACTTTCAAGTTGGTCACTAACTGTCAGTAGGACTGATACGGCCACCTTCGTTATTACGGACAGTTTGATTTGTCTCTGGACAGAGAAAGCCCTTACATTTTATCTAAATTATACCCGCTTAATACGGACACCCCATTAATACTGACACTTCCTATGGCCCCTCAGTGTCCACATCAACGAATATCGAGACTGCAATGTGCAAAATAGTCCAGTTTCGAATTAAAAATTACCGCTGAATACAAACATTAACGACACATTCATACAGGGTTAGCCTCGACGTAAAGTAAAATATTCAGAAATTCTGGCAAGTAAGTGTTTGAAATTTGAATATACACAATAGACAGAGTAATAAACAGGTCTTTTTCTCGTTGGAATTTGTGAATATATTACTTCAGATGGAGGCTAGGGCTGTAAAAAATGTGTCTTCACTTCTTTAATTCAGCGGTCATAGCAAACTCAAAAATGGACTATTTTCAGAATTTGATAACAAATAAACCCAATTAATAATGGTAATTGAACTGAGTGGAGTGCAATTTGGTCTGAAATCATACGCGTGATTTCAAATCACAAGTATGATTTCAGACCAAAATTGCACGACACGAAGTTCAATTACCACTTTATTACATCCATTTTGAAATCACTCTTTTTTTTTAATCTGTATTTATTGGTCCAAAAGGCTGGTTCGTAAAAAGCGGAACCGGAAACGCGTTTATATGTACGTGCCATGTCAACAAAACAAAATGACAGATGTCACTTTACAAAAAACCCATTGGAGCGCAAAAACTTCATTCGTGCAAATGTTCAAGCAGTTCTAAAATCTTGTCACTGCAAAAATAGTCTTCTTCAAAGTTTAATCCTCGTCGTCTGACTCAATAATATAAGCCCTTCGCTTCTTCTGCGGTTGTGGCTGAGGCATCGCGTTTTCTTGGGAGAAAAAAATTGAAAGTACAGCGGGTGTAATTCTGCGATGAAGCAGCAGTATTACCAGCACACGTCAACGCTGCCATGCGGTACTGAAACGGTGAGGGACAACTTGGCGGAAATCCTGCAAAACCAGCAGCCTGAAAATCAGGATTCAGGAATTCCATGGCCTGGTGCATTTGACCTTGCTGTTGGGCGCGATTAATAGGAACCAGTGGTGCTCGTTGGTGTAGGACTGGCTGTTGGACTGTGTTTTGAATTGTTGGTGCCTTTGCAGCTGTACTGTTTTGATTGGAAACGTCGTTGGGACCGTTTTCATTTGGCACTACTTTAAAACCGCTAATTATGTGAGACAGTTCTTTCCGTTGATTCTCGTCTATTTCGTCGTAGTCGTCCAACGAAGATTCACGTGCATGGCCTGTTATTTCACAAATAACGTTGCGCGGCTGACCAGACTTTTTCAATTTGGACACCAAAGTTTTTCTCATGCTGTGGTTGGTCAGTTTTTTGTTCGTCTTAAGACAGGAGGCCATGGATTTCATGATGTTGCCGATGGTATTTTCGCCCATTCTAATTTTGGTGTACCAGATATCATTTGATTTGGGACGATTTATAACGCTCAGGTACAGTGGCCCTTTATCTTTCATTCCGTCGGGTCACTTGGATAACCAAAGCTTGAAAAGGCGCACTGGATCAGTTTTTCCGCCATCGGTGGAATACATAGCTTGTGGTGTTGTTCTTCGCGATATTGTTAGACCACCGCTTCGTGTTTTAGTGGGACCTTCACGGAATTCTACTTCGCCGCCGTCTTCTTGTTGTCTTATTACGAAGTCCTCTAGGTATGAAGGCGTCATAGTGCTCCTGGCGACCTCTAAATCCAAGTTGCTCAGTCAAGTTTTTAAAGTTAACATTGGTCAAGACTTTTCCGTTAAAATCACCAAGCTGACCTTTTAGCCAGAGGGCAGACTCTTCCTCCGAAGTGAGAGGCTGAGATTTGTTTGGTCTTTTCCCCTTTCCTTGTTGTCGCAGAGAAATTGATGCCTTCGCGTGGAGGATTTCTTGTGAGTTGTGAAACTCCCTCGATCGTACGATGCTCATTGGATAATTCTTCTCCTTTAAATACCTTTCAATGGCACTCTGCATGATTTTAAGGCATTCCGGCTCGTAATCATTTCCGTCCCTTTTTTTTACTTCGGCGTAGAACTTACTCAGGATGTTGTCAAGCTCTTCCGGCGCCATTGTTTCTATGTTTACATTTTCTAGATGACGAGACTGGCACCAACTTTTGAATACATTCATCCACTGTTTTGTCGAACGGAAGGTATTTTTGTTGACGGCAACAGCCTTGAGCTCTTCAATTTCTTCGCTTGAGATTTCAGGGAACCTGGTAGAATCTACATTTTGTGCTTTCTGAGTTGGCTCTGGATTTGTCTCTTTGTTGCTGGACTCGGGATTGCACGCATCCGGAGCGGATGTGGAGGAAAAATTATCAAAATATTCGTCAAACTGGACACTGAATGTCGGAAACACCCCTAAAAGTACTTCTTCAGCCTCAAGGAGCTCACTATCATCACTAAGAAACTGTAAGTAATTAAATTCGTCCATTTTTGCCTTTGTAAAAAGAAAGTTTTGGCAACAAAAAACTTGCACAAAGTTTGCCACACAATATTGCCTTTATTTGTTTTTTGTTTTCCTGCAATTTGATTGGTTACTGTGAATGATCCTTGAAATCTGATTGGTTGTTTTGTTTAAGTGCTACTTTCTCATTGGTTGAAAAAAAGATGCGATTTAGAGCACAAAATAGTGCGATTCGTGAATAAATCACATCGCTCTGAGCCAATCAGATTGCAAGGATCACCTGTGATTTCAAAATGGATGTAATAAATAATGGTAATTGAACTGAGTGGAGTGCAATTTGGTCTGAAATCATACGCGTGATTTCGAAATCGAACGAGCGCGCAAAAAAGGATGTAATTCTGTGTGTTGCAAATCTGTTAATTCAATACAATCATATGTTTTTAACTTAACTGTGAAATTATTTCTAGCAAAATTAGCCACCAAAAGGAAAAACAACGTACCACTGCCATTGACAGCAATTTAAGCCCTAACACATTCTAAAACAGAAAAGTAAGAGGCTACAATTTAGAGATTTAAGAATAATACAAGAATATTTTCGGCCTAAAATCGGCAGAAAAATTAGAATATTCAGCCTGGGCAAGAAAACAATACTCTTACAAAAACACTGTCTGACGCTTCAAGCTGTTAATGATGACAAAAGACCTGTAAATGATTGCATAAATAATTCTAAATGGATATTTCTTCGATTCCTATTTCAAACACAAAACAAGCGCTGGTTTCGTTCGTGGACAACGAATGACCCACCGCCTTGTTTCGGCGGAATATTCAGGTTAAATTAATGATAACGACCTCTTTGGTGAACTTTAATGAAAGAGCGACTGTTAGCTTTCATGATTTATTAGGGGCACCCAACGAGAATATAGTTCAAAAACACTTAAACATAGCATTGTTAAACGTATTTTAGTATTTAAACGGTAGATATAGGCATATTTTTATCGCCTAAAAATTTTTAAACTGTTCGGATTTCCTAGCTGAAAGTCTAGTGATCCGAAAATTAAAGGGATCAAAACTTACCTTTTCGAAAACTTCAGCCAGAAAAAAGGCTTCCGAAAATTCTAGGTGACCTTTTTAGGGTAAAAATCCGTTAAAAATGGCCAATTATACCGTATTTTAGATGTTCGAAAATCCTAGGAGACGCAGGCAGGCAAGACATTTTACAAAAAATGTTCCGAAAATTCTAGATCTCAAATCATCTTCCAAACAGATATTTTCAGAAAATGGCCGTTGGGTGCCCCTGATTTATATATAAATCCAGTCTTCATCATCTTGAAAACCTGCTTAGACTACGACACGCAATTGTCATTATAACGGTTTACTTTGGAAGAATTCATAACAGATTAACTCTTTTTGTCACCCCAATGCTATACCATGCACCGAACAGTACTCGCATGACAGTAGATATCAAATTTTTTTAATTAGTGTATGGTGAACGAGTGGGTCTAAATCAGCACATACAGAGCTTCCTATTATACAAAACTAAGACAAAAAACTAGCCTGAGTTAACCTGTGAGAATGAATAAGCTGAATAACCAACGCAAAATTACTCACCTTGCGCCAAAGAATCCAATGAAAACTGATTTGATGACTGGAAACATACACACGAGGAAGCTTTACGAAGAAGCAGAACTACAGAAAATGAAAGTGATCTGAACTAAATTATTATTATCACGTGACCGATGATACAGACATCACCAAGTGCAACCTCGTCCCCAGGGTCTTCTCGCTTTCCAATAAGCCGCCGCCATATTGGAAAGTGAGAAGACCCTGGGGACGAGGTTGCACCAAGTGTCATTGTTCTAGTCACGCTATATTTGACAGTAATGCTATTCGTACAAAGTAAGGACCTGTCAAAGGAGGGGGGGAGGGAGGGGAGGGGGAAACCGCATACGAAAATAAAGGGTATGCACATTAGATTGAAATTAGCATCAAACTCCTAAAGGAGACTCTTATACACAGTAAGACCGAAGTTGTTATGTTAATATGCACATATAAATTGGTATTTGGTTTTAATAAAAGATTGAGAAATGCCACTTCAATCTGGCCAACGTTAGCCTGCGAAAATAGCTGTTTCTCCTCGCTCCTGGCCGTTGGGGACGTTTTGCGAGACGTTCTTCCACACAAAACGTCCCCGGCGGCGAGGAGCGAGGAAAAACGGCTGTTTTCGCAGGCTAGGCCGACGAAAGCCGAGAAGCAAAAGATCTCTGAACATAGTAAATAGCGTGCCTAATTTATTGTTTAATTTTTTTTACTCAGTTACAAGTGTTTTCTTGTTTTAAAGTAAGATAAGCACAACAAAAATTGATTGCAAGTGGAAATAAATTCTTCTCTAATTCGTGCTTGTAAATACATATTTGTCACTGGTTTTAAGACAAGCAATGTCATATATTTTACTCTGAATTATCTTCTCTTTTATTGACCACTAAACTGCTGCGTTGTTGTTGGGAGGCAGTTGTGACTTTTTTCGAGGACCGTGTGCGCCACTTTTTCAGCATCGGCCTTGCGTTTAATGCGTTTACAAACCTCATAGACTTGAGGGAAGTATCGAAACGACATTGTATCGATATAACCGGTCTCCTGCTGTGTTGTCGGTCATTGTCAAGTTAACAGTGGTTAAAAACGACAAAACGAACCCAGTAACAAAATAAAGTAACGAATCCGGAAAAGTATTTTGCCTTATCCAGTGATAGATGATTAACATGAATCAGTCAATGGACTCAAACACCTGACAAAGTAATTCATATGCAGAAAAAAAACTCTTAGGCTTATAGCCAAATTTTTAATCAAGGAAGTCTTTTTTTGGGGGAGGGGGACGGAGGGATGCAAAGCGATTTGGAGAATTGTGCGTACCTCTGAAAAAATCCTGGCTACGCCCCTACAATTTGAGAATAATACAAGAATATTTTAGGCCTAAAATAGGCAGAAAAATAAGAATATTCAGCCAGGGCCGGAAAACAATACTCTTATGAAAAGACTGTCTGACGCCTCAAGCTGTTTATGATGACAAAAGACCTGATGACGTAAATGATTGCATAAATAATTCTAAAAGGATATTTCTTCGATTCCTATTTCAAACATAAAACAAGCGTTGGTTTCGATCGTGGACAACGGATGACCCACCGCCTTCTTTCGGCGGAATATTCAGGTTAAATTAATGATAACGACCTCTTTGGACTTTAACGAAAGAGCGACTGTTAGCTTTCATGATATAAATCCAGTCTTTCATCATCTTATTATAACGGTTTCTTTTGAAGAATTCATAACAGATTAACTCTTTTTATCACCCCAATTCTATACCATGCACCGAACAGTACTCGCATGACAGTAGATATCAAATTTTTTAATTAGTGTATGGTGAACGAGTGAGTCTAAATCGGCACATACAGAGCTTCCAATTATACAAAACTAAGACTAAAAACTAGCCTGAGTTAAGCTGTGAGAATGAATAAGCTGAATAACCAACGCAAAATTACTCACCTTGCGCCAAAGAATCCAATGAAAACTGATTTGATGACTGAGAGCATACACACGAGGAAGCTTTACGAAGAAGCGGAACTACAGAAAATGAAAGTGATCTGAACTAAATTATTATTATCACGTGACCGATGATACACACATCACCTTCAGGGCGGAAAAACGTTCTGCGCAAGCTTCTGCGCATCCCTTATCGCAGGCTCAAGGCGGACTTTTCTGTGTGCTTTCTGTGGGTGCTTACCATTTGACGGAAAATTTCGGAAATTCCGGATGGGAGGTAAATGGTAAGGTCACTTTTCGGAAATTCCAACCGAAAATTGAGGAGTACGTTTTGAGGTAGTTCTTTCATTCCGGTTGGTACGAATCAAACGGAATTGCTTACCAGTAACCAATTTCTCAGTTCCTTCTCAGTTTCAGACTCACGCGACACAAATTTACCCTTTTTTTGGATTCAAACCGTAACGGATATGGCATTTCTACGGTAAACTGGCAAATCGCTTACCATTATGCTTTCGACACCCCAACCGGATTTTTCTGT